CGGTCTCCTGGGGCTGCAGAGACGGAGCCCTGCAGGTCGGGCGGCCCAGGCCGCCGGTGCGGGAGACGGGGCGCGGGCTGGGCTGCTCCTGAGGGTGCGGGCGACTCCAGGTTCCTGGGCGTGGAGGGCGTCGCCTCGGCCGTCCTTCGTGAGCTGTCCTTCCTGTATTCGTGTCTGTGTCCGAAGTGTCCGAAACTTCCCTGTCTTGTTTATGCCGCCTGTCCACTGCATTAGGGCAGAGGCCCTATTTGCAAATGAGGTCACATCCTGAGCTCCTGGAGGATTGAGCTTCACCGTGAGTTTTGAGGACACAGTTCAACCCATAACGCTGCCTGTCCTGTCTGCTCTTTCTGTCCCCGCCGCTGGATGCAGCTGACCTGCTTGTAAGTAGCTTTCTGTGTGGTGCCGTGAGTCTTCAAGCGCAGTTATTGGTCCGTTGTCTCCTGCTGGTTTTGTGATTTATTTTTTATCTCTGGCACCTTGTGCATCCTGTGGAAAGTAGCTCTACTGGAGATGCGTGAAGCACCAGAAATGACTAGAAGTGAAGGAGGTTACTGCTGAGGTCCCCTCTTTTTTTGTTCTCCTGTTGACAATGCCAAAGGCTGTCTGGCGTTGGGTACCATGTGGCCTAGGACACCAGCAGAGGCCACCGCTTCTATTAAGCACAGGGAGTGCACCCTGGTTCACTCTCCAGGGAACGTAAGCCGTTGCCGCGCGGCTAGCACCTCTCTGAGGTGGTGTGGAGAGAAGCAGCGGCTGCCGAGAGCCCCTGGGTCCCCGGCAGACGCCTCCCCCAGAGCACCTGCGCAGTCGCCGCCCTCGTGCCTCGGCCTAAGGTTTGCGTTCCGCACGTCGGGACCAGAAGGGTGTTCCTGAAGAGTTGAAACGGAGAGCCGTTCGCCGAGCGGCTGTGCCGGGGGCAGGTGCCGGGAAGCAGCGGGGTCTGCCCCACAGCTCTAGTGAGCACGGCCCCTTGGGCCAGGCTGGACGCGCTGGCTGAGAAAGGGCGTGTCAGGTGCCTTCCGTTCGCCCTGGGCCAGTCAGCGACATACTAGGCAGAGTGGCGTCTTCTGGGCGTTAGGAAAGAGGGACTGCTAATCCTGGAGTCGTTTTCAGCGCAGTGCGGCCGTGCCTGTCTGAGAGAGCCTGCTGAGGGGTGTTGACCAGGAGGCCCGCAGGCAGAGGCCCAGGCGCGCGAGGTCGGAGGCACGTTACTCAGCGCCCCAGACATGCGGCCCCGCGGCCCGCGCCCACGGCGGTTCTCTCCCGGCCAGGCCGGCCCTCTCGTGGGGACCTGACTCCGCACCGCGCAGCGTCCTGCCGCTTCGTCCCTGAGTGTTTCTCTGAGCATCTAATATGACCTTGATGATGTCACCCCTCCAATGTTTGGCAGTCATTTCTTCACGCCATCCAAGTCCAGTTAGTGTTCAGATTTCTCATTGTTTCAAATTTCACTGTAAGGTTTCATTTTACAGTTTCTTTGCATCAAGATCCAGCGGAGGTCCTCCCGTTGGCTGTTGGGCGTTAAGCTGGGAGTGAGTGCGGTGGTTTTGAACTCTGGCCTCGCTGTGGAGAAGGGACTGGCGTGGGATTTGCTAGGAGCTGCCGCTGTCCAGGAGGTGGGTGGTTGTTATCTAGTGTAGGTGGTGTGGTCAGGACGGAGACAGGTGGCTGGACGAGAGGGGTCACACGGCAGGCCAGGCTTGTTTGTCGCGGTTCGTCCAGACTGTTGGCTTCTGCTGGGCGTGTACGCCTGAAGGTAGTGCTCCCAGGGAGTTCGTTGGTTTAGATTGAGATCTTGTTAAGATTTGTGAAATCTTAAAATTTTTACATAGGTAAATTTATAGCAGTTTATAGAATATTGAAACAGAGAAACATTAATCCATACTTCATAAATCAGTTGAACTGTAATACAGTTTATTTGCCATGAAATTATCTTTTGTGATTATAATTATGATATGGATAAGATTAGAGAACAGGAAATTATATAGTTTTCACTTAAACATATTATAATCTCTTATGGATGTGATGCTCAAGAATTTTCATGGTTTTATAATATTGTATTGAGATTTCAATATTTATGATAATTCATGTATTAGACATTATATGTTACTGCTTTTAAAATTAAGTTGCCCTCGAATTTTTTCTTAACAAGACAAAAGGCTGCTTTTTATTTACTTCCAGATGGATTTCATCTTGTGTTTCGCATGGCACAAAGTAAAAATGTTGCTCTTTGAGATTTATTAATCAGAATGTTCCTAAACCAGCTATGGAATCCCTTCTGTTTTTTTCAGATGAAAAATAAACTTACTCAGATATAAAAATAACCCCAGGGTAGGGCAAAAATGGAGGTTTTTAGTTGTAAGTACGTAAAACACAAGAGTTTATTCTTGTATCATCATTTACTAATTTTTGTATTCCTTTTCACACGGACAGCTGCGAACCTGCTTTTGCCCCGCCCTGTACTGAAAGCCTGAGTCTGGGCGGGCTTCCTTCCCCCTCCCGGCTTTTCCTTGCTCCGCTCTCTCCGTTCCAGTCTCAGTCCGCGCCACTCTGAGTCGGTGCCAGGCGCGCAGCGCAGCGGTTCCACAGTCACGCACTTTATGGGCTGCTCCCCAGCATTTTAGGTGCCCACCTGGCCTCGTGTGTAGAGAATTTTTTTTAATGTCTGTATGTTTTCATTTAAAAGATTGGATTTATAACTTCTTTGTAGAGACTTTCCTAGAAAAAATTTGCTGTCTTAACACACTTTTAAAAGCTAAATTAGTGAAACCAGAAGTTATAACTGACAAAAAACCAAGTATAGGTCTTGTACTTTAAAAATGGAATTCTGTTGATTTTTGATTATTGGGTTGAGCATATGTGTACATTGACTGTGATTGAAGTGTGGAGGCTTCCCCCCTGAAGGAGTGGCGTGCACGTGCGCCTGGCCTGCGGCCCGCTCCCCAGCCCGTCCCCACGGCCGTGCGCGCCGAAGAGGGGCGGCCTGGGCCTCGTCTCGGATGTGCTGCCTTCAGCAGGACTCCTTTCTCCCCGCCAGCTCTGGGGGCCAGGGAGCAGCTGTAGTTGCCTCTTAAATGTTCCTGTGTCCCTATTGACTGACAAAATGGCTTAACGTTGGGGCTCCTTTAGTAATAGAGAAATTACTAACTGTGCACCCTTTTGTCTCTTTTTAAAAACTGAAGTAGAACATTTTTGTCAAGTTCAGAATGTTGAACTTCATTTACATCTAGTGAAAGTTCAGACAGCCATTATTATTTTGTTCTTTGGGTCGTTCTTTTAGAACAAACTAGGTTAAAGTATAAACAGATTAATTAAAAATTTTAAGGAAAATGTTTAGAGAACAGTACTTTAAAGACTACATTGGGATCATTGGTTCATTTATTCTGTGTTGACTTCTAGTCCCCTGTTTTCACGCTTTGTCTTTCAGTCCTTGAAATAGTGTCACTTTAAGCATGCTGTTAATTCTGTCATAACTGCAGGTTTCAGAAGGGCAATATCCAAACTGATCTAAGAGAAACAGTTTTCTTAAACTGATTCTTTAGCTGTTGGTACTACAGATTATTTTTTGTACAAACTATTCTTTAAAGCCTTGCTGTTCAAATTGCGGTCCAGGTCCAGTGGCACTGGTGTCCCGTGGGAGCTCATGAGACAGGCAGAGCCCCAGGCCTCTCCCAGACCTACTGAGTTTGAACCTCTGTTTAACGCAGTTCCCAGATGACTTACAGGGCAGGACAAAAGCTAGCTTACAGTTTACATGGACAGTAATGCAGTCGTTAAACAATAGTGCAAGCATAAACTTGTTTTATGCACTCACGTCGGTAAGCCTACTTTTTCCCTGCCCTCCATGTGCACATGAAAAGGCTGACCGGGCCAGCCCCAGATTTCCGGGGCCTCCTGTTCAAGGCCGGCCTTTGCCTCCGTGCCCCTCATTCCCTCCCTTCCCATCCCTTTGGGGACATCCCCTCCACCCTCCACCACCCCTTCTGCTGCCACCTGCTGTGATCACCACTGACAGTGGGGCTGAGAGGTCAAGGAGAACGATCCCGCAGCCAGGAGGCGCCCTCGGAACGCTGCCCCCGCCCCCTGTTCCCAGAGCAGCGCGCCTCTCTGTGAGCCCGGCCTCCCCGCGTGCGGGCCGCATCTGACTGATTTTTGAGCCCACCCCAGTGACTAGACATAATAGGTGCTCAGTAAGTGCTGCGTGTATATGGCTAAAGCTGTCATCCATGTTGTACAGAAACAATAGAAATGGAACTGCTTGTATGATGATCAGTAAAAGTGCTATTTAGAGATTTAGTGGTTAAAGATGAACATAATTTGTTACTTCTGAACATCATTTCAAATAAAATGTTGGGATTAAAAAGAATATAAAGGAGGTGGCCATATTAGCAGACTTTTAAATTTGTGCCATTTGGGCATATTTTAGGTTATTTACAAAGAAGGGCATGTCGACATTTTCAGTACCTATTGGTGAACCAAAAAGGTGGTGTTGATGAGGGCCACTCGTTGTTTGGATGGACAGACGTGCGAGCAGCTTCCCTTCTGTTGGTCCCTTTGGGGAGCCCCTCGGGTAATGAGCACGGATACTTTTGGCAAAAAATACTAGAAGTCAGATTTCTCCAGAGGAAACTTTGCTGCTCTTAGCAGATCCTATCAGGGAGGGACAAAGTCCTGACTTTAAACTACCTTGTCAAGTTTTGACTGTCTGGTTCTTCTTCAGATTGTCAGAGGACTGGTAGCTTTGTTAGATTGTCCTCCTGTCGTCTGTTGAAGAACAGTGGCAAGGACAGGAAATGCCGTTGGCTGGTGGAAGGGCTCACGAAGGCTGATGAGCCGTGTGCCTCCGAGGCCACAAAGAAGCCTCCTGCGCCTCTGACTGGGCAGCCAGTCCGAGCTCCTCGCACTGAAGATGCATTTATCAGGCTGACGTGCTCTCTGTGAAATCCCATTGCACATTGATTAAAACAACAATACTTTCTTTCATTTTGATTCTGTAGGAGCCCGGAAAGACTGTGCAATGAATGGTGATACTCAGGCCGCAGTGGTGACCTCACCGCCCCCGACCACAGCCCCTCACAAAGAGAGGTACTTCGACAGGGTGGATGAGAACAACCCGGAATACCTGCGTGAGAGGAACATGGCACCTGACCTTCGCCAGGACTTCAACATGATGGAGCAAAAAAAGAGGGTGTCCATGATTCTGCAGAGCCCCGTAAGAGCAACTTCTTCCTGAAGTGCCTTTCACCTCCCCCAGGGCCTCCGCTCCGATGGCCTGCCCTGTGTGTCACGGTCAGGCTGGCTCAGCCCAGGAACCGGTGCCTCCTGTGTGTGTCGCCTTGGGAAGGATTCAGTTCAGTTCAAGTTACCAGGCACAATAAAGGGAAAAATCTTGCCCGGGCCTGTGTGGCTCAGCTGGTTGGATGTTTTGTAAACCGAGAGGTCACGTTCGGTTCCCCGTCAGGGCACGTGCCCATGTTGGGGGTTCGGTCCCCGGTTGAGGTGCTTACGAGAGGCAACCAGTTGATGTTTCTCTCTCGCATCACTCTCTCTCTCCCTCCCTCTCCCTCCCTTCCCCTCTCTCTAAAATCAGTAAGCATGTCCTCGGGTGAGGATAAAAAAATTAAAGGAGAAATCTTGTGTCATAAGGGATAGCAGGTGCTTCTCATTTTCACTCTCACTGCTTCTCCAGGGAGTGTTTATTGGCCCCTTTTAGAAATCACTGTTCCCCCCACGATACCCAGCTTGGTGCTGGGCACACGATGGGCCTCAGTGGTGCTCGGTTTACTGGTTGATCAGCGTTTTGAACGACAGTCACGTCCAACAAAGTGTCTCCTATTTGCATCTCTAGGTAAAGGAGTGCTGGCTTTATTTTGTTATGTGGACACTGCTGCCCTGTTTGTCTCATTCTGCTGATCTGCTCTTACTTTATTCCCATAATATTTTGGTGGGCCATTGGCAGATAGTCATTGAATTTATTATTAATGTTTATCATCTCTTATGTGCTGTTTGGGGAACTGACCTCTAACTCTAGATTTACTGGGTGGGGGTTGTCGTTCACACATTACTGAGGCGCATCACAGTGAGGTGCGCAGATCTTAAGTGGACGGCTCGATGACATGGGACGTATGTGTAACACCTGTGTAAGCGCCAGGTCCAGCCTCAGACTTCGCATTCTCTCTGAGGGAGACACAACAAAGAGCAAAGAGAAGCAGTACCAGAAACAGTCGGGTGATTTGTTGCGTGTGGCTTGGTCAGGATGGGCCCCTCTGAGGAAGGAAGGGTGAACCTGACCTCTGAAGGAGCTGGCGGCTGTTCAGGGTCACGGGGAGGAGCATTCCGGATGGGGGTGGTCCAGCTGCATTCCTGGGACCGGGAGGGCGTGGTGGGGCCAGCCTGTTGGAGCTGGGGGGGGTGGGAGGTGCTGATGAGGAGGAGGGGCGGGTCCTAGCAGGCTGGGAAACTCGGGTGGGGTGGCTCTTCATTCACAGTGCAGCCGAGGGGCAGACAGGAACGAAAGGGTTGAGGTTACGCAGCGCTCAGGCTGGGTTTGGCGTGGAGACCGCATCCCCTGGAGCGAGGGAGAGCGTCGCCTGCCAAGCAAGAGAGGGTGGCGGCTTGGGTCAGGGCGCAGCTAGAGGCGGAGGGAGGCAGACCCCGTGAGGCTCATGTTGAATGTGGGGTAAGTAAGACGAAGAGGTGAGAGGAAGAAAAGAGCCCGGACACCGTCTAGGCTTTTGGCCTGAGTGGTTTTCCTATGTGAAAGCAACAAGAAACTAAATAAAAATCACTAGGGATAGAGGGAAGGAACTAAACTCTCAGCACCTAGTACATGTCAGGGACTGTGTCAGGGACTGGGGATTTGAAGAGCGTGCCTCCCCCCGCCCCCTGGTTACCCATCTCAGTGCAGCACGGGACCCTGCATTAGTGTGGGGGGCGGGAAGCTGGGCCTGCCTCACAGGGTGCCCCTGGAGACGGTGTCTTGGTCTGAGGAAGGAGTGGGAAGGCCCGCCCCGGCGCCGTGGGTGCTGGTCGTGGGGCGGACGTGCGGGACCAGGCCTGCTCTCGGGGGAGCGGCCGCTGGAGTCTTCTGCTGGGAGCGGCTCGAGGGGCTGCGGGGAGCTGCGGGGGGCAGAGGGCCGGCGTGGAGAGGCGAGGACGGCTGCAGGTTCCTGCGGTGCTGCGCTCGGGTCCGCGGTCCTGAGCTGGCGCCGGACAGCCCGGCCCGGCCTTGCTCCCTTCCTCCAGCCACTTTCAGTGGCGCACGTAGGAGGGGCGAGGAGTTGTGTTTAACCGGGGCTGGGACCCGCCAGAGGAAGGGGCAGAGAGGAGGGGGTTGAGGGTGTGACAGGGGCATGATGTCGGTGTTCGGCCACGGGCCGAAGGGTGAGAGAGGGCAGGGCCCAGGGAAACGGGCAGCGGAAGGGTTTCAGGTCACAGCGGGGGTGAAGGAGGCGGGCGCTGGGCCCCAGGAGCGGCTGTGGGGAGAGCGCGGGCTCGGCTCGGAGGTTGACGAGGGGCACCGTTACTAGGAGCGCGCGGGCCTAGCGCTGACCACGGGGCTGGGAGGCCGCGGTGAGGTGGTGGATGGCGGGGTCCCAGCGGGGAGGGGCAGTCAGGCAGCCGCGGGGTGAGAATGTGGGTGCTGGGCCACCAGGAGCTGGGGCCCCGAAAGCATGCAAGGTCGTTGGCCGGCGACTGCCGGCTGGAGCCAGACCCTGAGACCCAGAAGAGCGGCTGCAGGCCCTCCCTGGTCACTGCTCGTGTGGCTTCCTCCTGCACATACAGGAGGCGCTCTGTGCCTCCTCTGGGGCACTGGTGATAGGCAGGCCCCCGGTGCAGTTGTGCGCGCGTATGCGTCTCGCCCTCACTAAGCTTTACAAGGTTCCTGGATAGCAAGGACTGTCTTTGCTGTGTTGAGCAGTGTGTGTAGTGAGTTACAGTGTTGTGCAGTGAGTGTGTAGCGCATGTAGTAGTGTATGTTGAATTGAGCTTCCCCTAGATTTGTATGTGGATTTGAAAACCATGGAAATAGATTGATTTTTCAGATTGAGGGCCCATGAGGGCAGGGAGCTGTTTGTAGTTTAGCCTTAGAATCTCCAGTGCCCAGCGCTCTCTGTGGGGCTTAGCAGGGGCACCTGCCTGTGTTCCCTGAGCTGTGGCCGTGCCCCCTCTGTGGGAGCGCCAGGTCCTCCTGCAGGGAGCCTGTGCTGTGTGCATGTCTGTCAAAGAGGGTGCCGTAACCACGCTCTAGCGATGTGTTTGGTGCCTGCCTTGCAGGAGCCCCCATGAGCGTGCCCCCTCCTTGGCCTCTGTAGACTGCGAGCTGCGGCCTTGTGCTGTGCAGTGTGGCGGTGCTGTTGGGAAGGCCCGTCAGGGGCTCCTTTCCCTTGGTTCTTGCCTGGCTCACGAGAGAAGAATTCAGGTGAAAGACAAACGCGACAATGGAATGAGACAGCAGGTTTATCTGTGAAACACGCGAGCCCAAAGCTGCCGGCGGGCACCCACCTGGTCTGAAAACCCCCCATACAGAGGAAATAAAGTTGTTAGTAAGTTTGTTCTGTGCGCTAGAGCGCCTGGCTGCAGTGGACACTCACCCAACCTAAGTGCGCCGACTGTTGGGGTTCAGGGTTACACACTTCAGCCAGCTTCTGGATGCACCCCCCGCCCGCCTTCTGACCTCGGGAAGAATACAGTTTTAAAGGTTTTCTTTCACAGCTAGTGGAGACGATGTACAGAGGCTTTGTAAGGCCCCCCTCCTCCTGCGCTGGCATGGTTTTGCTTGTGATGTTCGGAACGCCTGGCAGTTCATCAGACTGAGCTCGGGGCTGCTGGGTCGGCGGGTGGGATGTGGCTCCCCACTGTTTCCAGCCTCCTGTGCTAAGGTCTTCACTGGATCGGACCGGACAGCGGCCCTGCTCTGTTTCCATCGGGCCGCTCGTTCCTGGCTGCTGCCTAACAGTACGAGGGCTCCTGCTCCTGGCGTCCCTTTACACCCTTGAATTAACACCGGCGCGCTTGCTTGCGCTGGCTCCCTGCAAGCCAGCCTGGCCCGTCCCTTGGCAACCTCTTCAGCTCAAGCGGTGGGAAACTAGGAATAATTTTAGTATGAAATCATCCAGAAGCCCTGCAATGCATATATTCAGATTTGGATAATCAGTGAGTTCACACTTTCACATGAAATATTATTTGTAATTACTTGTCGAGGTTTATTTATTCATAGGGTATGTGAAAAAGCGTTTTAGTACAGTGTGGGGGAGCTATAAATTACGTGTATAGTTTCAGTGGTGACTTCATGTTAAAACCACCATCAACCCAACTTGCCCTTTCTGCCTAAGTTAGGATTATTGATAAAGGGTGAATGTTTCAAGGTTTCTTTTTCAACTTTAAATAATTTTAAAAAATACCGAGAAGTACAAAGTAGAACATGAAAATTACTGGTAATTCTATCACTGAGAATTATAATAACATTTCGATGTATTACTTTTAGTCTTCTGTGTTTACATATGTATTTGCTCTTATAAAAATTGGTTGTATTGCTTAATAACCCTTTTATCTCAAATCTATATCAAGAGCAAATTTGTGTCATTTAATAATTTTTGGCCTTTGTGTTGAATGTGTGCATAAGATTGTGTGGCCAGATGGGTCTGTGTATTTCGTCAGCCTTCTGCCGTTTCCGACGGGACTGTCACCTGGCTCCTCTTTGATCAGTACTGCCGGGGTGGCCGTCCTTACAGTCAGACCTTGAGCACATCCCTGGCTATTTCTTAGAAAGGGTCCCTAGGCATCGCATTTTAAAGCCCCAGTTTTTAAGCTCTTACGTTGGTAAATTACTTTCCAGAAAGAATGTACCAATTTATGCTTCCAGCAGCGATGGACGGGCGTAGCCCTCACCTTTCTAGTGCTGCATGAGGGCAGCCAGAAGCTCCGTCTGCATGAGCGTTGCCCTGCCTTCCCAGGGAGCAGAAAGGAAACGGTGTCTCACTGTGTGCATCTGCCTTTCCATAGGCTTTCTGTGAAGAGTTGGAATCAATGATCCAGGAACAATTTAAGAAGGGGAAGAACCCCACCGGCCTGCTGGCCTTGCAGCAGATCGCCGATTTCATGACCACAACCGTCCCCAACGTCTACCCGGCAGCCCCGCACGGAGGGCTGGCTGCCCTGAACATGAGTGAGTAGCTCCTGATGCTGCGCGGTCACCTTCCAGGAGGGGGTTCCAGACGCTTTCTCAGGAGAAGTAATTGCGATGCCTAGAACAGAGGCTTTTGAAGATTAATGTGTTTAAGTTATAGTAAAAAATCGGCTGTGAGCCTGAAAATGTCTTGAATGTAGAGGGCTCGTTTTTTTATGAGTCAGTGAGACTGACTTCTCAGGCAGGTGACTTTTTTATGTGGCTTCTCAGACCCCGTGCGAATTAAACTAGGCAGATACAATGCTTGTGGAGCAGCACATTGATTTTACCTGAACTCATTTTAGTGAGCCCAACATTTTTACCCACCGTTTTCTCACTGCAGCTTGCAAATGAGTAAGAAACAAATTCCAAAAGAAAGCCAGAGGGAAAATGTCGGACAGGTGAATGTGAGAGTGTGGGCCAAGAACGGTGTGAGCCAAGAAAGGTGGAGTCTAGGGCAGCCGGAGCTGCGGCCAACGTGGCCGCCTGGGTGCCGAGCCCTGACTCAAGCTCTGACGGTTCCAGCTGCATAGACAGCTCCTGTGTGACCAGCCCCAGGCAGCGGTTCCCTTAGGTAGCATGGCGTGTGCCGCCTACCTGTCTGTTCCATGGCGCTCTCAGAAGTTGACCGGCATTCATCAGACTGACGTCTCGTTGATGTCTAGAGACATTTACTTTACTAGCACAGGCCTTGATCCGGGAGCCCTCGCTGGGGTGGGTTAACTTGGTTTGGTTTGAGTGTGAAATTTGTGGCTCACGTTTTCTGATTTGCTGTATCTCATATACATGATGCATTTTCTTTTGGCCTAAAACGTTGCTGTTAAAGTTTGAAGACGACCTTTCCATAAAGTGACTTGGTTCCTTTTCCTGGGTGTGCATACTGTGTTTCTTTTTCTAGAGCCCAGCAAGATTACCAGTGTGTCTTAGAGTTGGTCATTCTGGGTGAACTTTGCCAGAGGACGTGTCCTTGCAAATCTTTTTTAGTTTAGCAGCATTTTATTGAATTGGTGTTTGGTATTTGTTCTCTTGCCTTGATTTTGTTTTCTTCAGGGGTTCCTGTTACATGCATGTTGGGTTTTCTTGGTGTCTTCTTTTATTTTTATTTTTTTAAAGACTGTATTTATTTATTTTTAGAGAGAGGGGAAGGGAGGGAGTAGGAGAGGAGAGAGAAACATCAACGTGTGGTTGCCTTTTGCACACCCCCTACTGGGGACCTGGCCTGCAGCCCAGTCATGAGTCCTGACTGGGAATCGAACCAGCGGCCCTTTGGTTCACAGTCCGGCACTCAACCCACTGAGCCACAGCAGCCAGGGCTTGGTGTCTTCTTTAAATAAAATTTTTTATTGATTTGAGAGAACGAGAGGGAGAGAGAGAGAGAGAAAGAAACATGGATTTGTTGCTCCACTTAACTTATGCATTAATCAGTTGCTTTTTGAATGTGCTCTGCAGATCAGACCCACAAACCGTGGTGTTCGGGACGATGCTGCTACCAACTGAGCCGCCCAGCCGGGGCTTTGTGCATCTTCCTTAGCTCTCACTTTCCTCAAATCCTTTTTATTGTTTTCTTAATTTCTTCATGATTAAAAAACTTTTTTTCTTCCTTTTTAACTTTTCTTCAAGTTTTTGTTCCTATTTATTTTTACAATTATTTTTTATTTATACCTAATCCCTTTTATGCTATAGCTCTCATTTCTGAATTTTCCTAATTATATTAAATATTATTTTTCTCTTTACTATTCATGACTTTCTCTACCTCGTTATGAAATAAGAGGTTATTGGTTTCATCTGTTTTGTAGACATGTCTTTTTGTGTGCTTTTAATATCTGTAGGAATGGGATTCTGACCTCTGGTATAATTCTTACATGTGTATGAGCAGAGTATTCTTCTGTTTGTTTTTACATGAAATTGGTGTTCCTCGTGGGGCCTGCCTGGTACAGGAAGGTGTCTCTAATGTTGTGGCTCTTGAGCTCCCTCTTTCATGTTTGTGCGGAGCCAGAAGGTGGTGGCTGATTGAATGAGATCGGGTTTGTGTCCTGTGTCCCGTGCCCACCCCTCCCCCCACCCGTGCTTTTATCTGGACCTTTCTTTCCTTTCCTTCTCTTTCCCTTTCTCCATAGCCTGTGACTTAGTTTGGGTTCTGATTTCTACAGAGTTCTTAGCGTGAGACTTTGTCCTGGAGGACAGCTTTGGATATTGGTTTGGAGGCCAGCGAGCAGCGCTCCCGGTTTCCGCTCCCTTCGGCGCTGGCCCTCTGCGCGTCCCTGCCAGTTCTCTAGGGGTCACGTCCGGCAGCTGGCCCTGCTGACGCCACGCAGCCCGCCGGAGACAACCGGCTCCTCTATCTTCAGCGGCGCGGGATTACCTTGTTGCCTCATGGGCTGTGGAAGTCATCCTTGTGTTTTGGTTTTGCCATCCTAGTTGCTCAAGTTAGTTTTTTGTGTGGGGTTGGAATGGAGATTTAAGGAGATTCTAAAACTATGCTGTCACTACCACCATTTTCTGAAAAATCTTACAGAAAAAAATTTTTACAAATTAAAAATATAAAATATAAGATTAATATACACTGATGTTTACTTTTCTGTATACTTGAGATAGTTCACAAATAAAAGACTGGGATCAGCCCCAGCTGGTGTGGTTCAGTGGAATGAGTCCTGGCCTGAGAACTAAAAGGTCGTCAGTTTGATTGCCAGTCAGGGCAGACGCCTGGGTTGCGGGCCAGCGAGATCCCTAAGTGGGGACGTGCAAGAGGCCACCGATCTATGGATCTCTTGTGCATCAGTGTTTTTCTCCTTCTCTTTTTCCCTCCCCCCTATCTAAAAATGAAAAAATTAAAAAATATTTTTTAAAAAGAAAAACATTCAGTCTTTTACCATTATGTGTTTGTAGATGTCCCCTAACAGGTTGAAGGTGTTTCCTTCTATTCCTAATGTCCTGAGAGCTTTTATCCTGAAGGAATGTTGAATTTTTTGAAATGCCTTTTCTCCATCTAAAACGACTCCATGGTTTTTCCTGTTTATTAGTTTGATACGGCGAGTTACATCAGTTGAATCTTGAATGCTGAGCTCACCTTGCATTCCTGAGATAGGCCCTCCTGGTCTTGAGATGTTATTCTTTTCATGTGTTGCTGGGTTATTCGCTAAACTTTGTTAGGTATTTTTTGGTCTGTGTTTATGATGGATATTTGGGATGTTTTTTAGTGCGAGGTCATATAATGCAAATGTCTGCGTGCTTTTGCTGTCGAGGTAGCGCTGGTCCAGGCAGGATCAGCTGGAAAGTGTTTTGGGAGAGTTTGTGTCAAACTGGTGTTCCTGCTTCCTTAAATGTGTGACAGAATTCACAGCAAAGTCAGCTGGCCTGGAAATAGGGCCACGCAGGATGTCTGTTATGGGGCGAACTTTGGCGGCTCGTGTCTTTTAAGAATTTTTGTATTTCATCTAAGTTAAAACCTTGCTGGCATAGCTATTCATGCCACCCCTGCATTAAGCTTGAACATCTGGAAGACGGAAGCGGCATCCGCGTCCGCGCCTCGTGCCGGTAGTCTGTGTCGTGGCTGTGTTTTGTTGATGAGTCTAGAGGTGTATTTTATTTTGTTTTGTTTTCATTATTTTATTTCATCTTTAACTTCAAGAGTAAATGTTTTTCTCTTATTTTTTCTATATGATAATCTGCTTTTTTTTTTGCTCTTTCTGGTTTCATAAGGTAGAAAGCTAGATTTTTTTTTAAAACTGTTTCCTAATAAATAAATGTTTAATACTGTAAATTTCCTTCTGAGTTTTGCTTTATTCTGTCCCACAAATTTTGCTATTGTTTCGTTAGCAATTTCAACTATATTGTTAGGGAATATGGTCTTTCTGAAGTAGTCTCTGAGTTTTTGAGACTGACTTTATGGTGTTGTATGAAATGTCTTAGAATCATTATTATTTGATTTACATTTGATAAGAAATATTATATCTTTGAGTGTTGTTTTTCTTTACCTCAGGTCTTGGCATGGTGACTCCCGTGAACGACCTGAGAGGATCCGATTCAATTGCCTACGACAAAGGGGAGAAGCTGCTGCGCTGCAAACTGGCAGCGCTGTACAGGCTGGCAGATCTCTTCGGGTGGTCCCAGCTGATCTACAACCACATCACAGTGAGTAGCGGTGGGGCAGGAACTGAGCGAGTGCTGGGACCTGTGTGCCTGGCCCCACCGCTTCTGTTCAGGGGCAGGGGCCAGCCGCTGAGTCGAAGGAGGCCTTGGAGCAGCTTCCTTCTGATTCCTGGCTGCAGTGTGTAACGATTTGAGAACTAGCCAGTTTGAATGAACAATTACAAGAAGAGTAGTTCTTTAAAACTTCCTTCTTACACGCTAACCTGATAAATGCATGTTTACCAAAATAGAGGCAGCTTGTAAAATCTTTTTATGCCTAAAACCCTAAGAATGAAGCTCTTGATTCTCCGTCTGTCTCTTGTTTTACTGCTTTAGCTACTCTAGTTTTAGGCGTTCTTCAACATCATCAGGACCTCTATTCAATTCGTGATTGCCATCACTGTTTCCTGGCTGTCAGCTGTAAATGTTTACTGTTCTTGCTCAGCATCGCTCTAAATCTGGGGTCATGTCAGTGAACGCAGCAAGCCCTGCCTCTGCGGGCCTTCCCTCCGGCTCCCGGGCCATCAGCCCACAGTCGCTGCCTGTGTTGTCCAGCTGGACGTCATGCATGGTCTGTCATCTCAGCAACGGTCTCTGTCAGCACCGTCCTGTCCCCCACCTGAGCCTGAGCGCCAGGCCCTCCCGCAGGGAGCCTCGCAGCAGAGCCAGCGGCCCTCTGCGTAGACGTGCAGCCAGCCTCCGGGGCACCCGCCGTGCTGCCCGGCAACCGCAGGACATCTCTCACGGGCTCCCTCTGACTGTTTGTCCTTTGTTTGAAGTCCCTGACCTCGTCCTCCTGGCAAGGGACCACACTGTGTCACAGAGGAAACGGGGACCCCTTGCTGACGCCTGAACCCCCGTCCTCCTGCCCACCTGGTGCAGGGTCCCGCCGCGCAGGCCCACCCCTTCCTCCGCCGTCGAGTCCTACGGCGCCATCAGGTGTCGTCTTTTCCCCCTGGGCTCTTCTGTGCAGATAGCCGCTTTGAATTGCTTTCTTCCTTGACTTTTAAACTTGTTCCAATTTTTGTTTTTTCACTTAATTTCTTGTATTGGATATTTTTCATTATTAATACGATGCCTGCTTATAGTGACGTGTCCCTCACACAGACATCGGGGGGAGGGGTCGTCGCCCTGCCAGTACTCGCATCCCCGGCGGCGGCCAGGGGCGGCCCCTTTAGCCCGTCTCCTCCCTGTCTGTGCCCAGCGTACACATGGAGACGCTCTTCGTGCGTTGGCTCCCCCGGGGTGCATACGCCCCATTCCGGGCTCTCAGGAACGCTCCGCCTCCGAGGCCGTGGTCCTGGCCCACCTCTGCGACCAGCGCGCTGTGCTTTCGGGGTGGGATGTGGGTCTTGGCCAGAGGTGCTCAGTTACCCTCCCCTCCACCTTCTATCCATGTTGCCTCTAACGTGAACCTTCCAAAACGCAGACCCGACTTGGCCATGTCGACACCGTGGTGCTTGTCGGCTCTTCCCCCCCGCTGCACCTTTCCATTCCCCCACGGCATTGGCCTCCGCCTCTACCCTCGGCCTACATCAGCTCCATGGCAGGAGCCCGTGTGTCCTTGCTGTGCATCCCCAGGACCAGGAAGGTGCTAGGCACAGAGTAGGCACACGTAGACTCTCAGGCGACAGCTGAATGAAATCCACAGCCTTGGCCAGTGTGGCTCCCTTGGTTGGAGTGTCCTGCTCTGAACCAAAGGGTGCGGGTTCACACCCCCATCAGGGCACATGCCTAGGTTGGGGGTTCAGTCCCCAGTTGGGGCACGTACAGGAGGCAACCGATTTATGATTCTCTCGCATTGATGTTTCTCATACTCTCCCTCTTTCTCCCTGGAATAAAAAATAAAAAACAGTGAAGTATTTATAGATTTTTAAAATATACTCATTTTTAGAGAGTGGGGAAGGGAGGAAGAAAGAGAGAGAAACATTGATGTTAGAGAGGTACATCGATCGCTCGCCTTTTGCAGGCCCCCCACTGAGGACTTGGCCCATACCCCAGGCCTGTGCTCTGACTGGGAATTGAACTGGTGACCTTTTGGTTCACAGGGTAGTGCTCAATCCAATGAGCCACACCAGGCAGGGCAAAACAGCAACTTATTTTTAAAAAACTGTCAAACGGGAACTCTGTGGTGCCTTTTGATGTTTGATCAGTGGGCCCAGTTAGCCCTCCACAGCTGCCAGCTGTCTCCCTTGTGCCTGCCTGGCAGTGGCTGGCACCTGGGGCTCTTTCTACTTGGCCGACGCTCTGTGTAGAGATTTAATGCGAAGTGATTGCCTAAAAATTAGTTCCATGAAAACATTATGGCCGTGGTAGGAAATGTAATCCTTGGCTTCAGTAACATCATCACATTCTTCGGAAGGTTTTTTGTGTGTTTTTTTTTAAAGATTTTATTTATTTTTAGAGAGAGGGGAAAGGAAAGAGAAAGAGAGGGAGAGAAAAACATCAGTGCGTGGTTGCCTCTGGCACACCCCTCACTGGGGACCTGGCCCGCAATCCAGGCCTGTGTCCTGCCTGGGAATCAAACTGGCGACCATTCGGTTTGCAGGCCGGCACTCAATCCGCCGAGCCCACGCCAGCCAGGGCTCTATGGAAGTTTTAAAGTGCTGTTTACCAGTAGTCCTGCTATGAATGCCATTTAAATAGGTATGAATTGCTTGGGTTGCTTGGATGCCCCCCCTCTTAGTTATTTAGGACTTAGCTGAATTAGTTAGGTGTTTACTCTTCTGTAAGTGGTCTGTTCGGGACTTAATGCTGCGTATAAAAGAAATTCAAGTTACCAAAATACTTCCTTTCTCTTGTGAACCAGAGAGTGGTTGAAGAGGCAAGTTTTCATTTTTTTTAACTACTTGTGGCATTCATTTTTTTGTCTTACAATCTAGGTGTTACCGTATAGACAACAGAAAAGAACTATTAAGAGTTATTTGTCAGGGCAGCCAGCAGTGCAGATGGGCCGTGCGGCGTGCCGGCCTGGCGTGGGGGTGTCGGAGGGCTGGAGAGGGCCGTCGGAGTCGGCTCTGTTTTAAAGTCGCCTCGGGTGCAGAGAAGCTTTAGGGCTTGTCAGAGGACAGGGCGGCCTGGCGGCACACGGACTGGGCTTCCTCTCTTGCTGGCACCGGCGGACGGCGCCTCTTGGTGTCGGTGGGGCGCTAGGCTCCGCTCCAGCACCGGCTGGAGCCTGCCTTTGCGACCAGTGCGCTGTGCTTGGGGGATGTGGCAGTATCTTCTTCGACTAGTCCCTTCCCCTTCTTTCCACCATTATCCCGTCCCCCTTCCCCTCTGGTCACTGTCATTCTGCTCCATGTTTCCCTGCCTGTGGTTCTATTTTGTTTGTTTATTTTGTTCATTAGATTCCTCTGATAGGTGAGATCATATGGTATTTGTCTTTCACCGCCTGGCTCATTTCACTTAGCATAATTTTCTCCAGTTCCAGCCACGCTGTTGAAAAAGGTAGGAGTTCCTTAGGATCGGGAGGGTAGGGCCCCGGGGTCTCTCCTGGGAGGCACTGTTCAGTCTTCTGGTAAAATTGCGGGTGTGTTCCCCTGTCGCTGCGCCACCTGCCTTGGTCTGTCCCAGCTAATTTCCACTAATGTGTGGTCTCTGATGAATTAGCTGTCCATCTCAAGGGAGGGGCTCATCTGTGTAAGAGGGTCAGCTCTTTCCCGCTTCGTGCTGATGGCAGCTGTGTATGCAGCCGAGGCTGGGCAGGGCCCTGACTCCCCCTTGCTGCACTGATTTCTGATCTCCCTGCTTCGCCAGCCCCAGTGGACTACGGCCCTAGGAACAGTGTATTTTGTCTTCCTGAGTGAAGTTCCAGATGGGCCCTTTGCGTGATTCCCTTTCTCTCCCTTGTGGATGTGCACCTGCAGGCATTCTTGAACTTGTCCTGCCTCTTTTGCAGATCTTTCTGGTTGCTAGTGGCGGTGCTTCAGTCCTGCAGGAGGTGGGGGCTGGGTGGCTCCTTCCCTTCCCAGAGGTTTGATCTCCGCAGGGGAAGTTGGCTAGGTCTGGCTGTAAATAATCTGGTGCTCAACTCCTGCTCCTCCCGTTCCCAGCCCACTGCCCTTGCAGCAGACGCAGTCCCGACCTTTCCACTGAGCAGCCTGGAGCCGAGAAATCCCCTCTCTGTGCACCTTTCCGATCTCTCCGCTCAGCTGCACTCAGTGGAATCAGACTGTGCCCCAGTCCTTTCCCCTTGCCGGCAGGGCGACTCTGCATGGGGTCCCTGCCCAGCACGCCTCTGCTGCCCCTTTAAGAAGTCTCTGCGAGCTCTCCTCCTGCAGCACTGAGTCACCGTGTGGCCTTCTGTGCAGACCACCTCTCCAAAAAGCCAAGAGTCACTCACAGTCACCCCTGGCCAGGGCCCGATTCCCCCGCCCGACCTGGGTGCAGATAGAGCCCCTCCCTCTCCGGCACTGTCCCTGCTGGAGGCTGGCTTGCAGCTGCAGCCGTGGGTGCATGGCTCACTCTGTGTGTGTGTCTCCTGGGCCTCCCTGGCTTTGTGTATCCAAGTTGCTCCGGTCAGGGTCTGGGGATTCCCTGCCCTGCGAGGGGAGGGAGCCACACAGCCGCAGTCTCTGACCAGGCTCTGCGACTGCAGGCGCCACATGGGGTGTTTCCCCTTCAACCCGTGAAGCCTCCTCACTGCCTGCGGTGAAGCGTCTTCTCTTCTCCTTGGCTTGCAAACCTCCAATCAGCTGAGATCCCGTTGGATGCTCCGTTTGCGTTTTTGGAAGACTGGCCAAGGATCCAAGTTGGGGGCAAGAGCAAGTGACTCAGCTTCTATCTACCTGGCCACCAGCTTCTCCCTCCTTAGCACTGTTTTAATAGCAGAATGGAAACCACATCCGACAGGAGGGTGGCGACGTAAATTGCGAGTCCGCCCAGCGGGTGCTGCCCCGTGATGAGGACGAGCGCACGGCAGCCGTCCACACCGTCACCTGGAGGGGCTGCGCGAGTCGGGAGGCCAGCTCGGCAACAGACAGCGTGGCCCCGAAACGCACAGAGGACATGAAAGACGTCTCCTTAAAGAGGACATGCTGGCCGTCAGCAGAGGTACAGACATAGGAAAAGGCGCTCGACACCACTCGTCGGCACAGAAATGCAGCTCAAACCTGGCACCTGCGGGATGGTGACCGTCACGAGACCAGCGAGCACGCAGCCCTGGCGAGGGGCAGGGCGCAGGCTGGGGCGGCCGTGGGGGGCGGGGCGCAGGGAGCTCAGAGTCAAACCGCCGCGTGGTCCGGCAGTTCCACTGCATAGCATTTATCCAGAGAAAGCAGAAACGTTGATTTGAAAAGACATACGCACACCCGTGTTCACTGAGTGTCACGTACGATGACCACGACGGGGCAGCAGCCCAGGGGTCCGCCGATAGATGAGAAGCAGTGTTGCATGTGCACAGTGGCGTGTGACCGGCTGCAGCCGGCGCGGAACCTGGCCGCTGGGGGCAGCGTGGATGGCTGTCGAGGGTGTGACGCTGAGATAAGGCGGACAGGGAAGGACAGACACTGTACGGTTTCAGTTATGTGTGGAATCTAAAAAAAAACCCCAAACAAATGAGCAAACCAAGCCAAACAAAAACAGACTCATAGAAACAGATCACGTGGCGGGGCGGGGGATACCCGAGGGGCCGGGCGGGGAGGATGGATGGGGAAGGAAAGGGAGCCCAGGCGGCAGCGGTGCCCGGAGTCCGTGAGTGGGCCGTCCCCGCGCACGGTGGAGGGCGCGTCACTCGGTGGGACTCCTGCGGCCGACACAGCCAGGGCCGCACCCCCGCAGGGCTCAACGGCAGGGACGAGGCGCTGAAGAGAGTCCCTGCGAGATGCGTGCATGGCGATTCCCACCGTGTGACGTTCTAAACATACAAAGGCGACTGCATTGCTTAGGGGTGAATCGGTAGAAGGTAAAACCATAAAGAAAAGAAAGAGTATGCTGAACTCAGTTCAGGATCGTAGTTAATTCTGGACTGTGGAGGGAGGGAGGTGCGGCTTCGGAGACACTGGGCCTCCTCGCTCTGAGGCTGGTTGCAGGGTCCATGGGTGCGCACTTAAACAACACACCTGTCCTCCAGCGCTCTCTGTGTATGTTTCAGAGTAAAAGCAAAATAAGCAAAAATATCTGACTAATTTTTTCTTTCTTTTAACCTTTTCTCTTTTTTTCATTTCAACGAATACACAAAGTAATTCCTTGTTTTATGTTTTGGCCCAATTTGGAAATTGGGGCAGTTGTGTGATTTTCTTTCAGATAATTAAAAAGATCAATATGAGTTTTGAAATAAAAGAGCTGACTAGCAATGCAAAACCCGGCTAACCCAGCATGAATGGGAAGGTGTTTGGGGAAGGGTGAGGACAGTGCATTCTTGAGACAACTGGGAGAGAGCTGGGAGCTGGGCGGTGGGCGCGCACAGAGCGCAGGTGTGGGGACGGTGGCGGCACTGACGCTGCCCCTACGCCTCCCGTGGCTGTAGGCGCGGGGCCGTCATCCCGCCTGTGGGTCAGGAGCCCAGGGCGTTCAAAGCAGCAGAGCCCGTTCTGGGAAGAGCTAGGATTTTAAGTCAGTCTTCTGGGACTGGGTCCCCAGCGAGCTCTCCCCAAGGCACTGAAGCCAGCTCAGCGTGAAGACGCAGAAGCCATGGGCCAGCCCCGCTGTCTAAGAACTAAGTGGTGGACAAAGCGGGTGCCATGCTGTTCGCAGCACCTCAGGGAGACAGGCTTGCGCTCTGTGTGGGAGAGGTCTCTGCAGCTGGCACATGGTCACCGCTGCGCCCAGGACATGTGCCCAGGACGTCAGAGTGCTCGCTGGCTGCCTGACACGGGCACGACCCTGTCACTGCTGCCGCCCAGACAGGCCGTGCGCGCGTGCTCCCCTGCGGAAAGCTCCCGAGGCGGGTGGAGAGCTGCACTCCGTGCCCAAAGTCCTCTGCAGCAAACAGAAAGCTCCGCCTGCCTGACCCTGGTCAGGATTCTCAGCCCAAACGTAAATGTATCCCAACAGAGTAACTTTGGGAAGTCTGTCCCCACGTCCTTCTAAAACCGAGGTGGAATTTCCTTGAGGGCAGGACTTCTTTTTCCCTGCTTGGTTACTAGCATTTGTGTATATGGCATAGGCTGTGCCACGTCCCCCCGCGCTGGACCGAGGAGAGCAGAGTGCCGTGCGGGGGTGGGGCGGGGGGACAAGCCGGGGGTCGCAGAGGCCGCGCAGACGGGCGGCGCGGAGGCGCACGCGCTTGTGCTGTTGTAATGGCCAGTCACCCTTTGGTCTTGAGGACTAAATGCAAGTCTGTTTTGACTTAAAATGTACGTGCTGGTTGTCATTGTTACGTACCTGAGGAGTGACCTCTTGGCACATGGCCCTTGGTTTGAGTGCCACCGGGTTTTTCCTTTATACAGTTAATTATTGTGGATGTGACCAAGATGTATGTTATGTACCTGGGAAATGACTACAGTAAATGCTCTGTATTTTATATATATGTTCAACAAACGCACGAGGTGGTGGCCTGAGAGAGGCAAATAGTTTCGATTGGGTTTTCGTGCTAACTCAGTCATGTCCCCACAGACCAGGATGAGCTCCGAGCAGGAACACTTCCTCGTTGTGCCTTTTGGGCTGCTCTTCAGTGAAGTGACTGCATCCAGTTTGGTAAGAATGTCATTTCTCTTGGCGTCATGAATGTGTAGGTCAAGCTACTTAACTGAAGCCCTTTTAATCCGTTAGACGCGCAAAACCCAAGAAAGGGGAGAAACTCTGTGTTTTGTGTGATTAACTCAAAGAGAAACCTTTGCAATTAGTTATAAACACTTTAAACTTTGGTTGAAATAATTTCTAGTTAGAGTAATTTGAAGTCTTCTTGACGCTGAAAGTTCTTGTTTTCTCATTTTCAGGTGAAAATAAATCTACAAGGGGATATTGTAGACCGTGGAAGCACTAATCTAGGAGTAAATCAGGCTGGCTTCACGTTACACTCCGCAATTTACGCTGCGCGACCAGACGTGAAGTGTGTGGTCCACATTCACACACCAGCGGGGGCTGCGGTGAGTGTCACCCTGCAGCTGGAAGGCCATCGAGTGGGAGGCCCTGGGTGCTTCCCCGGAGGTGCCTCTCGTAGGGATGAGTCCATAAACCTGACTCTGTGGGATTAAAAAAACTTTTTACTAAGTTTGACTTTCTTAAAAGACACTTTTTATATTAAGGGGTCTAGATACTAGAAAGCGTGGTTCCGACAAGGCCCATTCGACGCACAGGCTAGAAGATCAGGGTGTGCTGGCAGGGGCTGGCTTCCGTGCGCTTGGCACTGTCGGGAAGAGCAGAGCAACAGCAGTAACCCAGAGCGCGTTCGAGACGTGGGACGGCAGGGGTGGGCGGGGGTGCCATGGGCGCAGGGAGCGGTGGGTGGGACTTGGGGCTGCGGTGTGTGAGTGGGGGTGCGGGAGGAGCGGCAGGACACCGGCCGGGTCCTGACCGGGGGCGGGGGGGCCGCTGGGAGAGCTGGCCCCGGCCACCACCAGCCTGGCCCTGCTGGCGCACGGGGTCCCCTGACGGAGCCCCCTGACGGAGCCCGGAAGTCGGTGGAATGCACGTTCTGTGGCTGGTACGGCCCCGTGACAGCCAAACACTCGGACTTTCTAGAATTGGCTTGTTCTCAGCAGCGTTATCCTTTAATGACTTCATGGCCCTATTGGTGCAATAGAGGACCTCACGGATTTAGTGATGCCGAGTTTTAATCTATCTCGATGTTTTAATGTCCTGTGTTCATCTCCTTGGATGCATGATAGAGCTGGTTTATTTTACTTTGAAGATGAGGTTCTTGGTGTTAGCATCAGTTTAACATGTCATTCTCTGAAAGATGTAATTTTTTCCTAAAATCTGTGCACTTTAAAGGACTGTTAAAGGTACCTTTGAGAACATAGTTACAAATAGCTACCATGCAATTTGTTTTAAAAGTTATCAAAACTTTATGTTGTAAAGAAATTTCTTCTTATAGGTAAGGAAGTTTGTTAAAGCTGATACCGTGAAAGGAATTACATATGGCTTTGCCTTTTTGGTGGATAGTCTTTTTAGATTAAGTATTCTGCATGGAGTTGTGACACCTAAGGTATTATTTGACTCTTGGGAGCCTGTTAATCTAGATAGGGGACCGTCACGTAAGCATATTATGAAGTCATTTTGGGAAATTTTAAGGAAACTTAAGGGCTGTGTGAAGTTAGAATTTTTTCATTTAAATAAACCTAGAGAATTTTACAGTATAATTATCCTCGACTTTTTCAAACTTGTTTTTATCTGGTTTTCAGCCATTTTGGTCCCACTCACTCTAAGGTGGGAAGCGCACAGCCCTTCCGAGCGGCTCAGGCTCCCCCTTTGCAGTGTTGTGGTGCGTCCCTGGGGCGCATGTTGTCCTTCAGGCTGAGCGCGCAGAGCGCTCGCTGTCGGCGTGGGAGAAATCCAGAGTCAGGGACTTTCTCTCTGTGGGCGCCCCTGCCCGCCGCGCTTAGTGAAGGCTTGCATTCTGGACTGTGCATTGGTAGTAAGCCCCAGAAGCTACGTGTCTCCTAAGCTCGTGGGTTCATTCATTTCTGGGAAGAGAACAAAATTAACTCGGCTCCCCTTTTATTTCTCTGAGGGAAGCGCTGGCTTTTGCTGCGCCCTCACTCAGTGTGGCCGTTCGGTCCCCAGGTTTCTGCGATGAAATGCGGACTCCTGCCCATCTCCCCAGAGGCCCTTTCCCTTGGAGAAGTGGGTTACCATGACTACCATGGGATTTTGGTGGATGAAGAAGAAAAGGTGTTAATTCAGAAAAACCTGGGGCCTAAGAGCAAGGTCAGTAGGTGTCTGAGCCGGGATCTCAGTAATGGAGGGGGAGGGGGAGGCGGGAGGGGTCCGTGTGCTGTCCCGCTGCTGGGAGCGTCCCTGTCTCCCGCCCAGGTTCTCATCCTCCGGAACCACGGGCTGGTGTCGGTCGGGGAGAGCGTCGAGGAGGCCTTCTTCTACATCCACAACCTTGTGGTTGCCTGCGAGATCCAGGTGGGTGCGCCGCCCCTGCCTTCTCCCTTGGTGTTGGCAGGGCGCCCGCAGGCTTCGGATGCTGGTTTTGCGGGGGTGAGTCTGAGCAGGCTCTTTGCAAGGTCCAAGTGCAGGGGTTTGGAAATTGACCAGGGCAAATGCCATTTCACTGATTTGGGCTTGCAAATGGTGATTTTTCTTTTTCTTTTTTTTTTTTAAGCTAGGAGAAGGGAGGGAGAGAAGCATCCATGTGTGGTTACCTCTCATGCGCCCCCTACGGGGGACCTAGTCTGCAACCCAGGCCTGTGCCCTGACTGGGAATCGAACCGGCAACCCTTTGGTTCACAGGCCGGCGCTCAGTCCACGGAGCCGCACCAGCCAGGGCTCATTTGTTACTCTTCAAACATTTAAGTCACTACCCTGCACGGCATACTGGCGTGGGCCGGCCCGGGGTCCGGAGCTTTCCATGTATTGCCGCTGGCATTTCCCTGGCCTTCCCGGCGCTCCTTTTGGAGCACAGGTGCGGAGAGCCTGGGACTTGGCCGCAGCGTCAGGGCTGCAGGGCGCGCTTGTGCCAGAGCGCGCAGCGCCCAGCTGGCTCTCCCCACCACTGGCCCGACTCGTGTCTATGCAGCAGAGCCCTCCCTGCTGCGCCTCGCACGCCCTTGAAAGGGGTTCTGCCCCCTCTCTCCATCGAGTGGGTGAGCCGGATGTTTTCGCCAGGCTCCAGAAAAACTTCCGGAGATGCGCTTGTGATTAGTCCCTCCTGCTTGGCTCATCCTTAGACTCAGTGATTGGGTTTCCTATGAAACCTACATTTCTGTTCACACGATTTTCTGTAGTTGTTATTCCCTTGCTCTCAGCCAGGAGCTCAAATGGTAACGCGCACTTGTTTTGAAAAGGTTCGCACTCTGGCCAGTGCGGGAGGGCCCGACAACCTAGTCCTCCTGGATCCGGGGAAGTACAAAGCCAAGTCCCGCTCCCCCGAGTCCCCAGCAGGGGAGAGCACTGGGGCGCCTCCCCGATGGCTGGTCGGCGAGCAGGAGTTTGAAGCCCTCATGCGGATGCTCGACAATCTGGTAAGAACGTGGCTGCCACTTGATGACAGAGGCTTTGTGCTGACGCGCAGATGCTAGCGGTCTTAGGGCAGCTGAGGCTGTGCTCTGGGGTCACCGCCCTCACGCGGCATCTGAGCACCTGCACCTGGAGGTCACCAAGCAGCACCAGGCAGCTGAGCCTCTGCGCTGCACTGGAGTACAGAGTGAGGATGCCTGGTCTTTGTTTTTAAAGGCCGCCTTGTGTGGACTCCATGGGCCCTGGTTGCTCTGCCGCAGGGTGCTGGGGGCCCGCTCCTGGGCCGAGGGTCGGCCGGCCCGCCCCGTCGTCCCCCACGCCTGCTCTGCGGGGGCCTTTGTGAAGTGGACAGCAAGTGGTTTTTTTTTGTTTTGTTAACAGGAAGTTCTGACTCTTTGGGGGCCGCTGACCATGTTCCACAGGCATATGTTTCCCATTTGTTGTGTGGTAGACCCTTGTCCCGACGGCAGGGACCCCGGGCCCCACCCGATGCAGACGCTGCAGTGGTGGAGCGTGGGCGTCCTCGGGCGCCACGTGCAGACGGCGCTGGGGGGTTGGTGCTGGGGTTTCAGCGAGGGTCCTCCTTCATCCTTTTGCACAGGCCAGGGAGAAAACGTCAGGGAGAAGATGACACTTGGGAAAGCCCTCAGAGGAGAGGTGGACACGGGACAGGCTCAGCTGGTGAGGGAGGGCGTGCAGCAGAGGCAGCAGCACTGGCGACGCAGTGGGGAGGCCGGAGGGACGGGAGCCTGCCTTTACGGCTTGCCTCTGGCCTGCCGCGTCTTCAGCTGCTCAGGACGAGGCCCGTGGGGTCGTGGCTGCTGCACTGTGGGGCTGACGGCTCTGCGTGGGCCCTTTCAGGCCGCGTCGCCTCCTCGGAGAGGGGCTTCGGGAGAGTCCTTCCTCCTGGACCCTCCCAAAAGCAGGTCCTGGACGCAAGGCCCTGTCGTGGCAGCGCGGGACGAGGAGCCCAGCAGGGCTGGCGTCCGTGCGTGTCGAGTGCCCAGGAACAGCGCCCGCTTCGACATACCCCCAGCTCACGTGAGGCAGGTCTGACTCGTGGGGCCGGTCACGGGTGGGGTGGTGGTTGCAGGACGCTTTGCTTTCCTGAAGATTTGGAAACAAAAAGAATTCATGGACCTGATTGGGGGTGCGTGCGGGGGCTGAGCGTCCACAGGGGGCGATTCGGTCGGTGACGGAGCCGTGAGCAGAACCGTCCGTAACTCTGGATCCACTGCTTAGTGAAGATGGCTTGCATCAGCTGACCGTCGGCTCTTGAGCCTGTAGCCGTGAGCAGGACACAGGTCTTGCCCTGGTCAGGGAGGTGGACAGACCAATGGCAGGTGCAGCCTGGCATCTGTGGCCTGGGCTCCGACCGCTCCGGCAGAGCTGCGGGGCAGAGACAGCGTGGGCGGGATTGGCCACGGAGCCGGGGGAGCAGCCGCGCTCGTGAGGAAGGTGGAAGGAGCAGCCGGAGGCAGGAGGCAGACAGAGTAGTGCAACCTCAGGAAAAACACACCTGGAGAAGGTTCAAGAGAGGGCCAGCGCTGACCCAGGTGTCAGACACCCTCAGGGGCCCGGCATTGTGACCCCCGCTGGGGTGGCCCCGTCTCCCAGCCCTGCTTCTCCCTCCCGGCAAATACTGTGACATTCCCCTCGCTTGTACCTAAAGGCAAGAGGGAACAGGAGAGAGGACAAGACTCAGGAGCAGCGGCCGCGCAGTCTCGTGCCCTGAGTCTGTGCTGGCAAACGGAGAAGGCACGCGGAATTGGGCGGCGACTGATTCGATGGGGGCGGGATACAGAGGACGAAAGACTGACCCGCGAGATGTTCCCTGCGGCCAGGCTCCTTCATCCAGTGCCCTTCCTGGGCTCAGGGGGCGTTGCCACTTCTAATGTTACAAGGCCACGTGGCCTATAGAGGGGACCTGGACAGTGACCACTGATCACAGTCCACAACTCAGCATTCTGGTCAGATGTGTGCCCACCGTTGAGTAGGACAGAGACAGCTGAACGCTCTCCCACTAGGAGAAGGAGTTCACTGCAATGTACACAGAAGAAAACGCTGAATCGTTTCCCACAAATCAAGTTACAAGTCCAGTTTCTTACGGAAGGAATGAATCCATTTTTTTTTTTTTTTTTTAAGATTTTTAAGTTTATTTTTGGAGAGAGAGGAAGGGAGGGAAACATCCATGTGTGGTTGCCTCTCACAGACACCCCCACTGGAGGCCTGGCCCACAACCCAGGCATGCACCCTGACTGGGAATCGAACCAGCGACCCTTTGGATCGCAGGCTGGCGCTCAGTCCACCGAGCCTCACCAGCCAGCGCTGAATTTATATTTTTAGCCATAAGCCATAAACTAGGTCTAAGGTCTGAGGTCTGCATATTGCCTCTACTTTTGGTTTGACGGCATTTAAGGGGAAGAATAGAGAAACCTACACGCCACGCGGAGGTGGGCGGTTTACCCTGAAGTCACGGGGATTTCCAGATTCGTGGCTCTGAGAAGAGGGAGTGGGGATTGTTTTCCCTAGGAGAGCCTGTGCGTAGCCGGGTCGCCACCTTCTGTCAGTCCAGACAAGGCCAGTGCGGGCACTCGTACCTGGCTTCCTGCGGGCAAATACAGAAACAGCCGCTGACACCCCGATTGAGGGGTGGTTTCTATCTTTTTTTCTTTAACGCATTAGAGGAACGGTCGGTCATGGAAGTGACCCACAAAGACAAGACGCAGCCAGAGTGGGAGGGCGTCCGGGGCTGAGAGGAACGGGACTGTTTCTGTGGCGTTGGCCAGCGGGGCACAGGCCACGACGCGAGCGACCAGCCCCCTCCACCCTTTCAGACCTTAGTACCCTGGCTGTATTTGCGAAGCTGCTGTGAATGGGGACCCAGAGGTGACTGTGTGGGTCAGCAGTGTGGGGATATCTGAGCTGGGTCCCCACTGCGGGCCTGCAGGCTGTGGGCGGGGCATCAGCCTGGACTGGCCTCTCAGAGGGCTGGGCACAGGGCAGCGGGCAGGGTGCGTGTGCTCACAGCTGTCGTGGCCCCGGCAGCACGCCTCCTCAGTGCCCGCCCCGCGGGGAGGCTGGGGGCGCGGCACTCGCGTAGCCGGTCCTGTCACTTGGCCCAGCCCGGTCACTGGACGCTGGCTAGGAGGGATGAGTAAGACCCCACCCTGGCCTCGGGGTTTCGGCCTGTGGCGGGGGCGGGCCAAGTGCTGTGACGGAGGGGAGAGAGGGAGGGAGGGAAAGCGGAGCAGGCGGGTGTGTGGCAGAGCTGAAGGCTGCGCCTCCGAGTTTGTTAGAGTCGGGTGTGACTTTGCCAAGCGCCCATTGTCATGAGGTGTGCTTGTTTGGCCTCCCCTGGGATTCTTCACGGTGTCCAAACTGTGACTTCGGAGGTAAATAGGCTGGTTAGTATAACCTGTATTGTAGCCAGCAGCAAGTAAGCCCTGTTTTTAAAAGAATTTTTACCTTTCTACTGAAATACCATAAACAGGCGATTATAACTATTCCAGTATTCAGTTCATTTGTTTTTAAAAACACAACACAGTGTGTAACTAGCCCCAGCGCCTACTGAAGCCCCATCCCCTCTGTGAGTCACGTACCCGTCCCCAGGGCGACAAGCCCGTCCAGCAGCAGTGGGGGATGAGAGAGCGCGCCCCTCCCCGTGGGCGCTTCCCTCGCAGCCGCCCGGGGCTGCGCCCACTGTGGGTTCACTCTCACTGCTGTTTCCCGGGCCCCGGGTGTCCTTGCTGCTGGGGACAGGCTTCGGGCCGGTTCCCGTTTGGGGCTCTCAGGGGGAGGGCTGCCGCCAGCACGTAGTGCCTGTGTTTGGTTGAATGTGCTCGCATTCCTGTCGGGCACGTGCTTATTAGCGGTGGAGTTGCTGAGCGGTGGTATGTGCGTGTGTTCAGCTTCTGCAGCTGTATCCACCATACTGGATCTCTGTTTCAGACATGGAATGTTGACTGACTTTTGCTCTCTTTGGGCCCTAGGGTTACAGGACTGGCTACCCTTACCGATACCCGGCCCTGAGAGAGAAGTCTAAAAAATACAGCGACGTGGAGGTTCCTGCCACTGTCACAGGTTGCTCCTTTGCTAGTGACGGTGACTCGGGCACTTGCTCTCCTCTCAGACACAGTTTTCAGAAGCAGCAACGAGAGAAGACAAGGTGGCTGAACTCTGGCCGGGGGGACGATGCCTCTGAGGAAGGGCAGAATGGAAGCAGCCCCAAGTCGAAGACTAAGGTGTGGACGAACATTACACACGATCACGTGAAACCCTTGCTGCAGTCTCTCTCGTCCGGTGTCTGCGTGCCAAGCTGTATTACCAACTGCTTGGTCTGTGCCTACCTTACTGTTCATGGTTAGATGGTGTAGAGCGAGTTGGGGGCTGGGGCTTCGGAGGCTTTGGGAACCATCCCTGCTGGCCCGACTCAAGGTGCGCCTGCCCACTAACCTCTGCAGCCGGAACCCACGTCCACTTCCGTATCGCCCATAACGCAGCAATGCTGTTTGCTTGAAACTGCTTAAGATGCGTTGTTCCTCTCCAGTACCTGCACTTCACTTAACTGCGTGTGTAGCAGAGGCTTCCGCTAACACACGTGTTAACCTAAACCTCGGAGCTGCCCTTTAACTCAGCTTGTCTCTGGAATCTTAATACTTCGCGCACCAAAAGGCAGCTCGGTCATAGCCTGTTGGCTCAGTGCTTTCCACACCAGGGGTTTCTGGAAGTCACTAAATCTACTCTTCAGCGTCTCTAGTGCTTTCTTAAGCAGTTTCCCCTCTGGGCTCGCGGTGTGTCCTCAGCTGGCCCTGTCCTCTCTCGTTAGCCTCCCCTGCTTCTGTCCCAAAGCCTCCGAACGCTCTCAGCAGCTGCCTCCTGCATGGACTGTGCATGTGAGTAGATGGCCATCGCGGGGTCTCTGGGCTCCCGCTGGGTGCGGCGCGACCCGAGTGCAGCGCAGGCACCTGTGGCGGGGGCTGCTGCTGGCGGGCCTCCACCACGGCCCCCCGGCCCCGGCCGTTCTCGGGCCTGGCACCCGCCGCCTCTGTGAAGATGGCCCCCAGGGCCCTCCCCTAGCCTGTGGCAGCCCCTGCCCCTGCAGTGGGGTCTGTGGACATGGAGGAGGGACAGGGCCCCCCCCGCCATGTGACCAGCTCTGTAGTGCAGGCGAGGTGAGCTCAGATGCCCCGACACAGCGTGTGCCCGTCAACACATGGGTCCCCGTCCCGCGTCCTACCTCACAGGCGTGTCGGGAAGGGGGTTCTGTGCTCCTGGGGCTCCTGCTGTCTTCCTGGTGTGCAGCCGGGGAGAGAGCTCTGTGCCCCTCAGCAGTTGTGCCGCCCGTGCGGGCTGGGACTCTGGGTTTGAGCCCGTCCCTCCGCCTCCTCGCCTCCCGCCCTCCCTTCTCCCCTCACTTCTTCCTCGTACATATCGTTTGTTTCGTTCTCACTGATTTCCCCTGTGGAAGGGAGTGGGCCTGAACAACCTCTGCCTCTGACGTCAGCGCGTGGTGCTGCGTGCTGGGCCGAACTGTTCCGCAGTCTGTGTGTAGCCGCAGCTTTGAGCTGCAGTGACTGTTAGCGTGAGAAGGGGTGAACTTGCTGGGGTGTTGTAGTCCGTGCTGACGTGGAGGGAGGCCGTGGTCAGCACTGGAACGTGTGTCTTGTTCTGGACGGACACACCTGTGCATGCTCCCAGGTTGGTATATTCACTTACAGTAACTGTTTCAAGTTTGCAAATGCGTCAAGCTCCTGAGGTTGCTGTTTTCATGTTTTGACTAAAAATTGTCTCTAATGAAAAGCTGGAGTTGTTTAATCTGAAGAGGACGCCAGTGAGTACCCCCAGCTCCACGCCCATCGCTCCCCTCACAGTGGCTGAGCGCCCGCCGTGCCCGTTGCTTTCCTTCGAGTCGTACGGTTTATGGCTCCTTAGTGCCTCTTGAAAATACTCTGAAAAGCATAACATGTGCTCTCTAAGGTGGGCTTGTTTTAATGCTCAGTGCCTACTCATGCCTCAGAAGTGCAGTGTGAGCAAAAAGGTCACATTCGATCTGAAATAAGAAAAGAGAGAGGTGCGGGTGCTGACGATATGCACTGACCCCTAAAACAGCCTCCTGGTGCGGGTCATAGCGCTTCAGGTTCGTCTGGGATATTTTTGTAACAAAATACAAAGTTATATAAAATATTTGACATCACCAAATCTTCTACCAGGTGCGCAAACGTTCATTCGGAGATTTTCTTGGGTTGAAATAGCTTCGCAGCAGTGCATTCCGATGCTGTAGTTTACTGTAATGCAGAACTTTGGTGATGCCCACTCTCGCCTCCCAGAGCCGAGTGGTCCCCCTGTGGGTGGCACATCACAGCGCTTCCCACGACCCTGTCATCTCATGCTTCCGGCTGGCTTTGGTGTCGACGACACTCAGAGCGGTGAACCAATGTGCTCTGGAGGGTCCCACTGGCCGGGCCACGGGAGCTGCGGGCACAGCTCTGTCGTCAGCCTGTGTCAGACCCTAGACTTCAGCCGGGCTTTCTGAATGGCCCAGGCTGGTCAGTCACATCTCTGGCCTCCACCACTTCTGGTTTCTGTCTGGACACGCCTGGCCCTGCCCAAGTGCTGCGGGGACACAGGAGTGCAGGCATTGGTTCACTCTCTGTTCTGTTCGGTGCATGACCAGGTGTGAGAGGAGTTGGACAGGTTGGATGCTGTGGTGTCGCTTCCCTTCGTCCTGGCTCTGACGTTCCAACTGTTCTTGATATTGCAGTGGACTAAAGAGGATGGACATAGAACTTCCACCTCTGCTGTCCCTAACCTGTTTGTTCCATTGAACACAAACCCGAAAGAGGTCCAGGAGATGAGGAACAAGGTGGGTGCTCCAGGGCGGGGGGGCGGAGGCTGCGGGGGGAGGGGTGGGATGGCCACGCCTGTGCGGCGGGGAGAGCGTGCTCTGGCCGAGGACTCGTGCTGCCACCGCGGTTGCGGCCGAGGTCCCACGTGCCCTGCTTCTGGTGCTGCCCTAGCAGCGTGGTGTGGGAGCGCAGGCGGCCAGAGACCCGTGGTTCTTGACCTGGCGATAACATGGTAGGGCAGACCTGGAGGCCGCACAGCCTGCTCCACCCCTTTGGGTTCCGTGGGGAGCTGTGCATGTGTGATGTATGAGAACACAAGGCCCACCCTGTTCAGATTCCTGGCCAGAGGGACGTACAGGGAGTGTTCCCCCCGAGTGAGTGAGTGAGTGAGTGAGTGAGTGCTTGCCCCAGGCACCAGAGGGCGGTGAATGTAGGGATGGGCCCGCCCTGCTCCAGACCCGTGGCCTCTGAGCCGGCGGGATCAGCGCTGCCCAGCAGGCAGGGTGGCCGCGCCGGGCCAGTGTGGACAGGGTGCACGGGAGGTGCAGCTGGCAGGTGGCTGTGGGCTGGGAGTCCCACTCCCGATGAGCCGTGGCTGTGCTGTTGATGCGTGTTTCTCCTTTTTGCTGTCCTCAGATCCGAGAGCAGAACTTACAGGACATTAAGACGGCCGGCCCCCAGTCCCAGGTTTTGTCTGGTGTAGTGATGGACAGGAGCCTCATCCAGGTGAGCACTCAGAAATTCTTGTTGTTCTTAAGGTGGGAGAGCATGACTACGAGGTAAGTGCTCTAGACAGCCGGTCTTTGTTGAAAGCCTTCATGATAAGCCGGCAGGGCCACGTTCCCCTGAGTAACAGGCCAAGCGTGAGCATGCCCAGGGCGCGTCCCCTCCTGCCCGCTCCGTGCGGTGCATGCCGGCGCCGGGGCATGCAGCCACCTGGGGACCGACCTGCCCGTGGGCGTGCCGTGGCCCGTGCGGAGTGCTGGACGAGGGGTTTGGTGCCGCTTGGGGAGAGCGGCCGCAGAGGAGCCCGTCAGTGTGGCCCACAGGGACCGCAGCTCTGCGACGGGACAGCGCCTCGGGCCCGTGGAAGGTGGCCGTGTAAGCGGTGCCCCCTGAAACCTTACACGTGACTGCAGGGCCGGTGGTGGTCGCTGCCACTTCTCAGTGGCCAGCTGTGGTCCTGCCTCCGGGGCCACGTGCTTCTCCCTCGACCCCGCTCCTCCCAGGTGGGAGCCGTCTCAGCTGCATGCTCTTGGCGGCGCCGTCCTGGGGGCGCGGTCGGTACTGCAGGCCGGGCCTGGGGCTCTGCTCACTCAGTTTACTGTTGCAGGACGCACCCCTGTCCGACTGCACGGAGACAATCGAAGGGCTCGAGCTCACAGAGCAGACCTTTAGTCCAGCTAAGCCTCTCTCTTTTAGAAAGGTACTCACTGCCCTGCCCCTGCCTGCCTGTCGGCACACGCGGCCTTCCCCCGCCCGTCCCCGTGGCCGACCTGGTGACCGACGTAGCGGTGCACAGGTCCCCGAGTCACTTGTGAGACAGTACGGAAGGTTCTGTTCTGCCTGCTCCATTCTGCGAGTAATCCATTTGGTATGAGTTTAGTTTTACAATTTTCGGCCTTTTTCCATGGTGGAAAAGTGTCAGTTTTAGCGATGGGGTCCTTTTCTGAAGTCCCACATGTGACTTTGGTCAGCGGTGGCAGTGCCCCATGTGACCTGCCCCTTCACCTGCCCAGTTGCCACCCTCATGTGACAAACGTGCAGTCGGAGGTGGCATGACTGAAAGGTGTCATTTCACGGGAGTGGGGAGTGAAGCAGGACAGTCTTTGTCAGCCCTTGTGGATGAAGTGCATGTATGTTGACTTTTAAAAAAGACCCTAGGTGATTTTTTTAATGTTCTGGGGGTGGGGAAAGACTTGTGAAAATTTGAAACCCAAAATTATGATTCTCCTTGTACATGTGCACCTGACGTGCTCAGTAGGGGAAGCCACGCGGTGTCACGTGCCCAGGAAGGAGGCCTGCCCGCCCGCACTTCGAGGCTGTGGACCTGCTGCGCGTGGTGCCCAGGGCAGGGGCGGCTGCTGGCCAGGGTCTCTGTTGTTCACCCTGTGTCCAGAGGAACTTCTCAGGGCCTGTGCCTGTCAATTAACACGCCTCCCAGGAGATGCAAGTATCGTTTTATCTGTGTTCCAGTTGCCAGAGAGAAGCTGAGTTCTTGCGAACATTCTGTATTCCTGTCTGGAATCCTCACTAATATCATTTTGCGTATTTATGTATTATTTCAATGGGTCTCATTTATTCTTGTTCTTAAAATGTGTTTCCTGCATCCCTTATTGGAGGAGCTTCGTAGAGCACAGGAGAGAGACGGACTCTTGCCCCATCTGTGCCTTCATACTGTGTGACCTTGGTCACGTCTCAGTCCGCGTCCGGAGCCGGGGGGCTCACAGAGCGGAGCGGCCCCCAGTGATGTGGGTAGCGCTGATTCGGCAGGGCTCTCTGGCATCAGACTGCATGTCGTGCCTTCTGCGCAGGTCGTAGGGTTGCCTGCCTGGAGGGCTGGCCGGTCCGCGCTGGGGAGGGCTGCGGGGCTGGGCTGGGCTGCGGGGCTGGGCTGCGGGGCTGGGCTGTGGGCCTGGCCGGCCCTCATGCAGTCCCAGTTCTGTGTTCGCTCTGGCCAGCGGTGCTTCGACGTGGGTCACAGTCGCCTGTGAGAGCCTCGTGGAGCATAGGCGCAGGTCCCTCCCTGGCTGTCCATGGGAGTGGGGTTCCCAGTGAGTCCCGTGTCCCTTGCAGGCCCACACAGCCGACTAGCCCCTGTAGAGGCTGTGCCCGGGTGGATCCAGCAGAGGAATCCCCTGGGCACCGAACCCAGCGAGGGGGACGCCCTGCACAGAAATTCCTGCCCCAGCTTCTGTTTTCCCTGCCACCTTCCTTTGGGTGATCACATCGGCACCCTTGGCCTTCCCCCCTATGACAAAGCGCATTTGACCCGATGGTGAGAATGTGCTCTGACACCCCGATGCCCTCGATGGAGGTTGTTTCTGTGTTGTGTGTGGACCACTGCGCACAGGTCATGGTGCTCCTTCTGGGAGGTGGTGCCGCTTGCTGGCAAGGTAGGCTTGTCCTTGACCAGGTGACAAGGACCATGTTTGTTAACATCCCACAAACGTCCTCTTTCTGGTGAGGCAAGTGTGCAGATACTTGCTTCCCGACGAAGACCCCGAGGAATGGGAGTTTGGGGCTTTTCTGGAAGGTCTTTCCTTTGTTTCTGTCTCTCCCTGGTCTTCTGACAGAAGAAGGGGCAGCGAGTCCCCAGCCCTGTGTCCTTGACTTTGTGTGCGCTGTGCGCGCCGCAGAGTGGCTGGGAGTCAGCCTGGCCGCCCTCGGGGTTCATGTCATTCGAGAGCAGGGAGTGAGGGTGCACGCTGAGGGCCGTCCAGCACAGTGGAGCGTTCTGCTCTGGGGTTTGTCCAGCGCCCAGTTCCTGTCCTGTCGCAGCGGTGGGCACGTGGGGCTGTGTGCCTGCCGTCCCTTGTGCTGCGGGACGGAAACGCGAGGGGCCCTGGGGCCGCCTTGCAGACTCGCTGGGGGAACATGACTTGGTGTGCAGCATGTGGTATACGCATGGCCCAGCACTAAGAACCTAAATTCAAATCTGTGCAGGTTTTGCAGGGGAAAACCTGATGCTCAGAGAGGTCAGGTCACCAGCCCAGGCTTGCCCAGCATAAGATTACGGTGGAGCCGTCACTCCACTGAGGCCACCTCAGCCCCGGGCAGAGCAGCGGTGGGGGCTGGACCTCAGGGGCCCAGACAGAGCCTCCGCATTCGCACCCCGACCTGACTTAACAGCCAGGTGGCCCCCATGGGGCCTGTTTCTCTCGGTATCAAGAATTGCCCTTTCTTCTGATGCCAGTCTGGCCCTCGCTGAGGAGGGAGCCTCGGCCAGTGGCAGCCGGAGGGGGCGGGCGGCGACTCGAGGGCCAGGTGTCCAGGCCCAGGAAGGGCCTTTGGGGCCTTGTGGTCTGAGGGGCATCTCTGTGGCAGTCAGGTCTCGATGGTTTTTCTTTTGCTGATTTTGAACATTTGACTCAAATGACTGCACTCTTTCCTCTCAAATCTCGCGTCACCACCCTGTTCCTCGGGCAGCGACACCAGGGCGCCCGAGACACCGGCCGTGGCCGTGGGTCTGCGGTGTCGGTGCCCAGCAGGGCCGGAGCAGCGGCCGGCCCAGAGGGCTCCTCCCGAGGGCGCTGACACAGGCCTGTGGGCAGCAAGGGGCTCGTCTCGGGCCGCAGGGCCTCTGAGGGGCAGAGCAGGACGCAGGTCCTGTCCTGGTGAGGCAGGGCTGCCCCTGCATGCAGAGCTGGTGACTCGGGTCAGGCCTGGTCCGCGAGAAGGCCGCCCGCCAAGCCCTCCGACGTGCGCGTCTCTGGGCGCAGGCTGCTGACTCTAGCAGGCCCTTTCTTCTGTCTCCCGCGGCCTGTGTCACTCTCACCCGTCGGCGCAGTTGCAGACGCTCGGCACCCAGCTCATGGGCCGGGGGCCGCCCAGCCCAGGCTCCCCGGCCGCAGCCCCCCTCTCTCGCGTCTGTCTTTGCTGGGGCACTGTCGGCCCCCCTTGCTGGGGAGGGTGCGAATGGGCCAGGCCTGGGGTCAAAAGGATTTTGGATTCTCTTGTGTTCAGTTGCTTTGGGCAGCTCTCATCAAGTGCCCAGCATGTGTCTGCGTCACGGCTAACGTTCTCGGCGTCCGGCCCCTGGGCATTCGGGGGCTGGCCAGGCTGGGCTGGGGGGCACAGAGCTGCACTTGGGCGGGGGGCGTGTAGGGGCCTCAGCCCCACGGGCTGCCCGCTGGGCTCCCTCCAGGCCTGCCCCACTTCCGTGCGGCCTGCTGGTGCCCCGCTTCCTGGGAAACTGGGCGTGGTTGTGAGCTGCTTGGGTGCTGCACTGCGCTTTGCTTTCTTTTCTACAGATTCTCAGTTTTCCAAATTCTGCAGACAAATACTGGTGTTTATGCCAAAGGAACAGAACTTGCCCTGGCTGGTGTGGCTCAGTGCATTGAGCACCAGCCTGCGAACCAAAGGGTCGCTGGTTCGATTCCCAGTCAGGGCACACGCCTGGGTTGCAGGCCAGGTCCCCAGTGTGGGCGCATGAGAGGCAACCACACGCTGATGTTTCGCTCCCTTTTTTTCTTCATCTCTTCTGCTCTCTCTAAAAGTAAATAAAACTTTAAAAAAAAAAAAAAAGAACAGAACTTATCGTGCTCTCAGAAGGGAGGCAGATCTGTCAGTATGCCTCACCTGGACGCAGTGACCTGGGGCAGCCTCTGACGTGGGAGGAGGGGCCTGGACTTAAAGCCCGCCCCCCCCATCTGTCGGGGAGGCGAGGCGCGCTCTGCTCTCCATCCGCACCTCGCTGCCTTTGCTTCTGAAACCCCAGGGCCTTCCCAGGACTCTTTCCTCCTGTCACACGCACTCTGTTGCATCGACATGGTTTCTGTCTGCTCCCACCAAAGGCTGTGTCTCAGCCTGCGCCGCGGGGATGCGCGTGCCCCAGAGCGCTGCCCGCCCCACCTGCCTGCCGCCCGGCCTGGGAGGAGGGGGTCCTCGTGGCGGGGCTCCCCCAGACCTGGCCTTGGCCTCCCTTCTTGTCCTCAGGGGGAGCTGGTGACAGCCTCCAAGGCCATCATTGAGAAGGAGTACCAGCCGCACGTCATCGTGAGCACCGCGGGCCCCAACCCCTTCACCGCGCTCACCGACCAGGAGCTGGAGGAGTACCGCAGGGAGGTGGAGCTCAAGAACAAGGGCGCCGCGGGTGAGCGCTGGCGGGGGCCGGGCAGCCGCGGGTCAGCGTGGGTAGGCGGAGTGCGGGGGCGCGCCTCTGAGCTGCGGGCGTCTGGTCAAGGGCCAGGTGTCCCAGGGCTCACTCCCCCCGCCCCCCCAGACGCCCCCGAGAGTGGGGCGCACCCCCGGGAGTGCTCTGGTTGGGGGCCCACAGCACACAGGGGCCAGACGGAGGCTGAGGGCGCCCGTGTCCGCTGCTGGGCTCCTGCGTGCTGTCCCGCGCTGCGGTGGGGGGCCGGCCGAAGCTGCCGGGAGGACATGGGCGAGGCGGGGAGAAGAGCCAGGGTGGGGCCCCCATGGCCTTGGCGGCACCCCGTGCCCACTGCCCCTGGAGAGTTTGGGGTGTGCTGGGCAGTCCAGGCCTTCAGCTGTGGCAGTGCAGGGCTCCCTGTCATTTGTAAGAGATGAGTGGCACTTGGACCACACGTGGCCTTTTCTCTGAAAGCCTCTGAGTGAAGAGGCCGCCCTGATTCAGTGCTGTGATGCTCGCCCGTTACCTTTGAGCAGCCACCCGTGCCAGGCCCTGTGCCCAGTGCTGCAGACGCGGGCCTTCCACCCGGCCCTCACCGTTACCCTGGGGGACGGGCGAAGCGGGTCCCAGGAGCAAGGCCATGTGCAGCCGAGCCCGCGCCGGCGCTCCGTCTTCCCCCTCCGGGGCCTGCGGCCTGGCCGCCCCGCCCCTGGTGGTGCTCACAGCCTGCGGGGCGGCGGCGCCCTCGTCTCTGCACTCGTCTCCGGCCGGCCCAGGGGCTGCGTGCTGGTGCGGCCTTCGTTTCTCTCAGTGCCTCGCCGGCCTGGGAGGCCGTGTGTTGGTAAAGTGGGAGGGGTCCGGGTGTCCGTGGGGCTTATCCCGGGAGCTCTCTGCGGCTCCCCAGCCTCTGACCCAGTTCACCTTGTTTTCTATCTTGTGTTAGACCAGCTAATGCCTTCTGTTGCTGCTTTTAAAATTTGAGTTGTGCAGGATGCTATTGCTGAGTTGATTTGAGTACCTGTTCGGTGGTCACTGCCTGTCACTTCCCATTACGTGCGCAGTGACGTTAAGGCGTGCTGCGCCCCGACTCAGCCCGCCCTGATTCCAGTCAGCTCGCTCCCTGGGTCGGCTCACGGGGCCGCAGGGGGCCGCCTGGGCTGCGGCCGTCGCTGCCCGCTGTAGGCCTCGAGCGCGGGGTGATGTGTGGGCCTGCGGCCCGTGCCTTGTGCTTGGGTCTGCTCCTTGGACCCTTCCAGTGTTCTGGGAAACCTGGGTTTCTTTCTTTTTTATTTTGAATTAAACTACAAGGCACGCAAGTGTTTCCCCGGAATCAGGAGTGATGTCACAGCAAGTGAGAGGGTGGGACAGCTGTGACCTTGCTCTGGGGGCCCTGCCGGGAGCCCCTGCCCACCCTGGTCATGGGGGCCCGGGGGCGGTGCTGCAGGTAAAAGTCAGACCGTCGAGGCAGCGCCTCCCTTTGGAGGGAAGAGGCCTGGGACCTCGGAGGAGATGCGCCTATAAAGGCCTTTGGCTTCAGGAAGGCAGCTGCCGGCTCAGTCATCTCTGAGATCAGAGGCCCTGCTGATTGCAGCCGCTGGTTCAAAACTTGGGAGCTCATGGTCCTCGGCTGTTACTAAGCAGTTTACATGCAAAAAGGAGAGCTGAGGGGCGAGGACAATATTGGTGCGTGTCTTCCCTGGTGAGAGGTAGTGGGAACCTGTTGGGTCCTGGCCACAGTTTCTGCAGTTCCCCTGGTCCTTGTCAGCGTATTGTACTTAACAAAGGAAAGTGTGCATTACGACCGCCTCGTCCACTGTTCGTACAAAATGCTCTGCATAAAAAACTAAAACCAAGAGAACGCTCACGTAGCCTCCCTGGTGCTCAGAGGGCCCCAGGCTGCTTGCCCAGCAGAGGGGAGGGTTGGGGGTGAGCGCGCTGGGGCCCCTCCCCGGAGGCCGGCGAGGCCGGCCCGAGAGCCGCGGTCACAGCGTGTCACAGTGTGTAGCAGGCAGTGCGTCAGACTCTCATGGGAGTAAGACTAGAAATGCTGGTGTGTCCAGAGTTGCTGAAATCTTTCTCAAAGTGAGACCCGCCCCCCCCGTGACTGTGACTTCCTCGTCCCCTTTCGGGGAGGACTTGGAGAAGGACGTCGACGGCTGTGGCCCCGAGCCTTTCCCGGCCTCCTGGGCCTCCTCGGGAGCCTGTCCTCCCTGAGGCAGCAGACGGCCTCCTGCCCGGGGGGCGGTGGGTGCAGGCGCATGATGGCGTCATAATTCCCCGTCTCGCCTTCCACCCACCTGCAGAGAGCCTGGACGAGGCCGTGGAGCAGAGAGACGGCGGCCCTCCTGCGCGCCCCGCCGCCGCCGAGCCGGATGAAGGTGAGCCCTGGGCTGGGGCGGGTGAGGCTGCCCCGGCGCGGGGGGCGCGGGGCTCTGTGGGGTGGGGGTCCCCGGGAAGGCCGGGCCGCCTGTTCTCTCCGGCACAGGAGGACAGCTGGTGCGACTGAGGACGCGTGGGCTAGTGTGGGAGCCCGCCCGGCACGGGGCTCTGGGCCCCGGCCTGTGCTGCTCCTGTCTCGGCTCTGTCCCAGGTGACTTGAGGCAAAGCAGGCGCCTGTGAAGTGCCCCTAGGTGGGAGGACAGAGCCCCGTGGTGCCCACTCTGCACATTCCTAACCCCCCGGGTGTGGATTGCACCTCCGGAAATGTCCTCTGAGGGTCTGGGCTACGAGGTGTCGTTGGACCTGCCGTGACACCAGTCCGTGTAAAGTGCTGGCCTCTGTCGGCCTCTCAGACCGCCCACTGCATGTCTGTGGCGTGTGGCCTGTGTGTCTGTCCCTCGGTCTCATACGTCATGCTCCCTGTGTCCGTCGGGAGCCTGTGGCTCGCCTCCCACCCCATCTGTGTCCACGAGAATGGCTTGGCCATTCCGCTGCGGCGCCGGTGGCTGTGACTGAATGCATAGACTCTCTCCCTGTGCTTTTCTCTTCTTGTGGCCGCGTTGCGAGCAGGAGGATGCGCTAAAGAGTTCCTGTTACCATAGTAAGTGCCGCCGGCTGGCGGGCGCCCTATGCTTTGCCTCATTCTGCTTCTTTGTTGCTTACTACGTTTTGTTTTCTGTTTATTCGCGATAAAAACATTGTTCCGCCCCCCCCTTTGTACCCGGTCCTTCCATTCCGGGCAGTGGCCTCCCTGGAGGGGCTCGGCCTCCTGAGAGCTGTGTGGTGGGCGGCCTGCCCTCGGGGCGCCTGTGGGCCACGGCAGCCGTGTGCCGAGCACTCTGGGTCCCAGAGGCCCCACGGGCGTGTTGTCCTGCCCGGTCTTCGGGACACATGACTGCTGGGAGGGAAGCCGCGAGTCTCCACGGGGTTCGGACGGAGTGGCCTTTGCCACCTGCTGCGTGGGAGGCACGTGTGTGTGAATCTTCGCTTAAGCTCAGGCAGAAGAGCGGCACTTGGCACTACTTTTTACTGACATTTGGTCCAGTGACAAAGGTTTCTGTGAGCAACCACAGGCCACCTCTGCACGCTTTGCGGAGTGACTCCTAACCTCCTGCTGCCCCAGGTCCACGAGGGCGGGCGGCCGGTTACCCTGGGGCAGCGCCGCCAGCTGCCAGGGCCCGGGGCCCGAGCCTCCTGTGGCCGCGTGTCACCCACACCAGCTCTCCTCCCGTCACCTCCTGAGGCTTGGCCTCATGGCCGACATTCCGAATGGCCCGGTGCTCCCACACTGTCGGTCACTTGGGGCTTGGTAGGCTGTTCTTCAAAAATCTGTAAAACCAGCTCCTGTCCCACCCACCTGAGGATGGCGCTCTTCACCCCAGACCAGGCCTCGGCCGTTTCTTGAGGACCGGCCACACTGTTCCCTGCGGGTCTTCCAGCAGCTTGGTTTTTGCCCCTCTCCCTGCCCCTTCCTTTAATTAACCCTCTGGCCCAGTGGCTCTGCTTGCGTGACGATGGCCTGCACCTGGCCTGGGAGCGCCCTTGGGTTTCCACGGGCTGCCGCCGGCCTCCGCGGTTTGCCCCTTAGGGGAGACCAAGTGTGGCGGCCCAAGGGGAGGCTTGATTTCTGGGCCACTCACATGTGCCCTTCGGGTCCTAGAGAAAGCCTCTTCTCAGGGGTTTAATGCAGCAGGTGCTGCACTGTCACGTACCCCCTGGGGACCGAGGCAGGCGACAGCCTGCTCGTGCAGGCAGGCTTCTGTAGCGGGGGCCAGAACCTCCCTGAGACCAAGCCTGCGAGCGGCACGACGTGCTCCGTCCAGCCTTGGGGTCGAGTGGCTGGACTCGGGGTCTCTTCCCCCGGTCTCGGGAGAAGGCTCCGGAGTCAGGGCAGGGCGGTGTCTGTGCAGGGCGATGCTGGCCTCAGGCTCGCCGCTGAGGGCCGGGCAGCTGCCCTGACTCTGTGTCTCCTGCCCTGCCCTCCAGACCTGCCGCGGGACCCTGCTTTAGGAGACGACGGTGATGCCGCCACCTCTAAGCCGACTCTCCCTGACCTGTCCCCTGATGAGCCTTCAGAAGCGCTTGGCTTCCCTACACTGGACAAGGAGGAGGAAGAGGGGCTTGGCGAAGCCCGCCGCCCTCCAAGCCCCACCAGGTCCTCCACGGTGGCCAGCCCCGAGCCAGCCCCAGCCCAGGGAGCTGAAGAGGCCTCCTCCCCCACCGCTGAGGAGGGGGTTGCCGCAGACCCAGGCAGCGATGGGTCTCCAGGCAAGTCCCCTTCCAAAAAGAAGAAGAAGTTCCGCACCCCTTCCTTCCTGAAGAAGAGCAAGAAGAGGAGCGACTGCTGAAGGCCCGTCCTGCCCACACCGACTGTGTCTTGTGTTGTCTTCCTGGGTAATGGAATGCCGAGCCCATCCCCCATGTAGCTAGAGCCCCCCTTCCGCCTGACCAAGCCCCTCGCAGACCGGTGCTAACCTCCTGTGCGCCACGGGGCCAGCCCCGGCGCCCGGGCCCCAGCCTCAGGTCTGGGGAGGCTTGGCTTCCGTGTCCGCCACCTCGCCCCTCTGTCTACTCCTCAAGACGCGCTCGCGGGGCTGTCCGGTCGTGGTCCTGGCTGCACGGGGGCCCTGCGGCCCTGTCCGTGATCTTGCTCGCCCTCCTGTTGTGAAGCGACCCACGCTCTGTCCCTGCTGGGCCCCCCTTCACTCCCAGGCCTCAGGTGGCTGAATCAGGCGCGTAGCTTCCTGCTGGCATCCCCTGCTCTGTGGCCTCACTTTGTTCGCATACACGAAGCCTTGGTGGGAACACCCCTGCCTGCCAGCGGCCCGGGGCAGGGGTGGCCTCAGAGCGGCGGGGCAGGCTGAGCCGGACGCCCAGCAGGGAACGGGCCCGTGCGCGCCCGGCCTGGCACCCTGGCCGGGACGATCCAGGGCTCAGCACCCTCCTCGCTGGGGTCTTGCACTTCCTGCCATGAGGAGGGTACTTCAGTAGGGGGAGAGTCCTTTCTAGAATCCTTTTCCAGCAGATTTGCAGTTCATCCCACATCGCTGGCGGTGAACACAAACGGTGACTCTTTGCTTTAGTTTCTCTCGGGCCTGTCACGGAGCACCCGTCCCCTGCTGGGGGAGGTTTGGGAACAGAGAGTCTGCTCTTAGCTCATCCTGAGAGGCCTGGCTTTGACCCAGGGCGGCTCCGGGCAGAAGTCGGCCTGGGAGTCCCTGCCGGCCACCGTGCCCCTATCGCTCTTGTTCACTTTGGCGAACTTTGAACTCCACCCCCTGGAAAATAGTCTGCAGCTGCTTGGGGGGAGCTGGCATGTGGCCATGCGGACTCCTCATGGCCACTGCCCTGGGAGTGGCCTGGGGCCAGCCTGTCTGCCCCGCCCCCACCCCGGGCCCCTTGGGGAAGCACCAGGTGTGGGCTTGGGTCCCACAAACTTGGCACCCCCAATGCACCCAGGTGGGCTGCACAGCACTGCCCGCTGCTCTGGGCCCCTGGAGAGCACACCGCTTTCCTGGGTGCTCATCTGCCCGGGTGCGTCCGCTCCCCAGGCTGCCGGCTTCGAGTCCGCCGCGGCCCCTTCCTCACCCCGTCCTCCATCCCACGCGCAGCGACTTTAATTTCACTTTGTAGTTTAATTTTGTATCACAACACAAAGTTGAATCGCATATGCAGACACAGGCCCTGTGTCCTTTCTCCATTGTAACACGTTTTACTCACAAATAAAGTTCTTTAACCTGTATCCTTGCTAAACCTGGGAAGCAGTTATATGTTTTAATTCCTTTGTTTTTTTAAAACAGGACTTGGAGAAGTTTGTCTCATTCCCAAAAAAGACCCCCAGAGCATTTCACTTCTTGATGCACCCCTGGGGGCAGCCCCGTGCTACGGGCCCCAGGGCCAACTTGCTCCTGCCTGGGGACTGGCAGCGGCCCAGGGCTGCAGGGCAGGGCCCCTGGGGCCACGGCCATCCGCCCGCCCAACCTCCCGTGTCCTGTGCTGTCAGAACGGGCCTGGGCCCAGGAGTCAGCCTGGCAGGGGGCCAGCCCGGCAGAAGGGTCCCTCCCTGCGTGGCGGGCATGCAGGGCACAGCCCAGGTATCACCTTGTGGGGGCCGCCCTGTCTGCGGCGACCTTACCCGCCTGCCCGCCCCGCCGGCCCCCGCCTGCCCAGGGTGTGGTGGGTTGTAGAGGGGCGCGGTGTGCTGGAGGCAGGCGCTTGGTGTAAAATAGCTGCTTTATTGTCATCCAGATGCCTGGCTGACAGCCTGTCCGGCGGAGTGGAAAACAAGGGAACAGGAAGCCTGGGAGGTTTCGGAGTCCCCGACTCTGCGTGCAGCAGGCAGGGCTGCCCAGGTCGGGGGTGGGGGGCGTTGAGGGGCCCCGGGGGGGGTGTGGGGGGAGAAAGGGGTCGGGCCAGCAGTTGGGCGGTCCTGGCCCAGCCTCCGACTTCCTGCCTCCTGCCCCGGTGTGGGTGGGGCCGGCCCAGCTACTTGGCCTTGAATGAGGCAGCTGGAGGTGGCAGGGTCCGCAGGAGGAGGACGGGGAGCAGGAAGAGGCCTGAGCAGGCGGTGAAGCAGGCCGGGGCCCCCACCAGCCAGTACACTGCGGAGAGACAGCCCGGCAGTGACGTGGGCCCGCCCCGCCCCCGCCCGCCACCCCTCAGGGATGTGGGCCCGCCCCGCCCCCGCCCGCTACCCCTCAGGCCCGGATGGCAGCTCCGCGCTGTGGGGTTGAGTGGCTGGAACCAAGAGTGTGGCTGGGGGAGGGCCCCACCGGGGCAGCGCCCCCCAGGCCGGCAGCACACCGAGCGCGGTCCCACAGCCCTCACCTGAGGCGGCCGCCAAGGGCCCCACCGCCCTGGCCAGGGCCCCCAGGCTCCGCAGCGTGCCCATGACCGTGCCCTTCTGCCCAGGCGAGCCTGTGGGGGGGAGGGGGGCCGTCAGGTGCCTAGCAGCTGCCACCCACACAGAGCAGCTTGGGTTGTGGAGGGCCTCTCACCATAGCCGGCGACCACGGAGGACAGGCAGGGCACCACGATGGCAGCAGCTGCGGGGGGCGGGGGCGTCAGGGAGGCGCCGTCAGCCCGGAGGAGAGACTGAGGGCGCGGGACCAGGGGGTTCGCAGCCGATGGCGGGTGCCGCCCCCACCCCCCGCCCCCCCGCCCCCCGCTGGCCCACTCACCGAAGGAGTAGAGCAGCAGCCCCAGGCCCAGCACAGGCAGCGTGCGCCCCCACCCGATGAGGAGGAAGGCGGGGACCAGCAGCAGGATGGCCTGCAGGGGGCACAGCCGACCTCAGGGCCCACTCCCGTCGCTCAGGGCCGAGCCCAGGAGGCCCCCGGCCCCCACTTCCCATGGCCCCGTACCCGCTGCACAGCTGCAATTTCTCCACCGGGGCTGATCCGCCGGGCGTAGGCGCCCTGGATGGTGGCCATGGTGAGTCCGATGAAGAAAAACATCTTTCCCTGCTGCAGGCTGGGACGGGGGGAGGCTTAGCGCCCCAGCCCGCTGGCCCGCCGCCCGCCCCTGCTCTGCCCAGAGGGAGCCAGGCTGACAGCCACTACCCGGCTCGGGTTCCCGGGCGGGGCCTGGGGGGGTTGGGAGACGGCAGGGCGTCCCCCGGCGGGGTCCCTCAGGGGCCCGCACGCCCACCTGCTGAACTGGAAACGCTGGTGTGCAAGGAAGCTCAGCGTGTACTCCAAGCCGGAGAACAGGAAGAGGTAGAGGAAGTAGACCAGGCCCAGGCGGCGCAGGTGGCGGAGGCCTGGGGGCAGCGGGGCAGGGGCATGAGGGGCCACAGCCCAACCGCAGCCGGGGAGCACCACCCCCGTGTGGGCTGCTCCTTACTGTCTCCAGTGGGCGGGTCCTGGCCACGAGCCACAGCGGAGAAGCGGAGCAGGGCCAGGGGGCTGAGCAGGTCGGCCGCAGCTCGGAGCCCCAGGGTGACGGAGGGCGCCTGGTGGGGGGGCGGAACTGGAGAGGCCTGCTGGGCCCTGGGGACGTCCCTAGGCCCGGCGGCCCGGGGAGGACATGACCCAAACCTGCTCGGCCCTCGCGGCCCGGCCTCAGCTCACCTGCCAGGCCTTAGAGGCGGGGGCCTCGGGAACACAGGGACCCCAGGGGCACTGTGTCCCCAGGAGCCTCTGGATACTGAAAGAGGACAGCCCGGCCTCCCCCGGCACCCGAGACGGGCGCGCACGGCAGGCTCCCTGCAGGCCCATGGAGCCAAGCCCCCAGCCCCACGACCTGTTAGTAGTTTCTGGGTCCCACTGTACCCGCTTGTCCAGCGGCAGCGTCTCCGGCAGGAAGCAGAAGAGGAAGAGCAGGTCAGAGACAGCGAAGAGCAGGGCGAGGCAGGGCGCTGCCTGCACAGGCAGGGAGGCGCCCAGCGTGGGGCCCAGTGTGAAGCCCAGCGAGAAGGCCACCCCGATGACAGCCTGGGGAGAAGGCCGCCTGAGTCTGGAGCGAGGCCCAGGCCCTGGGGGGTCCCGCACCCCCGTCCCCCAGTGTGAGCACTCACCATGCCTCGGCTGCGGGCCGACGGGGAGCCCAGGTCGGCCACGATGGCCGTGCAGAGGCTGACGTTCCCCTTGCTGATGCCCCCAATCACCCTGGAGGCCAGGAAGGCCGCGAAGCTCCCCGAGGCAGCCCACACGGCGTAAGAGGCAGCCACACCTGCCTGCCACAGGGCCGGAACCGAGGGGCAGGCACGGTCACTTGAAGCCAGGAGGGGCCCAGAGTGGGGCCAGCAAACCCAGCAGCACCCCTGGGGCCCTGCCATGGTCTGGAGCTCCCCAGGGCCACTTGTGTTCCCAGTGTTGAGGCAGCAGTCGTTGCCTGGCTTAGACACAGGAGCCACTGGCCCCTCAAGCACCACCCCAGGGGGCCCCGTACCAGGGACAGCAGCATCACCGGGCGCCTCCCCAGGCAGTCCGAGATGGCCCCCGTGAGCGGCGCCGAGAGGAACTGCAAGGCTGAGAAGACGGAGCCAATGAGACCTGAAGGAGACAGAAGTCCCGGTCAGCACATGGTCTCAGCCCCCCAGGGTCTGGCCACTGGCCCTGCCCTCCTAGGCCGTGGACCTCAAGCCACGGTGGCCCTGACAGCAGGTTGTGCCCGGGAGTCAGGAGGTGTGTACGAGGACCTGGCTGGCGGGAGCCCAGGAGTGGAGAGGGAAGGCCCTAGCAAGACGGGAGCCTTGAGGCTCCAGCGTGGGGCTTGGCGCCATACCTCCGAACAGGACGCTGTTGTACCTCTTCTCTGCCGGCATCCCGATGGCTGCCGCAAACCAGTCCACCCCTCGCTGCCATGAGCCATAGAGGGGGTCCTGCGGGACAAGGAAGCATGACGGGCTGGGAGTGTCCTGGGCGCGGGGCGGGGGCGGGGGGCAGGCATCAGGACAGGGCAGGGGCTCACGTGGGCACGGCTGTGGCTCTCCAGCAGCCCGGGCAGCAGGGGCAGCAGCAGAGTGAAGGCCAGGAGGTCCAGCAGGAGGCCGAGGAAGACGACGGTGACCACGCGGGTCTCGGGCGCCGGCTGCTGGCGGATGGGTGGGCGCGGGGTGCAGCTCCCGCCGGCTCCCCAGCCCATGATGGGGACGCTCCGATCCGGCCTAGCCGGGGGTGTGGCGAGTCTGCAGGAGGGCACCTCTTAGTACCCCATGCCCAGTCACCTGCTCTACCACGGGGGAGACGGAGTCCGCCTGCTCCGGCCACGCCCCGGACTTGCCAGCAGCCAGCGGGCACCTTCCACGGAGCGCCAGCCCCGCCCGGTCCCACCCGATCCCGGACAGGAGAGTAAGGCTGCGGAGGTTACGCAAGGAAACCGCAGCCACCGAGGCCAACCGTCCCAGGGTTGGGGTGGGGGCACGCCGGCCACGGGCGCCAACCCGCCCCACGCAGCCGCCACGCCCTCCTGTCGAGCGGGCCGGGAAACTGAGGCCCGGTGGAGGGCAGGGACGCAAGGCGGTCCCTCCGCTCCGCAGGACAAGACCCCCACCGGCCCCGGACCCCGACCCGGGCTCGGCTACCCGGGAGTGGGGGACCCCGCCCATACCTGCTGCGGCCGCGCACTCGGGATGCACCGACGGAAGGACCGGTGGAGGGACCGAGGGATGCGGAAAGGCCCGCCAGGCACGCTGCCGGGGGCGGGGCGGCCCGCAGGCCCCGCCCATCGCCCCGCCTCCGGAAGTATCGGTCCGACGCGCTTTGTTTTCCGGCCGGCGCGGTCCCCGGGGTACGGTCGGCCCCGGCAGAGCAGCCTGGCTGCCGGCGTGTGTGGGGCGCTCTCTACTGCGCGGCGACTCCTGACCCCGCCGACGTCGGGGCCGCGGGCTCCCCCCGCCGGGCCTGCGCGTGGTCGCGGCCCGAGAGCCTTTGCGACGGGGCTGGATCTCCGGCGCCACCGCCCCAAGCGCCCGCCCCTCTGCCCGAGGGGAGACCTCTTCCTCCCTCTCAGGGCCCGGGGCGCTGGCTCCTCCACCCCGCAGACAGCGCCCGCTTGGGTCTGGCCGCGCGGCAGCGTGCGCGCCCGTGGGGTCGACCCTACATGCGCTTCCTTGGACAGTTTCTTCTGCATCCGGTGCTGAGCGCCAAGTCCCGGGACAGGCAGGTGAGGAGGAAAGAGGTGCGTGAGGTCAGGGCAGCGGAGACCACCGGAGGCCGCAGGCTCCCGCGGGCATCCCGGGACCCGGAAGGAGCAGCTGGTGACCCCCCCGGGGCGGCCTCGCACCTGGCGCCCCGCCCAGGGTCTGAGGGGGCTACCCCGGCTGGGCTGCGGCGCCTGGCCAGCGCTGCCCCCGCGGCCTCCCATCCTACACGATTCGTGCCACTCTGTGGCCAACCCTGACCGCAGACAAATGGGGAGGGGACCCCAGGACACCTCCCAAGTGCACCTCTTGTCAGCGTGGCACCCACATCCCTCTGTGTGCTCAGTACCCGAAGGACAATCGCAGCTACATGTACGCGTAACAGGCAGTCATCCCACCTACTACCCCTACTACGGAAACGCGGTAGCTCTTTCCCCAGAGGAGGCTCGTAGTCCCTTGCCCGAGTGTGGCCGCCGTTCACCGCCTTCCCACCCTGCTCCCCCTCTGGCTGGAACTTGCAGGCCTGAGATGGAAGGTCAGCTGCGTTACCGGTTCTTGCATCAGATGGGAGGGCAGAGTTGGATAAAAACATGCAAATGTATTCACATAGACATCTAAGACCAGCTGTCCCCTGGGCGCCCCGTGGCTGTCTCCTCTGGCAGCCCACGGCCCTTTCAGGGTCCAGCGGACGTATGCTGGCCGGGCTGCATTCTTCAAGAGATTCCTGGTTACACAAGCCCGAGACCGTGGCTGCCAGCTCACTCTGACCCAGCGCGTAAGCCTGCTGGCCAGCGCAGACGGAGCCCGAGTTCCCCTGCCGCCCGCCCCCCCGCCACGCCCCGCCACAGCGGCCCAGCGCTCAGAACCAAGGCCGGGCAGCCGCGAGCATCGGGCCAAGGCTGAACTAGGACAGTCCCGCGCTGGGCTATCATGGGTGACTTTTTCCTGCTCCAGTTTCTAAACTGTTTGCAAAGTTGTTTACTTTGTAGTTGAAAATATAATTTATAACGTAAAGTAACACTGCATTCTATACACGAAGGCGCATACCCTTGGTTGACTAAAGACGACATCGGCCAGAATCCCCTCAAGTCCCAGACCCTGCGATGGCTCCGCGGACCGAGCCGCGCCCATTTCGTCAGGAGAGATGCAGCGAGGGGAGCTGAGGTGTAGGGAAGACACGGACGGACGTTACGACATCCTGACTTTCAATATACAGTGTCTCCTTGAATTTATTTTTTGAACTTTTTCCTCTTCAGAGCCTTCCATTCACCTTCCTGCTCAGCCAGGCTGTTAAAAAGCTGCTTCACTTTGCGCTTTCTTTCCGCATCCCTAAAACAGGAAAAAAGCCCACTTTGGATTAGTTTTTGGAGGACAAATGTGCAGAGGGAGGACAAGGGGTGGGGGCGGCGCACCCTGCCAGGCTCCCAGGCCCAAGGCCGGTGGGAGCGCCGTGCGGGGCTGCCCGCGCCCCCGCGGCCTCACCGTTGCATGATCTCCGAGAGCTGTGTCCGGGCCAAGAACTGGTTGTCCTTGCGGATCTCCCGCACGGCGCCCTTGAACTCGCGCCTGTGCTTGTGGACCAGCCTCTGCCGCTCCTGCTCCTCCTTGGTGCTTCCCCGCTTCCTGCCGAACTCGAGCCTGAAAGCAGGGCGCCAGTGCCCAGGAGGCCCATCGAGTGAGCCCCCCAGGGCTGCAGGTGGGCCCGCGCCCTGACCCCGGGCCCACCCCGTGAGACCGTGTGGGCGGCTGCACTCACACTTTGACCAGCCGGGGGGTGAACAGCTTCAGCGGGACCGGCTTGCTCTTCTCACAGATCAGGGGTGGGTAGCGCCTCTCCTGGGCCTCCACGTCGGCCAGTGCGCTTCGGCACAGCTCCTGCGAGAGGGAAGAGTGGCGCTGTGCGCGGCCTCGCCAGTTCCTCCGGGAGGCTCTGCAGCCTCTGGGAAGTGGCTTCACGCCACTTCGTCCTGCCGCCTCGTGGGCTGAATAAAGGGCTGGGGTGCCCGAGAGCTGTGCCCACAGGCGGGCCGGGCCGGTGGCATGGAAGCCGCTGCTTGCTGCTGGGGGAGCAGGGCGCCCAGCCAGGGAGCTGCTGTCCTTCCTCACAGGCCCCTCCCCGGCGCGGGGCAGGCCTGGGGACCCACTGAGGCGGAGACGGTTGACCGTGCCTCGGATCTAGGCACTCGGGCGAGGGTGGTCTGGGCCGCCAGCGTCTCGCCAGTGCGACAGCTGCCGCCTTCCCAGGGAAGCCCATCCGCTTCTGCCACAGACACGCTGGGCACCGGGCAGCTGCCTGGGCCACACGGTGGACCCGGGGCGGGACCCAGCCTCTGGTCTGACCTCACTCTCGTTCCAGCAGAGGAAGCCAACAGCCAAGGCGCTTCCATCGCAGCCCTGCCTTCCGGGAGAGTTGGCTCAGGGATCTGAGGGACTTTCTAGAAGCCAGCCCACTGATGTTTGTTCCTTTCCCCTCACACAGGTGTGTCCCAGAACTCAAGCTTCCTGCTCTGCGGGCACAGCGCCCCCGGCCCCTCTGGAGGGTCATCTCTGAGGGCCAAATGCCCTGACTCCACGGGTAAGGTACAGCCCGCTCAGTTCACCCCGAGTCCAGGGCCCCCGGGGGCCCCTTGGCCAGCCTGCACCCATCAGAGCTGGGAAGCCCCTCTGCCCTTTAACCTAAGGGACAGCCCTGGCGCGCCGCCCGTACACGGCGCAGGCAGAGGCAGGTGCCGTGCCCCAGCCCTCCCCGAGATGGTGCGGGGGCCTCAGAGGCCCGTGTCCTGGGGGCAGAGACACACCAGCCTGCGGCTGCGGTGGCCGTGCCACAGGCAAGAGGCATGGGAAGTGGGGGTGAGCCCGTGGCTCTAGGGCGAGAGGTCCAGGTAGCGGGAGGGCCCCGTGTGCAGACCCCAGGCAGGGAGGCCAGGCTGCCACTGCAGGGACCGCGTTCCCTAAAAGGGCCCCAGAGCTGGTGTGGCAGGGCCTCAGGGCTGAGCCAGCGAGCCGGTGGGCGGGGCAGGCGTGGGGAGCAGGCGGGGCGTGAAACAGCGGCCAGGCTCAAAGGCCGCAACCACCGGTGGTGCCCAAGATGCTTGCTGGACACACGGGAAGCTCCCAGTTCATATGGGGGGCCCCACACAGCTTGCACCTTGTGCAAGACAGTGGACTGTCCTGAGGACTGTCCTCGTGTGGCCCTAGAGGGACGGGTGCCCACGCCCAGAGGACAGTGCGCAGGCAGAAGGGGACATGGAGAAACGTCACAGCCCCCAGATAAACCCCAGGCCCAGACTCCGTCCAGCAGCGGTTGCTGCCCGGAGTTTCTCATGCGCAAAAGCAGTGCCCTCGGTTCCCAGGGCTGCTGTCCCGAGGACGACCGTGCCCACCCAGCGGCCTCCCACAGGTGAACGGCTGAGCCAGGCCAAGCGCCCTCGTCCCTGGGAGCCTCACCTGCAGCTCGACGGGGTGACGGAGGCCAGCCAGGTGCTGCGTCAGGAGGGCCCCGAGCGGCCGTGCGATGTCGTGGAAGGCGGGCAGTGTGCCGTACAGGACCACACAGCGCCTCACCAGGGCCAGGCACACGGCCAGGCAGGAGAGCCTGCAGGGGCGACGGGCAGGTGTCTCGCGAAGACTGAAACCCCTGCAGGGCCCTGACGGCCCCACGGGGCCGTGGCCGGGGAGGGGCGTCCACCGTGGGGCCGGGCCCCGCGGCGCACAGCCCGTCTCCCCACACGCAGCCATCGGGGCGCGTGGCGGCCGCTCAGGAAGTGGGGCGCCCTTGTTTTCAAATTACTGCGCAAAATCGAGTGGCGTATTTTGAAAATAACACCCACACCCTGGGAAGTAGTTTTTTTCATGGAAATAATGGCCGTCAGGACTCGCACAGACAGACGTTTCCCTGAAGAAGACACACAGATGCCCCGCAGGCAACTGGAGGCCTGGCGTCGCTGGTCGCCAGGGAGACGCGAATCGAACCGCAGCAGTGCCGCCCCACGCCTGTCGGAATGGCCGCTGTGGATGCTCTCAGGACAGAAAGATCACAAGGCCAGGGCGCGGGGGCGGGACGCAGGCGGTGCCGCCGCGGAAGGCAGTGTGGGGGCCCTGAAAAGGTCAAAGATGGACCTGCCTATGACCCCGCGATCCGATCCCCCTTCTGGGAATATCCCCGAAAGAACTGCAAGCAGGGACTCAAAGAGATATTTACACCGAAGAGACAGTTCCAGTGCCACCATTCCCGGTAGCAAAAAGGCAGGCACAAGGCGAGTGCCCACGGACAGATGAGGGATGCACAAAGCGCAATAGAATGTCATTCGGCCGTGAGAGGAGCGAACCGGACCCCTGCTACCACGTGGACGGGCCCAGAGGACAGGAGGGTGGGTGGGATGGGCCGGCCACACAGGGCCCTGTGAATCCACAGACGGGGCCCCACGAGGGGGCAGCCTCTCAGCCGGAGCGAGCAGCGGGGGGCCAAGGCGGGGGAGGGGCTCATGGGGCTAGTGTATGTATATTTAACCACAATAAAGGATTTTTCAAGCCCTGGTTGGTGTGGCTCAGTGGACTCACCCTTCCCCTCTCTCTAAAAATAAAATCTTTAAAATATATATTTTTTAAATAATCTAGAACTTAAAAATCGGAGGAGGACTTACGACTGCAAGGCCAGCTCGCTCCCTCCTCCTGCTATAGACCAGGCGAGCACAGGAAGTTGCAGTGTGGAAACAACCCTGGATGGGACACCTTTGGAGGTGACTCTGTCTCCCAGCCCAGCGGGATGTCCCCGCTGGTCCCTGGTTTCCTCCAGCAGTGTTTATATATTATAGTTTCCATGATGCAATCTCCCGCCTCCTTTGCTGCTTCCTAAGTATTTTCCTCTCTTCGATGCTGCTGTGCACGAACCGCTTCCGCAGCCTCCTTTCCACATGGCTCACCGTTAGTGTGTAGGAAAGGGACCGACGTGTGCGCGCAGGCTTCGTGTCCTGCCACCTTGTTGAATTCAGCTATGAGATCCAGCAGCTTTGCTGTGGAGTTTCTTGGGTTTAGTACCCATAAGGTCGTATCTCCCACAAATAGACGCCTCAGGGCACCCACAAGGTCCACCTCGCGTACAGACGCGTACCTGGTGTGGTTGGCCTCCGTCCCCTCCTGGGCTGTCCGTCTGCTCGCCCAGCGGAGGGACAGGCTCCTCCTCTGCCATGTGGCCCTGTCCTCTTCGCTGGACACCAGGAGCAGCTCTGAGTTCCTCCCCAGAGGTCTGAAAGGGTGCACCAGGGTGTAACCTGAATTCCAAGTGGGATAGGGACAGAGAGGCCTGAGTGTCACTGGGCTTGCGGGGGAGGCGCGGAGAGCGCCGCCTCTGGCAGGTCCCCCCCCACGGGCGCGCTGGTTTTCAGCCCGCAGGGTCTGGGCAGTGGCCTCAGCGGCGGGCGGGGGCGGGGCTGCGCCCTCCGGGGAGGCTGGGCCTGAAGAACACCCCTGGGGCATGAACGACCTGGACTGAAACCTAGAGACAGCGATGACCGAGAAGCGGGGGGGGTTGAGGGGTCAGTGGGGGTGCTGGGGGGTGGTCTGCAGGGCGGAGGCGGCGATGACCCCGAGGCATGCCGGACCCCCCGCCCCCGGGCGTCACAGAAGAGCGACTGAGGCAGAGGGGCGGCCTGCAGGGCGGGCACGGCGGAGCGGGAGGTGACCGGGAAGGGACGGGTGTGTGGCCGACAGCAGCCCCCACGCACAGCCTGGCCCCTGTCCTGCTCTTCGCTCTGACCACAGCCGCCTTGTGGCAGTTTCCCCGGGGCATGACTGTGACCGTGCCTCCTGTCCCGGGCCCCACCACACGGCTTCAGGACACGCAGCGTGCAGCAGAGCAGCCGGGGCGGGGGGGGGCCACACGCAGGACCGTCCCCACGAGGCTGCCAAGGGGAAGGACGGGGGTCCCTGAGCACACTGACAGGACCGAAAGAGGGACGAAGGGCCAAGCGAGTCCTCCAGGTGCGGAGGGAAGCAGCGAGTGGGGGAAGGGCGCGGGCAGCATGGGGGCGGGGGGGCGGGCAGGAGCTCAAGCGCGCAGGACAGCTCTGGAGAGCAAAGGTGAGAACAAAGGCGGGGATGCGTCCTCGTCAGAAATTGCTGCGACTCCCTTCCTTCTTCTAAGACTCAGAAGATCGGTGATGACCCAGACGGTGCCGCCCACCAGCAACGCAGCGGCCCCAGGCCCACGTCACCACGCACTTTGCGCCCCGCAAGCGGGAAGCAGCTGTGGCCGGTGCGGCTCAGTGGACTGAGCACCGGCCTGTGAACCAAAGGGTCGCCGGTTTGATTCTCAGTCAGGGCACAGGCCTGGGTTGCAGGCCAGGTCCCCAGGAGGGGGCGCACAAGAGGCAAACACGCACTGACGTTTCTCTCCCTCTCTCCCTCTCTCCCCTGCTTCCCCTCTCTCTAAAAATAGATCTTTAAAAAAAAAAAGATGCAGGAAGATACATCAACACAAACTAAGGATGTTGTCATGTCAGCCAACACAGGAAACCGATACTTTAGGTCTCGCTGGCACCAGGCCCGGCCTCCCGGGGGTCCACGGTCCCGCCTGCCCCCGGGTGTGGGTGTGCGCACACCCACAGAGCAAGGAAGGGGTGCCGCTCTGGACTGAAAGACTTCAGATGTGAGTCTCCTGTCACTTTCTCACATTCCAAACTTTGCACAAGGATGGATTACTTTTGGAAGTCCTTAAAAAATTCTCAAGTACAACATACTTGAAAAAGCTTCTTCAGATCGACTCACCTTGGCTTGGCTTGTTTGGAGTCGCTATGTACAGAATCCCAAGAAGAAAATTAATCAGCTCGGGCACGAAGCGCCGAGACAGAGCCACATAGTCCAGGAACACGCAGCACACGAACAGGCCCTTCACGGCGTCTTGGAGAGACTGGACGGGGCACTGGCGAGGACACAGGGCTGGGTGATGAGGCGAACGAGGCTGGACAGCGCGCCTGCAGACCGCCGCCCCGGGGGGGCCGGGGCTGAGCTCCCTCGGCCGCGCAGCGTCCGGGAGGCCCGGGCGGAGCTCTGTTGGCCTGGGTTCGCCACGACGGCACAGGGGCCCAGTCCTCCGTGGGATCAAGGAAAAAGGGACGACTGGGACTTCTTTAAGCCTGAAGGGCTAGAACCCGTATCGAGCTTGATGCTTTCTCCCCTGGAGAGGCTGCTTTCTGGGCTCACACCCTCCGTTACCTCCGGCTGCTGAATCCAACCCCTACCCCGTCTGGGGCTGCTGCTGACCTCAGGGCTACCGGTCGTCCCCACGGGCCCTTCCCGATGGTCTGTGCCCCCTGACCCTGGCGGTGCGTGTCCATGACCCTGGCCCAGCGCTGGCACTGGTGGTGCAGGCCTGCCCGTCCGCGTGTGGAAGCACGCACCTTCGTGAGCAGCTGGCTCATGCACACCAGGGCGGGCGTCACCACGGCGTGCCGGAAGTCCGAGGTTGGGAACAGCATCCCCGCGATCTTCAGGTAAACGAGCTGCGGAGAAGCGCGACCACACAGATTCGAGAAGGGAAGGCGGTGTTTGAAATGCTGCCTCCAAAGGGGCTGAAGAGCAAGCGGCTCTGGAACCTGGGGGGACCCAGAGCCGCCCCTGTGATGCCGCCCTGCGCCGTGGCCAGGGCAGGGGCTCCGCGGCCGCTGTCGGCCGCACACAGGCGGCTCCCCAGCCACGCGGGGCTCTCTGGTGGCCGGCAAGGGGGCGGAGGGTGCAGCTGCACCGCCCTGGGAGCCTGGCTGGGTCAGAGGTGCCTGCGCCTGCCCGTTCAGCCTCCGCCCAGGAGGACGCGGCCGAGGCTCTCGGGGCCCCATGCCACTCGTCCTGCCCCGGGCTGTGAGCTCCGACGGGAGGAGGCCTCCCCGTCTGACCACCTCCCACGCACACCGGGCAGAAGGACAAGCCCACCATCTGCCCCGCAGGACCATGGCGGGGGCCGCGTAGCATGTCTACCAGGCGGGTGAGGAAACTGAGGGCCGCTGGAGCGGCAGCGCTGGGAGCTGGGGGGTCGTCCTCCAAACACCCCCACGTGTCCCTGCTGTCCTGGCCGAGTTCCCACCCCCGCCTGTTCATCATGGGACACAGGCGCCATCGAGCGCCAGGCCTCGGTCCTGACAACAGCCAACGAGCAAAAGCAGGGTTTCTGGGAGGCTCGCAGGGCCTAATTTCACCGCAGGCGTTCACGCAGGTGCGGGTGTCAGAGGGGCATGAACATCGTGTGGGCAGCCGGGTCTGGCCCAGGCTTGGAGCCGGCGCCCCAGCACGGGCCGGCCCGCCACGTCCTGAGGAGACGGGGCCTGCACCGCTCGCCCACACAGAGCTGCCCCGACTGCGTTCTCCCGCGTGGCGCCTAAGAACCTAGACGTGGCTGCTCCATCTTCCGTGGCGATGGCAGTAGTGAGCGGTTACTTCCAGGAGCTACCACGGGCTGGGCACAGCCCACAGCCCACCCCGACCAAGGCGCCGAAAAGACAGGCATGGTGGCCTTCACCCACCTACAAAGCAGGGCGGGGCCAGGACCCACAGGTCAGACGGTGGACTGGGGCTGAAGGCCAGGCTGCCTGCTCAGGCCCCGCCACTTGGCCCCCCAAGTCCCGCTGGGCGGACACAGGCTCCACAGGGGCAGAGACCAGGCCTTCCCACCGGGGCTCCGGGTGCCCGCTGCTGCGCACAGCAGGGGCCTGGAGGGGTGCTGGCCCGGAGGCTCACGGGGCGGAAGCACCAGCAACGGGCCGTGGACCGGCTCCGATCTGACTCTGTGGTGTCTAGTGAAACCACAAGTGCAAACCGCACATTTTAAGTTTCTAATAAGTAGTGTTCATGCATTTCAATGCAAAGACAAAAAAACAGAGTAATGGAGCAAACGTTTCCAAAGCTCACCGAAGTCAACGCTACCGCCCTCGGCTGTCATGGAAGGGCTCTCGCGTCTCAGTGAACCGGCAGACACGACAGGGAGCCCAGCCCAGCCATGGGCTCGAGTCCCCAGGGAAATCCGTTCCCTCCCTTTGCCACAAAGGGTGAACCCAGCTCCGTTCATGTGCAATCAAACTGGTTTCTTTCATGGCACATCTCAGTTCACCATTAACGGGCCCACAACCCTCCGAAGGGATCCCGCCTGACGCTTCGAAGCCCCGCCCGGGTGGCCTGGGCAGGCGGGGGCCAGCTCACCACGTCCAGCCCCGGAAACGCGGCCCGGCCCTTCTCCTCGACGGCCCCCTCCATCTCGTGCATGGCGTCGCGGAGGACGGACTTGACAGACTCGCTCGCGGATGCAGGGAACATCTGGCAGAGGTTGTACAGCTGCCTGTTCATCGGAAACACCAGCCAGCGGGGATGATGCCAGGGGACACCAGACGGCCCAGACTTCCCGGGGGCCCTTCCTGGGGCGCCACCGACCGACTGCACAGTGGAGCCAGAAGGCCCCGTGCGGCCCACTCCCTGACCCCTGCCTGCCTCTCGCTGAGCCAGGTGGCTTCACGGTCACCCGCAGGACAGCCCCCCGCGTGCAGGGTGGGGATCACCTTCCCTGCGCCCGCCTGGCGGGCCGCCTGTGGAGCTTCCTCGCGAACTCGCAGTTCCTTGCGAGCACATCTGAAATGGCAGAGGCCACTGGGCCGCGTGGCCTCACTAACCTCCCAACGCGGGGCCCTGCCACCGCGGGGCCAGCAGCCACCACGCGGGGCTCGGCCGTCACGCGGGTTTAGGGCATCGAGAGGTCCAAACCGGCTGCTGTCCCTGTGCGGGGCAGGGCCAGGTGGACAAGAGGGGGCCACTTCCAAACGGCACCCTGGGTCTCATGAGCCCCAGGTTCTGCCGAGGCCCGGACCTGGGTGGCGCTGGGACTCTGCCCTCCCCCCGGGCTCACCCCCCAGCCCCCGGGCAGGGCTTGTCGCGTCGCTGGAGGAGGAAGCCGCGAACCAGCCGTCCGGGGCTATTAACGAATCTGAGGGGGTTTGGCTGCCTTAGAATCTCTTTGTAGCTGAAGATGCGTCCCACCTCCAGGGGACAGGAGCTGCAGGTGGGCCGCGCACCGGGTCAACCTTGGAAGCCCGACACAGGTTCTCAGGGCTCCACACTGGGGGCGGGGGCGGGGGGAGACACCGCGCGGCTCAGCCCCAGGCCATCGCCTCCACTTACACAACCAGCTTATCAACCACGTCAAGGCCTGGAGGGTCGTCTGCAGCCAAATCGCCCACGTACTCCAAGAGGAAGCCGAACAGCCTCTGGGGGGACACAGGTGGGAGCGGCTCAGGGAGCGAGGGGCCTTGCGCACAGCCCGTACGCTGCTCGCCCCGGGCGGGGCCAGGGTGCGGCTCAGGGCCCTGAGGGCAGAGCCCTGCTGAGCGCAGAGGAGCAGGTTCGAGAGCTCAGGGTGGGGCACACGCCCCTCGTCCCCATCCGTGTCCTGGGACAGCAGCTCTTCCCGACAGAGAAGGGCACCCCAGTGACTTCCCCGAGGGCCCGGCCCGGCCGCTCGATGGCCGCACGAGGCCGACTCGCGGGCACCAGGAGGGCGCTGGTGCGGGCCCCCTCTGGGCCTGCCGTGGGCCTCAGCGGCGTGTGTCCCGCCCACGCCAGCGTCCACCCCGGGTGGGCGCCCCCGCACGCACCGCTCGGGGCCAGGCGCCCTCGCTGACCGGCAGCTCCCGGCGCCCCGACGCCCCAGGCGTGGAACCCGCTCACCCAGCACACCTCTAATTTTGCCTTGTTTCCCGCAGCGAGGCTGGGGTGGTGGCATTTCTGAATCCTCTCCACTACCAGCAGCTGCTCCTCCGCCGACCTCCCGGACAGCAGAGACTTCAGGTCCTCGGAGGACGCAGGCGCTGCGGGAACATAAGCGTTCCACCCTCGCGTTTCCGAGGGAGCGCCTCCCAGACCCCGGGGAGGCGAGGCAAACACTGAACGCAACAAGGGCCGTTCCTCCCTCTGCTTTAGCAACAGAGGCGGCCTAACGTCTGTCCCCAGCGCTCGCTCTAATGGCAGGAGCACCTGCACGTCCCGGATGGGAGGCCGGAGGGAGCTGGCTCGCGGCGACCGGCCCCCAAGGACGGCGCCCGCCACCCGCGCTCCGTGAGGGACCTGCCTAGATACCCAACGCGCAGAGGTGGCACAGCCGAGTGGCCCGGGAGGAGCCACGTGTGCGGGCACCACCTGGAGCCACTTCCCTGGGAGCCGGCCTCCCCTGCAGGGTTATCGTCTCTGAAAATAACCTGCAGTCACAGGACAGAGGGGGACTGCTGACCAGAGCTGGACTTTTTTCCCTGTGCCCCGGAGAGAACATTCTAGATTGTCTGAAATGTGGCCCAGGTCTCAGCACAGGCAGCCCCTCCCAGGTGCCTCACTGGTTCCCCCGGCCTGGCCTTGGGTCTTCGTGCTGCCCAGCAGCTGCGGCCTCACACGGCCCATGCCCACGCGCCCAGAAAAGCACCCTCAGCCCCCACGCCGCGTGTGGCCCCAGCGAGCCTGACTCATCGCAAGGCTGGACGCTGTCCTGAAACCTCGGGAAACCCGACCATCTGTCACCTTCAAACGTGTAAGGCAGCTCAGCTCTGGCAGCTTCTTGTGCTTCCCGACCACTGCCTGTCGCCCGGGCCTTGGGCGTCTGCCGCTGCGCCAGCTCTGGGCGCGCGCTCTCCTCCGCGCTCTCCTCCGCGCTCTCCAGGTCGGAGTGGCCGTCCGAGCCGACGCTGTCCTCTGCGTCCTCCTCGCTCGCATCCTCCTCCTCATCCTCCTCCTCCTGCTCCTCCTCCTGCTCCTCCTCCGTGTTCGCTCCGTCACTGGCTTCCCCGCTGCGCTCGTCCTGGATGGTCATCTTTCCGTCCTGGAATGGGACCCGGGCACCGCGGGCATGGAGGCCCCAGGGAGACACCGTGTACACTTGCAGGAAACACGGACCCTCTGCTGCCTCCGCCCATGGGCCCTCGGCCTCACTGCCCACCCCCCGCTGCGAACCCGACTGTGGGCCACAGGCCGGCAGCCACGCCCCCCACACCGGCCGCCCACCGGGGTGCCCAGCTCTAGCAGCTGGGCGGCCTGCAGCTGCCGGCGGCTGGCTCCAGGGCTGGGGGACGGCGGGCTGAGCAGGGGCTTCCTGGGACGGGGGCTGCACCTGGGGATGGCGGGACGGTGTCCCCCAGATCACCCAGTGTTCTGTGAGCACCCAGCTCCCTGCCCCGGGGCCCTTCCTACTCGGGACACCTGCCCGCCCTGCACCCTACCTGACGCACTCTAAGAGGGAACACAGGTGTGGGCCTCACAGGGCCCACGAACGAACGCTGCAGCCTCAGCAACATGATTACTTTTCTGAAAAGCGTGCAGAACGCTGACCTGATGCGCTCCCTCCGCGCGAACGCAGAGTTCACACAGGTAAGCCACCACGCATTAGCAACCGAGTAAAAGCACAAGGAGCCCGAGCGTGCGCGGCGACCAGGCCGGGGTCCGCCCAGGCTCCCCGAGCTCCGCGCAGAGCCCCGTGCAGAGCCGCAGGGACGTGCTTAGGAGACGTACAACTTCTACCTGTAAAGTACCCGAAAGCGGGTGCCTACAGGTGAGAAGAGAAAAGGCAGGCAGGCATCTCACTTTGTAGGAGAGCAGACGCCGGTCATCCTTGTCCAGCACGAAGCCATCGTTCAAGTCGTCGGCCGACGTGTGCGCGGGCTTCTGCGTGTCCTCGCCTTCGCCCTTTCCCAGCATCCTCCGCACTCTCTCAGCCTGAGCAGAGGTAACAGGTCACGTGTGGAGCCCACCGGGGACGGACAAGGATGGGCGTGAGCTACACTTTTTTGCTTTTATAATCAAGAAAAGGTATTTATAGTGAAATACATGTTAAGTTTGAGTAGCCTAAAAAGAGTCCACTGGTTAAAACAGGCCCCCCCCCACCCCCCCTAACAGGGCAAAGCAGAAAGGCCTGGAACGCAGGTCCCAGCGGCTGGGCCCGGCCCGCCCGCCCCCATACCTCCAGGCGCTCCAGCCGCTCCTGCTCCTCCTTTGCCAGCTCTGCTTCCGTTCTCATCCTGTCTGAGGGCTGAGCCTTCATCTCGAAGCCCAGCTCTCGGACCATCAGGTCATAGGCGTCAGGCTAGGGCGGGAAGGAGGGGAGTGTCACGTTCCACATCTTGTCGTCAGGAGGCCAGACCTGCCAGCAGCTTCCCGTGCGTCCCAGTCGTGGCTGGACCCCAGCACAGGAGAGGCTGGGCCACCCCCGCGCCGCCTCTTGCTCTGAGGAGCCTGTGCTCCTCAGCCCGGGCTCACACTCATCTGCCTCACTCAAGCTGGACGCTGCTCCCCAGGCCTCACGCCCCACAGAGAGCCCGGGCGTCGGCCATAGCACGCGGCACACGCCCCGGCGTCCTGGTGGGGGCCTTGCTGCGTCCTAGAACCAGCGGCAGGAACATGCAGCTCTGCGGGCAGCCCCGCCGAGGGGAAGGCGGCGGGAGCCGACGCTGTTTGGAGGACGGAGTTAAGTAAACCTCTAAGCTCAAATGGCACCTGACGGTCCCCCGCCCAAGCATCCTTTAACACGATTACTCCTGAGGAGACGTGGAAGTAACTGCGGCCTATTTCCACCCCGATGTAACACCCATCAGATGCCCAGATAAAACTTCAATGGAAATGCAGGTCCAACAGAAACGGGACCAGGAGACCTGGCCACCGCCTCTGCTGCAGAGGCAGGTCAGGGCAGCCGGGAGCCTGCTTCCGCCCCGATGCCCACCTGGGGTCTCTGTCGGTCCCTGTCCTGCGGCCGCGGCGCCTTGCGAGCCAGGAGGCTCTGGATCTCCCTCCAGTCCCGGTCCAGCTTCTCTGTGAGCTCCAGGGCGTCCTCTCGCTGCGCCTGCCTCTCCCGCTGGAAAGAAGAGCAGACAGCGCACACCGTCCCTGCATGGCCCGCTCCAGTCCGTCCACAGCGGACAGAGTGGTCGGTACCGTCCACGCCAAGCTGCGCAGCTCATCGGACAGCACTGGTTTCCTGCTATAAACTACTCACTGTTGGTGAAGGGCAGCGATGTTGTGTGAATCCTGCTACACACCAAGATGCCGAAACCAACCAACCGGCAAAACCGCCCAAACCTCAACTAACTGTCAGCAGAAACACTGAATGCTTTACTAAATTCCCAGAAAACAGCAGACACAGCCTAGCACCCTCCAGGGAGGAAGGCCCCAGAGCCCCTCGTGAGCTGGGACAGGGTGCTCCACCCAGGGCATGGCCAGCGCACCTTCTCCTGTTTCGACTTTGCGATGAGCTCCTCAATCAACTCTTTGCGGGACCTGGGCCTCTCGCCGTCCGGGCCTGGCTGCTGCGAGGTCTTCTGGAGGGGCCCTCCGCCCCCGAAATGGGCCGCCGTCAGCTCCGCTGCAAACGGAGCCGAGGGTGTGGCCGTGAGCCCAGCGCCGGTGCTGGGACGACCCTGCGGCCAAGGAAGAGGCCTCACACCCATGGTGGCCCAAGGCCCAGGCCTAGCGGGACCTAAACACCCAGGAGGAGCCGCTCCCGGAAAACCACTCACTGGCCCTGACGTGAGCAGCCGGAAACACCGCAGAAAGGGGCCTGTTTTTAAACTGCATTCAATCCCGTGAAAGAGCAGTGAGCGCAGTGAGACCAGCGGGGAGCCGAGCCTGTGGGGAAAGGCCGCTGCTCGGGCTGCAGACCCCTCCCGGCCTCACGCCTCCCAGGGCGGCCAGCGGGGCCTACCGCCCCCCGGCCGGCGCGAGGGACCAGGGCAGAAGACAAATAAAACACTGCGGAGCTGTCGAGTTGCAGTGGAAAGAAGCCTTTAAAAAATCCCACATCTCTATGGGATGAGAAGATGGGCTTCAGTGCTAAGCAACGTGCCCAAATCGCAGAGCAGCCACAGAGCGTTTTAGGCTGAGCCTCCAGCTCCTGCAGCCTGACTGGCTCCCCCCGCACATCCAGGCTGAGGCTGCCGCCTAGAAGCTACCTGACGCCACGCTCATGCAGGTGGACGCAGAGGAGGAAGGAAGCGCACTGCCCCCGCCCCCCAGGCCTCCCCCACCCCCCGGCCCGTCGCCTCACAGGCTGCCGGCCCACCTGGGACTCGCAGCGGCCCGGCCCCGGCCCCGGCCCCGGCCCGGCCCCTCTGAGCTCCTGGCTCTAATGAACTAGGGTGCCATCCAGCTGGGACCCGCCTCGCTTTCTCAGCCTACAAAAGCCTCTGCCTTCCCTCCCTGCACGTGCACCTGCAGGGCTGCCTCGCCTGTGGGCCTCTCTGGGCCACACTGGAAGAAGCAGAGCTGTCTTGGGTCACACGCTAAATACACCGCACCACGTAATCACGGAAACATCTCATCTTGTTTTAAGCACATTTATGATTTTGTGCCGGGCCGCGTTCACAGCCCTCCTGGCTTGCACGTGGCCCGTGGCTGCCCAGGGACACCCCTGGATTGTACTCCTCCTTCGAGTGCCAGGAGCAGGGAGTCAGACGACCCGCAGTGTGGGGGGCTCCCTGAGAGGCTGATGATGGGGCCCTGCGACGTCTCGCAAGGTTCTGGGGAGAGGGGGGCGGCGGGGAGAGCCGCCCGGGAGACGCCCCGCCCCGCCCTCAGCAGACAGCACGCCCCGCCCCGCCCTCAGCCCCGCCCTCAGCCCCGCCCCACCCTCAGCGGACAGCACGCCCCGCCCACCCGCCCTCACCGGACAGGACTCCCCGGTCCTCAGCGTCGCTGTCGCTGTCCACGATGTTGTCATGCTTTTCAATGTCTGCCAAAGACTGGCCGTAATGAGTTAATTCTTCGTCTTCGTTCAGGTTGTAGATGTTTCTTTTTTCATGTTGTCGCTGACAGAAGAGAGAAAAAAGTCAGTTTTCTAAAATTTTCACATCCATTTAATAGCAAAACCCACTGATTTTTCTATCGCTTGCGCAGCGGGACAGCACAGCCTATGCAACGCTCCGACCTCTCCAGGTCACTGAGCAGGGACTCAGGCGGGAACAGCACCCGCGGGAGGCCACTCGGCGGACGGCGGGGTGAGCGCGGCCTTGCCCAGGGGCACGGTCCTCCGGTGGCGCCCAAGTCAGAGCTCGGGGACGTGTCGCTGAGGTGCACCCTGGCCAAGACACTCACCCACCCAGCGGCGTCTACAGGGGGCCACTTCCCTTTTGGCCTCGCCAGACCTGGCCCAGGACAGCAGACCCCCCCCCCCCAAGGCCTGGCGGGCAGCGCCCACGGGAGTGCAAGCGAACGCATCTGACTTCCGCGTGGAGGAGACCCTCCCGCGGTCCCCATACCTGCTGCTCCAGGGCAAACCTCCGCGCCATCTTCTCCTCTGGGCTGACGGTGCTGTCATACTCCCCCAAGCGTCTGTCTCTGAACACGTTGGACTTATCCCTCTCCTTGTATTCCTTCAGCAAAGTCTGGGTACGCTGGAGAACAGACCATAAGACAAGCTTGGCGAGCTTCGTCCCCAAAGGAAAAATGCTCCCACGGGGGACACCTGCAACGGACTGGAAGATGGCCCGGCCTCCCGGCTGTCTGTGCCTGAGGCCACTGAAGCCAACAGTCCAGAAAGAGCGATCGCCATCCTGGGGGGGTGGGGCTCCTGCCAACCAGGGGGCCAAGAGGCCTAGCCGGGCCCAGCGGGCCCCGCCACCCTGAAGGCTGAAGAGAAGGGGCAGCCGCCAAGAAGGACGCAGAGCCGAGCACACAGAGGTCCCTGTGTCAGGGAAAGAAACGGGAGGAGGTGGGGTCCCAGCTGCCGGAAGGGAAACTGGAGCGAGGAGCTCAGAAGGCGTGAGTCGAGTCCTGTGTCGTGACCGACAGCGGCACAGGTGGTGGCAACACGCTTCTCGTCTGTCACCTACGTGCATTTATTTGTACGTCGCTCAGTCCTTGCTGTTTGGTGCCTGTATCTGCACCCTGCCGCTTGCTAACATTTACCTGTGACCCAAACCGCTACGTGCAGCGCCTTCCTGGACCCTGAGACACATGCATAGGGACCAGGACGCACGACCACGGGTGTGGACCCCCGGCCCCACCACTTCCCACCTACCTCTCTGCCCTGGTGGCCTCCCCTGGAAAAGGGAGACGACACAGCCCTGCCTCGGGCTGTCGTTCAGGGGACCACAGGGGTCGACAAGGGGCGGCTGCCCTGTGGTGCGGAGCCCTGGGGCCTGGGTTGGGCCCCAGCTGCCCTCAGGCAGAGACTGGGATCCCGGATGGGAGGACTGGACGTGAACTTCCTCCCACAGCGCCTGTCCCGCTGGGCGGCACCAAGGGATGCACAGCCTCGTTGTTCTACACAGCGAGCGGGGAGTGAGGATGGGGCACAGCTGGCAGTGACAGCAGGGCCGGGCACCGGGCCGCCCCTACACAAAGCCTGCTCCCTGTCTCCACCTGTGGGCCACTGCGGGCTCGAGGAGACACGGGAGACGCTGTTTGCTTCCCAGGGATCCGCGCAGGCGCCAGGCTCGGGCCTCCCGTCGGCCCTGCTCGCCTCTCTGCACAAACGGTGACCTGCCTCGACTGGGCGGCCTGTGTCCGTCCCTCCACACGTCTGGAGCTCTAGGACCTCACACTTCAGGACACCCTCCCTGCCACGGGGCAGCGGCTGTGAGCTGCCACCCACGGCAGCTCCTTGCACGTGTCCTGTGGGCCGAGCACTGGGGGACTCGGCCAGCAGCGGCGGCCCCAGGGCACCCAGCGCAGAGCCTGTCAGGCCCCGGCACCCGTCCTGTTTGGGCCGCGGGGCTCCGGAAAGCGCCAGAGGGCAGCTCAGGCTGGCCCAGGCAGGTCTGGGGGATGAAACGGCTGGTGTTTAGAGAACACTGTGCTAGATGCACAAGTTTACTCAGTTCTTACAACCTCCACGGGAGAGAGGATGCGTATTGTTACCCCACTTTAGAAATAAGAAAACTGAGCTTTGCGCAGTGGCAGTATTGTTGCCAATGAGGTTTATCTGACGCGTGATTGTTGCTCATAAAAAGAAAAAAGAAAGAAGAAAACCGAGGCATGAGTGGTGAACACAGACGTGTGTTCCAGAGCCCGCAGAGTCTCACCCCCCCAGGCCTCCCTTCAGGGGACCGTCACTGCAGCCTGTGCAAATGCCGAGGCAGAGGACAGACGCAGTCCAACTGACATAAGAGGGGGGACACCCCCCAAAGGACGGGATTATCTTCTGGAGGGCGGGCCCCTTGTAGTACAGGCTTCCTCCACTAGGTCAGCGTTCTAGGAGCCTAGCTGTGCCAGGCACTGTCCTAAGGTTGTTAAAGGAACACATCTGATCCAGCATGTGGGCACCACGATCTCCATTTTCCAGATGAGGAAAGTGAGGCACAGATAAATAGCCGGGCCCACCCACGGTCTCCCGGCAGTCCGGTTCCCGAGTCTGTGCTGCGCCGTCAGAATGTCAAAAATGTCGCTGGAGAGAGGGGTGGTCCCGGCCAAGCCGGAGGCAGGGAGCCCAGGAGTGTTGGGGGTACCGCCAGGCGGGCTGAGCTCCCGAGTGAACCCGTAGGGTTAGGCGCCGTTCCTGACCGCACGTGCGGCCCGGGCAAGGGACGGCCACCGGGGAGGGGCGCCCCGCTTACCTTCTGGATGGCCCGCGCGCGCGACACCCCGGGCACCCCCACGTCGTGGCGCATCTTCCTGCCCAGAACCTGGAACTTCTGCCTGTTGACTTTCACTTCGAACGGGTTGGGGTTGGGCTTGGTCCGGGGGCCCCGTGCTCCCGCCGGGGCCCCGGGAGCCTTGGTGCGCGTCCCGATGGCCCTGGCCTTCCCCATGGCCTACTCTTGCTGCACCCCAAGGCGCCCGACTCCGTGGCACGGCCTGGGAGATCCAGAAGAGGTGAGCCGATTGCCCAAGTCGGCGGACAGCGGACCCCTTCGGGAAACACGTGCCGGGACCAGCGAGCTGTCCCAGACTTCGTGTCGCGATAACTGCGCGGCCGCAAGCAGACACATCCGGCTCAGTTTACATGCCTATCCGCGCAGTGACTACAACTCCCAGAAGGCAACGCTCGGCAGACGCGCCACTTCCGCCCCGCGCGGGGCCTTCTGGGAGCTGTAGCGGCCAGCCGGACGCCGCTCCCTCGCCCGCTGCGGGCGAGGAGGTGTGCGAGTTCGTCCTCGGGAAGCCGTTAGCGGGGAGCCGGCCGCGCTGTGAAACGGCGGCGGCGGCGGCGGCGGCTGCCGTAGCCGTAGCCGTCGCCGCCGGGGGCCGGGAGCCTTCGCTAGCTAGGGTCGGTCTCGGCGGAGACCCCAGGCAGCCCGGGAGCCGGACTCCGGGGAGAGTTGCGCGCGCGGAGCGTGGGTGATAAGGCCACGAGTCCGTATAGGGGCGCGGCGGCGGCGACAGCGGAGGAGACCGGCAGCCGGCCAGCCCGCGCTCCTAGCCCCGTTCCCGCTAGAGCCCCGGGCCCGAAGCAGCAGCGTGCGCCGCGGCGGCCGCGTAGGCAGCGGGGCGCGCTGTGGCCGTGGCGGTGGTGGGGTTTCTTTCGCGGGGCCGGCGTGCGGCCCGGTGGACGGGCGCCGGCCGGCGAACGGGACGCGAGGGCCTCGCCCCCTAGACCTCGAGCCCGCGAGGCCCGGAGGGGGCGGCGGCGGAGGCGCTGGCGGCGGCGGCGGCGGCGGCGGCTGCCGCGTCGTTCCATGGAGCTGGAGAACCTCATCGCCAACGCGCTGCTGCTGAAAGCGCGCCTCGGTGGGTGCACCGCGGGGCCCCGAGCCCGCCGCGCCCGGCTCCTGCCCCCAGAACCCGGCTCCAAGCCCTGCCGTCCCCGGTGGCTGCGGCCTCGGGCGTCAAGTGCCTGTCCCAGGCTCCAGGGCTTCCCCGGGAACAGGCTCCCGCACCGGGGTGCTCCTGGTGGCGCGGGCGCCGTGCCGACCCTCGGTCGATGCAGCTCGGCCTGGGGGTCGTGGGTGACGTGCTGGTGTGTCAGCGCCCCCCTCACATGGGAGGCCCCGCTGCCTTTCCGGGGGAGAGATGCAGGTTCCCCGCCGCGGTTTCGCGCGAAACCCCAGGCTGCGGGAAGGGCCTGGCAGTGAGGTGCGCCCCGTCGCCGGCCGGCTGACGGAGTGGAGGACAGCCCGCCCGGCTCGGTCCTTCGGTGCGGTCACCGGAGAGGTGGTGCGGAGCGGCGCCGGCCGTGGGGCCGGGAGACCCCGCCGCTCTGTTCCTTGGGGACAGGGTCCCGGTGTGCGCTCAGCGCCGCCTCGCGAGGGCCCGGGTGCGTCGCTCGGATGCCTCTCCAGTCCCTCGTGAGCAATCCGTCCTCCGCGGCGCTGGCGTCTGACCTGTGCGTGCGGGGATGGAGACCGTGTCCGGAGGCGGCGGAGCGGCCGTTGTAGACGAGGAGGCAGGCGGGCCCGCGCTCTGTAGACGCTCAAGAACATCAGCGGCCCCGGCTGCCGGAAGGCCCAGGACCGTGGGAGTAGGTTCTCCAGGGTTCTAATGGTTTCTAGATTTATTTAAAATAAAACCTATCTCTTTTTGATCTTCAACAGGACGTTTGTTAGTCTTTTCTCCTTTCAGCAATGTTGGTATTAGACTTAGGATGGGAGTCAGTTCTTAAATTATGCGTCTACCCACTCTGCTGTACGTCTGAAACTAATGCAGTGCGAGGTGGAGCAAAAGCACTAGAACTAAAACTAGAGTTGTTCGTATGGAACATAATATGATAATTAAGAAATAATGATACACTGTAAGCCTACTTCTGTCCCACCCTGTACTGAAAGTCAACTGTACCTGGAAAAAGAATTTAATGTTGGCAGGTGACCTTGCGTTGAAACAGCCGCTGGTGTGTCTATGCCCGGCGCACTCTAAGGTCTACTAATTAGTCTGTTGTAATTATTAATAAATTATTATTAATGCATTTTTGTTGTAGGAATGAACCTGTGTTCTGTCAGACACGTTTTAGTGTGCCTTCAAGTCCAGCCGTCGGTGCAGTGGGCCCTTCTTGCTTTTTCTCTTGTTCAGTGTTGTCTCTCCTTCAGGGTCCAGTGTACCTTCATCCTCTTCTTTGTAACTTTCTTGCAGCTCAGAGACACTCTGGGAATTGGGAATCTGGGGTTCTTAATCCAGTGTGGTCAATGATTCTTACGGGGGACTCCGGCCGCTAAGTCCCCGATTTACCGCAGATGGAAGAGTTGTTCCAGACACCGTTTGCCGGTCAAGGGAAGGGGAAGGCCCCAGCCCCTGTGGGCAGTGGCTTTTCTTGAGAGGGTTACAGGCGGGGGACAGGCAGCAGGAATATGTAGGTAGTCGAATGACATCAGTAGCTTCAGCTTCCAGAGAGTAGGTGATGTTTACAGATGACCGTGGCAGGAACTCGCCGAACCGCTGTGGGTCCAAGATGAGCCACCGTCAGGGCACCAGGTGGGATTTGGGTTGGGGTCCAGGAGTTTTGCAAATTTCCTTCCGAGCCTCGAGCTGCTGACGTGGTATAAGAGGAACAGAGCCTGAGGGAGAAACAGAGCAGGCTGCTCGGGGTAATTCACGTCTAGGCCGGATTCCCGCCAGGGCACCTCGGAATCATTGTTGGGTCTTGCGAGTCTCCGCGTCACCAGTGTTTCTAGCCGAGGCTTAAGGGCCCGGTCCGCGGCCCCAGCTTGTGCCGGGACTACAGCCCTGGTGCTACCCAAACTGCCCCCTGCACTTCTGGGGCCACATTGTAATCTCTGTAAGACAGGGTGTAGCTTTTGTCTTTATTTTGTATCCTTTTCAGTGCTAGCCATGTAATTGGCACTTCGTAAGTAAACAACTGGATATTAAAGGAGTGATCTGTTATTTTGTTAAATTCAAGAAAGAGAAGGTTAAATACATACCTCCAAGAGCAAACCCCCTACTGAGTGCTGCTGGGGCCTCGTTTGCCAGTGCCCATTACTTGGGTTCAAATCCCAGCTTCTGTTTGGGCAAATTATTTCACATGTCTTTGCCATGGTTTCTCCTCTCTGAAATGAGGGTTATAACAGGAGCATGTCAACAGTGTCCTCATAGAGTCAATGGGAGGGTTTATCTGGCATATAGTAGATGCCATTAGTGGAAGTAGTTATAATTGAGTATTTCTGACCATGTTAAAAATGCCTCTTTCTACCCCAGCTGGTGTGTCTCAGCCGGCCAGTGAACAAGGGCGTCGTTGGTTCGATTCCCGGTTGGAGCACATGCCTGGGTTGCCAGTTGGGTCCCTGGTGAGGGATGCGTGAGAGGCAACCACACATTGATGTTTCTCTCCCTCTTTTTCTCCCTCTTTCCCCCTAAATTTAGGAGGGTATGGCAAAAAAAGTGGTCGAAGTAAAAAATGGAGGGAGATGCTGAAGCTGCCCCCCGTGAGCCAGTGCTGCGAGCTCAGGCAGTCCATCGGTGAGTGCGCAGAGCCACCGCGTGTGGACAAGAATCACTAGTGATAACTTCAGGAAAGGATTAGTCAGATAAAAATATGATACATCAGCCCTGACTGGAAAGGCTCAGTGGGTGGGCTGTCTTCCCGCACACTGAAGGGTCATTGGTTCGACTCCCTGTTGGGACATCTGCCTGGGTTCCAGGCCGGGTCTCTAGCTGGGGGCTTGTGAGAGGCAACCGATGTTTCCCCGGCACATCGATGTTTCTCTCCCTCTCTTCCCCTTTCTCTTAAAAAGAAAATGTCTATATCATGTCCAGCACAACGGATCGCTGTGCAGTTGTGCTACAGGCCGTGGTGTGAACACAGGAGCCAGATGTGGGCCGTGTCTCTCGGGCTTTCATAACTGTATTTCCTAAAAGATACGGCTTCCAGTTCAAGGGATGTATGCATTCAAAATTCTGGGGTTGCTGTTGCTGAATTACTCTCCAAAGAGGTCATATCAGTTTGCTTTCCTGCCAGCAGTGTATGACGAGTTCTCTTTGCCTATAACCTTGTTAACATTGGTTGTTACCAATATTTTTAATAAAGATAAACTGTAATTTGAAAAATGGTCTCTTTTAATTGTGGATGGGGTTGAACATTTTCATCAGTTTTAAAATTTTGGCTTTTTCTAACTGGTTTGTAAAAGCTCCTCATATAATTTATCTTTTTACGATCATTGTGAATATATTTTATGTTTCTGTTTTTTGGCATGCAGTATTTTTTTTCCAAACAGAGGTTTCAATTTTTCTGTATATAAACATATCAATCTTCTTCTTAGTTTCTGAACTTGGGGTGGTGCTTAGGGAGGACACTTCAGGTTATTTTTTTAAATTCAACCCATCTGTTCTTTAGTACCGTCAGAGTTTCTATTTAAGAGGGTTGGAATATTTCAAGTGTCACAGTTGATTTCGGACAGTGCCATGGGGGCCGTCCCCCCACCGAAGGCCTGTCCCGCTGTTTCCATCTCGTCGTGTTTTTAAAACAGCAATGTTACGGAGAAATCACCCGCCTGCTGTGCCGTTTACCTGCTCAATCCAGCCACGGCGCTGCGCGGCCATCACACGATCTCTTTTACGTCCTCGTCACCTCAGGAAGAAACTCCGTCCCCAGCGGCGGCCACACACTCCTGTCCCCTGCCCTTTCCTTGGCCTCGGCCACCGCAGGTCCGCTCTCGCTTCAGATTCGCCTCGTCTGGACGTTCCATGTAAATGGAAATCGCACACTCTGTGGTCTTTTACGGTCGCCTTCTTTCCCCTAACGCAGGGTTTCCAAGGGTCCCCGGTGCTGTAGCAGGACTCGGCACTTAATTCACATTTGCCGGCAAAGAGTCCATTGTAAAGATGTATTGAATTTCATTTATCCAATCATGAGTTGATAAACATGGCATTGTTTTCATTTTTTTGGTCCGTTACACTAATACTGCTATGAACATTCACATACAAGGTTTGGTGGGGTTTTTTTGTAGTAAAATATACATAACACAAACTACCACCTCAGCCCTTTTCCAGCGTGAGGTTCAGTGGCCTCCATTCGAGCGTTACTGTGTTGATGAGGACTTGGTTCTTCTGTGGGTGCGCGTTTTGGTCACTTCTGCTTTGGGGCTGTCGGGATACTGCTGGGGGCACGCGTGTGCAAGTGTTTGTTTGAGTGCCTGCTTTTCATGTCTTTTGAGTGTAGACTCAGAATTAAAATTGCTGAATAATATGGCAATTCTGTGTTTAACTTTTTGAGGAAGTGTCCGAATTGTTTTCTAAAGTGGCTACACCATGTTACATTTCTACCAGCAGCGTGTGAGGATTCCAATTTCTTTACATTCTTACTAACACTTTTTATTTTCCTTTTTGTTTTTAGTATAACCATTCCTAGTGGGAGTGAAGAGGTATCTCATTGTGTTTTGATTTGTGTTTCCCAGGACTAATGATGTTGAGCATCTTTTCATGTGCTTACTGGCCATTTGTATATTTTTTGGAGAAATGTCTGTTCAAATCCTTTGCTCATTTTTTAATTAAATTGTCTTTTCTTTGCCGAAATATAAGCATTCTTTATGTATTCAGGTTTCTAGACCCTTACCAGATATTTGAGTTCCAAATATTTTCTCCCATTCTGTGTTTTTCTCTCACTTTCTTAATGGTGTCCCTTGAGGAACACAAGGGTTTTGTTTTGTTTTTTTTTAAAGATTTTATTTAATTTTAGACAGGGGAATGGAGAGAGAAAGGGAGAGAAACATCAGTGTGTTGTTGCCTCTCACGCGCCCCCTACTGACAACTGGCCCGCAACCCAGGCATGTGCTCTGACTGGGAATCGAACCGGTGACCTTTCGGGTCTCAGGCCGGTGCTCAATCCACTGGGCCACCCCAGCCAGGGCACAAAATTTTATTTTGACAAAGTCTGGTTGACCTATCTTTGTTGTCGCTGTGTGTGCCTGTGGCACAGTGTACAATAAACCACTGCCTAATCCAAAGCAGGTGTATAGAGAGTTAATAAAATGGAAAGCGTCTTTAAAAATCTGATTTAGTGCTTTCCCGTGGTGCACTTCACAGATGGGTAACTTGTCCCCAACAGCTCTCTGCCTGCCCCTCTTCCTTCGACGGGGACACGTGGTTCCCTGGGAACGTTGCTCCTCCGCGTGTTTCTTTTCCGGGGAGGGGACGTTTCAGGTCACGCTTCCACGCCTTTCCTTGTCCGTTCTTCCGGGCACCTTTGGCTCTGCTTACGTGTTTCAGAGACTCATGACAAGCCAGTCTAAACTGGTAAACAAAACAGTGGTATAAAAAAAGTAATACTGCCAATGCTATTTCTGACTTCTGTTGTATCAGGCGAAAACAGTATGGTTCAGAAAAAGCACTTTCTGGATTGTAACGGGTACACCCCGCTTTCTTCCCCCAGAAAAGGATTACAGCAGTCTTTGTGACAAGCAGCCCATAGGGAGACTTCTCTTCCGGCAATTCTGTGGCACAAGAGAGGATCTGAAGAGGTGCATTGAATTCCTGGATGCGGTGGTGAGCAGCAGCCTCGGTGCAGAGCCGGCTAAGCTTGTGCCTTCAAGGAGGAAACGCTGAGACGGGAGCCAAGTCCATGAGACACGGGCTAGGAGGGGTGCGCAGGGGGCGCCGTGGAGCGTGCCGCTCGCTGCGCCATCGGCCTTCGGAAACGGACGTTCCCCTCGTAGCTGGCGGGCTGGGGGTAGGGGCTTGAACTAGAGAGCTGCTCTCCGGCTCTGAGGCCACCAAGTCAGTTCCCTAGACTGCGAAGCGTCATGAAGCCCGTGAAGAAGCGTAACTAACGCTTTGTTTCCTGTCATCCCTACAATCAGGCAGAATACGAGGTCGCCGCCGCTGAGGACCGGAGAGAGTGCGGACTGTTGGTCCTAGACACATTCTGCACTAACGAGGTGCGTTTTCTTCTTTAGATACAAAGATTGGTGAACAGCTTACATCAATAATTAGACTGCAGAGCCATTGTTACTTAATTGGATAAATACAAGTATGTTAAAATCTTTCTTGCAAACTTTCTTCTCCCTGGCTCATGGTTGGTCCCTTCCTGTTGTGTCCTCACATGGTGACAGAGACGATGGAGCATCTGTTAGGAGGGTGCAGTCCCATCCACGAGGGTTCCCGCCTCACGACCTCAGCACCTCCCCACGGCCCCGCATCCCAGTGTTGCCACTTTGGGGGGAAGGATTTCAACACTTGAATTTTGAGGGGACACATTCGGACCGTAGCACTTGCACGTAGAAAACTCCTACGGTGCCCACACTCGCGTTAGGGGAAGAACTGCCGGAGCTGGTGTGGGAGTCCCTTGCGGCCACAGGACACCAGACCATCGTGCAAAACTCAGTTGTATTTCCCTGCACTAGCAATTAAAATCCAGAAAGGAAGTTAAAAAAGTAATTCCATTTTCAATTACATCAAAAAGAGCAAACTAGGAGTAAATATGACAAAAGAAATACAAGGCTATATACACTGAAAAAACTTGAAAACATCCTAGGCAGAAATTAAGGAAGTTAAAGAAATGGAAAGACATCCCATGTTCATGGATTAGAAGACTTGCTATTGTTAACATGACAACACCCCCCAAACCAATCCACAGATTTGTTATGACCCTGAGCAAATCCCAGCCCCGCTTGGTGCTGACATGAACGAGCCGGTCCCAGGAACCGCGTGGTCCCGGCCGAAGGACAGCCAGCGGACGAGCGGGCTAGAACTGGGGGTGTGGGGGCCAGCTCGCACATCTGCAGTCAGCCGGCTCACAGCAGGGCACCAGGACGGCCCAGTGGGGAAAGAGTCACCGTCCGAGAGGCGCTGCAGGGACAACTGGATATCCACACGCAAAGGAACGGCGTTCAACCGCTACCTCACACCATACGCAAAAAATAATATCAAAGGATGAAGCACGTAAATGTAAGAGCTAAAGTGTAAAGCTCTTAGAGGAAATCTCTAAGCTGTAAATCTCAGGTGTAAAACTCTTAGGTGTGGACCTTCATGACCTTGGTCTAGACCAGGGGTGTCCAGCCTTTGGCATCTCTGGGTCTCGCATTAAATGCACAAACACTAATGACGACAAAATCACAGAGCTCTAAGCACATTGACGAGTTTGTGTTGCGCGGCCTTTGCAGCCGCCCTGGGCCGCGTGGGCCCACGGGCCAGGGATTGGACACCCCGGGTCCTGACGTGGTTTCTTAGATGAGACTCAGACAAACCGACTGGACTTAAACAAAATAAAAAATCTTGTGCTTCACAGAGCTCTGTAAAGAAATTGAAGAGACAACCCGCGGAAGGAGAGAAAATATCTGCAAAGCCAGTACCTACTTAGGGTCTGGTATCCAAAATACAGAAAGAACTTTTAAACTTAAATGGTAGCCCTTGCCAGCGTGGCCGAGTGCTTTGGGCGCCATCCCGCAAAGCAAAGGGCGTCCAGTTCGATTCCCGGTCAGGGCACACGCCTGGGGTGCGGGCCAAGCCCCTGGTCGGGGTATGTGTTAGAGGCTCCCGATAGATGTTTCTCACATTGATGTTTCCCTTTCTTTCTTCCTCCCTTCCTGTCTCTCTAAATGTAATTACACAATAAAGACAGCTCACTTTTTAAAAGGTAGTGAAGTCTGTATATTTTTTGACACAGAAAAAGAAACCTGTTTCTCCAGAATTCACCCACCTGTCCCCCACCAGCAGTGGACCTTTCTAGGGGAATGTTCGGTATCCAGAACTTTAAAAAGCAAAGCACCGAGTCATTTGGTCGATTTTCCCTGGCAACTACCTATTCTGAAAAGTAATTCTTACTCCTTAATGTAAGGCCCCAGAAGAAGTATCTGTTTTACTTTCATTACATTTAGCATCAGGCCGGGAGTGCCTTAGAAGTACTGCTTTTCCTTTCTGTTGGGAGATATTAATATGAAATTTTCTGAGTTACTGAAGAAAGGATCTCCATTTGGAGTTAACCAGTAAACAATCTTCATGGAATTAACATGCTATTTAGATACAGAAAATCGAGATGCTTGGAAGAAAAATAAGATTCTGGAAAATGAGAAGTATTTCTTAAAACTGTATTTTTGAGACCGTTTTGGAATTTGATGGCTCTGTCTTCTGTGAAAATGTTGTGTCCTCTTGTCTCCTATGCCAGAAACAATGTGTTACTTGCTGCATAAACGAGTGAGCAGACTGCTTCCCTGAAACAGCAGAGCAAACGGACCGTCTTGTTGGTACCTGGGCCACGCCAGGGCTGATAGAAGGGACTCGCCCGGGTGGTCTGGGAGCGCGGTCCATCCGGCTCGCCCACGTTGTGCTGCGGCAGCACCGGAACATTCTGTCGCTTCCCAAACCTCGTCCCTCCTCGTGGTTGTCAGGCTGACAAAACAGGCCCATGAAAAGGTCTCACTGGTTTTAGGTCATCTAAATGACAGCTATTAATCATTCATTATAACAATGGGGGGGGGGGATGTCAGTTTTCTGCCCCAGCTGGTGTGGCTCAGTGGATTGAGCACCAGCCTGTGAATCAAAGGGTCGCCGGTTCAATTCCCAGCCTAGGACACAGGCCTGGGTTGGGGGCCAGGTCCCCAGTGGGGGGAAGGGGACACATGAAAATGCAACTCGCACACTGATGTTTCTCCCTCTTTTTCTCCCTCTCTTCCCTTCTCTAAAAATAAATAAAAGTCTTTTAAAAAAGGAAAGAAAATGTGAATTTTCTCATTGTGTATTTCTATTAAGAGTTAAACCTCTGACTTACGGAAAACAAAGCTTTGGTGACCCGGCTCCACCCCAGTCGGAAGCCGTCTAGAACGCACGTCCCATTTCTAGTGGCAAGTTCAGGGTGGAGTGGAGCGTGGCCTGGGTGTGTTTTACCAGCCCCGACAACAACAGCTCTGTCAGGTCGTGCGTTCTCCCAGGAACCTCGGGAGGGTGGGAGGACGCGGAGCAGCGCGCCCGTGAGAACGTGGAGTGGTGCGTCCTTGGCGGAGGCAGCTTCGTCGTAAATATCTGCACAGAAAAACGCGTGTGTCCTGGGAGCGAGTGGCCCCGGGCATCCAGCTTGGGGAGGCCCGCCATTGGCCCCGGAGGAAACCGCCCCAGAGCGGGCCCCTGGGGCAGGTCGACTCGGTGAGGCGGGCAGGCGCCGCCGAAGCGCCTGAGAGCGGGCACGTCCAGCAGGCGGCCCTTCACGTTTTGATCTCCAGCTCGCTCGTGGTGCCACGCGGTCACGGGCGTCAGCAGCGGACGCTCCACCATGCGCCGTGTGGGCAGCGCTTTCTGGACACTGTGTTTTATGTTTTCCCATCCTGTCATGTCCACAAAATGCCCCCTGTACCTCCTGCTTCTGGGCGGACGAGGAGGAAGCAGCGGCTCCCACGGTAAGGCCGCGGATGGCGCCCAGCTCGGGCGTGTTCCGAGTGCGTCCAAGGGGCGCCCGGCAGGGCCATGGCGCTGGCTGGCTAGGCGCAGTGGGCGCATCACTGGTGCATGGTGCTTTGAGTCCAGGATGGGTTTGTTGGACCATAATCCCACCGTAAGTTGAGGAGCATCTGTACATAGTTTTTATCCCATCTGTATGAGGAGAAAGTAGGCATATTTATGAAGGTTTGCATGTGTGTGTGTGCATTTTTGATTGTGGTAGAAAACGTGTCACATTTGTTATTAAATACACTCACATTGTACAGCCATCACCGCCGTCGTCTCCAGAACTTTTTTCATCCTGCGGCAGTGAAACTCTGTCGCCGTTGAACACTAGCCCCTCACTCCCGGCGCCCTGGCTGTGACCCCCTGTTCTTTTTGTCGTATGAACTGGACTGACGTAGGGACATCGTGTAAGTGGGGTCATACAGAGTTCGTCCTTTCCTGGCTGCCGTGTTTCACTCAGCATGTCGTCCCCAAGGTCCATCCGTGCTGCAGCAGGTGCCAGAATTCCCTTCCCTTTTAAGGTTGAATAATCTTCCGTCGAATGGCTGGACCACGTCTTGTTTGTCCATCCATCCGTCGACGGACACTCGGGCTGTGCCCAGCCTCGGCCGCTGTGAATGGTGCTGTGAACGTGGGGTACAGCATTTCAGGAGACCCTGCCCCCCCCCGTTTGCTCTCAGGGGAAAGGTAGCACTCTGACCCCTGGGGGAGGAGGCTGGGGGCGGCCCCGCGACCTGCTCCCTCACGCACTTGGTGGTTTCATTTGTTACGGTGTCAGGCTTTGCGTACGATCGGTAAGCCGTGGGGTCACTAACTGTTCTGTCTTTGGTTTGTGCTGTGAAGAGCTCGGCAGACCCTTTACCGCAGATTCCTCCACACGTGGTGAGAGGGTGCAGGCTGCGCCTGGACAAGACCGCCTCCAGGGAGGCCTTTGAGGAGTGCACCGGGTGAGTGCGCCGGGTGAGTGGGCCGCCCCGCCACCGTCTCTCCCTCCTGGAAAGGGCCACTTCAGTAGGAAGAGGCAGGTGACGAGGAGAGGCGGCCACATGGGAGGGCCAGGGTACCAGCGCCGCTTGGCTGGCTCCTGGCCCTCTCTCTTCTCAGCCTTCCGAAGTGCTTGTGTCTAAGGGGAAACAAGTCCCGTAAAATGCTTTTTTAGACCGAGGCACTTGCCAAGAAATCTCTCTCCTCCAGACCCCTGCAGTGTGGACAGGGGAACTCGAAGTCAGAGCCCTTGGCTGAATCCAGCTTCCTGAGGCACGCGGGAAGCAAGGATGGCTTCTGAAGTACCTGGCCCAAAACATGTGGTCCTTTGGACCTTTACACAAGGCATTTGGGTGTCACACACTCGTTCAACAGATGTTTGTCAGCGACCACGTTGGTTTCCTGAGGGTGCCGTGACAAAGCACCGCCCATGAGGTGATGCAAAACTGCAGAACTGTGCTGTCTTGCAGTTGCGCAGTCTGCGTGTCTGAGGTCAAGGTGACGGCAAGGCCGTGCCCTCGCAGCCTTTCCCGGCTCCGGACGCCTGGTGGTCCTCGGTATCGCTGGCCGCCTTTGTCAGCAGGTGGCCGTTTTACCCTCGTACGGGGTGCCGGTCCTAGCGGAGGGGGCCCATACGCCCTCTTCTTAACTAGTCTCACATTCAAATAAGGCCCCGTCCGCAGGCGCAGGGTCAGGACGCCCCGCTTTGGGAGAGGCGCTTCAGCCCCTAATGGTCCCTTCTGTGGGCGGAGGCTACCGCAGAGAACCCAGCAGGAGAAAACCCTGCTGGTTTAAGGTTGCACTCTTTTTTTGCCTTAAGAAAATACAAATTCCGGAGGCTTGGCATATTAGTTACTCTTTTTGGAAAACATGAAGCACCTACTATGCGTCTGTCATTGATCCAGGTTGGGGATAAAATGACAGCAGTGGCTTGGCCCTGGCCGGGTGGCCCAGTCGGATAGAGCGTCGTCCCGACACACGCGGGTGCGGGGGCTGTCCCTGTCGGGGCGCACACGGGGTCGGCCAGCGAGCGCCTGACTGCCTGGAGCAGCAAATTGAGGCCTCTGTCTCTCCTTCTGTCTCAAATTAAAAAAAAAAATGGCGGATCCAAAGAGCTTTTGTCTCTATGGGTTATGTTTTTTACGAACAAGACGACACAAAATCCCACCGTCAGAGCAGAGACGCTGTCAGGTGCCGTGCGGCCTCTGGAAAACCCCTCCGTGAGTGCGGTCCGGTGAAGCCGCGGCGGGGCTCAGGGTTGCTGTGAAGGGAGCTTCGCTTCCGAGCGCCCCGGGAGGGCCTGGGAGCCTGCGGGGTCCTCCGCGCACATTTCCCCACGGCCGCCCAACCCGCGCTGGCGGCGGCCTTGGTAGGTCCTCATCAGCTAGTGAGCCGTTCCAGGGGACAGGCGACGTTCTGTCCCTCATCCATCCGCTCCCCAAGGAAGAGTTTTATTCTATAATAAAATTACAGGCAAAACCTAAGAGGCATGGCCAATGGCGTAATATTTGAAGAAATGTGTCCTGTAAAATAATTTATCAGGTGATTTATTCTCGTGTTAAAAAAAGTTGTGTCGCCTACAGACATTTTCTGCCTTGTGATCAGTAGCCGTTAGACATTCACTCCATCTTATCCGCAGAGTGTCTGCGTCCCCTCTGAGACAGGCACACACTCACTTGCAATGTATTTTAAACTATTGTCTTTTTACTGGTAGTGTCTCTTTTTAACCGAGGGTGGAATCCAGTGCTTTTTCTGCTGCACGGAGCCATTGTCCTCCATCTACAGCTTTGTTCGTTCCTCACCCAAGGACACGCTTATTGATTTTAGAGAGAGGAGAAGAGAGAGGGGGAGAGGGCGAGAAACACTGATTGGTTGCCTCTCTTAGGCGCCCTGCGCAGGGACCAAACCTGTAACTTAGGCCTTTGCGCTGATGGGGAATTGAACCCACAGCTTTTCGGTTTATGGGATCACGCTCCAATCAACTAAGCCACACCAGCCAGGGCGGTAGATTGTTTTTATCAAGTAATTATTTCTCTGATATCCATATACATCAAAAGGACCTCTGACTTTGGGAGAGGAAATGGATTTCATTTCTGGAAATGAACGGAAACTTGCTTTCCTGTTCTCACTGGTTGCAGCAGGAACCACTGTGGAATCCTGCGCTTGTAGAAGGCAGTGTATTGACTAGTATGTATCCACTGGGCCTCCCTACCCAGGCCTCACAGGTTCACTGAGACACAGTGCTTCCGTGCGGGATGGAAGGCGGGTGAATAATGGCATGCGATCTTTTTCCAGAGCTGTCCATAGCTATTTAAGTGGAAAACCGTTTGAAGAATACCAGGAAAGCCCATATTTTTCTCGATTTTTACAGTGGAAATGGCTGGAAAGGTATGTTCTAACTTAAAATTCAATGTAAACAAGTGGTAACTTTTCCTAACCCACCCCGATTGATGTGTACTTTTCCATCTATCAAAATACGATTGGAAATCTTGGGCCGTGTGTGGTGTTTCGTACAGAAATTCCTGATATACACTATTCGGTTTCTTCTTAGCCCATTGACCTGTTCTCTCTGTGCTACATGGCGGCCTGCCCCGTGGGCGTAGCAGTTGGGAAGGGGAGCGTGTCCGGGGGTCACGGGAGGCTCTGCTGGCTCTTGCGAGCTGCGTGGCCTCAGGCAGGCGGCTTAGGCGTGCGGAGCTCTAGGTCCTTGTTCTGAGAAGTAGAGGCGCTCATGGCCCCCACTCCTGAATGGCTGGGACTGCCGAGAAATGTGTGGGACATGCCTAGCGCTCCTTGTCCTCATGTGCCGAGTGCTCAGAGCGTGCCAGCTGCCACTGACGTTGTCATTGTGACGATCGTTACTGATGGGCCCATGTTCCAATCCCATTTCGTGCATGTTTTTGAGCTGTCAGTTATCTCCTTTGCGGTTCCTTTCCAAAGGCCAGCCTATGCTGCAGCTGCGTCCTCTTCCTCCACAGGCTGCCGGGACGCCCCGGGGCGGCGCCTGAGCGCGCCTGGCGTTTGGCAGCCGGCCAGCTGCCGGCCTGCCTGTCGGCAGTGAGGACAGCCCGGCCATGCTGCGCGATCTCAGTGTGCGCGGCGAGTCCCCGGCGCCACTCATTGCCCAGTGCAGCGAGCGCTGGCCCGCTGGCCCGCCCCCTGGCCAGGACGGGCCCAGGAACCAGCCTAGGACCCAGCTAGGTAGGCTGTTGTGTTTTAAAAGTACAATGTGATGAGACCTGAAACCTTTTCTTTTTAATTCCTCAGGCAACCAGTAACAAAGAAAACATTTAGACATTACAGAGTTCTAGGAAAAGGTGGATTTGGAGAGGTAAGTCACACGTGCCGGTGTGAGTGGTGCTAGCCGCCGAGGGGACTGAGAGACCGGATGCTCGGGTCGCGCCTTAGCTTAGCCCCAGCATGTGCTTCCTTACCATGCGTTTGGGGGTAATTTTAGCCAAGCGTGAGAATTAAGATTGAACTTTGAGCAAAAGGTACTTGGCTACAAGCTTTTAAAAAATTGGGAAATCTGGAAAAAAAAATCATTATCTTTGTTTTTACCTTTCACTTCATAAAGAAGTTACCTTCCCACATTCAGTGTTAAAACTCAGTTTGTCCTGATGGAAAAGATTGTTGTGTGTCTGCAGTGGAGTTTCGGCGGCTCCGTTCCTCTGGTTTGGGGCCGGCCCAAGAGCCTGTGCAGCGCAGAGCCTGTTACTCAGTGCGCCTGTGCAGCTCGGCCTGTGCAGCTCACGCCTCCGGGAGCAGGTGTGAGAAGTCTTGTAAATCTGGGAGACTCCTGCGCAATGGCCGTTCGCTGCGAAGGCTGTGCTGCGAAGGCTGTGGCAGGTGGGCAGAGGCTCCCCGCCCTTCTGTGGAGGGGACACTGCCTCCCGCTTACCTGGAGTGGCCGTCCCCCATGCGGGCATTTGGAAGTCCCGCAGCCAGGAGAGCTGGAGGGGGACGAGAGGCCACGCTGCCCGCAGGTGTCTAAGCCGCCTGTGCTCCCAGGCTCCAAGCGAAGGCCACGAGGACCCCCACCCCACCCCACGTGCACGGGAAGCCGGCCCAGGAGGCCACGCCCTGCGGGAGGGAGCTGCCTGCTGCAGTGGCCGAGCTGCGGCCGTCGCCGCAGGAGAGTCGGCCGCGTGGCGCCCCCATGCCGTCCTCGAGGCCGTTTAGACGTGTTTGCGCAATCCAGCCGCAGGGCTGCCTTCGGTCCCTTTGCCACAGACGCTCCCGTGGGAGGTGCGTCCTCGGGGGACCGCCTCCCGGGTGGCAGAGCCACGCGTCGCTTCAGTTCACACTGTTCTTCCCTGTTTGGCCTCCAAGTATGAAGCTCAGATTTTTGTCAAAGAACAAAGGAAAAGTTTCACATGACCCGTGGTCTTGTGCCTACAAAAGAATGAAGTCCTTGTAGCCACGTACAAGTGTTAGAAATGGATTTAGTAGGAACACGTTCGCAATGTGAAGCGCTGGGAAAGACTTGGTGTGTTTGATTTTATAGCGTATTTACTTGTGTTCCCAAACAAATGCCGAATGGACGCCACGGTTTCTGACAGACTTGTCCCAGGTGTGCGCTCCATGAGCCAGGCCCAGGGGGCAGGGAACAGTCCACTGCTGCCCTGTGTGCCTGTTAGAAGGAGCCTCAGACCCTCCTGCATGTGGCCTTGGGGCCCTTCGGACTCAGGTCCCATAGGGCAGGGTCCCAACCTCCGGGCTGCGGACCGGTACCAGCTTGGGCCTGTTAGCAGCCGGGCCGTGCAGCGGGGGGTGAGCTTGGATGAATGCCCTTGAATCATCCTGAAACCACCCCCCACCCCAGTCCATGGAAAAATCATCTTCCGGGAAATCAGTCCCTGCTGCCACAAAAGTTGGGGACTGCTGCCGTGAGGCGCTTCCTCTCCACTTGCTGAGCCTCCACCACGGCTTTGAAAGGACATACGTCTTGTCCACAGTAGTGCTTTATCCACGCTCTAAGCCCTCCACGGAGACCTGTGGGTCCTGAGGCAGGCAGGGTGAGAGGGGCCTCGCGAGGGTGCCCCCACCCTGGGGTTCAGAGGCAGCGCAGTGTAGCCGGAAGGGCGGTGCCTGAGCGCAGGGCGCGGCCGAGGTCACGTGCCTGCTCCACAGCTCGCAGGGGTGCGCGCTCTGCTCGCTGCCGGGGTGCCGCAGGGCTGGGGCCCCCCACTGCCCTGCCCGTCCGGCGACAGGGCAGCCCCCCTGAGTTCACGGTGAAGACGCGTGCCAGGTTCACGTGCTGGTGGGCAAGTGGTTGAACGCGTTCCGGAAGAGTCATAGACGGGGGGACGTGGGGTGATGAGGAGCTGTGCGTTGAGCAAGGAGGTTGCACAGTGTTCGCGCTCCTGTAGCATGAGCCCAGTGTCCCCCGCAGGCCGGGCCGGTGGGAGCGAGGGCTGTGTCCCTGCAAACGCTCGTACGAAGGGGCCCTGGAGGCTAGCCCGCAGCCTGCTAACGATAGTTACCTTGGAGTTGTCAGGTGAGTTTTTTAATCAGTGTCCTTATTAATACTTTAAATATTTTTCACAATAAACTTTATATTTTACCATCAGGTTATTTTATTGGTGGATGAAATTATACCAGGTTCTGCATTTGCTTCTAAAGTGACCTCTGCGTGTGGTTTTGCATGGGCGTGTGTGCGCATGTGTGAGACCCGTGGGTGGGAGCTGCCATGCGCGGATGCTCCGGAGCTGGGGGCTGGGCCCTGGGGCGCTATTAGATGACTTTCCACTTTCCTGAAATGTCTGTTTGAAAATTTTTATAATATAAAGTAATATAGAAATATGACATTGAAATGAAATAGAATAAATGTATGAAAGCCTGTGAATTCTATGAAATATACTTTCTTATATTCCTGAACTGTTAAAAAAAAAAATCAAGACTCTAGTTTCTAAAACTTTTACTCATGTACCTCATGGAGGAAGGCTTAGGGAGGCGTGTTAGAATCGAGCAGTCGCGTGTGACCGCGTGTGAGCAAGCCTGTTGGTCCACTGCAGGGGCTGTGTGAGGCACGCTCTGTTCATGGAGGGTCTCAGGCCCCCCCCCCCCGCCACAGACGAGGAGCCGAGGGGGGGAGGAGCCGACTCCGTGCCCTTGGTGGGGGTCTCCGCGGGGCGGTCTGGGCTCCGCAAGTCCAGCTCCTCACGGGGGCGGGGCGCGTTCCACAGACGACCCTGTTCTCTCTGTAGCGTAGGAAATGCTGGGTATATGCAAACCTTTTCTTTTTTTAAAACTAGGTTTGTGCCTGTCAAGTGAGAGCCACAGGGAAAATGTACGCCTGTAAAAAGCTAGAAAAGAAAAGAATAAAGAGGAGGAAAGGCGAAGCCATGACGCTAAATGAGAAAAGAATCCTCGAGAAAGTGCACAGTCGATTTGTGGTGAGCGTCCCCTCTGGTCCCCGCGCGGCCTGCCTCCCAGCCCCTCCAGTGCGGGCGCTGCTCGGTGGCGTCTGGTCCACTGCTGTCTGGCGCGGTTCACAGGGATGGGCGCCGGGGACAGCGTGCTTTGGTAGTGACCCCTGGTTTTTCTCAGTTCTTACTGGACACAAACATAAGCCCGCGGTGACCGTGCTTGGAACTTGGAATTTGCTACAAGCGCGTTGCTGCCCCCCACGTCCACCGGGCAGTTGCTCCTCACTGGCCAGGCGCCCCGCCCTCCGGGGGGCAGCCGCTGGTTCGGGCCCCGGGGGTGCCCTGCTCCCTGCCTGGGGCACTTTCTGGCGGCTCCTTGCACGGCCTCTGTATTCCCACCTCTGTCCTCTTTGGACACCTGGAATTGGCCTCAAGTAGCACCTCCCACTTGCGTGAAGCTTCCAGTCCCACCTTGATTAGGGGCCTTGGGGGAGGCCAGGGCCCCCCCAGGCCCCAGGCCGAGCTTTAAGAGGCATGATTCCCAATAACAGGAAACGGTTATTGCCTGTTTCCTGGAGCACCTGCTGCCGTAGGAAGGCCTGGCAGAAGGAAGAGAGAGAACGGTAATTTGCGAAGTGACTTGTGGTGTTGGAGTTACTGCCTCCTTGCCGCAGAGGCCAGCTGCTTTGTGCCAGGGACGGATGTTCTGGACAGTGCATGGCCGGCATCTCAGCATGATAGGGAGGCTTTGTGTGTCTGATGTGTCGGACGTGTGTCCCATGAAAATCTTTAATAAAATGCACTCATCTTAGTGTTGCTTTAAATGTACTAGCGTGACTGGAAACAGAGAAATCCGCAAGCTGGCCTAGCGATCGGGACAGAAGGAGTAGTTGCGGTTTAGTCTCTTTAAATAAAACATTTTAGTTTCTACACTGGCTACTTTGTCCTTGATTGTGTTGCCCCCCTGGGAGCAGCTGAGGAGGGGCCCTGACCTGTCCCGGGCCACCTTCAGCTCCTCCTCCCTGTCCCCGCTGTCACCCCAGCCCACAGTGCGACGTGTGTGTCGACAGCCCAGGACTCTCTGGGTAACTGATTGGAGGTTAGTCAAGTTGCTAAGGGTGATACTAGCTGCAAACAATTAGAAAATGAAAGTTTTAATTGATACTATTTACGGTAGCATCAAGAAACATCAGAACCTAGGCAGACACGGAAAATGTGCAAGACTTCTCCGCCGAGCCCATGAAATGCAGGTGCACGACGCTGCAGGAGACCTAAGCAAGCAGAGGGTGCCCTGTCCACGGGCTGGAAGGCTCAGGGCTGCGAAGCTTTCAGTCCTCCCCCAAACTGGTGGGCAGATTAAGTGAATTAAGTGCAGCCCAATCACAGCCCTAGCGGAAGGGCAGGCAGGGTGTACATGTGTGTGCGTGAGAGAGAGAACAGACATAGAAACTGACAGCAAAGGGGGCGAACACCCTGAGCAGGCAGAAGAGGTCCCAGTGGGTCATAAGTGTATGAAAAGGTATGGGAAGTGTCTCCATGTTTGCATATTCAGAGGAACGCAGGAAACCCTGGAGGAGACCCCGTGCCTTGGCCCGCAATGGCCACAGCAGCCGCTGCCGGCCGTGGGGGGCGCGGGTGTTCCGGAAGCGTGTGGTGCCGGTGTCCCAGGCGGGAACGTAGCTTTGGGATCATGACCCGTGCCTTTGTGAAGTTTTGCCACCTTCTCACTTGGACACGGCCAGTGCCCTCCCTTCAGAGCAGAACTGCCGTGGGGCCCTAGGAGGACCTGGCGTGGGGGCGTAGTCCTGGAGTGCAGGGGGCCAGGGCTGTCGCCAGGAGCCCCGCGTATGTCGCGGGGGACCGGCCCGTGAATGAGCAGATGCCTGTGCTCTGTTTTCACGACGCTGCTGTCTCTAGGTCAGCCTCTGCTACACGTACGAGACCAAAGACTCCCTGTGCCTGGTGCTCACCATCATGAATGGAGGGGACCTAAAGTTCCACATCTACAACCTGGGCGGCCCCGGCTTCGAGGAGCAGAGGGCGGTCTTCTATGCCGCCGAGGTGTGCTGCGGCCTGGAGGACCTGCAGAGGGAGAGGATCGTGTACAGGTGAGCGCGGCCCTCACACGCGCGAGGGCCCATCCGAGTGGCCTTGGTTTTCCTTTCCGCTCCCTTCAGTCTCTAGAAAGCAGTTTTTACTTGTCAGGTTGATCGAACATGGGCGGGGCCACTCAGCATGAGAAGAACCGTCCTGAGATTCTCAGACGTTCTGACTCCTCTGCTAAGGGCTGTGGATTCTGTGCCAACGAAGTAGCGTCACAATTAAATGTCTGAGAAGTACATTCATTTTAATATTTTTACACCTTAGACTTGAGTAAAGAAAGTTCAATTAGTTTGCTAGTCAGACATTTTAATTTGCTAGTTAGGCAGTCCGGTGGGAGCCGCGGGTCTGCCTGAGGGGAAGCAGCTGCCGAGCTGGCCCTGCCGCTGTCCTCGCGCACCCCGGGCGGGCCGTCCCACCCAGTCACCTCCGGCTCACCTGTCGACCGCCTGCGTGCGCTCCCTCCCGGGCACTGCCGGCCTCACCCTTTCTCCTAAAATCCCAAGGGGACCGACCGTGTATCCCTTGGTCCCGTCCCCCCCCCCCCCCCGGCCACCGAACCACTCCTTCTCCAGGGCCACCGGCCAGGGCCTGCCTTCTGTGGGTCCGCTCAAAGCACGGGCCTGGCTGGCCTCCCGCCCAGCAGCCCCGCCTGGCCCCTGCTCCACCCCAGCCCCATGGGGGACCCCGTGTCCTTCCACTCCACACGGGGTTCCCTCTGCTCTCGTCATTTGCATCTAGCGGTAGGTCTGGGGACTCTCCTGCCCCTCATGCTGTCCCGCTTCGTACCTGGGTTCCTGGTGGAGCCTTTCTTCACTGCCCCCACCGGCCCCTGCCCCAGGCTCCTGCTCTCACACAGCCGTGTCCTCCCTTGACCACACGGGGGCGCATGCCCCTCGGGGCGCTCTGGCCCCGGCCAGCGGTGGTCACACCAGAGCCAGCTGGCAGCTTCTCAGAGGCTTTGATCGCTTCATCCCTGCTCTGAGGAACTTGGACATTTTCTTGTCTCCTGTGTCCCAGAGCCAAGGTACAAGTCTGTGTCTCTCCCTTTTTCTTCTTTCTTTTTAAAAGTCTTTTGGTAATAACAACGGAAAAGAAAGCGTATTGGCCGCAGAGACAGTTGGCAGTGATGCCCAAGCCTGCCGTCCCCAGGCTCTGAACACGCACGCTGGCTCCGCGTTGCTCCTCTCCCTGTTGGTGGTTAAGAGGAAGGGCAAGGCTAAGGCCCCTGTGGCCCCTCCCCCGCCGGCTCCCACGGCTGACAGTGTAGGAGAAAGTGCTCGCGGGTGTTCTCTGAGGCAGGGGGCGCCTGCGTGGCTTGGCCTGTCCGTCCCAACAGTGGGTGTAAGGTCGCCATTGGCCATGACACCCTGCCAGCCCGGCGGTTCCCCCGGCTCAGTGCGTTGTAGACATCCTTGTCTGGAGCCCGTCTTGCTCCATTTTTAAGTCTCTGGCACAGGGTCCACAGAACACTGCCCCGAAGAGGCTGCTGCTGTGCTGCTTCGAGCTTGGGGACGTCGGTGAATGGCAGGCTGTCCTCTCCCCTTTGGCCATTTGCCACCTACCCTCGCCTCCGAGCCCGGGGGGCTCCCAGCGTGGCTGCTGCGGTGCCCGCCGCAGCTCGTGGTTCTGGCCTGGCGCAGGGCGGCACTCTGGCCCGCGGTCTTCGCGACCATGCTCTGCTTCAGCGTGGCTCTCAGGTCTCTCAGCGGACCCTCCCTCATGGCTCCGTGATGGGTCTTCCTGCGCGGCCCGCGGGGGCTCTTTGGCCCTCTGGGCGTCTCAAGGTCCTGCCCAGGCCTGTTGCGAGCCCCTTGTAACGGGAAGGTTGTCCTTGCTGTTGAGGGAGGGAGGCGGTGTAATGCCGGGTGCCGCGCAGGCCCCGTGTGCCCTGCGGGAAGCGCTCTCCGTCCCAGGGCAGACGGGCCACCGGCCCTCCGGGAGCGGCTTCGGCTGCGGGTTTTGCTGCATTGAGCAGGTGACTCCAGAGCCGCCCCCAGAGGCTTCGATGATGACATTGCCCTCTTCATAGCTGACGCGAGGCCCCGTGCGCTGGATGCCTCGACGGTCTCTCATTTGGCCTCGCCAGTTCTCCTTTGCTGAGAGGCATGCGCCTTCTTGATATCACTCCAAGCCTTAACGTTTCTTCAGCAACACTGTGGTTTTCTTGTGCCCTTCGGCCTCATCTTAAACCAGCAAAGGACTTCAAAACTTCCTCAGTGAGGAGGCTACGGCGTGGAGAGGGGAGGGCCCCAGCCCTCGTGACCTGCCAGCTGCAGCGGGAGAAGGGAGACTGGAAATCTTGCAGGGTTGGCCTTCTAAAATGTTTCAGGTTTACCACTGTAGAAAACAGCATGGAGCTTCCTCAAAAAATTAAGAATAGAACAACCGTATGGCCCAGAAGTTCCACTCTGGGTCTTTATCTAAAGGATAGTCTGCAGGCTCTCGAAGAGATGCCTGCACCCCATGTCCGCTGCAGCGATATTCACAATAGGCAGGACATGGGAGCAACCTAAGCGTCCACCAGCAGGTGAATGGTTAAAGAAGACGTGTGGCTCAGTGGACTGAGCGCCGGCCTGCGAACCAAAGGGCTGCCGGTTCGATTCCCAGCCAGGGCACAGGCCTGGGTTGTGGGCCAGGTCTCCAGGAGGGGGCGTGTGAGAGGCGACCACAGACTGGTGTCTCTGTCTCTCCCCCCCTCCCTTCCCCCGTCTAAAAGTAAATAAATAAAATATTTAAAAAAAATAAAAAGGATGTGGCGCATACGTGCAGTGGGATATTATTCAGCCGTGAGAATGAAGGGCCTCCTGCTGTTTGCGACAACATTGGGGGGGGGGACGGAGAGAGCATTGTGTTGAGCGAAATAAGTCAGAGACAGACAAATACTTGTATGTGGAATCTAAAAACAAAAATCAAACTCCTAGAAAGAGTGTAGAAAAATAGTTGCCAGGGGCTGGGGTGTGGGGTGGGGAAATGGAGGGAGCTGGTAGAGGGCACGGACTTGCAGCTCTGAGATGAGCGAGGCCTGCGGTCCAAGGAACACGTGGACTCACTAGATGGCAGCGCCGTGTTGGGTGATGGGAATTCGCTAAGAGAGTAGAACTTAAAATGTTTTTACCACCTCCCCCCACCAAAAAAAGGTAACTAGCTGATGGATGTGTTAATTAAGTACATGGAGGGAATCTTTTCACAATTTTAAGAAAAAAAAAGTTTTCAATTTCATAGTATTTTCTAGCAATTAAGGAAACAACAGAAAAACATACAACAGGGGACACCTGGGTGAGGGGCCGGAGGAGCCCCACGCTGGCCTTTCGCCAGCGACCCCGGTCTGTCGTGTTCCGGGAGGGTCGCTGTCCACACTCTCTTAGCCACCGCGTGGGCGTTGTCCCCAGTCACTCACCTTTAGGGAGCAGCTCACACTGGGCGGGTGGGGCGCTGGTTTTCTGTCCTTAGATCTCCGTTCTCTGCGCATGAATGGGACTGTGCCGTGTGCGGCCTTTGGCCCGGGGCGCTGCTCGCCCACCCAGCAGTGCAAGGGTCCTGCCTGCTCAGGCTCCATCAGTGCCTCGCTTTTTCCTGCAGCGCAGCCGTGCGCCGCTGTCGTCCGGAGGGGCTCGTTCTGCGTGTCCGTCTGCCAGGTGATGGGCTCCTTTGGTGGTTTCCACTGTTGGGCTGTTGTGGGTAATGCCGCTATGAACAGTTGTGTGTGAGTTTTTGTCTGGACACAGACTTTTGGTTCTCTTGGGTAGATACCTAGAAGATGCATTTTTTGGTCATATGGGAAATTTGTGTTTATCTTTTTAAGAACATTCCCGACTGTTTCCCACCGAGGCCGTGCTCAGCGTTTCCTCCAGGGTCCCATTCCTCCGCCTCCCGCACCGGCCGCCTGGCTCCGGGGTTCTAGCCCTGCCGCTGGGCTGGACTGACGCCTCACGGCCTCTCTGATTTGTGCTTCCCTGATGGCCGATGATATCAAGCACCTTTTCATGGGCCTGTTGACCATTCTTGTTTATTCTGTGGTAAAATGTCTATTCAGATATTTTGCTCATTTTTAATTTGGGTTATCTGTCTTGTGAAGTTGAAAGAGTTCTTTATGTATTCTGGATACAAGTCCTTAACCAGATATAAAATTTGCAAGTATTTTCTCACAGTCTGTGGCTTGCTTTTTTATTTTCTGAATAGCCTTTTTAGAAGTACAAAAGATTTCCATTTTAATGAAGTCCAATTTATAAATTTTCCCCTTTATTGACCACACTTTGGCTGTCATAGCTAAGAAATCTTTGTCAAACCCAACAGCATGAAGATTTTGTCCGATGTTTTCTTCTAAGAGTTTTACAGTTTTAACTCTTACCTTTAGGTTTAAAATCTATCTTGAGCCCTGGCTGGTGAGCTTGAGCTCAGTGGATTGAACGCCAGCCTGCCAACCAAAAGGCCATCAGTTCGATTCCCAGCCAGAGCACAGGCCTGAGTTGCGGGCCAGGCCTCACGCTGGGGATGTGCAAGAGGCAACCAATCAATGTTTCTCTCGCACATCAGTGTTTCTCTGTTTCTCCTTCCCTTTCTCTTTCTCTAAAAAATTAATAAATAAAATCTTAAAAAAAATAAAGTCTATCTTGAGTTAATTTTTAGTATAGTGTGGGTGGGTGAAAAGTCTATATCCCGGCAGTGTTTGTTCAGAATATTGTCATTTCCTCGTTGACTTTCCTTGGTACCTTTCTCAAAAACCAATTGGCTATAAATGGGAGGGTTCATTTATGAACTCTCCTTTCTGTTCCATTCCTCTGTCTGTCCTGACAATAACACATTGTTTGATTATTGTAGCTTTGTAGTAAGTTTTGGAATTGAAAGTGTGAAGCTTCTAACTTTGGTCATTTTAAAGATGATTGTGGCTATTCTGGGTCCTTGGTTAGCATTTCCATATAAATGTTAAGATCAGCATGTCATTTTCCAAAAAGAAAATTTTTTGCCTGCTAAGGTTTGCATTGAATCCACAGATCAGTTTGGGAATAATGAACATCTTACCCATACTGAATCTTCTGATCTATGAACACTGATATCTTCCATTTATTTAGGTGTTCTTCAGCTTCTCTCAGCAACATTTTATAATTTTCAGTGTATAAGTCTCGTCCTTTTTTGTTAAATTTATTCTTACATGTTTTATTCTATTTCAAATTCAGTTATTTTCTTAATTTCCTTTTGTGTTGTTTATTGCTAGTATACAGAAACACCGTCTATTTCAGCATAGTGACCTGTGTTCTCACCGAACTCTGTCATTAGAGGTTTTGGTGTGAGTTCCCTAGGATTTCTACGCGGACAGACAGGCGCCCTGTGCATGAAGACAGCAGCAGGCTCACGTGTTTAGTTTTCTTTCCCAGCTGAGACCCTGCTGCTTCTCCTGGTGCTTCAGAGGGGGAACTGTGGCCGGATAGACAGACTCAGTTTTGATGCCCGGGCCGCACACTCAGCCCTGAAAGTCTTCAGTGAAACCTGCGTCTCTGCAGCATGGTCTGTTTTATACTGCCATTGGGTGAACGTTGCCTGTAGACTCCTTGACCTTCCATGTGACGCCTGGAGCCTTGGACAGCATGAAGGACTTACCACTTGATCACAGATAACACAGCGTGGATGTTATCTGCCGTTCTTGCCGTTGCTCAGAGCACAGAGGCTTCGGGTTATTTCTGCGGACTGCTGATGGGTCATGGTATTGACTTCTAAATAACTGAATTTTTTGCTGTCGCTTCTTCCTTTGCAGAGACTTAAAGCCTGAGAACATCCTCCTCGATGATCACGGTGAGCGCGCCTCTCTGGCCTGACGCACGGACTTCGATATGAGGGACTTGAGCCCAGAAAGTCAATGTGGACCGAGCCGGTTAATGCAGAATAGAAACAACAGCAGAAAGAAACGAGTGCACGGTCTTTTAAAAATAGAACATGGATGGCATTGTCCCTCCGCAGTGTTCAGACAAGCGGCAATTGGCAACTGAGCCCGGAAGCCCACCAAGGTGGACCCCGAGCGGGAACACCTGCCGCTCTGCCCTGCCTTGCTGTGGGCCCGCACTGCGCTGTCTCCCCCACGCCGCGTCTCCACGTCCTCCTATGCAGGGGCCCGCCTCCCCGCCGTCCCCTCTGCAGGGCGCGCGTCCTGGGCTGTGGTGCAGTGGCCGCCGGGGCTCTCCTACGTGGCTGTGCGGACCCTGGGGCCAGTGGAAAGGCTCTCGGTCCGCAGCACGGCGCCTGCTCAGGCTCCGTTCCCTGGGTGACAGCTGCACCAGGGAGGGCAGGCCCCTAGGTGCTGTATTTTTTTTAAACATTTTATTTTTATTTATTGTTAGAGAGAGGGGAAAGGAGGGGGAAGAGAGGCAGGGAAAGATCGATGTGAGAGAGAAACATTGAAACGTGAGAGAAGCATCAATCAGCTGCCTCTCGCATGCACCCCGACTGGAGACCTGGCCTGCAACCCAGGCATGTGCCCTGACTGGGAATTGAACCAGTGACCTTTCACTTTGTGGGACGATGCTCAACCCACCGAGCCACATCAGTCAGGGCATAGCTGCTGTACTAACAAGTGACCACAGAAGCCCTTTGGAAGCGGTTTTTGAGGCGATGTTTTGGCTGTGAGAAGCGTGACCGTCTAGCGGAGGGCGTGAGGGAAGGCAGCCAGGGGCCCCGACAGGAGGGGCCGCGTTGGCGGCAAGAACCTGCAGGCAGACACGGGGCTCGGCCCGGGCCCTGGCCCCTGTGCACCCGCCGAGCGCTGTCCTGCTTGGTGTCCTGTCTGTGTGTGAAGTGGCCCCATGAGCAAGGGAAAGAAGTGCCATGTGTAGGAGGCGACAGGTGCTGGTATCCGAAGTACAGCTGGGCCTCGGCGTTTGCAGCTGATCGGTTTCCGGACGCCTGATGAGCACTGAGCGATGACGTGGTTTCTCTTGCGGGTGGTGGTGTGACTCCTGCAAGTCTAGCAAGTGTGATGAGTCCTGAGCAAGTGCTGGGCGCTGAGACATTTTTTTCTTGTCCAAAGGAGACAAGTGCTGGGCTTGATGAGCTCAGCCCACGGGCACCGGTGCGGGTGGGAACAGCGCAGCGCAGCGGGGCAGGCGCTTGCCACCGGGCAGATCTGCTTTTAGGTATTTTTGCCTGTCATTCAGTTTCTGCCACCAAACAGAAAGCAGTGTTTCTGGGCCACTTTCCTGTGTCGCTGTCCTTTACTGACGGGCTCACCTTCCAATAACAAGAGAAAAGAATGACAAAACTTTGTTTGCTTTTCTTGATTTAAGGAGACTTTTAATCTTTTATTCCTTTTTTCCTGCTGTTTTAATTTTTAAAAATACACTCCAGTTTCTATGACTTAAAAAAAAAAAAAAGCAGTTGACTTTGGGATTTTTCCTCTCATGCAATGGAGGTCTCTAAGAACTGCTTCCCCCAGCAAGCCACAGAGGACAGAGCGACACAGTTCTCCGTGAATGTGTCTTCCCTGTCCTCCCAGACAGCCTACGGGGGTCCTGTTCATGGAGCAGAACTTAGCACTGCGGCCGTGGCGTTCGCCAAGAAAAGCTGGCTACTCCGCGCGGTGAGGCGCTTCCCCCGTGACCCTCCTAAGTGTCCCTGCGCCCTTTTGCAAATATATAAATTACAGAGGACTCAGCTTATGAAATTCATCCAGTGGTAGTGATAATAAAGAAAACTATATTATGCTTATATTTTCTATAGAAGAGGTCTCCGTTTTATGAAATAGTGATAGTCCTAAAAAGTAGGACGAACAGTGAGTTCTTGTAAAAACTAGTAGCATTTTTTTAAAAGATTGTATTTGTTTTCTTTTAGAGAGAGGAGAAGAAGGGCAGAAAGAGAGGGAGAGAAACAGCAATGTGTGAGAGAAACATTTATTGGTTGCCTCTTGCATGCCGCCAGCTGGGGACCTTGCCCACAGCCCAGACCTGTGCCCTGACTGGGAATTGAACCAGTGACCTTTTGGTTCACAGGCCAACACTCAGCCCACTGAGCCACACCAGCCAAGGCAAAACCAGTAGCATTTTATTGACAATGATTTTAAAGAAAATCCTATACATCTTCTTTTCTCTATATGTGTGTCAAAGTAAGGATACCATTTCCTAACATAAATACAATACTGTTATTACATCCAAAAGTATTTAACAGTTCCTTAGTATCACCCATAGGCTTCAAGTCTTAACCGTATCATGAATGTGGAGTTGCGTATTGACTATTCAATGAACTACATTGGGTTGATACCTTGTTGCGTCTTATTAACTTTCATAGGCTTCTCCTCCCTGCTTCTTTGGTTATTTGCATGTGAGTCCAGGGGTTATGGGCAGAATTGTATTCCTGAAAAATGTATGTGCTGAAGCCCTAACCCGGCACCTTGGAATGTGACTTGTATTTGGTGATGGGGTCTTTAAAGATACAATTAAGGTAGAATGTGGTCATTGGGACTGGCCCCGATGCCGTGTGACTGGTGTCCTGTGGGGAGGCATTAGGCAGGACACAGACCCACAGAGAGGGAACATGATGTGAGCGCACAGAGAGAAGGTTCTCATCTACACGGCAAGGAGAGAGGCCACCCTTGGTCTTAGACTTCCAGCCCCAGGACTGCGAGGAAGTAGCTTCTGCTGTTTAAGTCCCCGGTTGGGGTGCTGAGTTCTGGCGGCTCTGTCAGGCTGCACACAGACGCTCGTGCAGTTGATTTCCGTGCTGTGGACTTGGCTGGATGTAGTGTGGTCCCTGAGAGCCAGAGGTTGGGCCTGGGGGCTGGGACAGGTCCCGGTTGGATTGTGGGTAAGTAGACATCATGTATACTTCCTGCTGTAGTGCATCAGGAGGCAGGTGATGGCTGAGTGTCTCTTAAAAATTTTTTTTAGCCCTGGCTGGTGTGGCTCAGTGGATTGAGCACCTGCCTGCGACCCAAAGGGTCACCGGTTCAGTTCCCAGTCAGGGCACAGGCTGGGTTGCAGGCCAGGTCCCCAGCAGGGGGTGCGCGAGAGGCAACTGCACCTTGACTTTTCTTTCCCTCTCTTTCTCCCTCCCTCCCCCTCTCTCTAAAAAAATAAATGAAATCTTAAGAAAAAAAAATAATTTCTTTTTAATCCTCACCCAAGGGATATGTTTATTGAGTTCAGAGAGAGAGAGAGAGAGAGAGAGAGAGAGAGAGAAACACCAATGTGAGAGAGAAACATTGATCGGCTGCCTCCCATAGGTGTCCTGACCTGGGATGGAACCGGTACCCTTTCGGTGTATGGGACGACGCTCCAACCCACTGAGCTGCCCGGCCTGGGCAGGGGCCTCTGTTCTCTTGGTGTTCAGGCTGACCCGTGGTGTGGTCAGACTGGTCGGTCCATTATTCAGTTCCCACCGGCCTTTCACTTAATAGCCTAATATTCAGTGTCGTGAGCTGTCACTCCACTGGGGTTGTGTCAGGATGATGTGTTAATTTCGTCCTTCCTTTTGGCTTGCTTGTTGGGACTCACCTATAAAAAGAACTGTGCTTCATTAACATTTGTTTTCTTGTTCCTCAGGAAACTCAGGCGGAACACTTGAGCATGACCTCCTTTTGTTTTCACTTTCACTTTGCAGAGCGCTGTGTGTGTTCTCTGTCATTCTCCAAGACGACCAAGAAGTGTTTGTTTTTTTCTGTTTTGCTATCATTGTGAACTGGTGGATTTTAACACTTTGATGTGTTTTAGTCCATTGAAACCATTCTTTTTGATGTTCCTATTGTCCCGCCTTTGGCCAGTGGTGTCCAGCAGACTTTAAGACCTCCCTTGTTTGCTGCTACGGTAACATTGCAGGATTGTCTTGCGCACGTGCTGAGACCTGGAGTCAACTGTTTCCCCAAAGGGCCCCGGCCCCCTGGGTGGGAAGCGGCACCGTGAGCCCATGTGGGCACTGAGGAGCCCACTGCTGCTGTGTTGGTCGGTCTTCCTAGGCCTTTTCAGTGGACAAGGAAGATGTGCTTTGTTTCTTCTTTTCTAAGAATATATCATGGGTTCATATTGATATTCCCAATTTTTATTTAACGTCTTTATTTCGCGTTTGTGCTTTTCTCCTGATGCTGAAAGTATTAGTTCCTAATGACATTAACATACAAGGCTTTTCTCCATTTTGCTTTTAAAATGTGTGACAGAGATCACTCTCCCCCACCAAGGGGAGGTCTCCCAGGTCCGTGGCCCGGCTGCCTGGGACAGAGTCATAGAAGCAGGGCACTGGGTGGGAGGACGGGCTCACGTAGAGTTCCCCCAAATTCCTCCTGGGGGTGCTGTGCAGGTTTGCACCCCCCCCCCCCCCCCCGGCAGGGCCCCATCCGCCTGGTTCCCCGCATCCCGCCCACAGACCACGTTCTCACATTTGGAGTTTCTGCCAGTTTGTCAGTAGGTTTACCGTTCACTTCTCAGTGTAAAAAATCACTTTTTTAAAAGAAGAATGAGACAAAGGAACTTAAAATTTCACAACATTGTGCTCTACTTAAAATACATACAACTGTGATGTTGAGGGAATTCTGTATGAAGGGGGGACACTGACATGTGCTAGTAAGTGGCAGACCTCGGACTCCACCCCAGGCCGTGTGGCCACAGCATCCGTACTGGCCCTTCCACTCTGCAGCCGCGGGGGTGGGTGGGTGTGCGCATGGCTTGCCAGGTCGGAGACGCAGTGCAGCCGGAGCCCAAGGTCTGCCTCCCGCCTGGAGCATCGCGCACGCTGGCCTGAAACTGCGTCAGTGCCTTGGAGGGCGGCCAGCTTTGCCGGTGGCTGAAAGGCCTCCTGGTGAGCAGCCAGGCACGACTGATTTCCTGCCGTTAGTGGGACTCAACGCACTGGATAGCTTTTGAGTAAATGCAGGAAAGTTATATGTAGTTTTAGATTCCAGTATTTCTGAGTGTGGATCGCTCTAATCTCCATCCATGCTTTTAGATGTTTTTTCCCATTTTGTATTGTTGTTCAGGCGTCAGCGTGTCCCCCGGTGATTTGTGTCATGTATTTGAACACACGCAGGACACATCCGGATTTCCGACCTTGGTTTAGCCTTGGAGATCCCAGAAGGGGAGACGGTCCGAGGGAGAGTTGGAACGATCGGCTACATGGGTAAGTGGGAGACCCCTTCCGTGGCCCTTGTGCTGCCTGTTCAGGTGCCCAGTCCCCAGAACACAGAGAAATTCAAACGCGGATGCCCTGGAGCCGTCGCTGCCCGAGGCACAGGTGTGGCGTTCGGCACCCCGCCCTGCCTGGCCACCTGGGCTCGTCCCGAGCCCCCTGCCCGCCCCTCCCCTAGCGGGGGCCGAGGCCCGGGGGCGTCTCGCAGCCGTGAAGGCCGGGTTGGGGCCGGGCAGCCCTTCTCGCTCAGCCGCTGCCGCCCCCAGAGTGCTGGCCTCACAGGCCCCTCCTGAAATCGCATCCCCTGGTTATTCCAGAGCCTTGGGTCGGCTCCAGAGGTGACCTCACAGCGCTGCCTGGGACGCTTGCCTGACCCCAGGGTGCCCCTGCAGAGTCCTGCCGCAGTCCCCATAGCCCGCTGTTTCTGCTGTCACCAGCCACTGCGGTCCTGACTGCATTAGGGACAGAGACCGTTCACTTCCCGAGGCACCGGGGCTGTGGAGCTGTGTGCGTGGAGGGGGCCCCCTCCCTCCAGTTACTCTGTGGGGATCCATCTCATGCTCGTGGGGGGTACGCAGTTTCTAGTGACAACTTTACTGAAGTAGAGCTCACATCCTATAAGGCTCGCCGTCGGAAGTGCACTGTGCTGTGGACTCCAGTACCTTCACAGCAGCGCGCCGCCGCCGCCAGCATCTCATGTCAGAATGTTCTCATCACTGCAAACGAGAACCCGCATGCCCACCAACAGTCACTCCCTTTTTGTCACCTCCCGCCCCCAGCCCTGCAGCCACTAATCTACTTTCTATCTCTGTGCACTGGGCGAGTCTGCCCATTTCACAGAAATGCAGCTGGTCGGCCTTTTGTGTCTGGCTCTTTCGCTTAACGTTGTTTCTAGGTTCATCCATGTTATCACAAACATTAAAACTATAGTGTGTTATTTGGAACTGATTACAAGAAAATTGAAAACTAAAGTAACTTACATTTCCTGTATTTGTTATATAGCTCCGGAAGTTATCGATAATGAAAACTATACATTCAGTCCCGACTGGTGGGGATTTGGCTGTCTGATCTATGAAATGATTCAGGGACATTCTCCATTCAAGAAACACAAGGAGCGCGTGCGGCGGGAGGAGGTGGAGCGGCGTGTGAGGAGGGACACCGAGGAGTACTCGGAGAAGTTCTCGGAGGACGCCAAGTCCATCTGCAGGATGGTGGGTTAGCTGGGCTGGCGGCGCTGGCCATCTCAGGGGCCGGGAGGGGCTGCCAAAGGTCCTGCCTGGCGCTTCCTGGCTCGAACGCCTATGGGCTTCCTCTCGAGGCAGATGGGGCAGTAGGGACTGGCCTGGACGCCATCAGGAGAAGGACGTAACTGGGCTTCTCATGAAACAGAGCAAAGCTGAGTCAAGCATGTGGCTGGTTTGCCTTCCCAGGGACGCTGCTGAGGGGCGGTGGCGCTGAGGCCCTGTCCTCAGAGCCTCCCCATGCCGCGGACCAGTGTCGCATGAAACTGAACTACAGCCGAATCTTCAGTGCACTTTGGAACAGTGAGGTTTTTCTCTCGCCCATCTTCTCCCTTTAGTAGCTGCTAGGGACTGTCATGCGTCACCCTGACTCAGTTTTCTGCCGTGTGCCTGCCTCTTTCCTCGATGTGCCAGGCCCGGCCCGGCAAGGCTGTGTGTCACGGGGGGTGACGACCCTTGTGAGGCGTAGTCAGGTTCGCCCCCATGTGCCCCCAGGCCAGGCAGGCCCTTTCCGTTCACTCCGTACCCACGCATGCCCAGACACGAAGTGGGTGGAAGGAGCTCTCCTTGTCACTTTAGCAGATACTTAGGTGCTCTGAGCACAGTTTTTCATTCATTTCCATTCGCGAGGGTTTATGAACATCACCTGTGGGACTGTCTCAGGCCCGGGGCATCCAGCAGTGAGTAGAGCAGTTGAGAACCCGTCCCCCGGGGTTTGTTCTACTGCAGGGGTGGTGGGGACGGGCAGAGAGGGGTGCAGACCACCAGGCCCTGAGAGGGAAGGAGGGAGGGGGGCCCAGGGGCCCTGGGAAGCCCTCGCAGGTTTCCAAGGGTGGGGGATGTGCTGGGAAGAGACTGCAAGGACTGATGGAGGGAGACCAGCCAGGGCTTTGAAGACTTTCCGGTGGGGGTGGCAGTCAGACCTGGGTGAGAAGTCAGGTCCCAGCTGAGTAGGGAGGTGGCGCTGCAGGGTTTCCTACCAGGAGTCCAGGCTGTGCAGGGAGGGGAGAAGTGCGAGGCAGAGTGGGAGAGGTGGGTGGTGGGGAAGTCACTGCCACGGGGCAGTGCTTGTGCGGTGGGAGCTCATGAGTGGTCTCTGTGGCTTCTGTCTTCAGAGGTCATCAGCCTCGTGAGAGTGTGGGGAGCTGTCGGAGGGGTGGGCTGAGGGGGTGAAGGGAGCTGAAGGCGGTCCTGGGAGCATCAAAGGCCCGTGGGGATTTAAGTGAAGGGGGAGGTCAGTGGCCTCGATTGTGTCATGCTCCTGGCCCTGGAGCCATAGCTTGTTGGAGCCACAGTTCCTCCTTGCCAGAGCTGAAACACTGGGGAACAAGCAGGGGGGCAGCTGTTTGAAATGGCAGCGTGGGCTTGATGGTCTGGGAGAGTTGGCGTGTGACCTAGGGAGGAAGTGGCGAGGGCAGGACACAGGACTAGGTCACTAGGGAGGGGCATGTTGGAGTCCCTGGCAGGCACACCACCTGTTACTGAAGTGCATCAGTAACTCATGTGAGTTGATAGTGGCCGCACAGGAATGATTTCAGGTTCCCTCTCCTTTTGTTTCCGTCACCGTGATGATGGTGCGTGTCAGCGGCCTGCCCCTGAGCAGTGGGATGGGGCCTCTCTTCCAGCTCACTCTGACAGTGTTTGGAGTTGACAGTGTTCAGTCAGCTCCTCCTTGTTTAATAACATTCTGCCCAAGCCGCTGTTCCTGCACATCACTAGTGTGTTGTGCTGCACACTTGCTACACTCTGACAGGGCCGCAGGGACCTAACCCATGAATTAGAAGTAGAGCCTGCCCCTAAGGAGCTCGCGGGTTTGGGGCGCGTCTAAAACAAACAGAAATAACTACAGTAAAAACAGGTAAGCTGGAACAATGTGCGCTGGCCTTCACCTGGGACTTTGATTTATATTCAGAAAAGCGGTGGGTGCTGGCGCTGAGTGTGGCCACAGCAAGCTTTTCTGGGAGGGCCCAGATGGTCAGTATTATTTAGGCCTCATGGAGCTCTCTGCCTCTGCAGTGCATAACCGGCAGTGACAGCTGAGCCCTGGGCCCGCTGTGCGCTCAGCAACATGTGTCCAGTTGGGCGGTGGGGGATGCGACCCTGGCTGCAGCTCCCAGCCCCGGCCTTTGCTGTATTTCCAAGCACCAGGTCTTTCCTGTGCTGCTCTGAGCACAGCCAAATCTTATTGATTATAACTGTGGAGGCAGGCCTCTGTGAATTTGTGACGTTAGTAATTTCATATATATCAAAGGTGTTTCAAATTTATCAAAGGTATTCCTAATACCTTTGAATGAGGTACTTTCTATAAATTTTTAGAATATACAATTTCTAGAACTGGGTTTGCTAAATGTTTGCCTGGCTGAGACCCTAGTGATCTACTTAATGAAGAGATTAAAATGGTTTCTAGGTATAAATGTAACTTAGCATTAAAGTGGTACCTCTGAAGTGCTCAATGGTTTCTATTTCTTTTTAAAAATTCTCATTTTTTATGATTAATTTTTTTTAACTTAAGGATTTACTTAGCCAACTATTTATTGATAAAGGAATCTTTAGTTTCAATTTCCTTTTGAAGTATCACATAAATTAGTAAAATCTGAATTCATGAAACTTGGTCAATACTTTGAAATTGGAGTGACTCTATTTTTGTTTTTTAAAAAGATTTTATTTTTAGAGAAGGGAAGGGAGGGAGAAAGGGAGAGAAACATCGATCGTATGTGCCCCAACCAGAGACCAAACCCGCAAACCCAGGCACGTGCGGGAATCAAACCAGTGACCTTTCCCTTTGTGGGATGAAGTCCAGCCCCGAGTTGTCCTGGTCAGGGTGTGGAGTGGCTCTGTTTTGATGGGGGTGCTCTTTGCCACCCAACTCTTTGGTCATTGTTACGGAGGTTTTCTGCATTTTTTGGTCCCAAGAGCTTTTTGACTCCATCTCTGCTTCTTACAGTTACTCACCAAGAATCCCAAGCAGCGCCTGGGCTGCAAGGGTGACGGAGCAGCTGGAGTGAAAGAGCACCCTGTGTTCAAGGACATTGACTTCAAGAGGCTGGAGGCACACATGGTAGAGCCCCCGTTCCGCCCGGATGTAGGTACCGTGCGGCCAAGGGTCCCAGGGAAGGGCGGGCCTCACACCTGCAGCTCCACATTGCCTGGCACAGCCAGCTGGGGGTGCCTCTGCCTGGGTCCCCTTGCATCTGGCTCCTCCTCCTCCCCCACCTCACATGCTGCCCCAGACCTGTCCTCACAGGCCTTCCCGGCAGCCCTCTGGCTTCGGGCCTGGTGTCCCCGGGGGCTGTCGCTGCTGATGGAACTAAGCCTGTGTCACTGCCCTTCTCAGACACTGCACAACTCTTCAGCAAGCCATGGAAGAAAAAGTACCAGTCTTTTTTTTTTTTTTTTTTTTTTTTGCGGTTTTATAACTTTATTTGACAATCAGCAGTTAGTTCTCATCCACGTTAACTGTAGATTTTCAAATGTGGTGACAGGTACATAGGTGACCAGCATATAGAGCTTGTTCAGTGGATCTTCATCCTGTTTTCTGGACAGTCACACCCAGATATGGTGTGGGACATTCCTTCTTTCTTTGGCCCAGGCAGCTTTGCTGCCCCTGGCGTCCAAGAGCACTCCTGGGGTCCTGTCTCCTTCAGGGCCGGTTTCCAGATGTCTTTGAGCACCCGAGGGACACACATCTTGAAAGCCACTCATGGATGTGCTTGTGGATGTTGGTGTATTTTCTGGTCGCTGCCCTGTTGATGGCAGAATAGCCCTTCTTTTCTCCCCACCTTTCCTTGTGGGAGCCATTAGGCCAGGCCCAAGTTGGAAAGCCAGTGTCCCTTTCTGAAGTCAGTGCTGGCATGCTTGCTTCCCCACCGGTATCTCAGAGGTCCTGTCCACACTGAGGACCCTGGCACGGTCACCTGAGCGTATGGGGGGCACAGCTGGGCGCTTGGCCCTGGACCTGGCACCTGTCAGCGCTGGGGCAGAGCACCGGCAGGAACGGGCGGCACAACAGTCTGGGTTCTGTGCCAATGGCCGGCCGCAGGCATGCTCCAGACGCGGGCATGAGGTGGTCGTGCAGAGTGTGAGGGGAGTAGGTGTGCCGTTCACACTTGTAGTGGCTCAGGTCAGGACCTAGCTTAGATCCGTGCATTCTACATGAGCAACTTCTTCCCCGAACCAGTGCCGTGGTGCATGCTGATGACATGGCCGTAGTGCTGGTATGGGGAGAACGCCGTGGCCAGGGCCCTGCTGAGGGGGAGCTGGCTTCAGCTCGTGCAGACCCAGTGAAACAGTTGCAGGAGGAGCAGACCACCAGATGGGGATGTTAGGTGGGACTGCTGGTCCCAAGAGGTTTCTCTCCACCAGGCCCTGGGGCTGCCTGGGGTCTCAGGTAGGGCTGGCCGACCGAGATGGTCTTTTCTGAGGGGAGGGGTGATGGCGGCGTGGTGCTGAGACATGCAGACAGGTTCTGGGCAGTTCTGGGGGTCCTCCTGAATTTAACCAGAGGACCTATGGGGGCCAGGTGACCGCAGAGTCTGACGGTAGCATGTCAGGTACTTCCATTTGAGTCGGGGGGCAGCATGGGTTTTGGGCCTTGGGCTGGGGCCCAGTCCTTGCCAGCCTTCCCCTGGACTGTCTCCCTACGTTGTGGTGACAGCTGCTTTCAGAGAAGTTCCAGCTAGGGGCATTGGGAACATGACTCCATTGGCTGTCCCACTCACTGTGCTGTGCGTTCTCAGAGCTGCAGGGTGCCCTTTGTGCGAGCTGGGCCTGGTGCCTCCATGGCCGGCCATGCTGCCTAGTCCCCAGGGGCGCGGGCGGCCACACTGACACGCTCTGCTTGCTTCCTGACCCCTGAGAACAGCAGCGCCAGGCCCTGTCCTAGAGGAGGGCCTGCCTCTGCTGGCTGAAGAGCTTAGATGAGCTCTTGACGGGGACTGGAGAACAGGGCCTGCCATTGTTCGCTCAGACTAGGTGAGCGCTCAAAGTTGGATGTGGAGACCAAGGGTCAGAGGCGGGGTGAGGGTCCAGGGTCAAGGGCTGCCATCCTCCCCCTCCGTGTTCACACAAGAGTGCCCAGCTGTCTGCAACCTATCGTTCACTTCAGGAAAGGGACGCATAGGGTCTTTGGAGGTGTGCGGGTAAGAGCTGGCTGGTTGGTGTCCCTGGGTCTGTGGCCCTGAACATGTCTGGGGAAGGGGTTGGAAGTGCTTCAAATAAGGGGCTCAGCCAGAACTGGGACCGGAGGAGGTGTTCAGGCCTCGACTCCCTGTGCACTGTGTCCTTAGTGGTTAAGGAAACCGAGTGGCCCAGTGACCTCACGGCCAGCGCCTCCTTGTTCTCGGTGTGCAGCCGCATGCGGTTTATTGTAAGGACATCAAGGACATCGAGCAGTTCTCTACGGTGAAAGGCGTCTACCTGGACACCTCCGACAAGACCTTCTACAGCCAGTTTGTTACTGGGTGTGTCTCCATCCCCTGGCAGAACGAGGTACTGCCCCGGTCAGTGTGGCCGGTTCATACTACTTCTGGTGACGAGAAAAAAAATGACGGGAGTGTGCATATGTGTTTTAGAGTTCCCTATTAAAGCTATCTTCTCAGCTTTTTTATATATACACAGTCGTGTATATAAGATCAAGACAGAACCTGTCAACCAGATGCCAAGTGAAAGAAAGGCTTCTTTTCTAGATTCCTCAGGAGGAGGATAACGGTAAAAAATTAGTGTGTTGAGAGGCAAAATTATTCACGGCAGCTGACCCTGGTCCTCTCAGAGGAAGTAGACTGAAGGTGGCCATTGGGTCTGACAGGGGCTTCTGGCCCTGAGTCTGGCTTCCTAGGCGGTGCCATTGGGGAGGGGAAGCCACCTTACCTGCCCAGGAAGAGGTCAGGAGGCAGGGCGCACAGAGATGGAGGACGGGGCTGGGGCAGTGCTGGGCGGGAGATGGCTGACCTCGGCATCTCCCCCACTTCTGATCCCGCCCCTCTGTGGATGCAGATGATCGAATCTGAATGTTTTAAGGACATCAACGAAAGTGAAAATGAAATTGAGTCATCAGATCAAGACAGAACCTGTCAACCAGATGCCAAGCGAAAGAAGGGCTTCTTTTCTAGATTCCTCAGGAGGAGAATAACGGTAAAATATTTTATCATGGTTTGGGGTTTTTAGATATGATGCGTTAAAAAAATATTTCACCAAAAGTTTCTTTTTTTTCAATGCCTCTTATATAAGACACTTCACATAGTTGAAAGAGCCAACTACTGTGTATGGTGCTATTTAAGCCCAGCTAGAAAAACCTTCACAGTGACGCTGCTGTGAAGACTGTCCAAGAAGAAAGGCTTAGCAACGTTCAAAAGCAGATTCCTCCATCAATGACAGAGCGTTTTAAGCTAGACCCAGAGATCAGTAACTTACAGAACCACCATCAAAGAATACATATTATTTCAATTTCTACATGTTCTGATTCTCATTCACCCACATTCACATGGAAAGCTGCTTGTCTTTTGAAAATGGAATTATGGTTTGGGGAAACTTTCTGTAGTAGCATTAAATTTAGCAACTTTTTTCCAAGTGAAGTTTTCTCATTGGACTAGTGGATTATCCTGCTTCATACCTGTTTGTTCTTGAGGGGTTTTTTCAGAGGTTGTCCACTCACATTCTGCATGAAAAACAAGCCTTACATGGTTAAATCTCAGACTGCATTGACCACGACTGCATTCCCTCTGAGAACTGGGTTAGGCGTGGGCTAACCCAGGCGCTCTGCGGGACAGCCTGTCTCAGTGCGGTCAGTCCTGTGTGGAAACCTCCTCTCTCCGCTCCATGCCCACGCTTGGAGCCTGTCTGGGAAACCAGGGCTGATGGGTGTGTCCTGCTGGTTGAAGCTGTTCCTCCTTCCCCTGGAGTACGCAGCCTGCGTGGGTAGGTGGGAGTGCGAGGAGAGAGCTATACAAGGGGATTTCTCTGTGAATTGAGTGCCCTCCAGGTTGTGAAATAAAGAAAACATGGGAGGGCTTTGCCTGCCTTAGAGTTAGCACCCCCAAGCTTTCCCCATTGTCACGTACACTCGAGGAAAGTTAAGGCAGCTTGCTCTGGGGAAGCCACTGATGGCGTGTGCTGTGTGTTGCAGGGCTGCATTCATTAACCCTGGAGCCAGCGAGGAGGAGGAGCTACCTGCAGGACTGCGACGCTCACTGCGCAGAGCCTGGCCCCAAAGCCCAGGAGCTTGTGGCTCAGTATCCATCCTTTCTGTGAATTGCAATAAACAGGTGTGGTACATCTTAAAACGTGCCTATGAGTTGGCAGATTGTTCTACATTAATAGCCGAACTGTGTTTTCACTAGAGCTGGATTGAAGAAAAAAACACTCAAAAAACCACTCACTGTGATGATATCTAGAAACCCCTAGATGTGGACACCTTGCAGCGGTGCTTGAGCTTCATAGGTACCCACGGAGAGGGGAGGAGTGGGCTCAAGCATCAGCCCAGCAGTGTCTGGAGCCAAGAGCCTGTTCCTCTCACACCCTGACATGGACAGTGGAGCTACAGAGAGCCAACGACAGAGAAAATCATAAAAGCAGCCAGAAGGGTAACACCCCCATTATAGTCAAAGGAGCAACAACTGACTTGTCAACAGCAAGAAAAGCAGAAGACAGTGATGCCCAAATCTTCAGAGTGCTGGCAGGGATCATCAGCCAACCTTGAATTCTATACCCAACCAAAAGTTCATTAACAATGAATGCAAAATAACGACCTTTTCAGATAAATTGAAACTGAGGGATTTCAGCAATAGAAGGTCCACTGTAAGAGAAATTCTAAAGGGTGTTTTCTAGGCAGAAGAAAATGATCCCAGGTAGAAGATCACACAAGCAGGAAGTAATGAAGAGGAATAAAATTGGCAAATATGGGGGTCAATATAAATAAATGTTGACTGCTGAAAGCGACAATTACTACGTCTATGTCTTTTGCAACATGTGTGCCCATGTGTGTGCGCCTGACGGGTAGGGTACCACCAGAGTGCCCTCAGGGGCTGCCGGCCTGCTCACCTGTCCCTCCTGGCTCTGCTTCATCTTCCCTTCTTTCTCTGGCCCAGGCCTTACCTGCACAGACTCCCGCCTCGTCTTGCATTCGTGCAGATGCCACCGCCCAGCTGGAGTGCACCCCATTTGTGTGTGCACTCACAAATGGGGGGGGGGTGTCAGGCTGCTTTAAATATCTGCCTTTCCTCCTGGGCATGGTCACTCACGAGGGTGTTGTAAGGCTTTTATTTTTAGCTCCCCACCAAAAACCTATTTTGCTTTTCCCCCCTGAAGATTGGAAAATTACAGAAAGCACACAGATTAAGATATAAAATCACCTAATAGCCCTGCCCACAGAGCGTCGGTCACTGTTATAAACCTGATGACCAGGTCTCTTCTCTGTGTGTGTGTTGTTTTCCTTTGTTTAGAAAGAGGCAGGATCATGCTGCACGTAGTAGTGCAACCTGCTAATGCATTGGAAACCATTTCCCGTGTTGTGAATGTGCTTCTAAAAATGACCATCCAGCATTTATGTTATTTCCATTTTTTGGTGCTAAATGCTGCTGTAAGGAGTGGCCACCCTCACAGATACATGACTGTTTTCCTAGAATAAGTGACTAGAAGTGTCTTTGCGATTAGGGGACTGGGCCCGTTGTTCAGTCTTTGGGGACACTACATGGTGCCAGGTTGCCTGCCCAGCATGTCAGTTACTCTTTGCTTGTTTTTGGACTATGCCAAGCTTTTTCTGAACTTAAAAAAATCTGCCTTCTTGACAGGCCCTTTCTGTAAGGCTTTCTTGTAAGATTTCTCGTCAGGATCACAGAAAGCTCTGGGCAGGTGACTCTGCCATGGCTGAAGCAGCCACAATCTGTTGAGGCGACAGAGGCCTCAGCGACCCACGGCCTCGCTGGAGCACACAAACAGAATAACGCAAAGCAACAGTGTCCTAAACAAGATAAAAGTGTATTCTCCCGCGATTCCCGCGCTGCGCGCAGTCCGCGCTGGCGACGCTTCGCTGCGCGGCCGGGCCCTCCGCTCCTGGTCTCCGCAAGGCCCGGCCAAGCGCCCGCTGCCTCTCACCTGAGAGCTCCAGCGCGGAAACCTGCGGCGCCGCGGCGAGGCGGCGGCGGGCTCGGCTCCTCGCGGGCGCTGGGCCGCGGCGCACTGCTGGCCACGGCGGCCTCTCGAACGTGGCCACTGGCTTCGCCATCCACCGCGTGCAGGCCCAGAAGGAAATGGAGCCGGCGAGGTGCGAGCCTCGGCCGCCCGCGCCCTAGTCCCGGGAACGCCATCTCGCCTCAGGCTGGCGCGAAGCGAGCCCCCGGGGCAGCCCGCACCGTAGGCGGGGCCAGGGCCTTCCCGGCAGCGGGGAACTGGCCCCGAGGCTGGCGCCCGCGGCCCCGCCGCTGGGGGGCGGCTGTTGCTCCCCTCGCGGAGGGTTCCTGAGGCGGTGCGGGGTTTCTTTCCCCCGGCCGCTGGGGGCAGCTGAGGCTCCGAGAGGGTGGAGCTGTGGCTGGTGGCGCGGGACGGGGCTCTGCCGGGCGCGGGCTCCGGGGGGCTCCTGCTCTAGGCGTTGCCGCCCCCCGCCCCCCGCCCCCGCCGGCTCTCTCCGAGGCCGACCCACCCCCGGCGGCGCGCCGCCTTCTCCACCCGCCTCCCCTCGAGGCGGCGAGGCCCCTGAGCCCGGGCCCTTTCGTGCCGCCCGCCGCGCACCCGGCAACAGTCCTCGTCCTCGGAGGGGACGCCCTGGGGTCGGGCAATCACTGCTGCGGGGGCCGCTCCTCTGGCACAGCCCGGCCTCTGGGCGGCAGGTTTTCACCACCCGTGCCCGCCCAGGACCTCTCCTCCCGGGCTACTGACTCCGGGAGGCGTCGGCCTGCCGGCGCCCGACCCCGCTCTCCTCTCAGGTGCCACGCCCGGGTGCCCTGCTCGCCGGAAGGACCCATCCCGCAGGCCTCCGCCGACTTACCGGGACCAGTGCACGTCTCCGGGCTCCCGGCCGGGAGAGCGCGACTCCTCCCCGGGCGTGCCGGCGACCCCGCCCTCAGCCCGGGCCGGGCCGCGGGCGGGCGGGCAAACCCCGCGGGCCTCCAGCCCAAGCCGAGGATGACCCCAGGCGTCGGCAGGAGCATGACATCGAGGGGGGCCCAACCGGCCCCGCCCCTCAGCCCCTCGCTCTGCTCCGCAACTTCAGAGCTCACGACCCTGCGCCTCAACACCAGGTTGCGCCCTCATCGCCCCACCCCGCCCCTGTCCTGCCCCCACCGTCGCCCCGCCCCTCACCGACAGGACCCGCCCCATTGCCTGGCCTCGGCTAGGTCGCCCTCTCCCCGCCCCTCACCGCCCGGTTCAGCCCTCAGGTCCGTGCCTAGCCTTCATAGCCCCGCCCCTGTCCCGCCCTCGTCACCGCCCCGCCCCTCACAGCCAGCTCCCGCCCTCTTGCCTGGCTTCGCCTTCACCGCCCCGTCCCCGCCCCTCACCGCCCGATTCAGCCCTCACCGCAGGGCCACCCCTTCAGAGCCCCGCCCCCCATGGCCAAGTCTCTCCCTCAGCGCCTCGCCCCGCCCCGCCCCGCCCCGCCCCACCCCGCCCCACTGCTAGATCACGCCCTCAGCGCCTCACTGCGCGCCGCCTCCGTTCTGCTCCCTCCGGATAGTATCCCGCTCTCAGCGCCGCACTCAACCCTCACCGCCATATCCCGCCCCTCAGCGCCGCGCATCCCCGCTGGGGAGGGACGCTTTTACCTCAGTGGCTGCGCCGGCTCTAGAGGCAATTGACGGGCGCGGGGGCGGGCCGGCGCCTCGGTTGGCCACTGGTCGAGGTGCCTTCTCTTGTTATCAATCCCAGCGGCCAGGCCTGGCCCCGCCCCGGCGGCGGAGCGTCGCGGGACGCAGGGCCGCGGGGGCTGCCGGGACGGGTTCAAGATGGCCGGCCGTTTCGGTCCCCCTCCTGCCCTCGGCCCCAAACCCCATTCATTGCCGCGCTGCTGAGCGGCGCCGCGAGCAGGCCCGAGGGCTCCGGGCGCTGTCCCCGCGGGGCAGGAGACCGCCATGGCGACCCTGGAGAAGCTGATGAAGGCTTTCGAGTCTCTCAAGTCTTTCCAGCAGCAACAGCAACAGCAGCCGCCGCCGTCTCAGCCCCCTCAGCCGCCGCCGCCTCAGCCGCAGCCCCCGCCACCGCCGCCGCCGCCGCCGCCGCCGCCTCCCGGGCCAGCCGTGGCCGAGGAGCCACTGCCCAGACCGTGAGTGCGGGCCCGTTGCAGGTCCCCGCCCCGTGACGGCCCGGAGGAGCGACGCCCCTGCCGACCCGGGCCCCGCGGCGACAGGGCCCCCTGCCCTTCCTGCCGCGGGACGCCGTCCCGGGCCCTGCCCCGGCCCCTCGCGTGGGTCTCCTTCACGCCGCGGGCAGGCACAGCCTCTCCTGACAGCCCCGACTTGGCCCTGGCCCCCGGCCTGTCCCCGCGGGCAAAGTTAGGGAAGGGACTGGCAGCGCTGTGTTTGCAGGAACCCAGGGCTGTGTTGTGAGCGGAGCTTGGCAGCGCCGAGGCGGTGTCCCCGGGCGGCTTCCTCGGGGAGCGGGAGCAGGGCCGAGGGCGCAGGACCTGCTCGGGGAGCCGGGGGTCGGAGCTGGAGTGCGTGCCGGGGATGTGCATGACATCATACCTTCAGGCGGGCGGCGGCGGGGGCGCGCCGGGAGTGCCGCGCGGTCCAGTGGAGATGCTTCGGCGCGGGGCCCTTGCAGCGGCCTGTGCTGGGTGGACGGGGGCTGCGTTCCCACCTTCTCGGGACATTTCAGGTAGTTCGGGGCTGGCCGTGGTAGCGACAGGATTTTAAGTATCCGGAAGAGAGACCCGCTGTCACAGCTGAAGTTTGGTCTGCACGCAGTTGAGTGAGTTATGGTTGCCAAGTTAAGTGGTGACCTATACAGCCGGTTATTACTAACAAGTGAGAAATAATATAATGCACGCGTATTAGGAAAAGAGGACTGAAGCTTGTTGCCAGTTTTGTTTTGTTTGTTTGCTTTTTTGGGGGGGGGATAGTAAGGACACATTGCCGAGGGCGAGGGCGGCTGCGGGTGGGGGAGGACGTCCGTTTAGCCAGCGGCGGCGTCCGCTTGCTGGAACGTGGGTGCCCGCAGACCACGGGCGGCTCCTGCTTCCTTCGTTGCCGACATCCGGGTGCTGCTGGGAGACTGGGGGTCTCTGTTGCCTCTGCCTGGGAGGATTTAGGAAACAGAAAGAAGAGACCACTAAGGGCGCCTTCTAGCAGGACCCACGTCCTTGCCCCTTGAAGTCTGTGTGAGCGTGTTCAGCAGAGACCAGGGAGGGCTGGGCGGCGGTTCGGGCCGCCCCCACTCCCGGTTTTATTTCTGATCTGCAGGTGTGCGGTGTGGGAATTGGTGAGGGCCGGTTTCAAGAAGAGCCCCTTTAAGAAGATCACTCTGTTAAGGCTCACTCTCTTTTTCGTAATGTTTTCTTGTTCTTCATGTTTCTGATAGGGTCCTTGCTGTGTCCTGAGAGTTTAATTAGAAGATGTGGACTTGGGGAGTGGTGTTGGCCGGCGTTAGAGTTTCTATTCCAGACTCTCTGTGGTTCCTCCCCAGGAGGTAGCTGTCCTGCAGGCGCACACTGCGTGGGTCTGTGTAAAGAGGGAAGCTCCTAGGGCTTGGCCGGGAGCAGGACATTCCTGCTGCTCTGGGGTCGCCAGACACTTCTTCCGTCTTAAAATAAATGCACCTTCTGTTTCTCATGCTGATTTGACAGAACCTGCTGAATTTGCTTATCTTCAAAATATGGGTATAAAGAGATTGCCTTCTAACGCTGCTTGACAAAGTAGGTAGATTTTGTTTCATTATGTTTAGGTAATGTATGATTGACTATTTTAAAATTTAATCTTTTTTGTGTAAGTCATACGTCAATATGATGCAAATTCCAAGAGGCAATAATTAAAAATCTCTCTTCCTCCCGAGTGCCTAACTCTGTTCCTAGAGGCAAGCACTCTTTTATATTCTCTCCTTCCAGCTACAGCCTGTATATATAGGAAAATAAACTTTAAGTTATTAAAAAACGAAAGTATTTCAACATAGTAACTTTTAGTTCATAGTCTGACTGCTCAGTCCACTGAGCCACACCAGCCAGGGCTGAACATAGTAACTTTAGAAAGTTCTTAGAGTACTCAGAAATCAACTGCATTAGGCTTAATTATAGTACTTTTAACTAAAATGCATAAAAATGTTTTTATGTATTTTGCTGTTGAGACAGCAGGTACTCCTAAATTTTGAGTAACAAACTCATTGCTTACAAATTTGGTTCTTGGGATTTCTGTTCAAATGTGTCCGGTGAAAAATCCAAAAGATTGGCCAAAAGTGGTTTAGAAAGTATCTATTCTATTTGTTTTATTTTTTTTTACTTTTTTTTCCCCAAATACATTTGTCTCTGCCTCTATTCCATTTTTATGGGTCTTGCTGTCTGCATGTGGAACTGTAGCACCCCAGCCCCACACGGGCGTCACTGGAAGTATCTGAGTGCCTGCTCCTGGTGCGGCATAGAGAATGCAGGGGTCCTGGGGGGATTGGCATGGGGGAGTGCCCACGCCAGGGAGGCAGCTGACGTTTGCCTTTGCATTTTCTCGCTCTCCTTCCAGGTATGGTCCCTGACTTTAATTATTTACTCATCAATAAATATTTACTGACCAGCTAATGTGTGTCAGGCACTATTCTAATAGGTGCAGCGCTATAGTGGTAAACAGATAAAGTTCTCCTCTCATGGAGCTTTCATTGCAGCGAGGGACAAGCTAGTACACAAGAGAGGCTGAAGCAGGCAGTATGCTGGCTAGTGACCCATGAAGTGGGCGCAGCAAAGCAGGGAAGGGGACGCAGCAATGTGCGGACGTTCCAGATAGGGTGTCCACTGCAGTGGTAGCTGGGAGTCAATACCTGAAGTCAGTGAAGTAGCCTGAGGTGTGGAGGCGGGCACCCCAGGAGGGGGCCAGGCCCCAAGAGGCCTGTTGGGGAAAAGCGCGGAAGTCGGTGAGCGTGAGGCTCTCCCTGGCAGGGGAGGCCGGAGACCTGGGAGGCGGGCCACACCCCATCCCTCGGCCCTTCCTCGGAGGCTGAAAAAGCACACTGGCATTTGTTCTAAGTAACAGAGGAAGCCATCAGAGCGTATGGTCTTGGAATAGCAGGACTCGAGTTCCGTTTCACGGAGGACACTGGCTGAGGACGAGGGAAGGGGAGCATGGGCAGGCGCAGGGGAGCGGTCAGGAGCCACTGCAGCGTTCGGGGAGGTGTGGCGGGCTCTGCCGGGATGGCAGCGGGATGGCAGCGGAGGCGGGGAGATGGAGAGGTGACTGAATTTCCAGGGCAGAGCCAGTAGGACCGTCCTGTCCGTTTCTCTGTGTACTGAGCATCACCTAACTTAGTGCATAGGATTCCATTCAACTGCAAAGGACAAACCTTGCTGCAGTAGCTCACAAAGGTAAGAGTTCTTTGTCTTTTTGAGGAAGTGCGACAGCAAGATTAGGGACCCAGACTCTTTCTGACACACACTTGCGTGAAGCCCTTGTCTTCATTCTTCTCCATTTTTTGAGTTGTCTTTTTGTGGTTGAATTGTATCAACAACAGTTTATATTGTCTGTACTAGATCCTTACCACATACATGGTTTGTGAGAATGTTCTCCCTTTCTCTGGGTTTTCTCTTTACTTTTTAAATAGTGTTCTTTAAAGCAAAAACATTTTTAATTTTGATAAAATACAGTTTTCTGTTGTGTCTTTGGTTGCTGTAATTTAGGTCTTATATTTAAGAAACTATTATCTAATTCAGGGTCATGGAGATTTATTACTCCTCTGTTTTCTTGTAAGAATTTTAGACATTTAGTTCTTACCTATCTTGTTAATTTTTATATGTGGTATGAGGTAAGGGTCTAAGTTCATTCTTTTGCGTGTGGCTATTCAGTTGTCCCAGCACCATTTGTTGAAAAGATTGTTCTTTCTAATTGAGTCATTTTGGCACCTTGTTGAAAATGAATAGCCCTTAACTGTGTGGATTTATTTCTGGACTCTCAGTTCCCTTCCATTGGTCTGTATATTTATTCCCCACCGTCCTATATAGTCTTGATTATTGTAGTTTCGTATCATAGTTTCAAATTGTGAATGTGAGTCCTCCAACTTTGTCCTTTCTCAAGATTGTTTTGGCTATTCTTGGGCCTCTTGCATTTCCGTAGAATCGTAAGACTAGATTGTCAGCTCCTGCAAAGCAGCCAGCTGGGGTTCTGGTGGGGGTGGCGCTGAACCTGTAGATCAGTTTGGAGAGCGTTGGCATCTTAGCGGTAATAAGTCTTCCTATCCATGAACATTGGCAAGCGTTTTCTGTAGATGGTCAGATTGTGTGTGTGTGTGTGTGTGTGTGTGTGTGTGTGTAAAATACATGGTTCTGCAGGCATGTCTCCGCTGTGGCTCCTCAGCTCTGCCTTTGTAGAACAGAGGCAGCCAGAGGCAAGGTGTAAGTGACCATGTGTGGCTGTGGGCCAGTAGAATTTCATTAATGAGATTGAAATCTGAATTTTGTGTAATTTTCACATTGTGAGATAGTCTGATTTTTTTCTTTTAGTCTACCACTTGTTTTTATTTTTAAAGACTTTACCTATTTACTTTGAGAGAGAGGGGAAGGGAGGGAGAAAAAGAGCGAGAGAAGCATTGATGTGCAAGAGAAACATCTCGGTTGCCTCTTGCACATCCCCAACTGGGGACACAGTCTGCAACCCACGCATGTGCCCTGACTGTGAATCGAACCGGTGACCCTTCGGCTTGTGGGATGATGCCCAAACCCGTTGAGTCACACCAGCCAGGGCTAGTCAACCATTTAAAAATATAAAAACATTTCTTGGCTCACAGACTAGCCAAAAACAGGCAGGCTGTAGTTTGCTCACCCTAGATTAAATATGATTGTACTATTTTTGGGAAAAATTTATTTTTGGGTTGCGTTTTGTTAACTAGTTTAAAAATTATGGACATTTCTCATGTACATGGTAAAAAACTCTTCAAATAGCAGAGACGATGAAAAGCAAACTCCTCCTTCCAGTCTGTTTTAGTTTCAGTTCCTAAAATAACAATTATTAAATATCTTTTGTCTTCTTGATTTTTTTTCATGCATATTCAACCAGGTAAATGTGGCATGACTGAGCTCACACTGTAACAATGCAGCGCAGGCACCGTTCCGTAGCCGTGCACGCAGGCCGACTCCGGAGGTGCCGTTGCCTTGCTTTCCAGACTGCTGCTGTGAAGGGGGTCCTAGTCTTGTTGCCTCCATTTGTAAAAAAACCCAAAATACAACACCACACCTGTGAAGCGCAGTAAATTGAGGTGCAATAAGAGGAGGCCTGCCTATGTAATTCTTACTAATTGCTCTATAGTATTGTAGCATTTATTTTTAAAAGAGGGCTTTTGGAGATGTAGGCAAAGGTCCTATATTGTCGTGGCTTACAAATGGGCTGCTGACAGACATTCTCCACCTTAATAGCCCCACCCCGTGACCTCCAGTTCCTGCAAGGGAGCCCCCTGGCACACAACCTTGGAATAAGGGACCGACCTTATTCAGACTAGAAGGAAAAATCAGACACAGTAGAAGACACTATTTAATATTGTGTTACATTGAGTCAGCTCTGATTCTAGACTGTCTGTTGGAGACAAGAATGCTGTGGATCCTGCTGCTTGGAGCGACCTAGGGCCAGCAGTTGGGTATCACTCGGGAGCTTAGGAGAAGCGCAGAGCCTCTGCCCAGGCTTGGGCCTGCTGTGTCAGAGGCAGCAGAGACTTAACACACCTTCTAAAACTGCACAGACTAGATACGCACATGATGAGTAAAAGTGAATTTCTTTTGGAAGTCTGAGATCAGCAGGTTGTATCAATGTCAATACTATAGTTTTGCAAAATGTTGCCTTGTGGGAAACTGGGCAAAGTGTACATTGGGTCTCGATTATTTCTTACAATTGTATGTGAATCTGTCATTCTAATTACCCCAATAACAACTTCAGTTGAGGAAAAAGGTCCACCTCTGAGGGACAGGCAGCATGAACGAAAGCTACAGCGTCTGATTCTGGGTCGCTGTAATAATTCTTTTCCTTGCTTTTCACGTGGAACAAGTCAGTCTGACATATCAGTTCATTGATGTAATTCAATTTCACGAGGGAATAAAATAGTTGTTTTTCTGAACTCCCAAGTTCGTTTATTGCACAAAAGAAGACAAGAAGGAGGTAGTTCAAGCCAGGACCATGGAATGTGCAAAAACTGAGCTTGAAGGTGGATGACTAAACAGGTGAGTTCTTAGCAGCGGCCAGAGCTCCCTGGAACTTAAGGACAGTGAGCCAGCACCGAGGCTGGAGCAGCCCGAGGCCCAGTTGGAATGGCCCTGGAACTGGGGTTGGAAGTTGGCTCCCTCATCTGTCTGTGGCGGTCACAAGTGGGTAGACACGCTCGAGCTCTGCCGCGTGGGAAGAGCCCACGCAGGTCCTGACGGCCTAGGGCGTGGGCCCTGATAGCCTGTGGGTGTTTTTCGTTGCTAGTTGCGTTCTTTTGGTTTATCACCTATGAAAAGAGAGGGACAAAGTGCTTTTTAAAACTTGGTGTCTGTCACTTCTGAGGAGATAGGCACTGTGTGGGCCTGACCAGTTCCCCGTTGGGCACAGGACTATCAGTGGGAGCCGTCGGCTTGCTCCTGTCTTTGGCGCTCTGCTGGCTGCTGGGCTGTGCATGTGGAGACCCTGTGTTGTAACGCTTTTAACCACGTGGGCGGTGGGCCTGCGGTGCTCTGCTTTACAGGTGCTGCCTTGATAGGTCCAGAGAGTGTTTTATGTTTCACAAGTCTTATAATGTTGCGCCTTGAGGGGACCCCTTCTTCCCCTACCTGCAGAGGACTCAGTGTGGCCTCCTCTTACTGAATGCAGAGAGACCCCACAGTGTCCTCCAAGCTGCGCTTGGCTGCTGTGGCCCACCGGTCAGGGTTGGCCTGTCCAGACACCTGGCTTTCCCGATGCGGGCCGAGCCGCTTCGGCCCAGCCAGGAGAGTCGGGCTCAGAGAGTGAGGGACTCACCACGAATTGGTAGTTGGGCTCAGAGGCATGGGCGCCCCAGGATGAAGGCTCTGCTGGGGTTCGGACATGGCTGAAAACCCAGGTCATGAATGTTTCTGTTCTGACCGCCACTTAGTCATAAGGTCCACTCAGTGTGGTGCCAGGATGAGAGGCTGCCACGGGGAGGGGCCCCTTCCCGCACAGCCGGCATCTAGATGTGGGAACTCAGGTCATTGAGGGCCTTGGGCAGGTTCTCACTTTGGACACCAAGTACGAATGGATGGATGAGTTAGTTTGCTTCCTGAACTGCCTAGATTTGCCAGTGTTCTTCAACTTTCCTGATGGCTGCCTTAAGCTGGGTGCACTAAGCTGCAGTTAACAAGACTTCGATGTGGTGGTGGAAAGGAGAGGGCACTTTAATTGTTATAGCACTTTCTTTTTTTCTAAACTGAGGTGTAAATTACATATGGCAAAACCTGCCCCTTTTAGTGTGCAGCTCCGTGCACTTTGACAGATGCACGAAGCCATGTAACTGCTGCCACAGTCAGGATCTGGAACAGCCTCCTCACCCTCCAGGCCCCCCACGCGCATGCCCTGCCTCTTTCCGTCCGCCCCTCCCGGCCCCTGGAGACTGCTGGCCGCTTTGGTGCCTGTCGCTTTGTCTCCTCCAGTACGTCATGTCAATGGACTCACCCAGTGTGTAGCCTCGAACCTGGTGCATGGAGATTCCCCCTCGTGTGCAGTACCGGTGCACCCTTCTCAGCACCAAGCGGTGTCCTGCGGTCCGGCGGAGCGACGTGTGTGCTGTCCTCCTAGAGAAGTGCGTGCCGGCTGTTTCCAGCACAGAGCTTCTGAAGTGGGCAGTTCCTGAGGCTGGGAGGCAGGGCCCCTGCTTCTTGTGCTCGCTGAGGGGCCCGGCAGCTCCCTGTGGCTCGGCAGCCTTCCCGACGCCTGGTCCGTGTAACCGCGGGGAACTGAGCCCCTGTGTTCCAGCTGGAGGGGACGATACCGGGGGACCCAGGGCAAGCCCGCAAGGTGGCCACCCCACGTGCCGCCTTGCTGCCCTTGTCTGCTGGGTGACGGAGCTGGGGGTCTGCTCTGGCTGCAGGCAGGCAAGGCGGTGAAACTGAGTGGCAGGCATCTGTCCAAGGAGGGAGGAGGGGTGCTCTGGCGGGCGACTGACACTCTGCAGTGTGACTTACCGGCATGAGTCCCCTTCAGGAAGAATGGTGGGGGGCACACATGCCCAGCTCCTGTAACAGGGGGCTCTAACTGGGCAGTCGCTGGGAAGCCCTCTCCGCTTGCCACGAACCAGGCTGCTCATTCAGGCCCTGGTTCTTCCCTCTGCCTGGAACCCCATCTGTCCCTCATGGCCCTGGCTTCTCCCTTGGGAGGGTCTTCCTGGCCCATTTCCTTCCCTGGCCACCCCGGCAGTGCTGTGCTGGTGCTGGGTTTGCAGAGTTCTAACAGCCTGTTCCTTCAGTGCACTGTTTAGAGCCCGATGGTTGTGTTAGGGATTAAATAGTCACAGGTGTTTGTAGGTTAGATTTCCTCCCCCCCCAAATTTGGTAATAGAATTCCCTCAAAAACCTAGTAGTCTTCTGGTTTACTTGTTCTAGTTAGTAGCAGGCACTTCCGGTTCTACTTAATTCCAGGCACCTCTGGTAACTACGCTCAGATTCTTTCATGGATGAAGTTCTTACGCTTGCTTTATGCTTTGGCTTCCTCGTTGGATTGTCCACCTTACCTCTGTGGCACCTGCCTGGGAGACCTCTGAGGACCTGGCTTCACGAGAGAAGCACCTATAATCTGATCTTCTTGACATGGCTGTTCATCTCCTTTTTTTGGCCGAGAAGTCTTAGTAGAAGGCTTTTTCCAGCTGTTTGGGCCTATAGAAGTAATTAGCCGTTGTCTGTAATTTATGCCTAACAGAGAGCATGAGGTCTGTGCGGTCCGCGGACTTCAGTCAGTGAGCAGTGTGATTCTGAGAAGTGGGGGCCGCTGGTGTACAGAGTCGGCGTTACGTTATTGCATTTCATTGACTTGCACTTCCCGTCTTGGCGTGATCTTGGACGAGTCACTGTTTGTGCTGCAATTTCTCTGCTAATTGGGAAAAATAAGGTGCATTAGCAACAAAACCTGACTGCTAGGAGCCGTTGAGGAGCCTTTGAGGAGCCCTGGGTTTGCGCCTCTGCACCTCCCCGCCCCTCAGCCTGCGGTGTATGGCTTCTTCCTGGTGGCCACGAAGCGCTTGTGGAGTGCAGGCATGATGCGCTCCAATAACGGCCTGCATAATTCAACTCCTGCTCATCTCTTTTCCTCTTTTTTCATTTTAGAAAGAAAGAACACGCAACCACCAAGAAAGACCGTGTGACTCACTGTCTGACAATATGTGAGAACATAGTGGCTCAGTCTCTCAGGTAATTATACCTTGTACTTCTAGTGAAAATAAAAACTTTATGTATTTTCATTCTTAGTGGGCTAGAATATTCTCTGTTGCCCCAGTTGTCTTAAGCCTTTAAAAGACACCCCTCGCCCCCCGCCAGCCCCCCTGGCTGCTGCACTCCTGCCGGGTGGCCTGGTTGGTTGGCCTGCTGTCCCATGCAGCAGTGTAGCCTGCGCGCGTGGTCCCCGGTCGGGTACGTATGGGAGGCAGCTGATCAATGTTTCTCACATGATGTTTCTCCTTTTCTCTCTCTCTCTCCACCCACTTCCTTTCTCTTTAAAAATCAATAAACAGATCCTTGGGTGAGGATTAAAAAAAAAAGATGAAAGGACCGCCCCACTCTGGCCGTCTGTGTCAGGGCCGTGCAGACCCTGTAACGGGCACTGCTTCCTGTCCTGACCGCAGGGGCGGCAGTTGTCAGCCAGTGCTGTACGGGAGCCGCATGACGGTATTTAATTGGCAGCCTCGGCAGCTGTAATCATTTAAACATCATCTTTTGTTGGATATCTTACACTGCTGCAGTGACTGGAGCGACAGGAGCCTTGCTCCGGTCAGTCGTTGGTGCACTTCCTGTGGCCCTGGCCTGCAGCGGGCCGACCCGCGCTGCGGGCGGGTTGTGGGTGGCTTCCCCAGCTTTGGCGTGGGCGGGTCGCAGGCCGTGCACTGTAGATCTGTGTCCTTTGCTCAGTGTTACTTCTGGGTGAAGCAGCACCTTCTTCTATAGCTTCTTTGCGGATTCTCCGTTCTCTTTGCTTTTAATGGTCTGTCTTTCTGGCCACTGTCCCTGGTAACGATGGATGGGAAATATTTTAGGCCTGTTTCTAAGGGCCCAGTAGGAGACAGATGCACCTGCGATTTCTGAATTCTGTGACCCAGATGGGCATGTGTGAAATACCTACCTCCTTGCTTTTCTTTCCCTGGGAATAAATAATTCCTGTTATTCTCCAGATGGAAGAGCTGTTTATAATCTGTTAGAAAGTGCCCTGAGAATAATAATCTTGATTTTAGAGCTAACGGAAACTTGGTGATCCACTTATTTTTAATGGCACTTCACATTTGTATTTTAGGATTTCACGTAAAATACTTCATTTTAGTTCACCTCATCCCATTGTTTGTGAAATATGGTGGATAATTTGTTTCTATCTGTAGAAATCCCATGGGAAGAAAATGTATCAACAAATAAAAATATGTCCTGAAAGTATATATAGAAAAGTTCCAAGTTAGCATGCCGCTGTAGGAAACAGTACTGGGGTAAAAGCAGGGAAAAGGAGAAGAGTTGTAGTGCCACCGCATTCCTTACAGGCTGGGGGAATGGACACGTCTCACGTCTCGGAGCCTCTGTCGCCTCACTGGTGAAGTGGGAACGCCCGTTTGTAGGGCTCTGGAGGGATCCGGGGACGCGTGGGAAGCGCTGCCCAGAACTCCACAGGTGTGCTCCTTAGTGTCCTCTCATGACGTGCCTCATCCTGTACCTTCTTGTCACTTGTGTGTGACATGACCTTCAACCCCTGGCAGCCCTGGACGCCCCACTGCCGGGGCTCGGCTCTGCGCACAGGCTCCTCCGCCCAGGGCTCGGGTGGTGGCGCTTTGGTCTGAAAGCCCGAGGGCCCGGCGCACAAGCCCTCGTCCAGCCCGAGCACTCCATGCTCAATACCTTCGTGTCCTGGTAGTCCTCAGTGGGGTTGACCGAACGGCGGCTTAGGTCGGCGCACCGGCAGAGTGTGTGGGGACATCTTAGGGTTGACGCGCGGTTCACCGTGCCACCCCGAACTACAGTGATGACTGTTTGTGGTTTCCGTAGCAGGGCAGCGTGATGCCGGTAGTCACTATGCTTTGGGTCCCTAGAGGAGCGTGGCAAAAGGAGGCGGTGTGGGGTGTGGACCCAGGGAGGAGGCTTTTGGTCTCATCAGATCAAAAACAAGTTTATTTTAAGATGTGCTGCATACTTTGCAGGAATTTGGGAGTGTAGAGCTGAAGTGGGCATTTTATGTGTGTATGAAGTGTTCCGTAATCTTCGTGGCGGCTGGTGTTTCCTGTGATCCCTTCTTGAGTGTGTCTGTGTCTTCCCCGCTTTCCGGTAGCATCCATGTGGTACTGACCTTCCCTCCAGTGGGGTCGCCTCAGGGGCTGCCTCTGGGGTTCTTAGCGTGGAGAGTCCTCTAAGGCTCCAGGTAGAACGTGACGATGCGGCCACCTCAGCTCTCAATTTCCTGGTCTAACCGACTGGTTCCTAAATATGAATGAGCATCAGAATCCTCTGGAAACTTTGTCAGAAATAGAGTGATGAAGATACCTCACCGTCCTCTTTCCCAGCACACCTGTGCTTTCTGCCTGGCAGAGGTGGAGGCATTTACCTCTCTAACACCCTCTTAAGCATCCCTGTGAACCGGGATCTAAGCACCTGCACCTCGATAAGGCGGTTGAGTAAAAATAAATGCACAAAAACCATGATGTCTGGTGTATTAGCATGAACCAGGAAGCAAAATGGGTCAAGATCCTACTCATAGCACCACCAACATACAAAATTTCAAGGACCTGACAAGAAATATGCAAGACCTTTGTAAAGACTGCTGTTGACTTTTTTGAAAGGCATAGATGGCTACTTTTCTTCTCAGGTGGGAAGATTTTTCTAAATTAAAAGTTGAATTTTCTCTAAATTAATTCTTAAATTTAAAGTGATTTTGATCAAAATTCTAGTAGGGGTATTTTGGATTTATTCATCTTCAAGAATAAATCCATAAGTGCTGCAAAGACCATGTGGGCCCATGAGGGATCTGGGGAGACCCGTGCAGGGTGGTAACATGTCTGCGTGTCTGAGTGTGTGAACCGATGAGAGCGCGTCCTGCACCAGCGGCGAAGTGACAGACTTCGGAACCAGTTGACTGCTTAGGGGAAACTCTAGTCTCCACCTCGTTTTGCACACAAATGTAAATGTCAGATTAATTTCCTGAATGTAGAAAACAGAAAAATTACTACAGAAAGAACCTGTATGAAGTGGTGTATATAGCTAAGCAGATGGTAATAAATTAAAGACCTGCTGTAAACTATGAAACAGTGATGAAAAGCACAACAAAGAGTTATTGTTAATAAACCAAAAAAGGAGGTTAAATTGAATCATAAAAATACTCAACCCAAAAGAAGGCAGAGGTAAGGGAAAAGGCAAATACAGCGCACATGGGACAAATGGGAAAGAAACAGTAAAATGGTAGATTTAACCTTGTTATGTCAATAACAACGTTAAATCATTATGTTATGTCAATAACATGAAATACGTTGTGTCAATAATGATATTAAAAATAAAGGATTTTCCAGAATGGATGGAAAAGCAAGACCTAGTGTATGCCTCTGATGGGAAACCATTTCGATATAAAGGCACAAGCAGATTAAGAAGTGAGAGAATGGAAAGAGCGTCACCAGGCCAGCGCTGGTCAGAAGGCATGCAGGCTGGGTGGGTACTCTGCGTGCTGGACTTCTGGTCCAGGGCGGGTGGCAGGGCTGCGCATCGTTCCAGAATGATGGAGGCAGCAGCTCACCAAGGGGCGCCGCAGTCCGACGTGCTTGGGCGCCTCAGTGCACAGCTTCAGAGCTGGGTGAAGCACAGCCGATAGAGCTGCTGGGGAGAGGCAGGCCTGCACACAGATCAGCTCTCAGCAGCCTGCCTCCAGTATTGTTAGAACACGCGGGCACGCAGCCTGGATCTAGAAGATGAACGCCCTGTCCGCTCCCCGTGTCCTGAGGGACGTTCGTGGACGCTCCTGCAGAACAGCTGAAGACACACGCTGCTCAGGGGCTCACGGGACGCTGCCAGGCCAGACTGCGCTGGCCGTCCAGCCAGTTCCCAGCGGCCGAAGGACAAAAGCAGGCGTTGTGTACCCCCTGACCTCAGCGCAGTTATGTTGGAGTCTTATGGAAAGACAGTCTGGAGAAGCCCCAAATGTGGGGAAAACAGCACCTTCCATGTCAACAAGGGAAATTTGAAAGTATTTTGAATGGATTGAGAATACAAACAGGATTTCAGAGCTGGTGGTGTGCTGCCGTGTAGCGTGTTTGAGGGGGAACTCAGCACTGACTCCATTTTAGAAAAGGGGACTCAAGCCAGTGCCTCAGCTTCCACCTTAGGAAGCTTGAAAAGAAGAGCAAGTGAGGCCCACATCTAGCTGAAGGATGGACGTCAAACGGAAGCCAGTAAAATAGAAAACAGAAAAGTATGTAGAAAATGAGTAAAGTAGGTTCTTTGGAAACCTCAGTAAAATTAGTAACACTGAACAAATTAACACGATTTGGAACAAGGGAGATATCAGTATAGGCTATATGGATGTTAAAAGGGCTATAAGGGGGTATTTTGAACAACTTTATGCCAATAGATTTGACAAGTTAGATAAATTGGGTAAGTTTCTTGAAAGTTCTTCCAAAGATCTCAAGAAATAGATAACCTTACTGCCCCTGTTATCTATTTTATTGAACTAAAATTTAAAAATCAGCATTTGATTTAGTTACTGGAAAAACTTTAAGCATGGTTGGATATGATACAATTTCTTTTCCTTTTTCCGAATCAAGATAGTAGTGACCAGTAAGATTGTGTATGTTTGAGGTGCACAGTGTGTCGGTCGGATGTCCCCCAACTGCCGTGGGGTTGTCGCAGCAGTGTCAGTGAGCGCCTGTCATCGGCCGCCCGCCGATCACCCCCTGCTGTGTCGAGAGCGGGTCAGGGTAGCCTCTCTGCATCGCGGAGGTTTGCCGCACGGTGTTCAGGCCTGTGATCGCTACGCTGTGTGCGTTAGGGCTTCGGGCCTGGCTGTCTAGTGGGAAGCAGGCCTGCTTCAGCTGTGGGTGTTATGAAGTCTAATGACAGATGAAGCATTTTCGACAGAAACTTTGTCTGAATTGAGGTGTAAAAAGATCATGTTGTATCAGTTTATTCCTAATGGCTACATGTTGAAATATGACATTTTTGATCTATTGGTTTAAGTGAAATATAGTATTACAATGATTTTTCCTGTTTCTTTGGATTTCTGACATGTCTGTTCGGAAGCAGCCTGCACGATCTTGCTGTGGATGGCGCTGTTCTGAGCATGTCTGAGTACGTGCGGGGCCCGCGCGCCTCAGGGCTTTGCCCCTCGGTCCTCTCTCCATGGCGGTGTCCTCCGGGATGGGGCCTGGAGTGGTGCCAAGGGGCACACTTCGTTTCTTATGTTTGTGCGTTGGCCATGGCTAATGAGGTCCTTTGCTTTCTCCGAGGCGCTCTGTCAGTAGGAATGACGACATAGAGAATGGGGCGGGGACCTCCCTGTCTGAGCGCTCTAGATTGGGAGTAGGAAATGTCCACCTCACTTCGGTGTTGGAGGGACAGCAGCATTATTCAGGGGCCGTGTCCTTGGCTTGCTGCACTTCCCAGGGCTGTGACATCGGCTTCATGTCTGTGTCCCATCAGCCTATCTGGCTTGCCTGTGTTTAGCCAACGGGATTGTGACAGGCTACACAGGCTCTTGGTCCAGTGTTTTAGAGCCACGCACAGGCACGGCACGGACCCGAGCATCGCAAGGTGGCAGCAGGGCACAGGCACCGCCCGACTGCAGCCAGGGGGTTTGCGTGAGGCATGGTTGGGCTGCGGGACACATGCGTCAAAAGCAGGATTCCGAGGGAGTAGAAGAGTCACGTGGATGTACTGATTCAAGGTACCAAGAACGTGGCCCCTAACGGCACGGACAGACCTGGAGACGGTCATGCCAAGTGGAGTAAGCCAGGCAGTGAAAGACAGGCACCACAGGCTCTCCGCTATAACTGGACTCCAAGGAGCGAAATGAGCTAGTGAGCAGAATAGGACCACAGGCATGGAAACAGACAGACCGACAGCCGCCGGGGCGGGGGAGGGGGGCCAGTTGAAAGAAGGTGAGGGGACTAGACAAAGAACACACCAGCATCACCCGTGGACATGGACAACGATGTGGGGGTTGACGAGGAAGGGGGGCTGGGGGGAGGGGGCCAAGGGGGCAAACTGGGACAACTATAGCAGCATAAACAATAAAAAAATAGTGTCGCAAGTAAGAGTAACTTGTTGGCAAAGAGCAGATTGCTGTCTGGGATTTAAGTATCCCAAGCAGTGTCTTTTTAAAAATTGAGTTAAAATAGACAAAAAGCACTGTTTTTTTAAAGACTTTTTAATTAAAACTTGAAAAATTGAGAGTTGTCTTATAAGTACACCTCTTTTATAAAGCAAACTTTAAAATTTTAAAATAGTTTTAAATTTACAGAAAAATTACGGAGGTTGCACAGAGTTCCGGCGCTGCCCACATGTGGCCGCCCCACGCGCTAGGTCCTGGGTCACTGCGGAACGTTTCCTAATTAACAAAGTAGCGCGAGAGGCCCTTGCTCTGTGCAATGTCCTTTCTCTGTTCCAGAGTCCCCTGTGGATACCAGGAGGCACGTTACATTCATTGTCATGTCGTCTGAGGCTCTTCCTGGCTGTGACAGTCTCTTCTTTTCACTTAGAAATTCCCCAGAATTCCAGAAACTTCTGGGCATTGCTATGGAACTTTTTCTGCTGTGCAGCGACGACGCGGAGTCGGATGTCAGGATGGTGGCGGACGAGTGCCTCAACAAAGTCATAAAAGTAAGCGCCCCGGGGCGTGTCCTCCGAGCTGCAGCCCTTTCCTTCTGAGTAGCTTGTCCCTCGGGTGTCTGCACCTGTCGCCTTCCTGGTGTGTGGCTGGAGGCATCTGTGTTTGCTGGCACCCTTGCCGCATTTGCTGCACGTGGGCCAGGGCGGGGCGCTGACAGCGGCTGGGCGCTCCTGGGGGAGGGGGCGTCTGTACAGGCCCCGCCTTTTGTTGGGGTGTGGCCCAGAGACTGGGGGGCCCTGGGCTGCGTGCTGCCTCTGGCTCCCTTCGTCTCCTCTGCCCTCCTGTGGTCAGGGCAGGGCAGCCCTGTCCGCAGGTGAGGAGGTGACTTTGTAGCAGGTCAGCTGGAGTCAGGGAGCCTGACTGGGCGAAGTGGGGCTGGGGTGGGAGGGGAGGTTAGCCAGGTAGCTGAGGCTGCTGGGGCGGCGGTGGGCGAGGTCGGGAGAGGGCAGGGGTTGCCGGCCCACTTCTGCCACTGCTCCCTGTGTGGAGTGTGTGCCCAGCCATGGAGCCTTCACCTCTTGTCCCTTTTTCTGTTTCTTGCTGCCATGGGCGATCAAGCCCTTCTTTATGATTCTTCACATGTTGAAAAACTGTCCTTGTGTTTCTCCTCCTGCCGTGCCCCTGGTTTGGGTCCCCAACACGTCCTGGTCCCTGTCCTTTAGGCCACTGTTGCCTCCGTGAATGGGCCTTTTGAATTTCGTGTCCCCACTTACAGACCAGGGGCACTGTAGGCTAACCAGCCCGAGGAAGGTCTTCTGACATGGCTCTCGACGTTTAACCACTTCTTCATATTGGCTGAGAAGCAGAATGCCCTGCTCCCTCCTCCGCGGCGGTCCTTGCTCATTGGACCGGGCCAGCTTTCCCCTCTCCCCGCTATTCTGAGTTCACCCTGACAGTGAGGTGGGGCTTTGTGGAGAGGTCAGGTGCCGTTGCTTCCCTGGTGATGCGCGCTTGGCCAGATGAGCAGAGGCTTGTTCACTGTCTCCGTTCTCATCAGGGTCTGGGAAACGAAACTGTTTCTGTGGACCCTCCTCAAGGGCTCTCTCTGGAGAGGGCTCGTGTTGTCCGTCGGCCCAGAAACCCTCCTTCCTCCTTCGTGGCCCAGCCGTCCTCGTGCACATGGCCCCCCCGACTCCTGTGGTTGAGGAGGTGCAGCGCCGTTGTCGGGCAGGCGGCGCGCATGTGGGTTTGGGGGTGAAGGAGACCTGCATTTGAATCTTGCCTCTGCCCCTGCTCGCTGAACAATATTGGGAAATGTATGTGTTCTGTGAGCCCCGGCACCCTTATGTGTAAAGGGAATCATTCAGGCTTCTGTGCTGTGCTGTGTGCGCGCACGCGCTGTGTGTGCTGGGCCCGTGTGAGGGTGCTCCGTGCTGCATGTGTGCTCACGTGTGCGCTGTGTGCGCGCCCCTGTGTCCGTGCCGCGCAGCGGCACACTGGCCTGGCCGCCCACGGGCCCTCGCGGTGCTGTGAAGTGCCCTCAGGGACGCCGAGCGCTGTGCGCTCCTGCAGCTGCAGTTGCTGGCGGTGTGGGATCCGCGGGGCCCCGGTGCCCGGGGAGCCCTGCCCCGCTGGCAGCCCCCGTTTCTCAGCTGGCCATGCCGTCCGAGCTCGAGGTGCTGGCTGGCTTCTCTGCGGCCCCAGGGCTCGCGCTCCCTGCGTCGGAGCAGCCTCAGCGAGGTCCCCGTGCACCTCCGGGTGGTCACCTGGCCTGCTCCGCCTGCGTCCGTGCTTTGGCTTGCGTCCTGCCTCCCACGCGATGTAATGGCCAGTGGCCGTCTAACCCTGCTCTCCGTGCCTGGGGATCCACTGGTGACACGTGCATGTGGAGTCCCACAGCGTGTCTGTGGGCGGCCTGTGCAGTTACATGCCCTTCTTCCCCGGCGGACTGTCCTTACTGCTTTATATCCCCGTAGCTGGGCCAGGCTGGGCTTCTTCCGATAGCTCTGTTCTTGAACTTTGATCCTTAGAATGAGAAGACCTAAAGAGGGTGCCGCAGGTTGCCTTGGTTCATGGCAAGAGGGCAGAGAGAACACTATGACCCCGAATGCTCTGATGTTGGTCATTTTACACATCGGCTTCTTTCCGTTTGACATCTGTCGTTTTGAAAGTCCTGCCCCCAAGAGCCAGTGGACAGAACAGTGCGGTGTGTGTTCAGGGCCTGTGGCCAGGCGCTAGATCGTAGCTTTAGGTCCCGGGTTCTCCTCGCCACCCTCGCCCTGCTTCCTTCCCTTTTGTTCCTGGTCTCCCAGAGAGTCCAGCGTCTCACACTGTGACCCAGAACGTTAAGGCGAGGCCAGTCGCTCCCGGCTGCTCCTTTCTGCTGAACTCCAGGTGCAGCGGCCTGGGCTGTGCTCCGGCTGGCGTCCCCAGGGCTCGTCCTCAGGCACCCCGGCCACGCCCGCTCTCCCCGCGGCAGAGGAGGGACAGGCTTGGGAGAATGTGGGCGGCCTGAGGCCCAGTATCAGGGATGGACACTCAGGAGTCAGTCCTGGACTTCTGCCTTCTAGTGAGGAGTGTCATGTGCTTAGGGCGAGGCCCAGACTCTGCGTGGCCTGGGCATCGGGGCACGTTTTGCTCTTCATTTCCGTAAAGAAGGGTCCCGGGGACGTAGGCCAGCCTGACTGTGGGCTCTGCCCCCGTCACGCACTGGCTGTGTGAGGCACTTACTGCAGCCTGTGCGCCCCAGGTTCCGGGGGAGGCTGGCGGCTCGTGGGACAGACAGGAGGCAGACAGGGCTTCTGTCCAGGGGGGCGGCGGCTGCTAGGTGAGCCAGGAGATGTGAGGCCTTCTTACCCGCTGTGGGGTCCTGCCCCTGGGGGCGCCGGGAGCCTCCGCAGGCTCACGTGGGAGGGTGGCTCCCGGGCCTCCGAGAGAGGGAGGTGCTGAGGGGGTTCAGGAGGTTGTACTTTATTCAGTGGAGAACAAGCAGCAGCTCTGGAAGACGGGTGACGTGCTCAGAGGGGTGCTTGTGTAGGATGGGACGCCCGGCGACAACGAAGCCCTCCGTGGGTGGGGAAGGCCCTGTGCCCAGGGCCTGCGGGCAGCGGGGGGCAGGGCCGCGGGCGCGGGGCCGCTGGGCCGCGGGGCTGGGAGCGCCTGGGCGGCGAGGGAGGCCAGGCCTTCAGAAGGGACGCCGGTTTGCGTTGGCGCTGCTCCTAGAGGCGCCCGCCGCACGCTGGCGCCCCCACCTCCTGGCCGTGCAGGCGCTGACCACCCAGCAGAGCGCATGCGGACAGAGAGAAGCCCTCTAGGGTTTTCTCCACTCGGTGGCTGCTGAGGTTTTCAGATGAGAGCTTGGACCACTTGCCATTTAATTTTGATGTTATGTAGTGTTTGCTTGTAATGAAAGTTAAATTCTTTCTCTTCCGTTTTTATTCAAGTAAAACACTTGAATATGTATTATTTTTTGTAATGAACAGGTTCTTAGTTTAATTGCTATTAAATTCTACTTTCCCCCAAGATTGAAATTTAAGTTGCTTTTTAGCTTTCTTTAGAGCTGCTAACGGCCTGTGTCTTCTCTGAACAGACCTCTTGTATTTCATTGTAGGCTTTGATGGATTCTAACCTTCCGAGGCTACAGTTAGAACTCTATAAAGAAATTAAAAAGGTATGCCTTTATTTTCTGTTATTGAAAGAAAATGGTACTGTTTCACTGTGTTAAGCAGTTTTCTGAAATTTTATATTTAGTAAGTAAAAATGTTAGAAGGAAAAGCTGTTTGCTAGATTGTTTTTTCTTCAAAAGGTTATACTCTTCATTAATTAGTAGATGACATGGGAATTTAAAATGGTAACTTATTTTTATTTCTTTATAATTAAGCTTACTAAACCTTAAAATTTCTAAAGTAGTTAAACATTTAAATGGCCTTTTGTCTAAAAGTAGAAGTTAACAATGAAGAAAATGCTTTTGTTTATATGAAGTCGTCTTGGTGACTGGTGTCTATGACTTATTTTTTATTTTTTATATTTTAAATTTTTTGTTTTATTTATGGTTTTTAAAAAATTATTATTTTTGGAGAGAGAGGAAGCAAGATAGAGGGAGAAAGAGAGAGAGAGAGAGAGAAACATCAGTTTGTTGTTGCAGTTTTTCATGCATTTCATTGGTTGCTTCTTGTATGTGCCCTGACTGGGGATCAAACCCGCAACCTTGGGGTATCAGGATGATGTTCTAACTAACTGAGGTACCTGGTCAGGGCGGGTCTGTGGCTTTTAAATGTAACAACACACTGTTCATTAAACCCACTTAGAACGGCGCCCCTCGGAGCCTGCGTGCCGCCCTCTGGAGGTTTGCTGAGCTGGCTCACCTGGTTCGGCCTCAGAAATGCAGGTGCGTTGTGGTCTCCGGATGGTGATGATTTTGGTGGAGGGCCAGCTCCTATGGGTTCGTTGTATCTCAGCTCAAATGCCGCTTCTTGGGAGGCCTTTCCAGTGCGCTCTGTGTAAAGTTGCTTTTTCCCTGCCTCTCCAAGTTGTCGTCGTCGTCCTGTTTATTTTTCCTGCCCAGCACTCACTGCTCAGAAATACCCCCGCCCTCTACCAGCGCGCTTGTTCACTGTCTGCCTCCCTCCCCCCAGGCACATCGGGGACAGCGGGGTCTTCCCAGTCCGTGCTCTGCTGCAGCCGCACGCTGACAGCTGTGCCTGGCGTGGTGGCTGCCGGAAAGACACCTGTCCGACGGCTGGGGGTGGAGTCCCAACCTCGTCGTCACTTATTGTAGGAATTGTGGGACTTGATGCCCTCATCCATGACACGGGTTACAAATGTGGGCGGGAAACTGAGTCAAGTTTTGACTAACTGAAACAGTGTTGTCTTAGTGGATTGAAAAACAAAAGAGGGACCATGGTTTTCAACCCCCTCCTTGTGTCCTCGACTGGCAAAACGCCTGCCGGCCCCCGGCAGTGCCCCCGAGGGGCTGCGCAAGTGACCCAGACCGATTTAGTCCAACACGTTTGAGCTTGGTAGGAATCTTACACTCGGGCTGCAGAGAAGTAATCACTAAGGAAATTTCTCTTTGCATAACTTTTTGCTTTTACTGTTCGTATTTTGAAAATATGTTTCTGAAACAACACATCCCTAGTTCTCCACACAACAACCAAAGGTACTATAAGGAAACAGGACCGGGTCACGGTGTAGCCTCCCTCGAACCCTGGATTCACTCCCTGGAGCTGTTCACGTGGATCCAGGCCCCCCAGCCAAGGCCCGGGGGAGCCTGCCCTGGGCGCCCCCGCACCTCAGACACTCCCTGTTGACTCACTGGGTTCATTTTACATCTTCAAAAAGCCAGGTTTCTCTTCCTCTTGGTGGCTGGTTTATTTTTTTCCCCTTGATCTATGCAAAAAAAGCCATCTCCTTAGAAAGGTGGGCCTTGCCTCCCTAGTGTGGTCCTTGGCCCAGACCTGCCAGCAGCCTGTCTGGGCACCAGAGGGCACCGCCGCCGTGCGCTCTGCGCCTGGGTCCGGGGTTCCGCGGGTCCCAGCGGTCCTGGCTCACGGGTCTGCAGCCCCTGCCCTGCATGGCTGGCCTTTTCTCTCGGAGGCTCCAGGTCTTACTGCTAAGGCCTTACTCAGTCGCAATGCTTAGAAATGCTTTTTGTAATGTTCCTTTCCCAAGGAAACCTTATTCTCATCTAAGCTTTTATTTTTGGAGTGGTATTTTCTTCTAGTATCTCTTATTTTCTAATTTAAAATATGAATCTTTTAGTAATGACTATACTGCAAATAATTCTTCAAACTCACTTTGGAGAGTCCTGTGTGCTGTGCAGTCACCGGGGACACGAAGGGCGAGCGTCCCCCAGCGTCTGAGCCCGTGTGTTCGTCCTCCTGCCCCTGTCGCAGGGGCCCGGCCCCGCCCCGCGGCCGGAATGGGCTCTCCTCGGGCAGGCTCAGCACTAGCCGCTTGTGTTTCACTGCGCTGGGCCTGCTAGAATAACGCACGTTCCTCTCCCACCTGCAGGCCCTACTTGGTAAACCTCTTGCCGTGCCTGACTCGGACGAGCAAGAGACCGGAGGAGTCTGTTCAGGAGACCTTGGCTGCTGCTATACCCAAAATTATGGCTTCGTTTGGCAATTTTGCAAATGACAATGAAATTAAGGTATGATTGGTACCTCACATCACAAACCCGTGAGTGAGGCTGGTGCGGGGGCTGGGGCTTCCGGATAGGTGGCCGGTCGTCGGAGAGGACTTCTTGAGCTCTGCTGTGCTTCCAACTCAGGTTAAGACCCCCGTGGCCTACTGAGAGCTTCCTCCCACTCTGCTCTTGTACTGTGGGTGCAGAGCCGAACCGGGGCTGTGCACCCACACACATTCAGAGGCGCCGTTCCTGAGCAGACTGGGTGTTAGTGCACTGGGTTGGCTCCTTACGCTGGTCAGAGTGGGGTGGGGTGGGGTGAGGAGAGGCGGGGAGAGACGGCCGTCCCGGGCCTGCAGGTCGCGGGCAGCGTACTGGTGCCCCGCAGTGGTCAGGAACCCCTGGCTTGCTGTTCGTTCTGCGCCCCGGCGGCCTGCCCTCAAACCTGCTTTACTGTTCTGTTCATAATGTCCAGAAATCGTGGCCTTGTCACAGGGTCTGAGTATGACAGATTCTTGACCTCCTGCTTCTGTGGCTCAGCCCTGTGTTAGCATTTCCCTCCGTATTTCCAAATAACATGCTTATACGGCTGCCTTTGGGTTTTTCTCTGTGGAAGACATGAATTTAGCTCCAGCCTCACTCTTTTTTTACTGTAGTCATATCACCGTGTACGATGTTACGCCTTCATAAATAATCACAGCTTGTTATGTTTTGTCCCATGGTTATGTTTCTTTGTACAACTTTCTGGTTTATCTGCAGTTAATAATCACCTCTTTTCACTTGCTTCCTACCCTTTGGCCACTTGTGTCTTCTCGCACCTTTCGGTGGCGGGGTCAAATGCACCGCAGGGGTCTCCCCAGGACACTTCATTGGGTTGCTTCCCCAACTGGTGTTACCCATCCAGACCCCTCTGGCGACACGCTGCCCGGCCCTGCCCAGCCCAGGGCTTTCCCTCTCTCGCACCCTGGGAGCGGCTTTTGCTGCTCTCCCGCTGGACGCCCAGTGCCTGGATGCCCGTCTCTCCCCTTCCAGGCTCACAGCCTTGCTGGGTCTCCGTGCCTCCTGCCGCTGCCTCTACGAGGTGTTCTAGGCATCGGGGGCTTCGGGCTGGGAAGGCCCCCTAAGCTTTCATAGTCAGTTTTATTAACTCTTCCAAACAACTTAGGTTCACAGTGGGCTGACCCTTCATAGTAATGCTTAACGTTCCTTGTGCTTGTATCCTTATGTACTGTTTCAGTGATGTATTCGCGTAGATTTTCTCTCAAAGGAGTTCTTTAAGATGCTAACATTTTTTTCTGGAGCTGAAGAAAGTTTGTTAGAGATGAGTTGCCAAGGTGGTGTCTCTGGGGAGGCGTTGGGGGGGCACAGGCCTGCGGCCAGGTGTGTGGTCCTTCACCTCTCTGGTCCCAGGCATCTAACCTGCAGGTCCACAGAGAGTTGCTGAGCCTCTGAGAACCAGGGGTGCTAACCCCTGTTGAGGAGGATCCTGTTGAGTGAGACAGCAATCTGTTCGTGGGCTGATCGTTTGCCTGGAGTCATACCTCCCGTGGCGGGCCCGATGGTGCCCCAACTCGGTCAGCAGTGCTCAGCACACACCGACCGGTCACTGGGACAACCCGTTGTTCAGATGGTTTGGAATCATGGGACGTGGATGTTCTTAGGTAGCGTCGTTACCAAACGCAGGCAGCTAGATAGTCGCCCCTTTCGTTCTTTGGCTGTTTGCCATGGGTGCAGCTACAGCCCCCTTCACTTGGGTCATCTGGAGGGCCCGCGACAGAGTCTTCTCTGCTTGTTTAGAACGGTGTGAGTAGCGTCCGGTCACAGCTCAGTTAGGTTGTACGTTCTCCAGTCCCAGGACGCCCCTCCGTGACCACCGCTGAGGCCGCACGTGTACAGGCCGTCTCCGAGGCCGGGCGTTGCTGTAGCTGGCTAGTGCTCTTTGCTCTCTGACTTCAGTATTTGTCAGGGTTTTTATTTTTTTAGCTGTGTTTATTTTCCATAGTGGCATTTCCTGACCCTGTCCCCAAGTACTGTGGGTACAGCTTTTCCTGAGCTAAGGCTCCCACTTGCACAAGTCCCGGCTTGCACTTTATAAGACAGTAAATAGACTACAAATTTGCAAACTGCTCCGGAATACCCCAAATTTGGATGCATTCATTTGGCTTGAGGAAGCTGGAATTGTTGATGGTTTATGCTCTGCAAGGACCTGGAGCAAGTTGGGTTTTATGAAATGTGTGGCCCGCTTCCTTGAGCTCTGCCCTCAGCCATGCAGCCCTCGCTCCTGCAGGTCCTGTTAAAGGCTTTCCTCGCGAACCTGAAGTCCAGCTCCCCGACTGTGCGGCGGACAGCGGCCAGCTCCGCGGTGAGCGTCTGCCAGCACTCTAGGAGGACGCAGTACTTCTACAGCTGGCTGCTCACTGTGCTGCTAGGTAAGGGGCGTGCGTAGGGGCCCCCCGTGTGGGAGGTTGGCCTCTGCACCGACGATCCCTCGGCCTGAGGACCAGACCCCGGGGCATGGGCTGATGGGGAAGCGTGAGCTAAGCTGGGGCTGCCGCGAGCCCATGCGGGGTTCATGTGAGGGCTGGGAAGGCCCGCTCCTTGGCAGAAGCGTGGGCACAGCTGTGTCCAAGGGCAGCCAGCAGGGCAGGGGGTGCGGGCCAGCATGCCACCCCGGCCTCCCTGGGCCTGGCTTTCCGTGCAGTCAAACTGCACCGCCGGTTGAGGTGGCTCTGAACGCAGGGTGTCCCTGAGGGCTGAAGCTGAGCCCCGGCTCTGAGGTTCTCTTCGTGGCATAGGTCTGCTGACCATTTCTCCCGCTTGTGGGGTAGCTGTGAAAATCAACGCCAGCAAGTGCCGCATGCGGCACGTGGAGGCTGGTCATGAACGGGCCGCCTGACTTTCCGATGCCCAAAGCTCCATGCAAAGTCCTTGCTAGGCTGAGGAGCAGAGGTCGCCCTTTAAGGCCCCTCCCGGATCGTGGCCCCTATGGCAATACGCTGGTGTCCCTTCACAGCGGTGCCTGAGCCAACTTTGTCCCTCACCACCAGCCTCTGGGCCGGGCTCTCCTGGGGGCCTCTTGTCTTTCACAAGCTGGGCCCGGCTCCCGGCACCAGGCCCCGTGTGAGGAACCCTGTGCTGCCTCCCAGGTCTGCTGGCTCCTGTCACCGACGAGCGCCCGCCCCGCCTGGTCCTTGGGGTGCTGCTTGCGCTGCGCTGCTTGGTGCCCCTGCTGCAGCAGCAGGTTCAGGACACCAGCCTGAAAGGCAGCTTCGGGGTCACGCGGAAAGAGATGGAAGTGTCCCCCTCGACAGAGCAGCTGGTGCAGGTAGGAGCCCTGGGTTACTGCGGTGCAGGCACAGAAACAACTGGCACGCAGAGAGTTGGGTCACAGGGAAGGGCCCACAGGAAGGATTAGGGCAGCCCTTGTTTTCTGCTTCCAGGTGTATGAGCTGACCTTGCATTACGCGCAGCACCCAGACCACAACGTGGTGACCGGGGCTCTGGAGCTCCTGCAGCAGCTCCTCAGGACCCCGCCTCCCGAGCTCCTGCGGGCCCTGACCACGCCGGGTGGCCTGGCGCCGCTCAGCGCCCCCAGCCTGGAGCCCGGCGCTCGGAGCCGCAGCGGGAGTATCGTGGAGCTGATAGGTGAGTTCTTGTCACGAGGCCCACGGCACCGCCGGCTCCTGCCGTTGGGTTCTGGGCCGAGCCCATGACATCTCAGATCCTCACCAAATGATCAGTGAGGTGCCGTTGCACTTGGCAAAGGGAAGAACTGAAGTGTGGGGAGGTGAGGTGCAAATGGGTCCCTCTCTGATGCGGCTGCCTCCACGCGGCCTTTCGTCTGTTGTGGAAGCGTTAGGGAGAGCACTTCCAGAACCTGTCGTCTCTGTCACTTCGCCAGAGACGGGGCCTTCAGGTCTTCCAGGGACTGTAGTTTCTCTCTGCTCTGTCCTTGCCGGCTATCCTTGACTGACCTTAGCGAAGTCCTCCTGGTCCTGCCTTTGGCTCGTCCTGGGCTGCCCCGCCTCTGCTCCCCACTGTGCTCTGGGGACTGGGCCCTGAGCCCACCCCCGCTGCTGGTTTCCTGCCGCTGGTGGGCCCGGTCAGACGCAGAGATGCCCCGAGGGAGCAGGAGGAGATGGGGAGTCCCGCACCGCAGCCTCGGGAGCCGATGCTTCCGTAGCTCCGGCCTCTCCTCGGCCTGGCCGCTGCCGCCGATCCAGTGCAGCGTGGGTGCGGGGTGGCCATGACCGGCCCCATCCACAGACGGCAGAGCTCTGGCTGGCTCGCCTGCCTGCTGCTTTGTCTAGCACCAGGGGCAGAAAGTGGTCGTGCGCCTGCCCCCAAGAGTCCTCCCCTCTGTGGGGCACCTGCCTCGCAGATGATGCTGAAATACTCAGAAATGATGGGTTTCCAATGAAAACTGATGTTTCATTATTGGTTGATGAAATAACCTGATATTTCCGATGTTTTTAATTTGGCTTTTTAAATGTACTGTGTATGGCCTCTTTGGACATTTTAGGTCATGTCTTTAGAACCGTATCTTTGGGTGGTAACGTAACTTTCACGTTGTCAAAATTGAAGCACAGCAGCGTGGTGCTTAAGCACTGCCTGTGTACGCACGTTCACATGTCCTCTGGTTTTAAAGTTGAGTCAAGCGTTTTGAAGATTTTTGAATTCCTTCTGAATTTTAGCCACTGTTACCTTGTTTTCATCTGTCATTTTTCTCTTTCTGTGATTTACAGCTGGAGGGGGTTCTTCCTGCAGCCCTGTCCTTGCAAGAAAGCAGAAAGGTGATTATTTCAGAAACCAGAGCCTGGAGCCCCGCTGGCTTTCCGGTGTCACCGTCGTGACGCCGTCGGCTGTACCTGTCCCTCGTCCTCACAGAGGGGCTGCCTGTGTGTTGCTGGAACCGCCGGGGCCTGGTGGGGCGGCCGTGAAGTTGCCGTGTCTCAGAACTGCTCTGTCACACACTTGTGATGCCCTCAGCAAGGGTTGAGCTCCAGGTGGTGTGCGGTTCGGCCTGGGGGCCTCATGGTCTCCTTTGCGCTGTGGACTCGCTCTGGCAGGGAGGCAGCCTGCGACCCCGTCAGACTTCCCTCACAGAGCAGGCGGTGGGGAGTGTGTTAGGTTTTATGAAGGTAGCCTGTCTTCCCGGTCAGTTTATCTAATATGAGTCAGCAGTAACGTTTGCTAATTATTTAGGTAATTTGAGCTGGTTATTATTTCCCAGCTGTATTTGGCTTTGTACAGGCCAAAGGGTTCTGATGCAATTAATTATTTTTAGTGCAACACCAGTTATTTTTTTTCCAGTCTTGATTTCCATAGGATGTGATTGTTGTTGTGTGTTGATTTTTAAAATCTTAAAAAGACACTCTTTTCTTAGCTGTAGGGTGCTTGGCGAGCAGCAGGCTCACTCATCTTTCTCTGAGCTGAGAGCTGAGTGCCCGCCTCGGGGCCTGGGGCCTGACACTAGCAGCACGGCGTGTGGCCCCGGCCGCGCGCAGCCCGCACTTCCTGGCAGCGGCTGGGGCCTTGGTCCCTGGGCCGTCGCAGGGCGGTGCTCAGTCAGCCACGAGCGAGGCTCCGGGGCTGCTTGGGGGCCGAAGGGCCCTGGAGAAGTTATGCACACCTATGGTCTGTTTCTTGAAGATCGGTGAAATTATAAACTGGAGGTTGCCAAAAATGTTTTTGCTACTGTCATTTAATGACGTGTGTGTGTAATTATAATTGTAAGATTTAATGGGTCCAGTTGAATCATGTTAAGACTTTTGTATTCTTTTTTTCTTATTAATATAGTCTGGAAACTGTAAACTATATATAACACACACTTCTTGAACTTTGCAAAAGATGAAGTATTATTCTAACCTCCCAGGTTATAGTGTTGAGTTCTGATTGTTAACCTTACAATCTAGCAAATTAAAAAATAATAAGGTAAAGGTGATCTTTAGATATAAAGGTTTTACATATAAATTCTGGTATGCCATTGGAGCTATGGTGTGAATATCCCAAGGGCTAATAGAATTGGTTCCAGCCTTAATGCACCATTTTAAGATTAAATAATAATATAAATTATTGAATATTAACAGTAATCTAAATCCATAAATATTTATTATTCACTAAAATACTTTGCAGTACCATTTGAGAATCGTTGCTTTAAAGTTTTTCTATATAAGTTTATGGACTTTAATAATACTCTGTAATACCTCCATATTCTTTGTGTTTAGCACTGTAGAGGGATAAAAATACTACATACAATGATAAACTGTTAAGACGGTGAGCACAATATGCTTAGGATTGTCCACCTAGACTGCATTTCCTGGCTCTTCCCAGTCCTTGTTTTCAGCAAGCTTAGAAGAGCTCTTGCTGCGTCATTCCTAGGGAAAGAGCTCTGCGGAGAGGCGGCCGCCCTGGAGGACGACACCGAGTCGCGGTCGGAGGGCAGCAGCCCAGCCTTTGCAGGTAGCTCGCAGGGAGGGCGACCGCTTGCTCGTGGCAGGGAGTTCCGGCTTCTTTATAATGTTCACTCTGAAACGTGTGTGTTTTCTTGCCTCAGATATTTGCTCTTTCCTTGGTTTAGATAAAATGAGGGCTATATTGCCATGAGCACAAGTCTTTTTGAGTGGGGGAGGATGGGTAAACGGGAACTGCACGGGTTGTGAGCGGGGAAGTGGGATCGAGAACGATCTGTGGATAGTTTCACTTGGCAGAATTCTACATAGTCATTCACCCTACAAGGGGTGAGTATTGACTAAGATACTAACGATTGGATTAAATGAACATGGTTTGGGGTGTATAATCCTATTCAAAAGAATAGCTTACTTAAGAAGGAAAATTTGAATAATCGCAGTGATAATTATTTCTTCATTTATTTTACAAAATAAAAATTGATTTTCTAATTACAAAAATAAAGTTAAAACAACAAAATTACAGATATAATAATAAACCTCAAGTGCTCTCTGGCCCAGTGGCTTCCGGGAGTGACCCCTGCTGACAGCTTGGTGTACGAGGTCTGTCCAGAAGATATCCCACCGCGTAATAGGAAAAATAGACACATTTATTGAAGAAGATACAAGAAACATTGTACATAGGACAATGCTGCCTCAGTCCCCTTCAAAGCAGGCACCTCGGGACCTCACACACTTCTCCCAATTGCCATCAGCTGCCCCATCGTATTTTCTTGAATCTCATCGACAGCCTGAAATCTCTTCCCTCTCAAAGGTGGTTTCAGTTTCAGTAGAAGCCAGGTCACAGGGCGCCAAATCTAGCCTTTTATGGGGCTGAGTCACCTGGGTGATTTGATGTTTCACCAAAAACACTCTGCACAAGATGTGAGGCATGAGTGGGCGCCTTGTCCTGATGCAGCTGCCAGTCAGCAGGTGCCCACAGCCTTGGCCTTCTGGGTCATCCGAACGGTTTCCATCGGGGAATGTTCAGGCGCAACGCAAAATCTGATGCAGATTCGTTGCTCCACTCTCTCAGTCATTTTGAATGTGACAGCCACACAGTGCATGTGCTCACTCAGTTAGGGGCATCTGTTGTCCCCACTGACCAGTATAGTGAAGTCGTCATGGTTCACACATGTGTGTTCCAGTCCACTCTCCTTGGTTGTCAGGTTACATCGATATTGTGCAAATCGTTCTTGTTATATTAACAACAGTTGGACTTTTTTCTGGACAGCCTTCATAGATCTTTTTGTATTGGTTTTATGTAGTGGGATTTTTTTTTAATGGGAATTTAAAAACTAAATGAGGAAAATGTATTGCAAATTTATGCTCCAGGAGACTAGGAGCAGCTTAGGGGTCTTAAACAGGGTCTGGGAAGAGGGAAAGCCCCAGAGAGCGATGGTGAATTCACCATTGTCACGTCTAAACACTGCTTGCCTGGAGCACCAGGCCCACCCGCGAGCCGCCCGTGAACTCCCGAGGGCTGCAGGTCTTGCCGCACGACCCTGGGCGGAGGTCGCAGCAGCTGCAAAGGCGTCGGAGGGGGTGCTTCTGGGCGCAGCGTGCAGGTTTGCAGTGAGGCCCTCTGGCAGCACATGCGTCGCAGGCACCCGCTGCTGACCCTTGCTCTCCTGATACGGTGTAGTCACACGGTGAAAGGCAGAGGGGTGACACAGGGGAAAGCAGCTTTGGTCATGTTTGAAGGAGGCCCTGTTTTCTTTTGAAATGTACTAGTTCATGTTTTCACTGTATTTCAGGATATTTGCAGTTAAAACAGTGACTGGATTTTAGGTATTTTGCAGACATTTTATCACTGTTGACTGTTTTCCTGGCCCTTTGAGGAATGAGTGTTTCTTCATCTTCTGCTTCAGTCAAGGGCGAGATCTGTGGGGAGCTGGCTGCCTCTCCAGGGGTCTCCACTGCGGGTTCTGCCAGCGCAGCTGCCGCCTCCACGGGTCACGACATCATCACCGAGCAGCCCCGGGCACAGCACACCCTGCAGCCGGACGCGGTGGACCTGGCCGGCTGTGACTTGACGAGCGCTGCCACCGACGGGGAGGAGGAGGACATCCTGAGCCACAGCTCCAGCCAGATCAGCGCCGTCCCGTCCGACCCTGCCACGGACTTGAACGATGGGACCCAGGCCTCCTCCCCTGTCAGTGACAGCTCGCAGACCACCACCGAGGGGCCGGATTCGGCCGTGACCCCTTCGGACAGTTCTGAGATTGTGAGTGGGTGAGGGGCGCCCCGGTTTCTGCAGGGGGTCTTCCCCGGAGGCCCCGTCTGACCCCCCGAGAGCAGTGCGGGGGGCAGCCGCCCAGCTCCTGAGTGGGGAGCCTGACCCTTCTGAGCTCTGCACCGAGGGAGACGGCAGGGCGTCTTTCGTGTTTAACATCGAGGTTAGAAATTAGATTAGTGGATGATATGGACTCTTTCCCATTTTTTTTTTTTTTTAAAGATTTTATTTATTTTTAGAGAGAGGGGAAACGGGGGAGAAAGAGAGGGAGAAGAACATCAATGTGTGGCTGCTTCTCATGCGCCCCCTACTGGGGACCTGACTCGCAACCCAGGCAGGTGCCCTGCCTGGGAATCGAACTGGTGACCTTTTGGTTCACAGGCTGGCACTCAGTCCACTGAGCTACACCAGCCAGGGCTGCATTTTAAATTCTTTAAGAGCTAGTTGGGCATAGGTGAAAATCATTATTTTAAAAAATGTGTGAAGAACTTACTATTAACAGATCTGTGGGCTTAATGCAATGCGATTAATAACATGAACACTGTGCATTATTTTAACACATTTTGACTTTTCTGAAAACATTTGCAACATATTCTATCTTATAGAGCATGGATTTGAGTATCTCTGAGTCAGTGCAGTGTGAGCCACAGAAAAATGAGCATGACTGTGTTCCAGTAAAACTTCCTTGACAAGCACGGGGGGTGGGCCAGGTTTGCCTCGCCGTTCCACAGTGTGTGCATTGTGTGTGTACGGCAGGCAATAAGCCAGTAATCATCCAGTAAGTGAGTGTGCAGCCAGGTGATTGAAAGCACCATAGTGAAAAGTGAGCAAATTGAAGCGGTTGGGAACTTCCTCCTGAGGCAGCTCAGTGCGGGGCCCAGGGGTTTGGCTCAGAGCCCGAGAATGGAGTCGGGGCTCTGCCTTTAGGCATGTAGCCGGGGGCAGACGCGCTCTTCCCGCCCCAGCTCCCTTGCCGGACAGCGAGGGCGGCCGCTGAGCCCGTGCTGGGGGCCCACCGACGGGGCCCGCGGTGTGCGGGTGCTCGCTGCCCGGGCCGGCACGCACCGAGGCACTGGGAGCCTGCTGCTGCTTCTATTCTGGAGGGACTTCTCTTTTTAACCTGGTTTTGTTTTGTTTTTGGTATACTCATCTGGAAGGTGCTGAGTGAAGGAAATAATTTTTTTCTTTTTGATCATGTAGTTTAATTTTTAAAAATCTAATTGGAATGGTTTGGAATGTTTTTAAAAAAGCAATTTAATTCAGTGATATACTAGCATATTGAAGACTCACCATTCACCTTTTCAGGTCAATTACAGGGGTTTCAAGCTGACATGAGACGTTTTGCAATACGGGCTGTAACCTGGTTGATGGCTTCGGACATGAACTGCTATGTCCGACACTTGGCTGGTTCAGTGCTGGTGCCGCAGGAGATGACCTCTTGTGCTGCGAGGGTTTTGTCTGAAGGTTTTTCCTCATTTTTGACCTAATATAAATTTTGTTTCTGAAGGCAGAGATTTTGTTTGATTTTTAAAAGTAACATACCAAGAAGTGAAATTTCCAGATTGGGAATATTTTGAAATTTTTAGAGTTAAAGCTTTTTATAACACAGTGGTAAGCTGGTCAGTAAGCTCTTGAACTTCATGCACATGCATCTGTGTGTATTTGGGTGGCCACTGTGTTAGTGTGCAAGACGTGGTCCGTCGCACGTACGGTCTCGCCTTGGCCCTTCCACGCGGAGAGCTCTTCCCAGCTGGGGGGACACCTCTGAGCCCTCACACCCCTCTGCTCCACGCAGGTGTTGGACGGAGCTGACGGCCCGCCGCGCGGGGAGGAGGAGGAGCCCCCGGGCCTCCTTCCGGACGAGGACTCGGACGCCTTCCCACACCCCTCAGCCGGTAGGCTGCGCCAGCCGGCGCTGTGGCGGGGTCGGTTCAGCGGGCACCCTAGTTCTCTTTTAAAAAGCTCCCAGGAAGGTATCTCTTGATATCTTTGTTTTCTGAAGTATAAACAAGGAAACCATCCGAGGAATGATTGACTGTTTTCTTGCTCCGACTCCTCCTTTTATGTTGACTTTGTGTAAATGTGTGTGTTTGCACTGTAGTGGGAAACTCGTCACTTACTCCTGACTTCTCTGCCTCCAGAAGCCCTTCAGCAAGCGCACCTGCTGGGGAGCATGGGCCACAGCAGGCGGCCCTCTGAGGGCAGCGTGGATAAGCTCCTGCCGAGAGAGGAGGCTGCCGACCTGGGAGAGCAGGAAAGCAAGGTGCGGGTTCCAGGCCGCGCAGCGCCCTGGGCTCCCCAGTGTTTCCGGCCACTCGGGCCGCCTGCCCCCGGGCCTCCGGCTTCCCGTGCGGCTGTGCAGCCGTTTCCTGTGCCGTCGGCCTCTCCCCAGGCCTGCTCTCCATCCTGCCTCTGCCGGCACTGCCCCTCGAGAGCCTTCCCCAGGCGGACTGTCTGCCTCACCTGATTTCTGGGAGCACTCGTTTGACAGTCTGCATGACCTTGGGTTGTTTCTTGTTTTTGTTCCATTGATCGATTGGTGCGTTTATTGTGGTAAAATACACGTGACATAAAGGCTGTCAGTTCAGTGACTTTAAGTGCGTTCATGTTGTTGTGACCATGGCTGTGTCCACCTCCAGGATTTCTCATCTTCCCAGACTGACACCGTGTCCCCATTAACCAAAAGCTCCCCCGGCCCCTGGTACCCACCATTCTACTTTCTGTCTATGGATTTGACTCCTGGGGTCCTCCTACAAGTAATCATACAGTATTTGTCCTTTCCTGTGACTGGCGTATTTCACTTGGCATAACGTCCCCAAGGGTCGTCCATGTTGTAGCAGGTGTCAGAATTTCCTTCCTTTTAAAGACTGAATAATATTTCATGGCGTGTAGTACCGCATCCTGTCCTTCCCTCCACCCAAGGATGGGCACCTGAGTTACTGCCGCCCTTTGGCTGCGTTGGACGATGCTGCTGTGAGCGTGGGTGCTCGCAGACCCTGACTCACACCCTCCTGGGGAATGGCGGGGTCATACGGAAATTCAGTGTTTAGTTTAGTTTGAGGAACTGACTGTCCTCCCGTTGATTTTCAGTTCTTCAGGGAAGAACTAGTGTTAGGGACTTTGTCCCACACAGGTGTTCCTATCAAGTCCCTGAGCACCAGGCCGCCTCCCTCTCAGGGTGGGGCTTTTCCCCAGCTCCCGTCCCTCTTTGTCCTGTCAGTGGTGGCCCGTGCTCTACTTCCCCAGCAGCCTACCCCCCTGGTGCGCCCGCCCTGCGCGCTGAGCTCATCTCCGCCACAGCCTGTGGGACTGGCATCAAAGCTGCCTCGCCCCAGGCTCAGCCTGCCCCGTCGTGGTCTGGGAGGGCGGGCCGGTGCATGGGCAAAGAGGCAGGATCTCAGCACCCTGCGTGTGGCCCCGGGGCTGCTGGGAACTCTGTTGAATGAGCGGATGGATGTGTGTGTTCTTTGATTATCAGACAAGCAACCGTCAGTTCCTCTGTTCTAGCCTTGCCGGGTCAAAGGTGACATTGGACAGCCTACCGACGAGGATGCTGCCCCCCTGGTCCATTGTGTCCGTCTTTTATCTGCTTCATTTTTGCTAACGGGGGAAAAAAATGGTAAGTATGAGAGGGCGGGTGCCGAGCTGAAGGAGTCACCAGGTTTCGGAGACAGGCCATTGGCCAGTTCTGTGCCTGGTTCTTGCAGCCGAGGGACTCGGCAGGCTGAGCACGAGCGTTGGCCTCCCTGACTGGCGGGAGGAGCGAGGGAACGACGGGGCTGCGGCGGCTGTCGTGGGTCTGCCCTTGCTTGTTTGGGAACCGAACATTTGCAGCTTTGGAGCCGAAGGTGCCCTGGGGGTTTCATTGCAGCGTTGGTTCCGGATCGGGACGTGCGGGTCAGCGTGAAGGCGCTGGCGCTCAGCTGTGTGGGAGCGGCCGTGGCCCTTCACCCCGAGTCTTTCTTCAGCAAGCTGTATAAAGCCCCTCTGGACACCGCGGAGTACCCTGGTGTGTCAGCCGTGCATCTCTCCTCCCCGTTTCATCGTTATTTTGAAAACTATTTCAAACCACCTTGGCTATTTACTTTCAGAGCAGTTTTTTGAGTTCACTGTGGCATTTGAACTGTGTCACAGCTATTCATACAGCACACAAATAACGATGTGGTGGCTTCTTAGGTGCCCTGTCCACCTGCTATGTAGTTGGAATACACACAACAGGACAGTAGAATTCTGGGACTTAAGATCCAGTTGACTCCGTAATGGGTTTTTACCAAAAGCACAAATTACATGTAATGAAAATTTATACCACAGTCCCACTGAGCCAGGCCAGACGCTCACACTCGGAGGCACGTGGGGCCTGAGAGTGGCCGAGGCAGCAGCCATCCCCGTCGCGCACACCCGGGGACGCGCGTTGTCACAGAGGGAGCAGTGGGAAAAGCTGCATTTCTGGGACCCTTCCCTGCCCCCCCTTCCTTCCGTTGGGTGAGGGGCAAAGCTGTGCTTCTGAATTTATGTTAGGTGTGCATGGACTCCTTTGAGTGTGTGTAATCTTTTTTGAAGTAAAGTACTGGCATTTGGCTTATTGCTGACAGCCTGGAATTATAACACGTTGTGTTGAGTAACATCAGGGATATACTGAATCTAGGATCTTAAAGCCCCTAAACACTTCAGCGCTGCTGGTTATTCTAGACAGGTCTTGTCTAGGTTGGGACCGCCCCTCGCCCTTTTTGCTTCCCTGAGAATTGAACTTTCCCTTTGAGTTAGAAGGTTGAAGGGGCTTTGCACAGTGTCCAGGTAATTTGTCCCCACAGAGGAGCAGTGTGTCTCGGACGTCTTGAACTACATCGACCACGGAGACCCGCAGGTCCGGGGAGCCACGGCTGTTCTCTGCGGGACGCTCCTCTGCTCCATCCTCAGCCGTTCCCGCTTCCAGGTGGGCGGCTGGATGGGCTCCGTTCGCACTGTGACAGGTAATAGTCGGTTTGGAGGAGGCCCTTTCTGGGTGTCGCTGCCCCGTTCGAGTTTGCCTGAAGGCATTTGTTCTTGCTCTTCCGGTCAGGGAACACGTTCTCTCTGGCGGACTGTGTTCCTCTGCTGCAGAAAACGCTGAAGGATGAGTCTTCTGTTACTTGCAAGTTGGCATGTACAGCTGTGCGGGTGAGTGCTGTGGAACACGCTTCTTTTTTGAGTGTAGGAAACCTTATCATTACTGCAATGAAAATACTAAATATGTCCAGGCATTCTGAAGCTTTAAACAATAATAAACATCTGTGTATCTGCCATGTAGCTTTAGAAAGAAACTATTGCCATAGAGTTAAGGTTTCATAGACTTTTTTTAAGTTTTGATTCTCAGAATAGCTGTTTGAAGTATCCCTTTTCCTAAAGAGAGTAGTTAGAAATAGACCTTGCTAACATTAAGTGGCAAACCTGTGGAACAGCAACCAGCACCTCCACCGGGCAGTGCAAGGCTGAGGCAGCCCGTGGCTCCGAGGAGATGTGCCTCCTCTGCTCGGGCCAGTGGCAGGGCCCCGTGCTTTGCGTGGTGCGTGTCCTGCCCCTGGGCCCCTGGGCCCCAGATCCCCCCAGCCAGTCACCAGCACGAAAACTTAACCAGTAAACATGTTTTAAAAACCCACAGAACCTCGTCATTGTCAGCTTGCAGTCTGCCTTCCCTTTTTAAAACTTAACGGCCTGGCCAGAGCTGTGGCTTCATTCACAGTGTTTGCCGGGTCTCGGCTGAGCACAAGCAGGTGTGTAGGCAGCGGCCCCGTTGCTGGCCTCGCGTTGGCCCGTGAGTGCTGGGGGCGCGGGGCACCGTGGGGCCACAGAAGTCCTGTCCCTTGCCCCGGTGCTGAGATGGCCTCAGAAGGGGATTGTGCCTGGTCTCCCTTGTTAACGCTGATAAGCGCTCAGAAGGGGGGTGTCTTGGGGGAGAGACCTTGGCTGAGGAGGCATTGGGAGGAAGAGGGAGATCAGGTTATATGTCAGGGACAGACTTCGAACTTGAGGTTTCTCAGGTAAAGCGCACGGCAGATGTCTCTGAGACACGCAGAATGAGCTTGTGCAAGGGATGGGAGGGGCCGTGGGGATGCCAGCGCAGTGGCTTGCTTTTCAGCACTGTGTGATGAGCCTCTGCAGCAGCAGCTACAGTGACTTGGGGCTGCAGCTGATCACCGACATGCTGAGCCTGAGGAGCAGCTCCTACTGGCTGGTGAGGACGGAGCTGCTGGAGACTCTGGCAGAGGTGGACTTCCGGTAGGTGCATCGCCGCCTCATCCGGGCACCCAGGCTGCTCGGGGCTTTGAGCTGAGCATCGAGAGGTCTGGCTCCCGTGCTGTAGGTGGTGATGGTTGCCCGGCGGTGAGTGTCGCCAGGTCTCCCCGGGCGGGGGGGGGCGGTGAGCCTCGCCAGGTCGCCCGTGTGGCAAAGGCCTGGGGGGTTCCAGCCGCGAGGGCTTTTCTGCCGCCCTGTTGCGGGGCTCTGCCAGCGCTGCGGAGGGGCGCGTCTTCCTGGCGGCCTTGGTCGCGGGAGCGCTCCGGCTGGCGGGGAGGGCGCGCGGGCTGCTGACACCTGTGGCTCGTCCCACGTCCGCTTCCTCGGCGGGAGCATGTGCGCATGGCCATCCCGCACTGAGCGCAGAGAGCCGCCCGGTGCGTGGCCGCAGCAAGGACGCGCCTCTGCTGCGCTGCGGCCGGTCTTGGTCTAGGAGGGAGTTTTAGCCCGAGCCGTTTCCTTTCAGGAGGGAGATGTCCCTTTCCCACCCAGGGACCGCAGGGAGCGTTTATCGCGGCTGGCCGTGTGCTGGGCTCGTGCCGGCCACCCTCCCCAGGGTAGTGCTCGTTCCCTCCGAACATCCCAGTATGAGGGGCTGTGCCACCTGCACCCCCGCGTGGGGCTCTGACCGTGGGGGTGAGCGCCCCCGGGCTGTGGCCGGAGGGCGGGAAGGGGCAGCCCTCCGCCTGCCGCTGCCCTGCCTTCTGCCTGCCTGTCTGAGAGGATTTTTGGGGCACTGGGAGTCTTTCCGAGCAATACACGTTTATATTTATTTTGAAGAAAAGCTGTTTTCTCAGCACACCTGATTAACAGAGCCTGGAACCCCAAGAGGATGTAGATCTTCGCTCTCACGCGGCCGTTCTTCCCATTGCTGGGAGGCAGCGCTGGCCCCAGGCGCCCGGGCACCGCAGGCGCCTGGCCAGCTGCCCCGGGCGGCTGCCCCAGCCGTCTGTGGTGTCCTGTGTCCCAGCGGCGGGCGTGTGGGGCAGTGAGCTGCCTCACCGGGAAATGTGTTCTTTCGTCAGGCTGGTGAGCTTTCTGGAGGCAAAAGCAGAACACCTGCACCGAGGGGCGCACCATTACACAGGGGTAAGCCCCCGCGGTGTCAGCGTCCTGGGGTGGAGGCTGGCCAGGTGCACGCTGCTCAGGTTGACTTCACGTTGAGCGTGCAGGCCGTGACTGTGGTGTGAACCTGAGACCGGCGGTCTTGAGTGCTTCCTCGCTGGCTTTCCGGGATGCCTTTCCGAGAGTTGAGCTGCAGAGAGAGATCATGCCTCTTTTTCTTCTTCTCTCCAAAGCTTTTGAAACTGCAAGAACGGGTGCTCAATAGCGTGGTCATCTATTTGCTTGGGGACGAAGACCCCAGGGTGCGCCATGTTGCTGCCGCTTCATTAATGAGGTATTCACCCAATATCTTTCCTCCCCGTCACTTTTTCCGCTTAAATCTTAATTGCTAAAAGCTATGAGAATGAGAAAAGGAAAACATTCAGAGGCTGGAGGGCAGTGTTCCTGGACAGCACTCCCGGCTCCTGGCAGTCCATCCAAAAAGAAGTCACCCAAAGCCTGGCCTCCTGTCGGGATGGCCTGTGCTCGCCTCATCAGGGTTTTGGCTGCAGAGAACGATGCTGAGAGCGAAGTAGGGGTCTTCTGGGTCCTGCCTGGAGGTGACAAAAGCTGTTGCTGTTTTGCTGCATCCTGTTCATGAGTTTCTTTTTCAAAGCTGGGACCAATATACACGCAGTTTTGTAATCTAGTAATTTCCACTTAATATATTTTTAGCATCTTCTTATTATCGAATACTCTTCAGAAACAAATTTTAATTAGTGCCGTTTTTTTACCAAGTGGTTGTGATAAAGCTTTGAGATCAATATTATTTGTTTGGATATAAAGTTGTCTTTGATTTAAATAACAGATAATGCTGTAGTCACATAGATGTTTACGTATGATTATTTTTCTTTAAATTCATTTTTGGAAGTTGAGTTACTAAGACTAGCTTTTTGATTTCTTAAAAAAATTTTAAGAGCTTTTTTGAGGTATAATTTGCATCTCTTAAAATGCACACATCTTTCATGGACAGTTAAATGATGTTTAGTGCATTTACAGACTGCATAAGCATCCAGTTCTAGAACATTGCGACCCCCCCACAGAGATCCCTTGTGCTCATTGGCAAACTCCCCGTTCCCACCTGTAGCCCCGGCAACCAGGGACCTGCTTCTCCTCCCCAGAGATTCACCTGTTTTGGACATTTTCTCTAAGGTCACACAGCAGGTGGGCTTTGGCCTTGGCGTCCCTCGCCGAGCGTCTGAGGTCAGCGCTGAGGTGGCGGCGGCGGCACCAGGAGTCCATGCCCTCTATTGCTGAAGCGGATTCTGCCACATGGCCCCTTTTATTCCTTCGTTTGCTAGAGGACAGTGGTGGTAGTTTCTGCTCTTTGGGGAGTGTGAGCATTTGCCCATGGGACTCTGTGTGGGCCTGGGACCCCCAGGAGTGGCGGCTGTGCCCAGGGGGTCGGTGCTTGCTGTGAAGTGGCCGTCCTGAAACACGCTGCCACTGCACGCCGGCTGGGCCCGGCCCTGCTCACCACGCGGGTCCCTTCAGGAAACCTTAACTATGAGCCACTTGTTTTGGCAGAAATTGGTATTTCTTTTTTGTTTTTTAAGGTTTTCGTTTATTTATTTTGAGAAAGAGAGGAAGGGAGGGAGAAAGGGAGAGAAACATTGCTGTGAGAGAAACATCGGTTGGTTGCCTTTTCATATGCACCCTGACTGGGGATTGAACCCATAACTGCTCTGTCTACAGGAAGACACCCCAGCCAACTGAGCCACACCTGCCAGGGTTTAAGGTGTTTTTTTAAATCAAAGCATTTAATATGTGTAGAGGAAGGCACTTCATTCTATGACACGCAGAAAGAAAGTACAGCACCCAGTTATTTCAGGGTGGGTGAGTGGCCCTGGGACGGGAGACCCCCACCTTGACGTGCCATACCTGGGGAAGGGGCGTGGCCGCGTGTGGGTAGTCTGCTGGAGGCTGAGCTGCTGTGGCCGAGAGGGCAGTGACCCACGGGAGTTGCAGTGCTTGCTTGTGTGAACAAACCTTACTTTTCTGCTAGGCTTGTCCCAAAGCTGTTTTACCAGTGCGACCAAGGACAGGCTGATCCAGTAGTGGCCGTGGCAAGAGACCAAAGCAGCGTTTACTTGAAGCTTCTCATGCACGAGGCGCAGCCTGCCTCGCACTTCTCCGTCAGCACCATCACCAGGTACGCGGGGCGAGCCAGGCCTGGTGGAAGCACGGCCCTGATACCTAGCTTCAGTAGGGCCTTCATCTAAAACGGATTTTCTAGGAAAAAAACTAACCACTAGGTGAGACTGTTTGAGTAGGTGGCCTTCCTTTGATAGGATGTTCCTGTTTCAGGACTTAGCGCCCCACCTCTTTACACAGACTCTGCCCAGTCGCCCGGCAGAGACCCAGTGCAGCTTATTTATTAGCTTGTTCATTACCAGCCACATCCTGATAAGTGTGCTTTTCTGTGTGACTAGCACTGTCTGATCTAAAAACTTGTCCATTCAATTTCTCACTTTCATTTGGGTTGCCTGTGACGAGTCTGGTTACGCCGCACCCGTTAATTTCTAGATGAGGGGACTCTTCAAGATTGTGAGCGTACGGAGAGCTGTCTGCGGTCTGTGGCCTCCACGCTCATCGGGAGAAACAGCAGCGCAGGCCCAGGTGGCTGTGCGCTCTCGTCTCGTGCTCGGATGAACGGCGTTACTGTGAAAGCAATTCAAGCAGAAATGCTTTCATGAACTTACCATTTCTTTAGAACTTTAACTTGGAAAGGAGACCGTGGAAGTGAGAAAGGCTATGGTTTTTCAACTCTCTCTATTTTTTTTTAAAGATTTCTTTTTTTTTTTTTAAGTGGGCAAGGGGAGGGAGAAAGGGAAAGAAACATCAGTGTGTGGTTGCTTCTCGCACGCCCCCTACTGGGGACCAGTTCTGCAACCCAGGCATGTGCCTTGCGCTGGGCATCAAACCGGCGACGCTTTGATTTGCAGACAGGCACTTAATCCACTGAGCCACACCAGCCAGGGCCAACTCTCTATGTTTTAAATACTATTTTAAAAATTAGTTTTACATGATAACTCTTCTTTTTGCTGGATTTTTTCAAAACTTGGGCTAAATGACGTCTCAGCTGAAATGTTCTCTTGATGCTTTTGTCCTGAATTTGAACTCAGCTTGTCAACTTTTGAAGTCTTTATTCCTAAATAAACATCATCTCTCTTATGTACAGACTGCTTAAATAAACACATGGAATAATTTCCTTCCTAGAGAATATCCTTTTCCCAACTTCAGAACCGGCATTTTCTGTTGAACAGATTCGGGGTAAATTCTCCTTTAAGATAAGTGGAAACTGTGCAAAAGCATTTCATTGTCAGGCATTGATGAGCATGGGGAAATTGCTGTTTCCAAAGGCCATTTCAGAAAATGAACGTTAGGTGCCAACAGAGACACGTATAATGTTTCATTAAAGTTGGTCATGAACTGCAATTTCGAAAAATTTCCCGCTTCCGAGCCCAGCTGGCCTCTTGACATCCGCTCAGGTCCGTAGGAGCACGGGGGCCCGCTGTGCAGCTGCGCCCGCGGCCGCGCTCCCTGCTGGCGTTGGCTCCGTGGGAGTTGGCGCGGGGCCCCCGGCGTGCTGTGCGGTGCCTCTGAGGACAGGACACTGCTGTCCAAAAGCAGCACGCTCAGTGCCCGCCTGGCAGGCTCCTTGGCAGAGGCGGAGGGGCGACATGTGTAACCACAAGGAGATCGGCGCTGCTGCGGGCCCCGGACGGCACGTGGGAGAGGGCTGGCAGTCCCAGGGGAAGGGTTTTCGTCGGTTGGAATCAGGAGGGGCTTCGTGGCGGGCTTCTTTAGATGGGCGGCTCTGGGCGGCGGAGAGCTGGCCAGGCGCTGGGAGGAGGGCGCTGCCCTGGCCCAGCAGAGCTGGTGGCGCGGCAGCCTGGGGGAGGGAGGGGTTTCCGCTGGTTTTGTAGCGCGGCGGTCCCCAGCCTGGTTGGGCCCAGGGCCCGGTGTTGTGGAAGATGTATGAGAGACTTTTCCCACAGACCCAGGCGGGGGGAGGGCAGGGAGACCAGAGCTGGGGTCCCCGGACCAGGCGGAGGGAGGTCGGTGACCCCTGGAATAATGGCTGGTTTGCATCGGTCTTTCTTTTGCTTAAAACTACGACTCCTCTAGCTGCTTGTAGCCTCTAACCTTCAGCTTTCAAATGCCATCTGAATTTTGGAAATGTCCTAAGCTCTAATAGTAGATTTTAAGTCCTTGTATCTTTCTTACCAGAATATACAGAGGCTACAACTTACTGCCAAGCATAACGGATGTCACCATGGAGAACAACCTGTCCAGAGTCATTGCCGCCGTGTCGCAGCAGCTTGTCACAGCCACCACGCGCGCGCGCACGGTGCGTCCCCTCGGCTTGGTCCTGCCGAGGGAGTTTGCAGTCACTTTCAGGCTTAGGCTCTTGTGCGCGGGGCTCACTGAGAAATGGTGCTATTCTGAGCAAAAGCCTGGTTGGTCGCAGTAGGGATGCAGATACCGTTTTTCCCATTATTACAGTAACGTGTGCTCGCTGTAAAGTATCAGCTAATACAGGAAGACAGAAAAAGGCAAATGAAAGCTACCGTAATCTGAATTGGCAGTATTAGAAGTTTAAAGTTTAAACTGTCTCAGTGACAAATATGTACTAAAGAGTAAAAACCAGAAATGCTAACAAAGATTTTTGTATAATGTAATTATTTTTATTATTACTTATGATGCTAAAATCAGAAAAGAACCATAATATCCAGGAACCCAAGAATGATTAACTTCTGATTATGATTAAATTCAGTACATACAGTAGTGTATTTATTATGCATCTATTAATGTGCTTGGAGGATTTTTAACAACAGACATAATCTAAGTATAATACTGAGTAAAAGAAGGCACAATATGAAACTGTCTGCTTGTGTATAGTAAGAGCTCAGTTATGAAAAGTAATATTTATGCCCTGGCTGGGGTGGCTTAATCAGTGGATTGAATGTTGGTCTGCAAACTAAACGGTTCGTTCAATTCCCAGTCAGGGCACATGTCTGGGTTGCATGCCAGGTCCCCAGTAGGGGGCGCATGACAGGCAACCAATGGATGTTTCTCTTTCTCCATCCCTTCCCCCTCTTTAAAAAAATAAAATTATAAAATAATATTTACATGTATATTTTTCACATCCTCAGGAAAGTGACTGGCAGTGTTGTCAAAATTCATTTCAGGATGAGTGATTTTTGTTTTATATATTTCAGATATTCATAAATTTTCTTTCTTAAAAGATTTTATATATTTATTTTTAGAGAGGGGAAGGGAGGGAGAAAGAGGGAGAGAAACACCAGTGTATGGTTGCCTCTCGTGTGCCCCCTACTGGAGACCTGGCCCGGCAACCCAGGCATGTCCCTGACTGGGAATTAAACCGGCGATGCTTTGGTGCGCTGGCCGGTGCTCAGTCCACTGAGCCACACCAGCCAGGGTTTCACAAATTTTCTAAAATGAGAAAGTTTAACATTTATACTCAGAAAATGGTATTATACAAAAATAGAGTTATTTGCCAATTACCAGGTCAAACCTTGTCATTTATCTTACGTGATAGAAGCAACGCTTCCACATTGCGAAGCACTCAGTTATGATGAGGCCGTCCTGACAAGTCTGTACGTGCCTTTCGAACCTAAGGATTATTTGAGCACTTGGTAGTTGGGTCTTCCTTTGATTTGTTTAGAATGCCGTAAACATTATTTTTGTGTGTTTGCTGTGGTCTCCATGCATCAGGCCTTGTTCTAGGCTTGGGTGTAAAGGCAGAGGACCCCTGCCTTTGTGGCTGTCGTGGTCTGGGGGCAGGGGAGGGACTTGATGCACCCGGCATGCGGCAGCAGGGCCGGGCACGATACAGACTGTGGGTGCGACGCAGGGGGGCCGCGGCTTGGGCCACGAGGCCCCGTGCTGGGCCGCGCCGGCCAGATATCCCAGTGGTAACACGGTCTCTGTCATTTGTATTTTCTATAAAGTGTAAAGACACTTGTGTTTAACAATCGCTTCTCAGTGTCTGGGAGTGATTTCCTTATTCCTTTCCTCTGTAGTTCGGATGCTGCGAAGCTTTGTGCCTTCTCTCCACAGCCTTTCCAGTTTGCGTCTGGAGTTTGGGTTGGCACTGCGGGTAAGCGTTTTTCTTTCTTGTTGAATGCCCCGTGGGTGCTTGTTTCCGTGCAGTTAGCTGTGTGGGCACTGGTGGCGGGAGCCCCAGGGAAACACCAAGCTGCTCGCAACTACCAGGAGCCCGAAGCGCCCCCTCCAGCCTCGTGGAGGCTTCCGTGCGGGGACTCGCGTGTGCCCGCAAAGTGCTCCTTGCTGGCTGGCTTCACTCCAGAATTATTCACTAAGCATTAAAAATTTAGAAATGTGTGTTTAAAATCAAATGTGGCCTGCCACACAAAATTGTGATGAGCCACGCAAGTGAGATTTAGGAATAGTTTTCATTTAAAATGATGTTCTGCCAGTGGGTGGGTGGCCCCACAGCACCGGGGGAATAATTTCAAGTCTCCCACAGCAGCGAAGAGCAAGTAAGCTTTTATTACACATGCCGATGCCGAGGGCCATCACACCGGCAAGGAACCTGCAGGCGCCGTGTGTGTGTCAGCGCGTGGCCAGGGCGTGTGCTGACGCGGTCGCGTTCTCCCTCCTGGAGTGACGGTTTTCTCTGTGGACAAAGATGTATTTACCCTGCAACCGCAGTTTCCGGTCACAGGGCCAGCACTTGGCTCTGAGCGCCTTGCTATGGAGTAAAATGTGCCAGCTCAAAAGTCACAGCAAGCTGTGGGGTCATCAGAGGAAGATTAAAAGGTGTAACACTTTTAATCAGATGGGCTACCTGATTTCCTGCCCAAGTCATGTTTACGGGCTGTGGTGTACAGGGAAGATGCAGTTCATCATAAAATTACTGTATGAGCCCATGTGACGTGCACAGTGACAGCCTCCCTCTTCGTTTGGAGGGAAGGCAGGACGGCTTGCTTTAAAGGCGCCCTGTGGCCTGACCGCGCCGCTGTCTGCTTCCAGAGCGCCCCCGCTGGGCGCCTCAGACGAGTCTCGGAAGAGCTGCACGGTGGGCATGGTCTCGACGGTCCTCACCTTGCTCTCGTCGGCGTGGTTCCCGCTGGACCTCTCGGCCCATCAGGACGCCCTCATCCTGGCTGGGAACCTGCTCGCAGGTATCGGCGCCCGCTAGAAGCAGAGACTGCCGGTCTTTGCACCCCTCGGAGGGGTGGGGTGGTGAGCACGGGCAGGCAAGTGCTGCGAGGCCACACGTTGCCTTCATGCAGAATCGTGTCCTGTAGGCAGCTGGTCCGCGTCCGGCATTCTGACGGAGGCCTTTCCCAGGCCGCCCTCTGTAGCTGCAGACCCGCTTGTCGCTTGTTTATGTGAGGGGCACCGTGGGCCCGCGCTGTCTTGGCAGCACGAGGCGCAAGGCTTGGGGACTGGCAGGAACGGGCCCAGCAGGCGGAGGGCGGGGCACGTGCCAAGGCAGGGAGACCTGGACAGTTGTGTGATGTTCCAGAGCCGTAAGTCGCTTTGATGTCACGTAAGAGTGAGGACAAGGATGGAGAATGTGGCTGGTGAGGCAGGAGGGGCCTGTGGGAACTGATGGGTGTGGGTGTTGCCCACGCATCAAGGAGACCTGTCCTGGTAGCCGTGGGAGGTCCCGGAGGGGACGCGCTGTTGGGCCAGTGCCTGAGAAGGAGAGGGGCCTCAGGAGGTCTGTGCCGTGCTCAGGGGGGGACCTGAACCGAACGGTGGCTGTGCGGCCGCGGGGAGGAGACCGCTAGGGGCGTGAAGGAGGCAGCGCGGCGGGCCTGGGCCACCGCTCGCACTTCGGTTATGAAGACCAAGAAGGGGCCCAGGGTGGCCGTCACCTCCTGGGTGGTCGTATGGCGGTGGCAGCCATGGAAGCTGGGGACATGGTGTTTCAGGGAGAAGGTCAATTTCCTGTTGAACGTGAGGTACCAGGTGACTCTCAGGTGGAGATGTGGGATGTGGTGGGTCTGAGGGGCGCGTGCTCCCCGAGTGGTTTCCTCCGCCCGCCGCGGAGGTGGGAGGTCACCCGTGTGCCTGTCTCACAGCCAGCGCCCCCAAGTCTCTGCGGAGTTCCTGGGCCGCTGAGGAAGAGGCCGGCCCCGCGGCCAGCAAGCAGGAGGAGGTGTGGCCAGCGCTGGGGGACCGGAGCCTGGTGCCCATGGTCGAGCAGCTCTTCTCCCACCTGCTGAAGGTTATCAACATCTGTGCACACGTGTTGGATGAGGTGGCTCCTGGACCCGCAGCCAAGGTAACCATGAGGGGCCCAGGCCCCGCGCGCGCCGGTGCTGGCCGATCCGGCCTTCCTTGCCCGCCGTCCCTGCCCGCTGCCTCGGCTCCGGGCGGACAGAGGCGCGCACGGCGTGGCCCTGACGGGGCCCTCCAGCGGTCAGCCCCTCTGTGCTGTCCGTCACGGTCCTGCCCTCGGTGCTCAGCAGGAGCCAGGAAGCTCAGGCGTGAAGTGCCTGTGTGTCGCTTGCGTGCTCTCTCCTGGCATGCTGTCGAGGAGCTGGGCTTTCCTGTGAAGCAGAGTTCTGTAAAATCTGCTGCGAGACAAACGGCAGGCTCTCTCCACCGTGGGTCGAAGGTGGATCAGCGCATCTGACGATTCCCTCTCTTGCCTGTGTCTTCTGTCTTGAACAGACCCCTCCAGCTTCAGGAGCTCAGGTTCTCCTTTAGCTGCCCCACAGCCTTTCCCTCACTGCCGGCCCCCCGAGCAGGCCTGTCTGCCGCTTACCCCCGCGTGTCTCCGCCTGCCCTTGCCCCTGGCCCTTGCAAGGCGCCTGGCGGAGCCTCCGCCCTTGGCTCCGGCCCCCATTCTCCGGCCTCGCAGCTCTGGTTTCTGCTACCACCTGCCGCGGCAGCGCCTGCTGCCCAGATCAGTCTTCGAGTCTCGTGGATGCGTCCCTGGCCCTGTGTCGCCTACCCACTGCGTCACTCGGTGCCACCTTCCTTGCCGGGGACGCCCGCTCCTGTCAGCCTCCGGACTGTCTCTGGTCCCTCCGGCTCCGTCGGCTCCTGGCGGTTCCGGGTTCGGCCTTCAGCGCACTGTGGACGTTTTCCAGGCTCTGCCCTGTGTCTCTCAGGGCTGGCGCTGCCCGGCACGGCTGTGTTGGCATGGAAACGGGCTGCACCTGCGCCTGCAGGGACAGCAGCGCTCCCCTCCTGTGGCTGCCGCACACCTGGCGTGTGGCCCCGCGGCTGAGGGCCTGAGCCTCTTTCTTTTAATTGTTGTTTTTCTCAACTACCATTGATGCTCAGAATTACAGTAGGTGCCCTGCATAGTGGTCAGGCGCTTATGTAACTAACAGCGACCCCGGGTAGGTCCGGCACCGCCCGGACGCTGCACGTACCGACTGCGATGCTGCCGGCCCCGCCCCGCGCTGGGCCCTGCGCCCCTGACCGCCCCGTGCTTGCCAGTCTGCACCGCACAGCCCCGTCGCCCCCCTCCCCGGCCCGGCCCCGGCCGTCCTCCGCGTGCTCTCTGCGTCTGTCTGTCTGCTTTGGTTTCCTTTGTTGACCCTTGTTTTTTTAGATCCTACATGTAAGCGAAACCACAGTGCGTGTCTGACTCATCTCACTCCGCCTAATTCCCTCTAGATCAGTGGTCCCCAACCTTTTTAGCACCAGAGACCAGTTTTGTGGAAGACAGTTTTTCCGTGGACCTTGGTGGTAGGGGTGGTTTCTGGATGATTCAAGCGCATTACGCTCCTAACGGGACCGGACCGGTGCCCGTCCGTGGCCCGGAGGCCGGGGCCTCCGCTCTAGATCCGTCTGTGCTGCAGACACGGCCATGCTTCTTATGGCTGAGTGACAGTCTGTCAGACGCGCGCGTGCGCGCGCACACACAGACAGAGCCGTTCATCTCACCGCTCTTTCAGCCGCTCGCCTGTTGGTGGGCATTTAGGTTGCTTCCGCATCTGGGCTGTTGTAAACAATGCTGCGATGGATGGGGATGTATGTATCTTTTCCAGTTAGTGTTTGGGTTTCTTTGTATGTACTATGCCCAGAATTGGAATCGCTGAATCATATGGTCGTTCGGTTCTAACTCTGTGAGGAACCCCCACACTGTTTTCCACAGTGGCAGCACCAGTCCGCATTCCTGCCCACAGCGCACTGGGGAACCGGCTTCTAATTTTGTAATTGAGTTTAAATTTCGATGGCCACATGTAGATGGTATCTAGTGTGGGACAGGGCAGCACAAGGCCGTCAGGCCTGCGCCTGCTGCGTCCGGACGGGGGAGACCCAGGTCCGTCTTTGGGGCACCAGGCCCTGCCTGCCCTGTTCCTCCCACTTTGTGTTTCGTACAGTTAGAAACACGAGAGCGAGCGCGACTCTTCGTTCTTGCTCCCCAAGTCCTTTGTTTTCCCTGCTAAGCATCTTGCAAAAAAGCACGGCTGACTTCTAGCTCTGCTGCCGGTCAGCCGTGACCTCAGATAAGTCACTTCATGTCTGAGCTCTTTCTTAGCCTGGAAGACGGAGTCTAAAACATGGCTTCATGCCCTCTTTGTGTTGTGGCCCCCAGACAACACTCTGGTCGCTGTGCTTGGAGGGGACGTGCCTGGGGCTCCAGGGCCCCTTCCTTTCCAGACGTCCCCAGCGCCCGTCAGGGGGCTCTAGGCAGCCCCCGCTGCCTGGGGGGTTGGCGAGCTGAGTGCAGTGCCTGGTGTGTGCGCAGTGTCTGAGCTCTGGAAATGGGGCGTCGAAGAGAGAATGAATGACATGGGTTGGTTCTTTTCAATAAATGGTAAAACCATATACTGTAGGTTTCGGTTTCTGGATCAGTTAACACTCCCAGATTCTTCCTCTCTGTTCTAGGCAGCCTTGCCGTCCCTAGCGAACCCCCCGTCGCTGAGCCCCATCCGACGGAAGGGGAAGGAGAAAGAGCCAGGAGAGCAGGCGTCCGTGCCGCTGAGCCCCAAGAAAGGCAGTGAGGCCAGCCCAGGTAGGGGGCGGGGACGGGCGGGGGGCCACAAGTGTCACAGACACGGAGGGCTGCGCTTACTCGTGGCAGGCTTAACGCCATGACTCGGTACTTCTGGAAATGAAATGCACAGTGGTGAAGCCGGAGACATGGTTCCCCAGGCGAGCCTTCCGAGAGCAAATGCTAATTGCTGGGTGTGCACAGACCACGCTTGGCCGGGAGCATCTCTGACTGTCACTTGCGAAGATGCCGTCCCCCATAGCAGGGGCCTCGCTGGCTGCCTCCTTCCCCGGCGCCCCCTTCTCCCACGCAGAGCGGGATGCAGGGATCCAGGGTTCAGTGAGGGAGGCGGTGTCGATGCTGGGGACGGAGGTCCCGGGGCAGAGGGATCCCCGTGGGGGGTCCTGAAGTAGGAAGTGGGACATGCACAGTGGGGAGAGCCCAGTGCGGGGCAAGGCGGGTGCGGTCGTCTGGGTGAGAGGGGCCTGGGGTGCCCACAGCCGCAGGGTCTGCCGCCCCCAAGAGTCTCCGCGCTGCTGGGCCAGAGGTCCCGGGGGTGCAGCAGTGGCGGCGCTGCTCGGGGCGAGGGAGAGCTCCAGACAGCAGGTGGGCCTGGCTCCCTCTCCCCACACGGGCCAGTCGCGACCCTCCCGCCCCTTCCGCAGTGAAGCCTGTGGCTGAGCGCTGTGCCGGCCGCTCCGCAGGAAGGTGGCGGCATGGAAGCTGCTGTGTTGTCCGCGCTCCTTCCTGACCCTCACGGAGACTGAGGGCTCCGAGTCAAAACCTTTACAACTTGAGTGGTTTTACGCAGTGCTTGGCATTTGCGTGTTAACACCACTGTAGTAGCGATGTGTTGTCAGAGCGTGCTCACGTGTCCCCCCGTGTGGCGGCTGCAAGGGCCCTGACCCAGCCCGGCTGGGGCCCGCCCCCGTCCTGCCGCCGGCAGCCTTGGGCTCTGAGAGCTTGCGGGGCTGGCTGAGGCCGTGGAATTGGTTGCTCCTCTGGTTTGCAAACAGGCAGCCCGACCGAAACAAACGCATGGAGGCATCATGCTGGTGTTCTTCCTGTCTTCTGCTTCTATTTTTTTATTCTTTGGAAGGTACTCAGATTGTACTTGGGCTTATTAGTCAATTTCTCATTACTCTAATTAATTAAAAGTCAGAGAGAAAGTTTGTCTTTTATTTTACTAGAATGCTTGTAAAACTCATTATTGCCAGTGATCTATTTTAAGCTTAGCAAATGCTTCCTTCTGTCTTAAACATGTGCGTGTCTCTGTGTGTGTATGTGTTTATAGCCTCCCGCCAAGCAGAAGCCTCAGGACCTGTTACAGCAAATAAATCCTCATCGTTGGGGAGTTTCTACCACCTTCCTTCTTACCTCAAGCTGCACGACGTTCTGAAAGCGACCCACGCCAACTACAAGGTGCTGCTGCTTGTGTCACCGTGCGCACGTGCCCGAGGGCCTCGCGGGGTCCTGACGGTTTCCCTCAGAGTCGTGGCTTGGACACGTGCTCAGGGATACGAGTTGCAGTTGGTTTTGTCAGGGGTCTGTCCGCCTGTTTCCTGGACCCCTTCCCGCCATCCCCACCTCCCCACCAGCGGCGCTGCCGCTCTGCAGCCCCTCCTCGGAATCCCCTCCTCTGCGGTGAAGCGCCCCCAGGGGTGGGAGCCTGGCCCCAGCCTTAGGTCCTCTAGCCGTTTCATCCTGTGTGTCCCTCGCCTGCTTTCCTCCTTCATGCTGGGTGATCGGATCGTATTTCACTGAGCACCTTTCTGTTTATCGTTGCACTTCGGCATGGATTTTGCCAGTTTTTGTTTTCATGGGCGATCTCTTCCCCGTGACTGTGTTCTTATATAATGTATCTTTGGACCTGACTCATTCTCTCAGTTTATTAAATGGGGGAATTGCTGCATAATTTAAGCTGAGGTCTTTAGAATCTTAATTTTTACCAAGGCTAGTGTTTTGTTGTAGCCAGACTGAAAGGCTGGGTCTGACTTTGATATTGATCTCCCGTGAACCCCAATGTAGGGGGAGTGGGACACGTATTTTGTATTTTCGGGGTGCTGCTTCTCAGGTGCTGCCCGTGGCGGGCGTCTGAAACTTTGGTCCACTGTGGTGGGCGGGTGGGGACTGTTTACGTCAGCAGAGTCAGTGTCGGCGGGAAGATGCCTTAGAGAGGCGCAGGCTTGCTGTGGCTCTGGAAGAGTTGTTTTCTCTTCAGTGCATGCTCCCAGTGCCAGAAACCGGCGGACAGACAGGCACTCCCAAATGCCCACGTACAGGGCCGCGGCGCAGCAGAGAGCCCGGCGTAGCCCTGTCGTGACCACGCGCTCCCTCTACCCAAGGTCACCTTGGATCTTCAGAACAGCGCGGAGAAGTTCGGCGGCTTTCTGCGCTCGGCCTTGGACGTGCTCGCCCAGATTCTGGAGCTGGCCACGCTGCAGGACATCGGGAAGGTTCGAGCTGCTTTTCCTCTCGCGGGGCTGGATGTGGCTGGTAGGCCTGACACATACCTTCAGGACGCGGTAGCAGCTGGGGCAGAAGCTCTGTGACCCCCACTGCTGTGCCGCAGCCCCCGAGTCTGGTCGTGTCTGAGCCTCTCATTGGGGGTCTGTTGCATCACATTTTCAGTTATTTACTGTGTCTTGGCTCAGACCCGCCTTAGCCTAGACCGTTGATGGGCTCCGCGCCGTGCGGCCGGAGCCCTTTGTTTTCCTCCTGGGCCCTCACAAGTGGGACGGGCGGAAGCAGGCCTAGTGAGAGGCGCCGCGTGCCCGGGCCACCTTGGGGCGCAGCTGGGCCAGCACCCGCCCCTGCCCTGTGAGGAAGTGTCTGGCTCCTGACACCTTATTTTGGGATGAATTTCAAAGTGAGTTACTGACAGTGTCCTTGAAACGCGCAGCTGCTTGAGTGGAGCGCAGGTGGCTGCCGGGTCCCCTCGCAGTCACGCCCCTGAACCTCTTCCGTGGTGCACAGGGAGGCTTGCCTGGTTTTAGTCCTTACACCCGTTGTTTTATGCTTTTCTCAGTTATTCCTGGGCCTCTCTCCGCATGTCAGCTTAGTGCTCACGCTTGTTGCCAGTGGTTACCTCATGTGCTGTTTGTTAGTGCTCAGTTATTCTCGGCTCAGAGCGAAGCTTGCCACCCCTCAGTGAGGCCTGCCCGGCCACCCTGTCCGTGGTGCATCCCCCCTGCGCTGCCCTCTCTGCCCGGATGGTAGCCTCAGCAAGCGGACTGCTTGCTCTTGCTTCTTTGTCTTGTCGGTGCCTGCAGTCACGCCTGGAGGCCTCGTTCCCGGCCAGCGCTCGCTGGATGAGTGCTGTTCTTGTTAGCCGTCAGGTTGCAGGGACTTCCAGTCTAGGTGTCACAGCAGAAAGAAGGCCCCTCGGTCACTTCCAGCAGTGTCTCGCTGCTTTTCCACAGTGTGTTGAGGAGATCCTGGGATACCTGAAGTCCTGCTTCAGTCGGGAGCCAATGATGGCGACTGTGTGCGTTCAACAGGTGAGGAAGCAGTTTCCTGTCCTTTTCAGTCTGTTGCTCCAGGCTTGATGACATCACGCTGTCTGTCCTTTCGAAGGTGGTGCTAGCAGCAGGTCCTGGAGCAGCTGGCCTGTCATGGGGGAGGGCCCAGGGCCTGGGAAGCGCGGCCTCGCCCCTTGACGGCACCAGCGTCTCAGCACCCCTCGGGCGTTAGAGTGCGGGTCTCATGCAGAGCCGCAGAGCAACTCGAGACTGGGGCTGCTCTTTACGGTGGAAACAGCGGTGCACAGCAGCTGGTCCCGTGGGCGTTAGGGGTGGGGCTTCCTGGGAGCTCTCGTGTGCGTGGTGGCTGCCCTGTGCGGCCACCGCAGGTGGGCTGGTGCCCCTGTGGCGCTGGGTGGCATGCTGATGGCCTGGTTCTTTCACTGTAGTTGCTGAAGACTCTCTTTGGGACGAACTTGGCCTCCCAGTTCGACGGCTTATCGTCCAACCCTAGCAAGTCTCAAGGCCGAGCCCAGCGCCTTGGCTCATCCAGCGTGAGGCCGGGCCTCTACCACTACTGCTTCATGGCGCCATACACCCACTTCACCCAGGCCCTGGCGGACGCCAGCCTGCGGACCATGGTGCAAGCGGAGCAGGACCACGATGCCTCGGGGTAACCGTGCCCATCCGGCGGGGTCTCGTGCGGGATGGCCTGTGGCGGAACTGAGAGGGGCAGGGCGTGTTCAGAGAGCTCTGTAGGCTGGGGCTGTTGCCAAGATGCTGAGGCTCTGCTGGCCCTGCCTCAAACAGCGTGTGGTTGAGGGCGGGGTGGGACTGGGTTGTGTCGCTTCGGGCTGGGCCGGGGGATGAGGGAGACCGATGGCCGGCACCGCGGCCAGGTCATCTGCGAGCCAGCACTGCGAGGGGTCGTGTCCTCAAATGGGAAGGCACTTTATAACATCGCCGTGCTTGCCGTACCTGCTTCTCCTACTGAGGGGCTCTGTGTTGGTGGCACGGTGTGGGTCTACAACTAAGGTGAAAGGACACCCCCCACGTGGCACAGTGGGGTAGCGTGCCGAGGCATTGGGAGAGCGTAGGAGAGTCTTGGGTAATGTTTGTCTGTAACTTGATGGCTGAAAGTCTCTTTTGACATAAGTTTTTGGTTGTGTTTCTGATGCCTGAAATATAGTAGTTGTTTAAATTATACCAGTGAGCAGGTATTTGAATTACTACTGTGTGTAGTAACAAAGGATGCCTCGATTCCCCTTTTTTATATGCGCAGTGGTGAAACAGCCCAGGTAAACTAGTAGAGTCAGGGGCCAGCGGAAGTGCCAGGCTCCAGGCTTTCCGATAGGGATGGACCTGCTCTCTGTCCAGGTCTCAGGCAGAGGCTCTTCAGACATTTCAACGATATAGGTATAAATGGAGAACCAGGCAAGTGTGTGTGAGGGTGTGTCTTACTGTCCTTTCGTATATATTTCTTACAAAGAAAAGAGTAAAATTGATGTAAGTATTTAAGCAAAGGTGCTTTCCAAGAAAATGAAGTGGCACCTTGCGAATCCCTGAACCTTTCACATGACCGTCACCTTCCCAGCCTGCGGCCATCGGGCTGCGTGGTCTGTGTCCTGAAGCAGCGGAAGCGCTGTCTGCGTGTTGGCTGCAGGCGCTGGACCTGGGACTCTGCCGGGACTCAGCGTAGTCTGGCCATCACCTTTGTTGAAAGAAGAGCGTCCCTGATGGTCCTTTCTGACATTGCAGCGTGCGTGAGTGCGCGCGCGAGCAGTGTGTGCGAGTGTGTGCGAGTGAGTGTGCCTCGGGCTTTGCAGAGCACGTGGCAGGGCGTGCAAGGGCCCTCTTCCCTCTCCGTGTTCCTGTCCGCAGGTGGTTTGATGTCCTCCAGAAAGTGTCCACCCAGTTGAAGACAAACCTCACAAGTGTCACCAAGAACCGTGCAGACAAGGTAGACGGAAGCTGGCAGGCGCCGCCGGGGGGCTGCTCGGCGCCTTTCAGCTGGAGGCTCACGCCCGCGCTCTCTCTGCTCCTCGCAGAGTGCCATTCACAGTCACATCCGCCTCTTCGAGCCCTTGGTCATAAAGGCGCTCAAGCAGTACACGACCACCACGTCCGTGCAGCTGCAGAAGCAGGTCCTGGACTTGCTGGCGCAGCTCGTTCAGCTGCGGGTTAACTACTGTCTCCTGGACTCAGACCAGGTTTGTCCCTGCTGTCGTCCGTCTGCTGGGGCTGTGCGTAGCTTGGTACAAATCCTCTCCACACGACGCCCAAACCACCTGCCTGAAAGGAACGCGCCCTGGGGTCTCCCCACTAGTCGCTGCCTCTCACAGATTTCAGACTGGTCACAGGATTGGCCACGCAGAGGGCCTGGCGCCTGCTGGTGCCCTCACCCTGGGCTCCCCCGTCTGCTCTGGCTGTTAGGGTTCCCCTTGACCCCTGTTCACCTTTGGCAAAGGTTCTTCCTGTGCATGCACCCTCCGCCACTCCAAGATAAATTTGAATATAGGTTGTAAGATGTAATTAAGATTTGTTGTTTGGGGGACATTTTTACAAAACGCAGAGATTTGTTTTAAACAGTTGATCAGCTGTGACGTTGCGTCTCCAGCCGTCTGCAGCGAGCTAACCTCTGACAGGGAGTGCAGCCTAGCGAGACAGCCCCGGTCCCCGCAGGTCACGTCTGCTCTCGGCCTCACCAGGCGGGACTCGGCCGTCGGGCCTTCCTCACGCGGGTGCTGCGGGGTCACTTCCCTGTGCCAGTTCTCATAAACCAAGACCCATGCCAGCAAGTTCACCACAGCCCGAGCTGCCTTCAGGGCATCAGACTTGGCACCGTTGTTGGACTGCTCCCTGGGCCGCGTCCCTTCGTGAGGCAGGATGCTTTTCAGTTAGAAATAACACAGCGCCGCCGCCCCCGTCCCCCCCCCGCCAAACGCAGAGTGTTGTCAGCACCAGCACTCCCCTTAAGGGCCTGTTTCTTCAGGAGAAACAAGGTGCGGGGTCAAGAGCCAGTATGGGGCTGTCACCTGCCCCCGGGGCTGCGGGGGCCTCGCGCCAGTGGCCTGTCCATGCTGCCTCTCCCGCGGCAGATACCGGAACGGCTTTCAAAGGCCCCATTTCCTCCTCTGTGGAAGGGGCTTTCGGGGTTGGTTGGGGCGGAAATTGCTGTCTGAAGCAGTGGGCTGGGCGGTCGGGGCCTGTGGGGCCCTGGACAGGAGTTCCGGGGCAGAGGAGGGCTCTTGGGGAGAAGCTCGGGCCGGGGAGGCGCCCGCCTGGCTGCACAGCCTCCGAGTTCTGACTTCATAGCTGGAACGGCCAGGGCTCCTCTCTGCAGTAGCCAAGGGGCATGAGCAGTTGCCCGCGCTGATGCAGAGCTGAGCATAGACTTGACTCTCATCAGACTCTTTCTGGAGCCATTCTATAGAGGGCCCGTTCTCAAAGACGGACGAGTTTATGGTGTCTCCCTCTGTCTTCCTAAAACCGCTGTCTGATGCTTAGATGCTGGGCAAGGACAGCCGAGCACCTTCCAGGCTGTGCTTCTCAGCCAACGGGTTGGGCTCATCTGCTTCCTTGGGGCCCCGGCTTTTTTGGCCTTGGGCCGTGCAGTGAAGTCCCCCCACCCTCACTTGGTAGTGCCCGGGCTTCTGATCTGCTTTTGTCTCAGTGCCCGGGCCCCCCAGTTCTCAGGATTCCGGACAGTGACAGTTTTTCTGAACAGGATGGAAAAGTAGAGCTCACAGCTGATTGAGCTCAATTAGGGTGATGTTTTGAGCACCTGCTGTGCGGGGGCGACGCACCAGGCCTAGGAGGTGGCCGCGGGGCTCCCCACGCAGGTCGGCGGGAGCAGGGGCCGCCTGGAGCGAGTTGGGCTCAGCGGGCTCGGACGTAGGCCCGGTGCCCCTGTCTGCCCCTCGGCCGGCTGCCACCCCTCAGCGGCCCCACTGCTGGGCTCCTCGAGCCAAACAGACGCGTCCTGAGATGCGACTGGCAGGTCCTGCCCAAGGTCTTCTGGAGTTTTCGATTTGTTCTTCCAGAGGGTTTCCTTCAGTGGGCAGGAAACGTGTCAAAAGGGGTTTCTGGCAGAGCCCTGCAGTCGTCCAGCAGAAACCTGCGTGGGTTCTTGTACACGAGAAAATTATCGAGTGTCAGGAAACTTGTTAAGAATTTATACAAATGCACAGGGAGAGAAGTAGCCTTGTTTCATATTTTCATTCTTGATGTGAAGTTTCTTTTTGCTGCAGGTGTTTATTGGCTTCGTGCTGAAGCAATTTGAATACATTGAGGTCGGCCAGTTCAGGTAATAGTATTTTGTTATTTTTACGTTTTTTTGTCCTTGTTATGCGAGTGTGTATAATTTTAGATTGTTAACACAAACATACTTTGAAGGAATGTTAGGTATTTTTTCTAGGTTTTTTTTGTTTTTCTGGAAATCTGATTAATAATACTGTGCATTTTTGTTTCTCTTAAAAATTACAAAGTATCTGAAGACTGGTTAGGAACTGTTCTGTATCTCGTAATCACAGATGTTGTTAGTTTTCCTTTTATTCTTTAAGCCTTTAATTTCGATGCTAGATCACAAAACGAAGTCTCATCTGGTAGAATGCTACTTCTTTGCCTTCCTAAGGAAAACGTTCTCAGGTGTGGTTGGCCTTGGTAAGGGTCGTTGCCATGCACATGATCAGTCGCAGCGTTCCTTGCCAGACAGGAAGGTGCAGTACTTCCTCCTGTGCAGGCAGAGATGGATTGTCGTTGAAGATTAAAGTTCTTTTGTCTCCGAACCGCTGAACAAGCGGTCAGGGAAGCAGCGCAGGAGACCCCGTGTCGCACCCCCTCGTGTGACGCCATGACGGTGGATGGGAGCGAGGCGGCCACTCTGTCTCCTCGGTCTCCCTTCTTCGCCCGAAGAGTGAGGGGGCAACGGAGGGCTGCGGGGTGCCTCGTGTGCTCGGCCCGCTGAGGGCAGGCTCTCCGCAGATGGGCCGGGGTCGGGACCTGGTCGGGCCCAGATCAGGCCGCTGGGCTCCGCTCTGCGCGAGCTCCCACTCCACGTCGACCAGTTTCACACTGTTTCTGTTGATTGCGTACCTTGGTTTTAAAAGGAAGTGACGGAGTGCACGTTTCTGTCCCTAGGGAGTCCGAGGCCATCATTCCAAACATCTTTTTCTTCCTGGTCCTGCTATCTTACGAACGCTATCACTCCAAGCAGATCATTGGGATCCCCAAGATCATCCAGCTCTGTGATGGCGTCATGGCCAGCGGCAGGAAGGCTGTGACACACGGTAACAGGACACGCCTTTCCCTGGGGCCCTCGTCCTTGGGCTGCTCGGCAGTGTGTCCATGCTGCTCTGTGCGCGTGGGCTCTGTGCTGTGGCGCGGGCACACGCCCTTCGCTCTGAGGGGTTAGAATGTTCTTAGATGGAAGAACAGAAGCTGCAAAGTGCTGTGAGGCTCAGATGGGTTCTGATGTAAATACTCTCGTCTGTCATGTGACACAAAAAAATGTAAAAATCCAACTTGTGCCAAGACATTTGATGTGTTACCTGCTGTACTGGAGGCCAGGGGCCCCGACTCGATCCCGCCGCCCGGCGATTCTGCAGGAGCTTCTCGAGTATCCCGGGGAGCGGGCAGCCGCCCTCACAGCCCCTTGCCCGCCTGTGGCTTTAAGAACGAGCCGCAGTCCATCTCCGAGCTCTGAAGCTGACCGTCAGCACTCTCTCTGGACTCCCACTTGGCTTAGTTGTCAGGAAGTGTAGGCTCTTGAGCTGTGACTAGGATGCTTCCTGCCGCCTCTGCAGGCCCAGGTGTGAGGGCCGAGGGCGCCGCCCACACCTGTTGCCGCCCGGGTGCCCGTCAGTGCACGTGCGGCACAGCTGCGACCTGAGCAGGTGCCTGCGCCCCGGCAGGCGGCGGGCCGCTCCGCGTCCTCACAGCACAGCCTCCTGAGGGCCAGGGTCCACGCCTCAGCGCAAGCCCCGGCCCCTCGCGTGTGGCCATGGCCACGGCGCGTGGTAGGCAGCGCAGGAGTCAGAGGGAGGGGGTGGCGGGCTTCCCGGGCCAGAGGGCCCTGGGATGGAAAGTGGTCGGGCAGCCAGCCCCCACTGCGCTCTGCGGAGAAGCTTGGCCGTCTCGGGAAGTCGGCACGTGTGCTGTGCGCGTGTTCCCGGGCGAGTGCCCGCTTGGCGTGTCCCTGGGGTGAGACAGGGCCTCTCGCTTCTCTGGGTGGCACGCCTGGCTGACCCTTCCCGGGCAGGCACTTCTAGGGTCCCCTCAGGTGGTGCCCTGAACTGAAGATCTCGGGCTGCGGTTCGGGATGGAGGCAAGGCAGGGAAGCCCTTTCTGTGCTGCGGGGCGAGCCCGTCTCTGAGCGGCCCCTCTCAGAGAAGCGCTCCAGGGTGCTCCCGCGTCGTCACTTCGGGTAGCGGGGAGATTTATTATTTTGAGTTTGTGTCTCTTTTTTTGTCAGGAGTGATACTACATTGCAGAAACCCTAGTTTGTTTTTAAAGCTTTCACAGAATTACGACCTAAGTGTCAGAGGAAGACCGGTGGCCTTCTTGAGGCTGCCCTGATAGCGCCTTGATACTTGCTAGAGCACGTATGGCTCGGGCTTTCCTTTCTTCCTTGAAGACACCTGGAGGTGTGGTGCATACCTCCAAGCGGGAGTGCCACGCCCTGGCCCCTTAGCCCGGCCCTTTGTCCCCGCAGCCATACCGGCCCTGCAGCCCATCGTCCACGACCTCTTCGTGTTAAGAGGAACCAACAAGGCTGATGCAGGAAAGGAGCTGGAAACGCAGAAAGAGGTGGTGGTGTCGATGCTCCTGAGGCTCATCCAGTACCACCAGGTGAGAGGCGGCTGCGTGGGCAGTTATGTCCTGTGCCGCCCGGCAGGGCCGGGACACTGCAGCCCCTGTCCGCGCCAGCCTGGGCACGCGGGCGGCGGTGCCGGGAGAGGGCGCCGGGACAGCAGCCCCCACGTGGGGAGGCTGCCCAAGGCCACCCTGAAGGCAGCGTCCGTCAAGGCTGGACGTACACGGGGCCCCCTTTTCCAAAGTGAGGACCAAGAATAATTAACCAACAGCATCGATTTGTTTCTCTGAGCTGATTCCAGTTTTGTTTTCCTCAGGACGGAGCAAGAATTTCGAATCCCAGGTAGCGTGAGGTAGTGAGCGGCCTGGCGGCGCTTGTGGCTCCTGGCTTTGAGCTCGCCCGGCGGCCAGGGCCTCACTCGCCCTGTCATTCTTGTTGGCTCTTTGGCTGTGAGCCTTCACAAAGCCGTAGGCTCTTCTCACAGAAACACATTCTCTCTGCGTTCTCATTGTGGTCAGTCTGGTGACATTTCATTAAATGCGCCATGTTTAGTTAAATCCCAGAATCCCAGTGACAAGCACACCCACCAGGAGAGGCTGGCGAGCTCCCCGGACTGGGCGAGCTCGTGGTGGGGCGGGCGGGGGCCTGGCGGTGGCCGCTCAGCCCTGGGCCTGGTTTGCCGGGGACAGGAGGCCGGCTCGCCTCGGCCGGCGGGGCCCGGCCACATGCGGGTGTTCTCGGCTGCAGGGGCGCAGCCGCGTGACCTGCAGGGAGAGGCAGTGTGCAGGGGGCGGTCGGCGCTGGGGGAGGACAAGCAGTTATGTTTTGTAGTTCAGGTTGGCAGACTTTTTCTCTGTTTACTCTCTTGTTTACTCTAAACAAGCAGATGATAAACATTTTTAGTGTTGCAAGCCATGTGGAATCTGTCGCAACTCATGGCTGCTGTCGTGGGCGGAAGTCCTAGTCCGAACGGTCACCAAGGGTCAGGCTGCACGCCCATGAAGCTTCATTCCTAGCTGTGGGCCTTTCGAGCCCCCTGTTTAGAAAGGACCATTAATGAGCGCGCGCTCAAGGTCGATGGCTCTCCTTGGAGGCAGTGGGCCTAGTAGGAGGTGCCTTTGCAAAGGGCACTGGTGAAGCCCTGTCCGAGAAGGTCAGGTCGTAGGGCATCTGCCGAGAGGCGCCGAAGGCTGGTGGAAGGTTGCTTTTCCTTTTGTGCCTGTGCTCTGGGCGTGAAGTCTCGTAAGGCCCCACAGACGCAGCAACAAGGGCGAGCCTTCGAAGCGCGTCCCCGGAGCGGACCCCTGGGCTGCTGCTCCCGAGCTCCTGGGTCGTCCTCCGGTTCCCCGTCACATGTGTCCTGGGGTCGGGCTTGCTGGGGGCCATGGTGGGTGGTCCTGGCACCTCCGGCTGGGGCGGGGTGGGGGTGAGCGGCGAGGAGGCGGTGACCGTGCCATCCACGCCCTGCAGGTGCTGGAGATGTTCGTTCTCGTGCTGCAGCAGTGCCACAAGGAGAGCGAGGACAAGTGGAAGCGGCTGTCCCGGCAGGTGGCAGACATCATCCTCCCGATGCTGGCCAAGCAGCAGGTGCGCGCCACCGCTGGGCGCGGCTGTAGGTTGCGGGGGAGCCCGGAGGACGTGGGCGCTGTGTGCAGCCCTCCGCTCAGTCCCACGGGTTCACCCCCCAAGTAGCTGTCGGTGTGGGTCACGGGTGTGGGGGCTGCCATGCCCCTCTCAGGGACGCTCGGTGGCTGAGTCCTGTGTGGTTGCAGGCCCGGGGGTGGCCGTGGTTCCTGAAGGCGCCCCACGGGTAGGGTGGTGCGGTCCGGGGCGGAGCCTGTGTTCTCCGTGCCTCCCTGGGCCCTCGCAGCCCAGGGCTCTCCCGTGATCCCTGCACGTGTGTTGTCCCTTGTCACTCAGGAAGCAGTTTAGCAGTTTTCTGTCGCGTGACCCAAAATCTACCACACGGCACGATCGGTTGTTCCACACACGCAGGGAACAGGACGGGGCCCACCATTGCTCAGTCTCTGAGCCCTTCTGCCACCAGGTGGCAGAGGACAGGAAGTGCCACGCTGTTGGCAGCCACACCTTGGTCTCCAGGGCGGGTCGGCCAGCTGCCAGCGAAGCTCTGAGTCTTCAGCACACTGGCCGCCATCACAGGCATGGTGCCCAGCGGCCACCCGGCTAAGGGAGCGAGCACTCGGGGGAGCACAGTGCTCGTGGCTCCCTGCCTCCAACGGGGGCGTGGAGGCCTCTGCCATCGTTCTGCCTGTGTGACTTCAGCCCCTTCATTCGGGCTAATCACCTGAGGCCTCTTGGACAGAGGGACGTGTCCTGACTCCTGTGATACCGATAGGTGGCAGTGTGAATAAGTCGTCAAACTGGGTATTTCCGTGTGATCAGCATTCCACACCTGTAGGTATATTTTTTTAGAATAACACCCCAAAAGCTTTGTTCTGTTCTCCTGCCGTTCACGGGTGCTGCCTGTGGGGGGCACTGGGGTCCACAGGCAGTGCCCAGTGCCGCTCTTGCCCCTGTGACACTGGGCAGCGTGTCTGGGCACACGCCTTGGTGCCCACTGGCGGCTGAGCACAGGGCCATGGGCATCCACCGATGGTGCTGGCGCAGACACCCCGTGACCACAGCCGATGGGGGGACCCTGTCCTCGGGGAGGGGTGGTCTACTTAGAATGGGGGTGGAGGAGACGGACAGTTGGCCAGGGTGCAAAATGTAGGGGATCGTCAGCGCTATGCAGAAAATGGCGCTGGGGGGCTGGCCAGGTGGGGTTGCGTGGTTCCTTCCGTGTGGTTTGAGCGAGCCTGAGGCTCGGCTGACCCCAGCAGAGCCCTGGGCAGAGAGCAGCAGCGCCGCCCCTGCAGCCAAGCAAGAGGCCAGTGTGGGGAGGGGCTGAGGGGTCCGATGGGGGGTCGCATGGGGCTCTCGCTGGGGCTGCTGCTGGTGACGGGGAAGCCGCAGAGAACTCGGTGCAGGGAGTGGCCCGGTGTGATCTGAGAGTTGAGAACAGAGTCGGGGCACGCGGGAGAGCAGAGCGGGGAGGCCCACTGGGGCGTGGGGTGGTGTGGGCCAGTGGTGGGAGCGACGAGGCCGAGGTGGCCTCGACTGGGTGGCCTGGACGGGACAGAGCCAGGCCCAGGAGCTGGGAGCCCCAGGCCTCCTGCTGCCCCTTGCTGTTGAGGTGTGGCTCAGCGCTGCAGGGCCTCAAGCCAGCACCCAGGAAAGCACCTCTCTGCGCAGAGATGGCTCTGTGGGTGCTGCGGGGAGAGCCGCAGGAAGGGGACACGGTCAGTGCCACACCCTGCACCCATCGGGGGACAGCGGAGACTCGGTTTGCGGGGGGGGAGTCCGCTGGAACATCCTATTTGAGAGCTTATTGCCTTGGGCATGCTCCACTGTATTTTTAAAGGAAAAAAAGCAAAGACATTTACATGATTTATCAAAACAGGTTAAACAAAAACTTCTCTGTGTGGAACAGTAGAGAAAGTTAAGAAAGAGAAATGCACAAATTCCTGAGCATTTGTTACTGATCGGCGCTGTAGGGAGGGGATGCGATGCAGGTGAAGCAAAGAAAAAAGGAAAAGAGAAATCACGTGTTGGACCCACTTAGGGAAGCTCTGTGTGTGCCGGGTGTGTGAGGGGCCGGCTCCCCAGCGTGGCTGGCGGTTGTGTCAGGTGCCATTCCAGTTGATTTTTTTGTTGTTCTTTGTATTTTAATCTTTTACAGAAAATGTGTATTGTCCATATGATAAAAAACTACGTAAAAAGATGTGCTTTGTGGGAAAGTTGTAGCTGATACCATGGTGTTCTAAAAAGCGCGGGCTTGACTGACTACCGTCGTTCAAGTCCCTGACGTGCCGAGTGGTGATGCTGGGTGATCAGGGTCGTCTGGCCCAGGGCCACCTACCCTGGGGTGTGAGTGGTGGCATTTTGTTGTTTTATTGCAACAGATGTACATTGATTCCCACGAGGCCCTCGGAGTGCTGAACACTTTGTTTGAGATTCTGGCCCCTTCCTCCCTGCGGCCCGTGGACATGCTTCTGCGGAGCATGTTCGTCACTCCAGCCACGTTGGTGAGTGCCCCGCCTCCTGCGGCATCTCAGATTCCCTGGGCAGCACGGGCCGTCCAGCCACCAGGCTCCGCTGGGCCAGGGTGCAGCCTGAGCGCTTGCGTTTTAGACAGGCTGCCCACAGTGGGGACGCAGCCGGGCCGGGACCATGCTTTAGAACAGAGATTTATGGGTAGAGTGGTGAACGAGGGGTAGTTTTCATTCATGACGTCGGCAACCAGGAAAAACGTGATTCTCTGTTCGCGTTAACTGCGGCCCGCTTTCTTTGTTTTAGGCGTCTGTGAGCACTGTCCAGCTCTGGATCTCAGGAATCCTGGCCATTTTGAGAGTCCTCATCTCCCAGTCCACTGAAGATATTGTTCTCTCACGTATTCAGGAGCTGTCCTTCTCTCCGTATTTAATCTCCTGTCCGATAATTAATAGGTTAAGAGATGGGGACAGTAATTCAACACCAGAAGAACACAGTGAAGGGAGACAGGCGAAGAATTTGCCAGAAGAAACATTCTCAAGGTATGCTGTGTATCTGACCCTTTTTCTCATCTCTGTCCTTCTGGAAGTCACGTGGGGTGTGGCGGTCAGAAAGTCAGGACCAGCTCCTCCTCGCCTTCAGCTCTGCAGGCTGGGCTCCCTTGCGTCCTGCCCAAGTCCTCCAGGCAGACCGCCCGGGGGTGGGGGGGCACCCGCAGCCGTGGGGCGGGGCGGCCTGCCCTGGGTGCCGGCAGCACGGGCATGTGCTGCCTGCAGAGCATTCAGAACCTTAGTCCTCCCACCGGACGTCGGTCTTACTGCCCTTCCCCGCCGGGATGGCTGTCCCTGTGTGTTCCCCTTGGTCCACTTTGGCATCAGCGCGTGTCTGCCCCCAGGTTGTTCAGGCGCTCCTTGGGGGCAGCGATCCCGGTTCAGCACCACAGACAACGCTGTGCTGGGCAGGGGGCAGCCATCCTGGGCCAACGCGGTGCTGCCTGTGGCGGGGTGGCCTGGAGCACGTGCTGTGAGTGCGCTGTCTGCCCCTGCACCTTCCAGCCAGGGGCACTGCCACGTGCCCTGGGCCACCCGTCGTGGCCATCGGTGGGGACGCCGGTGTGTGTGTGCAGAGATGAGCCCAGGAGGCCTGCATTGGCGCCCTCTGTTGGCTGGGCCGGTGGGAGCCCGAGGCGCCCCGCCCCCCACCCGGCCCCGTGCGTCAAGCAGGTGGCTCCAACCTGTGAGAGCAGGTTCCTGCGGGGCGTCTTCCGCTTTCCCCATCAACCCGCCACACCTCCTGCTGGCAGGCCTCTGAGGGCTGGGTCCCCCCGCCACCCCCACCCCCCGTCACGCGCAGCGGCACAGGGGCTGCGTCCCGGCAGGCGCCGCGTCCGCCCCACGGCTTGTTGTGCCCCCCCACTCTTCGGCTCTGCAGACGGCGTGTCCTGTGGGTGTGCCGGCACGTCTGCGGCAGCTCCGGGCTCCGCGGCATCGCCTCGCTCACGGGCACCCCGTCCTCGCAGGTTCCTCCTGCAGCTGGTCGGCATCCTCCTTGAGGACATCGTGGCCAAGCAGCCGAGGGTGGACATGAGCGAGCAGCAGCACACCTTCTACTGCCAGGAGCTGGGCACGCTGCTCATGTGTCTGATCCACATCTTCAAGTCCGGTAGGTGCCTCCCAGCAGGTGGCCGAGCGTGTCCCCTGTCCTGGCCACCCCGGCCCATGCTGCCCCAGGCAGGCTCTGTTCCAGGGTGTTGGAAAGTGTGTTCTTGGGGATAAGAGTAAACCTGAGGGCTTCCTCCTATTTTACATATTTGGGAGACCAAGATGTTTTTGTTCCCTTTGTATGATACGGCTGTGAATTAAAAAGGACAGAGAACCTGAGGGGGAGTCAGAGGCGCCAGCTGTGCCTCAAGCGCAGGCAGCGCCCAGCCCATGGGAGGACAGCGGCGTGGACAAGGGGAATGTGCGCCTCACTTTAGATGGAGCGAGGGAGAAGCCGGCAGACTTGGGCTGCAGGGTGCAAGCCTGCCTTTCTTCTCTCGGCCGGAAAGTGCCGCGCGACCAGTCTCGAGGAGAAACAGACTGCAGGCACGCCGTGGTCCGAGCGCGCAGCAAGCCCAGACATGGCCTGGTGCTAACGCGAAGATGGCCCAGGGTCTCGACCCAGGACCCATAGAAAGAGGCGTCATCCCTCCAGGCTCCTTGGCCTTGTTGGGAACGGTAGCCACGTGGACACACTGTCAGTGCTGTGTTGATTTTTCATTTTGGGGACCAGTGTATGAATAAGACATCGAAGGCTTATTTGCTTAATTACGGTTTCAGAACAGAGTGAAACGTTTCCGGTTCTGACAAATATAAAAGGGTAACATCTAGCAGCTTAATTTGGGAAGCAAAAGGTGGAGGAAGAGGCTGGGCGGTGGGGGGCGCTGGATTCTCATCTCTCGCAGTAGTAGCTGGGGCTAACAGAACAGAAGCCGGAGGTAGAGAGGTAACCACGCAGAACTGCCCATGTTGCTACGTTGGAAGGAGGGGGCTCATGGGAGCCGCTTGCGAGCGGGACAAGCACCACATCAGCCGTCGTCGCAGGGTGGGCTCTGCCTGCCTGCTTCAGGTCCTGCCGCGGGCTCTCCCTCCCTCATGGAGCGCTGGCCTCTGGGGGCTCCTGCTGCGCGCGGGGCGGCCACGCCTCGGCTCTGCTGTCTGTGTTGCCCCTCCTTGGCGCTCCGTCCCGGGGCAGGCAGGACGGCCGCGGGCTGCCTGTGGCGCCCACCTCTGCGTGAGCCCTGCGAGTGACACGCAGGCCCCTGTTGTCCGGCCAGGTTGGCCGCGGGGGCTGCGGGGCAGCAGTCCTTCGAGCGGGCGCTGCTGTCCGGTGCAAGGAGCGGGCAGGCCCGGCGTAAGCGGGAGTCTGCTCCCGGTGGGGAAGGCTCAGCAGGCTGGGGTTTTGGGTAACCCCTAGACCACGGGCAGGGCTGCCAAGTTGTTGCCTTCAGAGGGCCGGCAGGAACTTTTTTTTCTTTAAGATTTTATTTATTTTTCGAGAGGGGAAGAGAAGGAGAGAGAGAGGGAAAGAAACATCCATGTGTGGTTGCTTCTAGCATGCCGTCTACTGGGGGCCTGGCCCACAACCCAGGCCTGTGCCCTGACTGGTGACCCTTTGGTTCGCAGGCCGGCACTCAGTCCACTGAGCCACGCCAGCCGGAGCCAGCAGGACCCTCTTTACAACCAGAAGCCCCTGTCCATCATGGGCCCTTCTGTCGGGCACTGATCTCAGCAGCAGCTGGCGCGCATGCCGGTGCAGGCCCGAGGGCAGCAGGCGGTCGCCGTCGCAGCCCGCAGCCATCTGGCTGCCGCGCACTGCGCCAGCCAGCCCCGGGCCGACCGGGGCACAGGCGGCCAGCGGGGCCGACGCCATGCTTGCCTTCGTGGAGCGCGCTCCGGCAGGGAGGATGGTGTGTGGACGCGTCGTCACAGGTCTTGATGTTCCCTGTGACGGGAATGGGCAGTGAAGACAGACTGCGTGGTGGGAGAGGGTGCGAGTTTGCTGGAGAGTGACTTCGAAGCTCAGACCCGAACAGCCAAGAAGGCGGCTGAGAGTGTGAGGGCGAGGGAGGGGCAGAGGGGCGCTGGGGGCCAGGAGGGACCTGGGCCCCCTGGGCGCTGAGTCAGGGAGAGGGGGTGGAGGTGCCTTGGTGGCCGGATTTAATTTAGACGGTGGACCTCGGTTTCAGGCCCCCTTAGTTATGACCTTGGGCACATTTTTGTTTTGGAGGCCGTTGGATCGAGGCCGCGGCTCCGAGTTAACGTGGAGGAGAGAAGCCTGCCGCGCCCCTGGCAGGCCCTTTCCGCTGTGCTGGCCGTGGTTAGGGCTTGGCCACTGGTGGGGCTGGGCCTGACCCCAGGACACTGGTCCCTCCCTGGGGGTGTTCCTCCCTTCTTTAGGCCAGTGTCTTTGGACACTGTTCGCTTGGTCCCATGTGTGTCACTGCGGGGCTCTGCATGTGCGTGTGTGTAAATGTGTCTATGTGTATTTCCTCGTTTATTGTGACTTTATTTTAAAGACACCAGGAGGCAGAACTGTAGCACTTGGCTGGTTTTGAGGGAGTTAAAATAAATCATGCTGTGTTTTTACATGAATAAGGTACAGTTAGCATCTAAAGTTGGCAACTTTTATACATGCTCTGCTTGAGCAATGGCAGTGAATTTCGCCCCTTTCCTGGAAGTCGACGCTGCGTTTGTCCACTTCAGGTGTCTTTCTCAAAGCTGGAACCGGCGGGGGTCACGGCCTTGGCCTCTGGTTCTCTGCGTCCCTCCTTCCGGGGAGGGTGTGGATGTCGAATCTCTCTGCCTGTGTCATAGCCAATCCAGCATGAACAGGGACAGGAAAGACGCCTGGCCTCCACTTTGCAAAGTCTGGGTCACTGGTGGCCCGTCTCCTCCTGAGTCAGGCCAGCTGAGAGCAGGTGGCAGAGCCCGAGGCGGGGCTGCGTGTGGCGTCACCTTATTGCCAGCGTGGCTGTGTTGAATCTCCAGGTCTGTGGCTGGGACGAGGCCTCCTGTGCTTGTGTGTTTCCCATCCGTGTCCACCTCGTGGGCCCCACCCTGTTGTCGTCAGACACCCACCCGCACGGAGGCCGCCGTGGGCCACAGGGCCGTTCCTGACCTTCCTTCCTGGTCCCAGCTGTACGTGTGGGCCAAGCTCAGGCTGCTGGCGAGGGGGAAGCCGCTCTTCCCAGGTGACCCGTTGACACTGACTGACCGACACTCGGGCGAGGGCCGCTACTGGCTCTGACGCCGGAAGTAACGGTGTTCCCCTGTGGGCAGACGGTGCCACTACAGGAGCCTTCTGGTCGGGGGGCGGGGGGAGGCTGGGCACAGTGTTGTTGCCTGGGCCTGAAAGTGATGCACGTCCCTTTGTTCACATTTCTCTGGGATGACCTGTTGCAGCGCCAGCCCCATGTGGCTGGGGGTGCTTTCCAGAGCAGGCGTCCGTCCTTGTGTGCCACCCCTCCCCCAGCTCCGCCCTGGGCCCTGCAGACGGAGGACAGAGCCTGCCCGCGGTCTGTCCAGCCCCTCCTATCACCGCAGAAGCCAATTTGTTCTGACCGTGGGTTCCTGTTACTTGTTTAATAAAACCCACATTTGCGGTCTGTCACTCCCGAGCTCCTGGCCTGGCTCCAGGGTCCCTTTCGGAAAGACATGCGTCTTCTCTGAGTCCACGGACCCCACACCACAGGGAAGGGCCAGGCCGGGGCCAGGGGTGGAGGTGGGTGGTGCTGACCACGGAGCAGCCAGGGAGGAACCCTGGAAAGGGGGCCGCAGACACGACGAGTGCAGGGAGCCTGCTGGGGGGCTCTCTCAGACAGCTGTGCTTCCGCTGGGCCTCGTCCCTCGTCTCGGGTCGCAGGTGTGCTCAGTCACATGTGGGGAGGAAGAAGCCCGCCGCCGGTTCCCTCTGTCTCAGACGCCTTTTGCGTTTGCAGTGTGTTGAAGCTTAAACCAGAGATCAGATTTTGACCCCCCAGCATGACACCAGGAGACACGGGGCTCAGGGACAGGAGCTGCCTTGCTGCCGCACTCTGCAGCGTGGGTTTGCCCCTTGGGGTGCGGGCCAGCTGGGGGGCCACGCAGGGGCGGGACAGGGGTCCGAGGAAGGGCCAGAAGGGACTCACCGATTCTCAGTGTAGGCACTGAGCAGGGGCTGGGGAGGAGCTCGTGGGCCGAGACCCAGGATGCCTCGTGGTGGCACTGGAGCCCACCGAACCGAGCCTGGCATGCCGCACCGTCTCTCTTCTTTCTCTGGCATTGTTCTTGGCCGCACGACCCCTGGGGTTGCTGCCCTCAGTTCTCAGCAAGCCAGGGGCCCCTCGGTCAGCAGCGGTGGGTGCAGAAGGGCCTGCCGGTCCCTTTGAACGTCGCATGCAGGAGAGAGCCGTGCGTGGATCTTGAAACAAGGCTACAAAGTGTTGGACCGCTGTGAGTGACGAAGACATTTTCCTTTAATCAGTGTGCTTTGGGTCTGTTTCCAGGAATGTTCCGGAGAGTCACAGCGGCTGCCTCTAGACTCTTCACCGCAGACGGTACCGACGGCAGCTTCTACAGCCTGGAGAGCCTGAACGCACGCGTGCGCTCCATGGTCCCCACACACCCGGCCCTCGTGCTGCTCTGGTGCCAGATCCTGCTGCTCGTCAGCCACACAGACCACCGCTGGTGGGCCGCGGTGCAGCAGACCCCCAGGTACGTCTGCCCACCGCCGCGGGGGCTTGAGACTGGGCTCCACATTCACGAGGCTTTGGAAGGATTCGGCTGCGTCTCCGTCTCTCTCTCACTGGTGTGGGGAAACGTGGTCTGACCACAGGTGTTCAGAACTGCTCCTGCTTTGTGCCTGTGATTTGTTCGACAAGTTCTTTGACGCTTGTCTCTCTGATGGACCGTTCTTTTCTTTTTTTAAATATGTTTTATTGATTACACTGTTACGGTTGTCCCCCTCCACCTGGTATCCCCACTCCCTCCAGCAACTCCTTGCCTTAGTTCATGTCCATGGGCTGTGCACGTAAGTTCTTTGGCTTCTCCGTTTCCTGTACTATTCTGAACTTCCCCTGCCTATTCTGTACCTACCACTTACGGTGCTTCATCCCTGCGCCTTTTCCCTCCCTCTATCCTCCCAGCTGACCTCTCGAGCTGTCACTCTGTTCTGCTGGTTTGCTTAGTGTGTTACTTGGATTCAGTTATTGGTAGTTGTGAATTTATTGCCATTTTAAGATTCATAGTTTTCATCTTCTTTTTCTTCAATAAGTCCCTTTGACATTTCATATGATAATGGTTTGGTGATGATGAACTCCTTTAGCCTTTTCTTGTTTGGGAAGCTCTTTTTCTGCCCTTTGATTCTAAATGATAGCTTTGCTGGGTAGAGCAATTTTGTCTGCAGGTCCTTGCTTTTCATCATTTTGAATATTTCTTGCCACTCCCTTCCAGGTTGCAGAGTTTCTTTTAAGAAATCAGCTGACGGTCTTGTGGGAACTCCCCTGTAGGTAACTGCTTTTCTCTTGCTGCTTTTACAATTCTCTTTTTTATCTTTAACCTTTGGCATTTTAATTATGATGTGTCTTGGAGTGGGCCTCTTTGGGTTCATCTTATTTGGGACTCTGTGCTTCCTGGACTTGCATGTCTATTTCCTTCACCAAATTAGGGAAGTTTCCTTTCATTATTTTCTCAAGTAAGTTTTCAATTTCTTGCTCTTCCTCTTCTCCTTCAGGCACCCCTGTGATTTGGGTGTTGGTATGTTTGGAGATGTGCCAGAGGCTCCTGAGCCTCTCCTCATTTCTTTTTGGATTTTTATTTCTTCATGCTGTCATGAATGAATATTTTTTTCTTACGCTCCAAATCATTGATTTGATTCTTGGCTTCATCTACTCCCCTGCTGATTCCCTGTACATTTTTCTTTATTTCCTTTAATGTAACCTTCATTTCTGCCTAGGTCTTTTTATGTGGTTGAAGTACCCAGTGAGTCCCCCGAGCGTCCTTGTAACCAGTGTTTTGAACCCTGCCTCTGATAGGTTGCGTGTCTCCATTTCGTGCAGCTCCTCCTCTGGCGTTTTGGTCTGTCCTTTCACTGGGGCCGTGTTTCTCTGTCTCCTCGCTTTGGCAGCCTCCACATGTCTGTTTCTATGCACTGGGTAGAGCCGCTTTGACTCCCGTTCTCAGAGGTGTGGCCTGTTGGAGAACAGGGCGCCCCTGCTTGGCTGGGGTGCGGTCCTCGGTGCGCGCCAGGGTGGGCAGCCCCTGTGACCAGGTGGCTGGAGTGTCAGGCGTGGCGCGGCCGCCCGGGGGCCCTGTGCGGGAAGGGCTCGGGCAGGGGCCAGCGCCTCGGCCTGGCCTCTGGAGTGCCGTCGGGGCGGGAGCTGCCCCCCAGTGCTGGCCCTGAGGCCAGGCCCTTCGGTGCCGCCCCGTACGCCACTGGTGCGCTTCCGCGGCCGCCCCGGTGCTGGGCGGCGGTGAGCCCGTGGAAGTCCTACGTGTGTTGTGGCTTCTTTAGGAGGAGATGCCCGAGATTCCCAGTTTCTTCTGCTGCCCCCACCTCCACTGGTGATTACAGCCAGAGGTTAACGGGGATTTATGTTCCTGGCGCTGGAACCCTGGGCTGGGTGGTCTGGTGTGGGAGGGACCCCTCACTCCCGAGGGGTCCCTCCTGATTTTCATCCGCCCGCATCGCCTCGACTCTGCCCCCCGACCGGTCTGAATGAATGTGACTCCTGTGATTCCTTGGTTGTCAGGTATCCATACACCGTGTTTTCTGGCGCTTCTGGGTGGCAGCTATTTTGTAGTTGAGCTGCAGTTGCTGCTGTGGTTGTGCGAGTGGGTGAGCCGCATTAGCCTGCGCCTCCTGCTCGGCCAGAGCCCTGCCCTGCGGGCTGTTCCCGTCGGGCTGCCGCTCCGGCCAGGCTCTCGGCCCTAAACTGGTTCCAGAGCCAGGCATCTCATGCATTAAATGTGGTTCTGGTTGTCCTCAGGTAATGAAGTAATTATTTAGCAGCATGTCTCACTGTTTGGAAATGTCTTATTTTTAATATTATTTAAAAAGGCATATTAAGTACCTGATTGTAGGTGGCCCTGTTTTGGCAGAAAGTTCTGAGGTCGAAGCCTTGATTTCTAGGCACTCTCTCACTCAGACATTCGGGGTCCCGCCGGCTGGTCCATTCTGTCCCCTGGGACAGCCCATTGCTCGTGCTCCGTGTGGGGACGTGCAGAGGAAAGACAGCGGCTCCGCCAACCTCAGATCACGGAGACTTTCTCCTCTGGTTCTTCTGGAACTTTCAGACCGTCAGCTTTTAGCTTTCAAGTTAATTTTTGCCAGTGACCGCGTGTAAGGCCGAAGAGCCATTTTCCTTCCTGTGGGGACGGTTCCTTCAGCGTTGTTTGTTAAAAGGCTGTCCTTTCTCTTGGTGCCACCCTGGCGCTTTCCTCAGAGGCCCACTGAGTCCACGCGTGCGACCGTCTCCTGGACTCTGTCCGCCCGTCTGTCACCTCGTCAGCACCATTGCCGCTCGTCACTTCAGTGGCGTAGACATTGCTGGCAGCAGGAAGCCCTTGATTTCCGTACCCGTGTGTTAGAATCAGGCCCTAAAATGTCTAAAAGAGCCTCCTGGGCTTTGGACTGGGAGGCAGGCGTCTGCAGGTTAGTTTGGAAGGAACTGCTGTCTTCGTGATCTTGACTCACCTGGTCTTTGAATATGGTCTGTCCATTTATTTAGGTCTTTTTTAATTTGCCACAACATCTTGTATTTTTCTTTTTCAGTAAATAAGTATTACACGTGTTTTATAAATTTGTTCCTGAGTATTTCATGTACTGCAACATTAAGGGGTACTTTTAAGAGGTCTGGCCCTGGCCCTTCTCCAGGCCCAGGGGGCTTTTGGTGCTGGAAGGGAGAAGGCCTTTTTTCCTTTAAAAAAAAAAAGGAGAAGAAATAAATGCACCCTGCCCACACTCCCCTCCAGTTGGGATTCCATTTTCCCACAGTGTGTTCTGGTCCATGGCAGTGCAGGCCGCTCCCTGACCCACTGCTGCACACTCAGCAGTTCGGTCGCATTTTGGGGGTCCCTTCGGGCCGTGAGCTCACCGTCTTTGCACGGACGCTCTTCCCTTACGGCCGAGACCCGTTTCTCTTTCCTGCCGCTGCACGCGGGCGCGCTCTGCAGCGCGGCTGCTGTGCCGGCTCTTCCGCTGGGCCCCTGGACTCTGACCTTGGAGAAGCGCTTGGCGTTTCGTAGGGCGGAGAAGACAGGCTTCACTGCGGAAGGCGCGAAGCGCACAGGAACTGCAGAGGTGTTAGGGATCGCAAGCACGCCACCGGGCTTTGTAACCGGAGACCCTTAAGGCTGGCCTGGTCCCTGGACTGCGACATGGCAGCTCCCAGCTGGCCCTGAGGGCCGGCCAGTGTCAGAGGTCGCAGGGGCGCTTTGCCCCGGCTGCGCGGCTAGCGGCGCGTCTCTGGGCAGGGTGCCCGCCAGCGGCTGGTGTGCGGGCCCCGTTCTCCTGGGCCTCTTGCTCCTCTGCGCCTGTCCGCACGCGCACGCCTCGTTCCCTTGTGCTAAGAGGAATGTAACCTCCTGAGGGACCCTCATCACCTTGGTGACGTCCCCATCCACACGGGCCGCTCCTTTCCCGGCCTGTGTTCCTCGGGTTAGTCTGAGGTTGCGTCCAAATGCTCTGGACCTGGGAACTGGGTTGTCTGAGGCAGAGCGACAGAAAGGCCTCAGCTGACAGCCTGTGTTGAGGGAAGTGAGCGGACGTGAGCGTGGCCTGGCGGGCGGCGGGTGTCCCCCTTCGGCGGTTTGAGGAAGGCGAATTACAGGTTGGCGTAAGTGCAGGTGCCCACTCTGTGAAAGGTTTCATAAGCCTTTCTCAGTTTCATAAGCCCTGACTCAGTTTCTCTTTCTGTAACATTTTGCATTGTCCCCCTCTGTTATCCTGGAACAAAATCAGTGGATCCTATAACACGTCTGTACTTAACTCTCACGAAAACAGAAGGTCCTGGTGGTAACACCCAGGTGAAATTGAGGGGATGGTGTGGTAAGTACGCAGCACCCCAGGGCCTCACGCTTGGTGCCTGGCGCCGGAGGGAAGCCCGGGTGCCGGAGCTCTTCCGGGTCATGCCCCTCCCTCTTCCCCATGTGCGTGCTGCGCGGGGCGAGCGTCTCTGTGTGTCCAAAAGGCGATGAAAAGGAAGGACCGGAAGCAGGACAGACGGAGGACAAGCGCGGTTTTTTGGGCTGGTCACCAGCGGCTGCCCCACCGCCCGCTGCGCGATGCCCGCCCGCCCCCGGCCGTGCTCTGGGTGGCCCGGCCCCTGGGACGGACGCGTCCGATGGTCAGGCCTGCTTAGGGTCGTGGCTTGCTCTTGGTCTGTCACCCCTTTGGTGGGCTGTTAGGGCCCCCTGCAGGGGCCGTGGCGCTGGGGGTGTGGCGTGGCAGTCCCTTCCCCTGCTGTGTTCTGAGGCCCGCATGTGCGCTCCCGCATGGGGGCCGTTTGCTCTCCGCCGGCACCTGGCAGCATCTGGGCACGCTCCCGGGGGCTCGCCCTGCGACACGTGGGGCCCAGACGCGGGCTGGCGTCAGCCCTTCTTCTTGTCTGCTGGTCACGCTGGAACTGGGGGCCCTGGCCTTCGCTTTCCGAGGCTCCTTCCCCTCCAGCTGCCCTGTTGCCAACACGAAGCCGCACGTGGGTGGGAGTCCCGGTACAGCTGGCGGGAGGGCTGGCTGAGCAAGGTGTCTCCTTGACGCGTCCCTTGAAATACAGTGAGCGCACTCTTTGGTGCCCCAGGCTGCAGGCGGCCCCTCCGCAGTCACGGGGCAGCGCGGTGCCGTCCCCTCAGAGAGTTCCCTCGCGTCCCCATGTCATCCGTCTCCCACCCCGGTCCCTGCCCTTAGCCTGGCGCAGAGTGTTGTGCACACGGGAGCCTCCAGATGGCAGCCTTTGAGGCAGACCCCGCCCCCGGGGCGCACGTGTCTCGGGCGCAGTCACCGCGCTGTGCGAGCCAGTGGTCTGTTCCTCGCGACAGCTGCGTGCCACTCCAACGTGTGGCGACACCATGGTTTGCTGTCCCTCCCCCAGATGAAAAACAGGGAAATGGCAGTTTTAGTTTAAAATTTGTGGAGCGGTTCATGCCAGTTCTCCCCTAAACCCTGAGGGGGGACGGGAAAAATGGGCGCATTTCAGAATGTCCCAGCCCACCCATGACCGTGGCCTGCCTCCCTGCACCTTGGCAGCGTCCAAGGTCAGACCCGGGCGGCAGGCAGGCAGTTCACGCGGGCGGCCGCGCTGTGTGTCCCTTGTGGGGGGTGGGACCGCGAGTCTCGAAGTGTGCGAGTCCCATCTCCCTAGAGAGGAGACCGAGCAAGAAGCAGGGACGGGGAGTGCGGAGGCCTTCACAGGCGGGCTGGTTTTGCGGCGGTGCTCTGCGACAGGGTTCCGCAAGAGCAGGGACACTGTGGGCATGTCTGGAGTGGCCGCCTGTCGCTGGCCGTCTCAGGGCAGTCGGAGCCTCAGGGTCCTCTTCCAGCGAGCCAGCAGCGTCACGCCCGCCAAAGCTGGGCTTCCAGCGCCCGCGAGCTCGCAGCCAAGGAGCTGGCGGACGCGCGGCTCCCGTGTGCTTGCCCTTTGGTCACGCATTTCGTCTCCGCCTGTGAAGTCCCATTTTTTCACCTTCCCACGGGGGCTCTGTCATAGCTCAGGGGCGGGTGACTGACAGGGAGCGTCACACACCCACGCTCTGCCGTGGCAGCACTGAAACACCGGCCCAGAACCAGGCCTACCCCTACCGCCTTCGTTATTTTGAAGGCGAGCCCGCTGCCGCCCAAAACCGTGTCAGCGTGCCTGTCGCTCCTTCTAGAAGACGTAGCCTGTCCAGCACGAAGTCGCGGAGTCCCCAGGTGTCTGAGGAAGAGGAGGACTCCGACTTGGCATCCAAGCTTGGAATGTGCAACAGGGAGATCGTCCGGCGAGGGGCCCTCATCCTCTTCTGCGACTATGTTGTGAGTGGGGCGGCGCGGGCGGGCTGGCAGCTGGGGCCCGGAGACCGTCCCCCCCGTCCCAGGGAAGCCCAGGCTTCATGCCCAGCCCCGCTCTGCTGCTTGGTCGTGGCGTTTTAAGTTTGCCCGTAGAAGGTTCTACTCAGCTGCCACCTGATGCGCACGCGTGGAGTGACGGCTCCATGCCTGTCGGCGTGCTGGGCAGGCGTGTCCTGAGGGAAGCAGCGCGAGGGGGGCGATAGTGATGATGCTGAACCGCAAGCTCGGGGTGCGGGTGAGAGGGGGGTCCTGGTGGACAGTGTTTCTAGGCTGCGGGGGTGTTAGATGTTCATCGCTGCATTTTTTTAAAAAGATATTTTGAATGTCATTGTTTTTTAAAACAGTAACTTGAACTTTTGACTAGAAAACTATCGTCACATGTTTAACATAGAAAATATCCAAAAACCAAGTAAGTAAACAGAAGAAAAGAAAATTTCCTGGGATTATATTACTCCTTAAAGGGAGATCCTTACATTTGTTACATTTTGGCTGAGATTTGGTACCTTTTCCACACCGATACAAAAAATACACGTTTCTTGGTACAAACATGGTAGCGTGTAATTAGTGCTGTCATGTAGCAACACACTGAAACGTCCTGAATCAGAAAAGGTAGCGTACAGTTCCTTCTTCAGCTGAACACGTTCTCATTATAGTTTTTGTCATGATAGCAGTTTATTAGTGTTTATTTTTTGCTTTGCATTCTTGGTGTTGAAATAGTTTTTCTATTTTGTCACGCTTCTAAAAAATAACAATTATACAATATATGTGTATTTGAAAATGGGTATGTCGTTTCCTTTCTAGTTGATATGTGGGATCCATTCCTATTCTGGAGTCAGGAATTCTGTTAAAACTGTGACAGATGTAGGGAATTCTCTTTTCCACTGGCCTCTCACAAAACTGGAGCCAGAGTCACTGGAGAGCACCCTCAGCGGCCAGGCCAACGCCGGGGACAGAGCGGGGGTGTCTGTGGACAGCGCGGCCCAGCTTCAGGGCAGCTAAGGGCACGGTGCTCACCATTCCTGCTGCCCTGGGGCCGCACGGGAGTCGCGCTGGCTGTGGCAGGTGCCCAGTGCCTCCCCCACAGCCCTGGGCCACGCTCTCCTTCCCCCCAGCCATTGGCTGGTGTCCCTTGGAGCTGGGCTGCGGGGTCCCATTTCCCTGTGGGGCCTCCCTTGGAAAGATAACCCCAGTGTGTGGTTGGCAGCAACAGGCTCTCTGAAGTGAATTCTTGCCTTGTCGGTGAGAGGTGGCCAGCCCTCGCTGTCTTCAGTGAGGGTTGGAATTTGGAACTTGCCTCCCCCCGCCCCTCTGGCCTTGCCGGCGGCTCCGCTGTCTGTTCCCCGGGACCCGCTCGTCCGCGAGTCCTGCTGTCTGTCTCCGCAGTGTCAGAACCTGCACGACTCGGAGCACTTGACGTGGCTCATTGTGAACCACATCCAGGACCTGATCAGCCTGTCCCATGAGCCCCCCGTGCAGGACTTCATCAGCGCAGTGCACCGGAACTCCGCCGCCAGCGGCCTTTTCATCCAGGCCATCCAGTCTCGGTGTGAAAACCTCTCTGCCGTAAGTCTCCCCAGCTCTTGTCAGCCAGTTCCCGGGGCCTGTGCGGGAGACTGGTGGCCTCCCCTGCTGACTCCCTTCTCTCCAACGCCAGCCCACCACGCTGAAGAAAACCCTTCAGTGCTTGGAAGGGATCCACCTCAGCCAGTCGGGTGCCGTGTTAACGCTGTATGTGGACAAGCTTTTGTGTACTCCGTTCCGTGTGCTGGCTCGCATGGTTGACACCCTTGCTTGTCGCCGGGTAGAAATGCTTTTGGCTGCAAATTTACAGGTACTGAACAAAACACTGACACTGATTTTTGTTGAAAACTGAGCAGGGCAGGCCACACGGTTGGCTGGTGATTTCCTCCGCAGGCATGTCTTCATACGGCCACTGAGAGCAACACGTGTAACGTGTGCAAACGGTCGTCTGTGTGTGTCTGATATGGGTGCTTCTTGCACCCCCTCCTAGTCTGCCTTTGCTATGGTAGACGCCACCTCAGTTTCTCCCCCGAGATTGCGCGCGAGGTAGCTCTGGTTTGCTGTGTGTTGCAAATCCCCTGACGTGCCCCTGTCCGCTGCAGACCAGCATGGCCCAGTTGCCGGTGGAAGAACTAAACCGGATCCAGGAGCACCTTCAGAGCAGCGGCTTAGCACAAAGGTAACGCGGACCCAGGCGCTCCTGGCTTGCGGGTGTAAGGACGCAGACGGATATGGGAGTGAACGCACAGGAGGGGAGACTGACGTGCTCCACGGACCGGTGACTGCAGATGGCCTCAACGGGGGGCCTTCCACGGGGCGCCCTGTCAGGTCTCACTGCACAGAAGGTCTGGGCCAGCGGCAGAGCCCACGTTGCCCAGGCAGAGGTGCGCCGTGCTCCCCGCTGGCGGTGTGAGATGCCTGCCCCCTCTGCCTGCTGGGCTGTGACAAGTGGTGGCGGGCGCTGCCAGCTTCGTGCTGGCAAGATCGGAGCGCACGATCTCGTCGCTGAGCAGGTGTGGTCAGCGCTGAAAGGCCTTACCTGGTCCTTGCTGTGCGTCTTGTGAAGTTTTAGTTCTTTGTAGCCGTTTATCTCCTAATTTGTTTGCAAAATCTTCAGAAGCCCTTATGAGAAATTATGACATCTGTTATATAAGTATACATGTATTCCCATGACTGCAAAGTAAATTAAGAAAAGCTTTTACCTCTTTTCCTCCCTGGGAGTGGATGGGGGTTGCAGAACGAGAGAGAGAATATAATAATTTGCTGTCACTCACTCTTAGGGTACTTGTTGGAGGTGTCTCTCATTAGGGAGGGGCGTGATTGGTGGGCAGGACCTAGTCTGGGGTGGCTTCTCAGTGTGCTGGGCTGAGCTGTGTTGTGCTTCGCTGTCACTCTGATAGCTGACGGTGGGAGCTCAAGCCGCTGTCACTGTGTGACCCTAGAGTTAGCCCTCGGCCCAGCCCGGGAAGACGGTAAGTGCCCTGGGCCAGAGGAGGCGGTTCTTCCGTGGACAGAGTGAGTATCAGTGGGTATAAGTTATGTCTGGTTGGTACGTTGTGCACATGGATCTTAGAACGATCTGTCTGTTATTTCATGTATTGCTTAATGCAATGGTTGAGTATAAATAAGATTTCTGAAAAATACAGAGCATGAACTGTGGTTACTGAAAGTGAACAGGGGCCTCAGTCTGCGTCGTGACTTGTGAGTGCTGCCCAGAAGCAGCTCTGGAGACGGTGTCAGTCACGTGGCGTCTCGCTGTAAGAGGCACTGTCACACCTCCCTGTGGAGCTGGGCTCTGATGCGCGTGTGCTCGCTTCCAGGCACCAAAGGCTCTACTCCTTGCTGGACAGGCTGCGCCTCGCCACCGCCCCAGGGTCCCGTGGCCCCTCTCCTCCGGTCACATCCCACCCGCTGGATGGGGATGGGCCCCTCGCACTCGAGACCGTGAGTCCAGACAAAGTAAGTGTCTGGAGTGCCCACATGTGACGCAGGGGCCCCGCCTGGGCACGGAGCATGCAGGGGTGGTCCCACGAAGGAGCCCCACGGTGCCGGGTGTGGCTCCGGGGGACTCCCGGTCTGCACTGTCCCTGCCAGCGGTGCGCAGGGCTCCGTCGCTGGCGCGGTGCCCAGGCCCAGCCCAGGGTGTCAGCAGGGCGTGGGGTGGGACAGGGAATGCTGACTTGGGGCGCCGTGGGGGTATCAGGGTCATTGCTGGGAGGGGCAGGCGTTGGGTGGCTGTGGTCACTCACAGGCCTTTGAGCACAGGCCCGCTTGGCCTGTCTCCCTCTCTTACACCTGCTGGCCTCCTGTGTAGAGGCCCCGCCGCCCCCCGCGCCCTAGCAGGTTATCCTCGCCCTCGCCGCTCGCACCGCAGAACCGGGGACCCTCCAGGCCCTTGGCACAGCCTTGGCGCTCCACTACCCAGAGGGAGTTCACTTTCCACCTGGGTTGGATGTCAGAATGCAGCAGCCCAGGCACAGCACAGCAGGAGCTGGGGTCTCTGCCCCAGGTTCAGTTTGTTGAGCGTTTCTGCAGGGCTGGCCCCGGGGCAGAGGGACAGAGCTGTACCCAGTAGCACGTGGCGGCACGATGCTAGGTGGCGGGGCGGGCATGGGGAGGGCTGCGGCGTCTGGCACCGGTGCCGAGTTGGAAGGGCAGCTGATCATTCACCAGGTGAAGGGGAGAAGGAGCGAGTGTCCAGACAGTGAGGCGAGTTCAGCAACAAGCCTTCGGAGCAGCTCTGGTGTGGGCAGCAGCCCGCAGGGCCAGCCAGAGCTCATCATCGCAGACCTGCGCCCGCTGTCCGGGGAGGCCCCTGGCCTTGCAGGCTGGGGTGGGGCGGAGGCAGCTCGCTTTCAGTGGCGCTCACGCCCCGAGCCCTGCCCCACCGCAGGCCGTCAGCGACCTCCTCCTCTCCCCAGGACTGGTACGTGCGCCTGGTCAAGTCCCAATGCTGGACGAGGTCCGACTCTGCGCTGCTGGAGGGGGCGGAGCTGGTGAATCGGATCCCTGCAGGTGACATGAGTGCATTCGTGAGGAGCTCGGTACGGCGGGGCGCGGTGGGCGCGGGCACCCCTTTCTGCCGTTGCTTAGCTGCGCTTGCTCGCTTCCGTCGCCATGCAGCCGTGCGCCCTGCGCCTCGGTGGCGAGGGCCTGTGGTCCAGGGCGGACAGGACGCGATTTCAGTCACAGTAGAGTCCAGAAGGAGGCCATATGAGCCTGGTTCAACGTTGCACATGTGTGAAGAAAATGGTTCTCGTAAACTGCGATCCCCTGCACTTGGCTGTTCTTGTGGGCATGAGGGAAACATCAAGTGCGGTGTGGCTTAGCGCTCTCGTCGTGCCCTGGAGGCCGATCTTGAGTCAGGCACCCTCCCCGCCTGCCACCCCGAGCATGCAGTGAGGCCCCTCTTCCTTGTAGAGGTCCCCAGGTCCCCCGCCCGCACTCAGGGCGCCGTGCACGGCTGGCCCGGGCACCCCGGCCACGCCTCCGTGTCCCTGCGCCCGCGCTCAGGTGGGCCCTGGGAGGCGCGCGGCCCCTCTTCTACGTCGTCCAGCCTCAGCCTTTACGGGCTCCCCAGACCCACTGCACTGAGCCGTCTGCTGCCCTGCAGGCGCGTCCCTGCTGCCCTGAGGGTACCACGTGGGTGTGAAGCAGCAGCAGGGCCCGGGGCGGCCTGGGGGCGGCGAAGGCTGGGCCAGGTGTGGGTGGACTGTGTCCCCAGGTGCTGATTCCCCATCAGGTTCAAAATAAGAGCTACATTGGGGGACGAAAACACAAAAGAGGAGAATTGTTCTGAAATCAGTTTGCTAATAAAGTCATTTTCAGATCCATTCAGTGAGAGTTGATTTGCCGAATGATCTGTTTAATGACCAATTGATGGAATTTACCAAACTCAGTAATTGGACTTTCAGCAGCTTTTAAAGGTTCTGGCTCTAACAGAGAGGTTCGGTCTTGATCACCGGTGATGACATACGCTTTCCCAAATGCTAACTAAAGACTAACGTCCTACCTGAAAACGCTCCAAAAAAGATCCTTACGTGCTTTTTAAAAGTTAACAAAATAGGTAATACAAATTGCAACATCATATAAAACACTATTTTTCTGACCAGAATCGTAGCATTGATATAGTACTTTGATTTATTGCAGATACTTTTGAACATCACCTACTTTCCTCAAACTTTGGGAATGTTAGGTGTTCTGCTGGTTTCTCGAGTGGCACACCAGCTTAATTTTGTATGTTTTTCAGTTAAAAGTTTTGTCATATTGAATTTTTTATTTCAAATAAATTCGAAGGCATAATGAAGTGGAAATACTTCTTTAAAACTAAAGCACCCAGGAGACCAGAACTATACTTCGCTGAGAATGTTTAACCAAGTTGTTCATTTGTTTATGCGAGAAGTAGAATATCCTGTACGATGTCTTCACGGTGCAGTGGCCTGTGTTACCTCAGACACGTTTGTGTGATTGCTCTGCTGTCTTTCCCTGCCTGATTGAAAGCATGTCATTGCTGTTGACCCTCTAAACGCTCTTGTGCAGGAGTTCAACGTAAGCCTGTTAGCCCCTTGCCTGGGCTTGGGCGCGCGTGAAATTTCTGGAGGCCAGAAGAGCCCCCTCTTTGAAGCAGCCCGTGCGGCGACTCTGGACCGTGTGACCAGTGCGGTGCAGCAGCTCCCAGCTGTCCATGAGGTGTTCCAGCCCTTCCTGCCTGTGGAGCCCGCCGCCTACTGGAGCCAGCTGCGTGAGCTCTTCGGTAATGACAGCGGGAGTGTCTTGCTGTTAGATGCCCTGCGGGGCCGGTGCCGCGCTTGCACCGAGTCAACACACAGTGAATGCTGCAGCTCTAATCCACTGAAAGCATTTACGGAAGTCACTGAGTAATGGCCCCGGGGTCCCCAGCCCCACGTGGCGTTTGGTATTTTGGCCACTTTGCCATGTCTGGGCCCAGCCCGCGCCCCGAGCCCTGGAGGCACGGTAGGACGAGGCTGGGAGGGCATGCAGACGTGCTTCCTAGGCCCGTGTCTCAGAAACCTGCCGCCGCCCCTCGGAGACCATGAGCCTCTGCCAGAGTTTCGTCCCCCCATGAAGGCCTTTGTTTCAGGGGACGCTGCGACATACCGCTCCCTGACCACGGTGGCCCGTGCCCTGGCCCAGTACCTGCTGGTGTTCCCCAAGCTGCCCGGCCACCTGCACCTTCCTCCGGAGAAGGAGAGGGACACTGTGAAGTTTGTGGTCATGACCATGGAGGTGAGAGGGCTGGGGACCTGGGTGTCCTCTGCACAGGGCAGCGTGGAGGTGCTGCTGCTCGAGGCAGGGGAGGGCAGCTTTACCTGGGAGCCTGGAGCTGTGTGTGTGGCCAGGCGTGCTCTTCACCCCCTTCCAGCCACGCTTGTGCGCCGCCGGCATGTGCCGCCCCTCGCCACCCTGGGGCGCTCACTCCCTGCGAGCTCAGGTGCCTCATGTGGGCAGTGCTGTGGCTCTCCCTGCCCCTCCTTCAGAGCTGAGGAAGGGAGCCCTTCAGAGCCAGGCCTGGGCCCTGGACTCCTGCCCAGAGCCACCTACCCCGACCCGACCCCTGGAGGCTCTTGCCGGCTGGGGAGCAGGCCAGTCAGAGAGGAGGGTGGGCCGGGGAGGAGGGAGGAGCATCAGGGAGAAGCCAGGGTGGGCGGGGGTCGAGTACAGGCCTGGGGGTCTCCGCAGGACAGTCTGGCCAGGGCGGGGGAACCTGTATCCTCGATTGTGAAGTGCCTTTGACCTTTAGCACAGACCACCTGTTCACGGTGTTTCCAGGGAAAGGGAAGCACAGCAGATGTGGTGTGCGTCCTGCCTTGCTGCTGCAGAGATACTAACGTGGAACGTTTATTTTTGTTTCAAGTTGAACAGTAAACTTGGGCTTTTCAGACATAGAGACTTGTACACTCTGTTAACACTTAAAATTATCCCCAAAATATGTGTGCACGGCGAGTGCATGGCCTTCCAGATGGCTTTGGAAAGGTGCCAGAGCTGAGCCGCATTGCCGGCCTGAGCAGGGACCCGGCCAAGCCAGCCCAGGCGCATCTGCCCCTGCGCAGCAGCAAGCAGTGCAGGAGGGACCTTGCTGTCAGCCCTCCCCGGGTCTGAACAAGCATCGGCTTGAGGCCAGGCCGCGTCCCTGGGGCCTCAGTGTCGGCGGAAGGCGGGCAAGCATGGGGTTACACCTGCAGCGCGAGCCCTGCCCTACCGGCTCCGCCGTGGGCCGCCATGCTGCCATGCGCAGAAGCAGGCGCACCGTCTGGCTCAGGTCTCACTGCAGCCTGTGACCTGCGCCCTGACTCCCATTCTGCAGCTGGGAGCAGGGCAGGGAGGGGCTCACCCAGCCGGAACATGGCCACACTGGCACTGGAAACCAAGGCCTGCCAGCCCCAGGACCTGTGCTCTCAGACGCAGCCTCCTAGGCTGCGATGAAGGCCAGCGCCTGGGGCCCCACAGCTGTGCTGGCGGGACGGTAGCCAGGGAAGCACTTCCAGAGGAGCCCAGAGCCGAAGGGAGAAGGCGCAACCGGGTCAGGGTGGTGCTCTGGCAGAGAGGGGAGCCCCAGGCACCTGGGCCGCGGATGCTGAGGACCGACGGGAAGAGAGTGGGAACCTGCCTCGGGAGGGACAGGTTGTTGGCACTGGCTGGCCTCTCGAGCCCCTCCGGCTCCCCCAGCAGCCCCGCCACAGGCAGGAGGCGCAGCAAGAAGGCGGCGGGTCTGAGCCTGAGCCTCTAACGTCGGCCCTCCCCTGCAGGCGCTCTCGTGGCACTTGATCCACGCGCACATCCCACTGAGCCTGGACCTGCAGGCAGGCCTGGACTGCTGCTGCCTGGCCCTGCAGCTGCCCGGCCTCTGGAGCCTGCTGGCCTCCCCGGAGATGGTGACCCACGCCTGCTCCCTGATCCACTGCGTCCGCTTCATCCTGGAAGCCAGTGAGTCCACCGCCTCCGTGGGCCTCTGGCCTCGCCCCGCGATCCGTACAGCCCTGCTCGCGGTTATTTTGTGCCACCTGTTTGCCAGGTGCTGAGTTAGGAATTGGGGGTGAAGAGGTGGATAAAGTTTGGGCCTTAATCTCAGGATCTTGAACTCTACACTAGGATTTAACTTGAATTTGCTTTTGGGGTCATTTTGTTCAGAATTTGCAGTTCCAACTTTCATAAAAAATGCTTGTAATGTCTTTCTAATCATTGGTTTTAGTTGACAGTTGGATGCTTTTAGTCCTAAGTGATTATAGGCTAATGAGATTACATTAAAAAGGTTGCTTGTTTTCTGCTATAGTTGAAACATTTGTTTCTATATTGAATTGTTATACTCACATGTTGTAAAGTAAAAATAAGTTATTCTTTACAAGGGACGTTGTCCTCACAAGGGCCATCAACCACATTTTTAAACAAATTGACGCTATAGTTCATATGTCGGAGGGTGTTCTGAAGCTCTGTGTTTTGAGTGGAGCGTTACACAGTGGTGTCTCGAGGTTCACTGTCCGCATTGTTTTCACTTGAGCACGTGCAGCCGACTTGGGGCTGAAAGCCCAGGGAGCGCTTTCTCAGAGCTGGACTCCCCAGCGGCGGTGCTCGTTCAGCAGCAGGGCGGCGCCGCAGCCCGGGGAGAGCCTTCGTCGGGGGCTGGCCTGGCGGCAGCAGGCAGGGGGACTCAGCACCGTGGCCTCGGAGCCCCTCCGGTGCGTTTCAGGGAGGCCAGGACACTGACATCCAGGTCGAGCCTTGTCTAACTGCAGGCGACTCCGGGGTGTCCAGGCCCCTTTCGACACAGCCTGTTTCTTTAGAATGTTATGGCGCGGCATGAAGGTGAAATTTGCATAAAAAGGAATGGTAAAGTGTTTGGAAATTCCTCCTTGTGTTCTGTTATGGTTTTAGTTGTGGTGCAGCCTGGGGACCAGCTTCTCAGCCCAGAAAGGAGGACGGCCACCGCAGCCGCATCCAGGGAGGACCAAGCAGACTCTCATACGCAGAGTGAGTGTCGGGACCTGTGTTTCCCCCGGTGCTTTGTGGGGTCTGACGTTCGTTTACAGAAAAGGCACTTCTGGTGGTAAAAGTGAGCCCTCGAAGGCTGACTCAGCTGTGTCCTGTGGCTCATCCCACCGCTGAAGGGCCTGGGGGCGCGGCACACACCTGCACCCCCTCCCCCGGCACTTCTTCCCTCTCCTCGGAGGCAGCTCCTCTTTCAGCTGTCATTGACCCTCCAGCAGGGGCACCCCGCCCCCGGGAGGCCCCCCCCCAAACCTCGCCTCCCAGTCTCCCTCTCCCGCTCTTCCAAAGTGGCAGCAGGCGCTTCACGCACCCACGGCTTCCCTGTGTCTCTCGCCTCGGACTCTGGCCCTTTGAGGGCGGGGGTGTCTCTCCCATCTCTGTCCTCACTGCTGGAAGGGACCAACAAATGTTTGATGAGTAATGAATGAACAAATGGGAATCTAAGGAACTTGCAGTTCATGGAAATACTCGCCTGGGCGTTAAGTAACCCGAGTGTCTGCTTCAGCCACCTGTTTCTGTGGACTTTTAAATGAAAATCCGTGCTCTCCCTACAGAAGCAGAAGGCCCACGCCCCATTCACTGAAGCCTGCCCTGGACATAGGTGTGCGCCTCAGTCCTTCACGCAATTTCTCGTGATTTGAGTGTTTTGCTCTGAGGACGCAGGCGAGGCCGGTGGGAGGTAGACTTATCGGCTGTGCACCTCCTTGTTGTCACTGGGGCCCCCCGGCTCCGGGGCCCACCCAGCCATCACGGGTGGGCCTGGCGGGGCGCCGGATGCAGCCTGTCCCCCAGTGGCTCTGGGCTGTGTCTCACGGCGATGCTGGCCTGAAACCCCAGAGCCTTGTCCATGCTCTGCTGATTGGAGAAACATGCCTCTTTCGTAGCTAGTGCCCAAATGCCCTGTGTCTTTGCCAGCTTTTGTGCAATGCCAGGTAAAAGTGGCGTTTTCCCGTCGTTAGTGTCGAGTATAGTGGTTTCTCTCCTGGTCACTGCTCCAGGCCTCCCAGCGCACAGCGGCCAGGAGCGGTGGGGTTCCCACCCCCAGCCACGCTCTCCTCCGAGTGCTGACCCCGGAGCTGTGCGCTACCAGCCCTTTGTGGTTCTGCTTGGACGCTGGAGGGCCTCCGTGCCCTGCTCGGTCACCCGCTAGCAGTGTGACCTCTGTGCGCTCTGCACCCTGCTGTGAGGACAAGGACGGTGCTGCCCATAGCGCGCTGGCGTCAGGGGGGTGGTCAGGGTGCCCTCAGCTAGCACAGCACAAGCGCCAGGCTCGCTCCTGGCACCCAGCGGACGTTCTTGCAATTGTAGTTCAAGTGTGAATTTCCACTGCTCTGCAGACGTTCAGGTGCAGGAGGGGCCTGAGGGAGGGCAGGCCAGCCCCTGGCTGGAGAGCATGCAGCGTGGGCTCGCAGAGTGGGCTCATCCCCACAGCCTGTGGAGCCGGGTGGGTCCCCCAGCCCGAGCAGAAGCCTCTTTGTCGCCCCCGTAGGATGGTGCTCCTTCACGATTGCCCGGTGAACACAGTCGACGTAGGTTGTCTCTCCAGGCTTGGGGCTGGGCCCTCCAAGCCCATCCAGAGCGCCTCCCCGGCGGGAGGAAGCCGCCTTGCCTCGCCCGGGCCCCTCCCGCTCAGCCCTGGGCGGGGGTCTGCGGGGCGCCCTCTGCACTCGAGGGCGGAGGGGTCGGGACTGAGTACGTGCTCTGACCCCTCTTAACCATGGTGTCTGTTTAGGCCCTGAGTACGTGACTGCAGCCTGCAGGATGGTGGCAGAGATGGTGGAGTCTTTGCCATCTGTGCTGGCCTTGGGGCATGAGAGGAACAGCAACACCCCTGCGTTTCTCACGTCGGTGCTCAAGAACATCGTCATCAGCCTGGCCCGCTTACCCCTCGTCAACAGCTACACGCGTGTCCCCCCCCTGGTGAGTCTGGTCATTTCTCTGCAGAGACGGGCCTACGGCCTGGGACCCAAGTACCCCCGATCATGGCTCAGATGCCGCTGTGCCCCCGGTGGCCAGGGTGCCGTGTCTTGTCCTGCTGCCTGCCTGGCTTCCTCAGGCCCAACGCCCAGCTGGGGCCGGGAGAAGCACTGGCTCTTCGGAGGCGGGGCGGCGGGAGCGTGCCTGCGCAGACCGCCCCGAGCCGAGCCCGGGCAGGGTCTTTCCCGCCCGGATGGCGGCCCCTGTGCCTGCGGAGGGGTGCACTCTGGGGTGGCCGGACAGGACGGACATGGGGTCTGCAGCCCAGCGACTGTGCTTTTCCTCGTCCTCGCAGGTCTGGAAACTTGGATGGGCCCCCAAGCCAGGAGGGGACTTTGGCACAGCCTTCCCTGAGATCCCCGTGGAGTTCCTCCAGGAGAAGGAGGTCTTCCGAGAGTTCATCTTCCGCATCAACACACTAGGTAGCCTGGACTCCTTCTGGGGCCTGGCCGCTTAGCGGGACCTGAGGCGCCGGACGCGGCCTCTCGTCTTATTCTGTAAAAGGGTCAGGGCGTGGCCTGCGCGTGGGGAAGCACTTTGAGTGTCACAGCGAGAAATTCTACCCAAGGTCATGTGTGAGAGTTAATCTCAAGTGTTTGTGTCTCGGACTCGTGTGAAGTCGGCGTGGGTGCCCTGGTCGTCAGTAATGTGAGGCCGAGGCCGGTGTCCGGGGGAGGCGCCCGCCGAGCAGTACCGTGATTGTCTCTGAGTGCTCTCTTGTGATCACTGACGCCATCCTCGTGGGCAGGGCGGGCAGGTGGCGCGAGGGAGCCAGCCTCACATGAGAGCGAGCCGTGGGCAGGTCACGCATCCGCTCGGCCCAGCTCCATCGGCTCCCACAGGGCCCTGCCTGGTCACAGCCGCCGTGTGTGCGCAGGTTCTGGGGACGCCCCAGACACCGCGCACGGCCGCTTCCTGCCAGGCCCCCCTGCTTTCCGCGGCACGGGGCGGGTGGCTTCTCTCAGTCCCCATGGCTGTGACTTGGCGGGAGGCTGTAGGTAGCAAACCATGAAAGGCAGTGCCCCACTGGGGCGTCCCGGGAACGTCCTGGGGGCCTGGCGCGGGCCCCTGGCAGCCTGCTCTTCACCCCGGGGAGCCCTCCTGCCTGGGGCTCCTGCACACATGCACACGTGGCACTCACTTTGACCCTGGAGGGTCCGACAGCAGACCCCTCCTTGCGTCTGTCTTTCCCGTTAGGTGCGGGCGATGCATCACACGCTCTTCAAGATGTGCTCTGAGTAACAGCCCAAGGCCAGCTGCCTCGGGGCGCTTTTCTCCCTCTCCTGGTTACCAGGCAGCTCCCACCTTCCTGAGCCCCATCCCCGCCCCCTCTCCTCCCTGAGCTGTCCTTGGGCGTGAGTCACCCGTAGGACTTCGGACCGGGGGCAGTCCCGTGACCCCGCCCTGCTGTTGGCTCGCACTCTTGCCCCCCACTCTTCTCCCTGGGCGCGTTCCCACACCCGTCTGTCTAGTAACCTGTGCGTGTGTGTCTAACCTGTGTCTTAGCCTGTCACTCTTTCTACATCCAGTTTAGCAAAGGCCCTGTCCCTGTGGCCCCAGAGCAGGTGGCGTGGCCACCTCCGCCCCTGGGCGATGACGGGGAGTGGCGTGCAGCCCTCAGACGCAGCCGCCCAGGAGGGCCAGCCACACCGCCCCGCAGAGGACCTGCGTGCCCCTCGCCGGCCGCGCTCCTTTTGGATCCGTGCTAGACAGGGGCCAGGTTTTGTTTCCACGGATGTGTTGAGGCAGCCTTTACGCCACTCACACGTGGCGCTCAGCGCGGGAGGCCCTGGCCTGTGGAGCGTGCATAGGGCATCCAGGAGCTCGGCCCACGGCTGCACTTCCTGTCCCTGTTCTGCTCAGCCGTGTCGACTTGGCAGGGTCGGGGTCACTGCTCCGCCGGCCGTCTGGGCTGACCTCAGATGTGTGTCCTCCCTGCCCTTGCTGACAGGCGGGAGCTGCCCGTGTTGCCGCGGCACAGAGCTGCCCTGAGGGTCGGGGGAGCCGCTGTATGTGGCCCCAGGGCACTGCCTGTTGCAGGTGGAGCCGGTGGCCTGGCCGTCACACCACATGGAAGAGGTCCAGGAGCAGCTGACTGCCTCTCACGTTACGTTTGCATTCGTAGGGTGGACCAGCCGCACCCAGTTTGAGGAAACGTGGGCCACCCTCCTCGGTGTCCTGGTGACTCAGCCCCTCGTGATGGAGCAGGAGGAGAGCCCCCCGGAAGTAAGACCACTCGCAGGCCCGCGCGTCTGCCGGCTGGTATACGGCAGCTGTGGCAGCTTGGGAATTGTCCATGTGGGCAAAGGAGGGTGGCACGCGCGTCCTTCCTGTCCTACCCCGTTTCCAAGGGCCACCAGATCACGTCGGGACTGTTGTTCCAGAGCAGGGGCAGACCTCCCTGAGGCTGGCTTCCCTGCACAGTCCCCGTGGCTGAGGCATGTTGCGTCCCACCGCTCCCATCAGGGACCAGGAGGAGTCCCCTGAGAGCTGGCCGCTGGCATGCAGGCCGGGCCGGGCGAGTGGCGCTCTCTGGAGGCCGTGCGCAGGTGCCTGCGCTCGTACATCCTGGCTGCTCTGCAGAGACACGACTGGGCTCCTTGGAGCGTTTGATCTGTTAATACGATGATAGCAGAAGCCCACAGTAAGGGAGGGAGGCTGAGATACTAAAAATTAAACGTCACGGGACAAAAGTCCTTAATTCTGGTGGGAGGTGTGGCCGACCTGCAGAAGGGGCAGCCAGAGTGGGTGGATGTCAGAACCACCAAACTTGTGCGTAAGTCCCCGCACAGAAGCTGTTGAGTTGTGCGCAAAGCCCCTAACGCTCCTGAGGAAACGTAAGTGGTTCTGACTGGGAGGTTTGTGCTGTGGGCGAGCCCTGCTTTGTTTGGAGTCGCAGTGTGTGGGGGCTGCAGTGAGCGCGGGCCCACGGGACAGGACACTGGCTGGGAAGGCTTGTCCCTCCGCCGTGCTCAGGGCTCCTCCCTGCAAGGCCGCACGGTCAGGGAGCCACGGGCTCTGGGCTCGGGGATCTGCCTGTGGGGGCACAGGGGGCAGCTGGCGTCCGGCTGCCCGTGACGCGGCTGCATGCGGCTGTCTCTGCAGGAGGACACAGAGAGGACCCAGATCAACGTCCTGGCTGTGCGGGCCATCACCTCCCTGGTGCTGAGCGCAATGACTGTGCCCGTGGCCGGTAACCCGGCCGTGAGCTGCTTGGAGCAGCAGCCCCGGAACAAGCCCCTGAAAGCCCTCGACACCAGGTGTGCCTGAGGGGCCGCGTGTCTCCAAGGCAGGCACGGCCGTGGAGGGGCTGTGAGGTGCCCCCGCCCCCGTGAGCGTGGCCTGCCGCTTCACCCTGGCCCTGTCCTTTGTTGCTGAAATTAAAACCAAAATCTTTGCACATGTTGCCTTGCTACAAGAAGCGTGACCCAAAAATGATGCATGCCCAGTGACAATGAGAGCGAGAAATGAGGTGGCATGGGGTGACGTGTCTCTGCAGAGCAAGAGTGGGCATGCTAACAATGTGCGCAAGGGCACAGGGCAGGCGTGGCCTGCAGAGGCGGTGTCCTCGGGTAGTGTGGTGCCTCTTTCCCAAGTACCGAACCTTTGTCCTGAATTTTAGGTTTGGGAGGAAGCTGAGCGTGATCAGAGGAATTGTAGAGCAGGAAATTCAAGCAATGGTTTCGAAGAGAGAGAACATCGCCACTCATCATTTGTACCAGGCGTGGGACCCCGTCCCTTCTCTGTCTCCAGCCACCACAGGTACGGGGCAGGGCGGCGGGCGCCGTCCTCGCCAGAGTGAGCGTGGCCAGGACGCAGGCAGCAGCGGCTGGGCAGAAAGACCGTCCTGGCTTGACTTGGAGGCTGTTCACTGAATGCGGAGGCTTCTAACTCTTTGCCTTGCAGCACACGTAAACTGGTTACTGAAATTCTGCAGCACAGCAAAGATGTATTTTTTGCCAAATTGCCAAAAGAAATAGGCGTAATTTTGATTATCACACAAGATAGCTATTGTCGTGTTGGCTGTTGTCAGTTTTTTATTTGACAACTTAAGGGAAACGAGATCGGTGCCTTTGACTATAAATAGTCAGGTAGGGCGTGTTGTAAAAATTCTTGCAACGCACCAGTTGATAATTGCTGACTTAATACGCTGCCCTGATTCAGTTAAACCCAAGTCCCAGTGCAGACCCGGGAGCCTGGGCATGCGCCTGCCCAGAGGGGGCTTGGGAGTCTCTCACCTGGCTTAAAAGAAGGGGTGTTGTGTGTTTTTCCTTTAATGCACAAATTTTGTTGTTGAACAGTCGGGGTGTTAGGCTGCAGTTACTGTGATTCCTAGGTTTTGGGGGACTTGTTGGATTCCTAGTGGGAATTGTTAGGTTCTGCGAGCTTCAGCGTCTGCAGAGCTGCTGTTGGACAAGGTAACGTGTGGAAGAGCAGCGCTTGCTCGCCCTCTGATGCTTCCCGGGCATTGAATTGGGCTGTGTCAGTCAACTGGGGTCCCTGGAGGAGCTTATGGACGACAGGGGAGACGAGACGTGGCGTCGCTGCCGCAGCAGAGAGGCCCAGACGGCTGCAGGGGCTCGAGGACAGCAGAGACTGCTGCGGGGCAGGGACGCCTCTCAGAAGGGACGGGGGTGGGGAGGTCGGGGGTGATGCCCGCCCGCCAGCAGGAAGTACAGGCTCCTTTGTCCTGGGCCTGGAGGCGGGTGTGGGGGTACGGGCTGCACCCTGGATGGCCCGGCACCGAGGCAGGGTCCCGGGAGGGGCTGGCCTGTGGCCTCGTCCACAGCTACTGACTCCCAAGCTGTGGCAGCTCAGCCCCAGCCAGTTCCCGTGAGAGTCAGACGCCGGTGTCTCAGGGAGGAGCGGGGTCAGTCCCGCAGCACTTGCTGTCCTGCCAGCTTGGGGCTCCGCCACTGCGCCGCCTGCTGGGCCCGGTGGCACCGTGGCAGCCAGCTCTGTCTGTCCTGTCCCCTGCAGGTGCCCTCATCAGCCACGACAAGCTTCTGCTGCAGACCAACCCCGAGCGGGAGCTGGGCAGCACGGGCTACCAGCTGGGCCAGGTCAGCCCCCCTGTCCCCCACCCCAGCCTCTGCCCACAGACGGGGGCCATGGGGCGCCTCCAGGAGCAAAGCTAAATGCGTTCTAGGTTAAAGGAAGGGCTGCTCTTGCTCATTTTGTTTATTCCAAGAAGGACGTGAGACCTTCTGTGTGTGGACGACATGGACGTTTGTGGACAGAGTGCAATGTGTGCATGAGGCCTGGGAGAGAGAGGCACGGAGGGCCAGGGCCCCGCGCACCCAAGGGAGCACGGCCCGTTTGAGCTGGTGCGGGGCAGCGGGGCAGGGGAACTTGCTCCTGCCCGCATGGCTCTCCCCCAGGCTTCCCCAGTCCTCACCCTGCCGTCTCCAGAACACACAACCTCGCCTTTTGATTTGTAGGGTGCTTTTCTTAGCCCACCACTCAGAAAAGTGGGGTTTACGACAAGTGGCAGCAGGGAGGCAGGCCCAGTTTGGGGAAGGAGCCCCGCGTGGTTCTGTTCTCTGCCGGACTTCAGCCAGGTGTCCCTTGGAGCTGTCCTGCCCTCCTTGTGGCTCTTTCCCCCCGTCCTTAGCAGCCCCCTCACTCCAGGTCTTCCGTTTGGGAGGCGGCGCATTCTGAGGTGCCCTGCCTGCCCCCAGGCTGTGCCCACCCCCCACCCCCAGACCCACTGGGTCTGCTCAGTTCCCAGGACCCCAGGCCTCGGGGAGCCTGCTGCCTGGCCCCTGAGCATGACCCGGTGTCCTGTTTCTGTTGAAGGTGTCCATCCACTCGGTGTGGCTGGGGAACAGCATCACACCCCTGAGGGAGGAGGAGTGGGATGAGGAGGAGGAGGAAGAGGCTGATGTCCCCGCCACTTCATCACCACCCACGTCCCCAGTCAACTCCAGGTCTCCATCTGTCTTGGGGCTTAAAGCGGGTTGATGTTTGCTAGTCACGGGGTTGGTTTGGGTGCCTCTGGGGTGGCCCCGTCAGGCTGTGTGCGGGGGGGTCATGGCGTCTCCACGCTCTGCAGGAAGCACCGGGCCGGGGTCGACATCCACTCCTGCTCCCAGTTCTTGCTCGAGTTGTACAGTCGCTGGGTCCTGCCGTCAAGTCCAGCCCGGAGGACCCCCGTCGTCTTGATCAGCGAAGTGGTGCGATCTGTGAGTTTGCCTTGCCTGTCCCTCAGTGCGCACGGTGCTCGTGCGGGAGTGCACGTGTGTGTACGCACAGGGTGCACCCGCATCCGGCTTGGCCGCTCTGCGACCTGCGGTGCCCAGGCCGTCCTCCGGCTGCGCGTTCGCACTGCGCTGGGGGTCTCGGTGTGTGCTGGTTTCTCTGCGCAGTCGGGGCTGGGTGGGTGCCCGGTGTCCACTGTCCCTTGGCTGCGAGACGGTGCACTGGGGCCGAGGAGCTCGCTGCCCTAATAGCGGGACTCTTCCCCGTTCCCAGCTCCTCGTGGTCTCAGACTTGTTCACTGAGCGCAGCCAGTTTGAGATGATGTACCTGACGCTGACCGAGCTGCGGAAGGTTCACCCTTCGGAAGACGAGATTCTTCTTCAGTACCTGGTGCCGGCCACCTGCAAGGCGGCTGCCGTTCTCGGGATGGTAAGCGAGGGGTGTGCGGGGGCTGCCGCGCGGTGGCCGGATGTTGGGGGTGCAGCCTCAGCCTTGGAAGGTCTGTCCTGAGTATGTGCAGCAAGTGCGCGGGCAGCGAGCGCACGGCAGTGCAGGGCTCATTCCCTTCCGGGCCTCTCCGCAGGCGGCGGGAGGCATCCTGGGCGGCGGGCCCTGCCCCGAGGTCCCCGTGCCCCTCGTCAGGTCTCGCAGTGGCGCCTACCCAGGAGCTGGGTGTGCAGGTGGCGGGAACAGGGCTCCGTCCTCCTCAGTTGCCCGCGGCTCCCAAGCCCCCTTCTCTGACATACTGCATACCCCACGCTTCCTGCGGACAGGGTGTCCCTCCTGGGGACCGCTGTGTCACAGCCACCCTGCGCTCTCACCCTTGAAGTGTGGCCAATTTGGCCTTTGTTACCACAGGACAGACAGGGCCGTCTTTTGAGCCCCCCAATCCCGCCTGTGGTTGATGGGCACTCAGCTGTTTTCTGTGCGGTCGTCGCACATGGTGTTCACTGAACAGACGCACAGAGACGCGTGAAAGCGGGCCCCAGGGCCTGTTGCGGAACGTCAGCCCTGCCGTGAGAGGGCAGCCGCTGGGCGCCGGCTTGTTCTTCCCGCGGGGCCGAGGCCGTTGGCCGTCTTGCTGCGGGGCCCGCAGACGGGGGCTGAGGGCACCCATGTCGGTGCCTGACTCCCCTTCCCCCTGGAATTCGTTCCTCCCTCTGAGCCAGGGCACCGGAGCGGGTCCCCCGGTCCTGGTGCCCCCTGTCCCAGCGCCCCCTGTCCTGGCGCCCCATCCAGGGACCAGGGGCAGTGGTGCAGCGGCTGCTGTGAGCCCAGCTCTTCAGAGCCTGTGCCCTTGGCGGCTGGAGGCCCGTTGTCTCCGTGGGGCTTGGAGCCCAGCGGCCGGGTGCGTTTCTCTGCGGTTGGGTCTCTGCTCAGGCCCCGTTCCCGCGGTGCGTGTTCTGTTGTCAGTAAATTGAATGCGGGCTCGTGGTTTTGCAGGGGGGGCCTCGGGCGAGAGGGCCGCTGGGGGCTCCTCAGCGCTGCTGTGGGCAGGCGCTGCCCCCCAGGGCCATGCCGGGGCAGGCGCAGCACTCCCTCCACGCTCGTCTCCTGTGAGGTCCCTGTCCCCGTCACTGTGCCCCGGTGTGCTTTCAGGCTGGGCCTGGAGTCAGAGCAGCAGCACTCCCTTGGAGGTATCTGGGGGTGCTGGGGAGGACCACCAGACGCAGAGACGCAGAGGTCCTGAGGGCCTCCAGGGGGCCGGTCTGTGACCCCAGCCGTTGCTCGCTGCAGTCTCCTTGCAGGCAACGAGCGTGGTGCCCGGTGTAGAGGCTCCTGTGTAACTTGTCATGTTTGAGGTGCTAAGTGAAGCTGGTAACAGTTGGTGTCGGCAGTGGTGGGGTCCCCAAGACCACCCCAGGCTTGTGCTCAGTGCGTCCACAGGTTCACCTGTAGTGACGTGACCTGTAGTGACGACTGTGACTTACAAGCGACAGGACACAAAGCAAAACCAGAGCAGGGAGAGGGCCCGCGGGGCTGAGTCCAGAGGAGACCAGGCTCAGCCCCCAGGTCGTCTTCCAGAGCCCCAAGGGATGCGCCCAGTTCCCTGCGCCTCGTGTTGTGACAGCGCGTGGAGCGCGTCTACCAGGGAGGCCCCTAGAGGCTCAGCCAGGGCTCTCACGGGGGCCGCCCCGCGGGCCCTGCCTCGCACGTCCCAAAGTCCAGAACCCCCAGGGCAGGGGGTGTCCGCACAGACCACGCTGCCTGCAGAGACGGGCGACGTGCGGGGGAGCACTCGACCAGGGAGGGGCTGGGAGCCACCCAGGGCCCCAGACGCCAGCCGAGGGCAGGGGGGCCTGCAGCGACCTAGCAGGAGGCCCGGCTGCCCTGGGGCTCTGCCCCCACGGGGTCTAGCCAGCGCCTCCACCTGTGCTCTAGGACAAGGCAGTGGCCGAGCCGGTCAGCCGGTTGCTGGAGAGCACGCTCAGGAGCAGCCACCTGCCCAGCAGGACCGGGGCGCTGCACGGCGTGCTCTACGTGCTGGAGTGCGATCTCCTGGATGACACCGCCAGGCAGCTCGTCCCCGTCGTCTGCGACTACCTCCTCTCCAACCTCCGCGGCGTGGCCCAGTGCGTGGGGGGGGCGGGGCGGGGCGGGGCCCAGAACGGGCTGTGACGGGAGCAGTGTCACTCCTGGCTCACGAGGGTGGTGGCGGAGGTCACAGGTGGGGGGGCCCTGCCCACGACGGCTGGCTGCAGTCGGCCTGTGTGGCTGAGCATGGCTGCCACCTGGCATTTGCAGCTGCGTCAACGTCCACAGCCAGCAGCACGTGCTGGTGATGTGCGCCACTGCCTTCTACCTGATCGAGAACTACCCGCTGGACGTGGGGCCCGAGTTTTCGGCATCCGTCATCCAGGTGCGCGGCCCCACCGTCTCCCCAGGGGCGGGGCCTCCGGGAGGGCTGACCCGGGGCAGGAGCCCAGCGACAGGAGGCTGAGGCAGCACCTCGACTCGGGCGCTGTCCTCCCCGTGCAGATGTGCGGAGTGATGCTGGCGGGAAGCGAGGAGTGCACCCCGTCCACAGTCTACCACTGCGTCCTGCGGGGCCTGGAGCGCCTCCTGCTGTCCGAGCAGCTCTCCCGGCTGGACACAGAGTCCCTGGTCAAGCTCAGCGTGGACAGGGTGAACGTGCACAGCCCACATCGGGCGCTGGCGGCCCTGGGCCTGATGCTCACCTGCATGTACACAGGTGAGCGGGGGGGGCCGGGGCTCGTGTCGGTCTCCTGTCACCGCTGCTCGGGACGCGGACCGCAGGTCTCCTGCGGTTCTGACGACAGTCAGAGCCTCGCGCCAGGGCACAGTGCCGTGCAGGTGGTGGCGCTGCTCGGGAGCGGGGCCACGGGCCGGCCGCTGTGCCGTCACCTGCTGTCAGGTCGCCTTGTGGTGTCACTGAACAGCTAGGTCAGCTCGGGGCTGTCCCCAAAGCCCGCCCGCCTCACAGACCCAGCAGCCGCTGTGAACCGTCCTTTCAGGGAAGGAGAAGGTCAGCCCAGGCAGGACCTCCGAGCCCAGCCCCGCCGCCCCCGACAGCGAGTCCGTGATCGTGGCCATGGAGCGCGTGTCCGTGCTTTTTGACAGGTGAGGAGGGCGCCCGCCGCTGCCCCGAGCCACGGGGAGCGGCTCTCTTCACGTGACAGCATCTGCTGTTCCCCACTCACGTCCTGGCTTGGCGTGTCCTGGCTCAGGGCTCTGTGGGGGACGCTGCTCCTTGGACCCAGGCGCCCAGGAGCGTGGAGTTGACCGGCTCCAAGGCCACCCGCTGCCCTCCCACCTCTCCGAGGGCAGAGCTGCGCCCAGCCGTGTGGGTGTCGGGAGGGGCACGTCAGCAAGGTCTCGGGTGGGCTGGGCCTGAGGCCCTGAGGCCCTGAGCAGCGACGAGAATGTCCGTCAGACACGGCTGCCCCTGGGACGGGAGTCCCATGGTCCCAGCAGGCTCACACGGTCACCCTCCGGGCCAAGGGGCAGCACCGTCTTGGAGCACCTTCAGGAGGCGTGTTCGGTAGACCCGGCGAAACGCTGGACAGTGCACGCGCCTGTGAGGGGTTGAGCCCCGCCTCCCCACACCATGGGCCGGGGCCGCGGCCGCTCAACTGGCCAGTTCTGGAAAAGGGGCCATGAGCCTCGTCAGGCTTTTCCCGCAGGACAGGGCCCCGAGTGTCGCCCCCCCATCAGCCCAGCAGACATGATATGTGGCCTTGGGGAGGCTGGTTCTGCCTTGTTCAGCCGTCACTCAGTGAGCGGGAGGCCATGTGGATTTCCACAAGAACACATGGAGCCAGGCGTCCCCGTGTCCGCTCTGGGCAGATGAGACGTCCTGGAAAGCTGAGCAACGCCGCCCGCGTCCGTGAGACGCATGCACAGTCAGTGCTCCTGCTCACCCCTGCCGGTCAGGCGCGCGCCAGCAGGCGGAGGGCGCTGCCCTCACGGCGCTCCCCCCAGTGCCACCCAGAGATGCCGTGCAGGCGCTTTCGGTGGGGACGCCGGCGGGTGGAAGCACAGCGGCCTGTGTGCTGGGTGGGCAGGTGGGGACCGGGCACCCCTGGACGGGGGCGCGGGCCTCAGGTCCACGTGCTTCTCTCTGTTGCCGCCCGGGTGGTCCGAGGCCTGCGCCCAGAGTCCAGAGCGGTGCTGCTCGGGTGTGGGCTGCAGGGTGTGTCGGGGAGGAGGCAGCGGGAGGGCCCACGGGGCCTGGCCAGCGAAGGAGAAAGGGCCCCGCTGCATTGCTGTGGCGTCCGAGCGTGGGGGGCGAGGTCCAGCAGCCGTGGGCGGGGGCGGCGTTGCCTTGGAGGGTTTTTAAGCCTCTGCGGCAGCACCGCTACCCAGACCGTCCCACCACCTCCAGCACACACCTGGGCGTCTGCCTGCGGGGCCCCAGTGAGGGCCCGGCGGGGGGGGGGGGGGGGACCCTGACTGAGCCCCCTCCTTTCAGGATCAGGAAGGGGTTTCCCTGCGAAGCACGCGTGGTAGCGCGGATCCTCCCTCAGTTCCTAGACGACTTCTTCCCACCCCAGGACGTCATGAACAAAGTCATTGGAGAGTTTCTGTCCAGCCAGCAGCCCTACCCGCAGTTCATGGCCACCGTGGTGTACAAGGTGAGGGCGGGGCGGGGCAGGCGCCACACACGGGAGCGGTGGGTTTGCCTGCGTGCGGACGGGCTGTGCTGACACGCGGGCCCCATCAGGTGTTCCAGACCCTGCACAGCACGGGGCAGTCATCCATGGTCCGGGACTGGGTCATGCTGTCCCTCTCCAACTTCACGCAGAGGACCCCAGTCGCGATGGCCATGTGGAGTCTCTCCTGCTTCTTCGTCAGCGCGTCCACCAGCCCATGGGTCTCGGCAGTGTATCCTTCCTGGGGCCCTGGGCCGGGCCAGGGCGCCCTCCCCCCCCTCCCCCCGCCACACTCCTGTCAGCGCCAAGGCTGCTGCTCTGAGCTAAAGCTGTTCAACCTGACCTCTGCCCCCACCCCAGTGTCAAGGCGACCCTTATCTTAAGCCCTAGGAGAGCAAAGTTTTGACAGGGAAACAGAAACAAATGTTGGCCACAGCAACCAAGAGGGGCCAGGGCCAGGGCCAGGGCCAGGCGGGGGGCAGAGGTCCCCACAGACCTTCCTGTGCACTGCCGGGCTCTGCAGCTGGGCCGGCCGCTGGTGCTGCTTCTCATTATTCTTTGTCACGGTGCCCTGTGCCGTCCCCTCGGGTGAGGGCGTAAGTAAAGATCCAGTTCCCACCCCACAAGTGCTGGCTGCCGGAAGGCAGAGTTGCACAGAGCCTCCGAGCAGAGGGCTGTCCTAGCACGGACAGTGGCCTCGCCCAGCGTGCCAGGTGACCATGCCGCTGCCCTCGGTCCCAGGGGACAGGGAGCAGGAGCCCTGGTCACTGGCGCCGGGTGGGGAGCCAGGCCAGGTGAGTGCCACCTGGGGGGCCGCACAACCCCCCCGCCCCGCACCTGCCTCCACTGGGCCGGGCTGCCTCCCAGCGGGGCGCAGTGTGGACACAGCTGGAGGAGCCGAGTTGGGGGACAGCTGTTGCTGGTGCGGCAGGGTCCACTCCGTCCTGCCCGGTTAGCTCCCGGGCTCCCGGCCCTTCTGCAGCCTGTGTGCGGCACCCCCGCTCTAGTAGTCTGGCTCCTTAACACCTCTGCAGTCTCCCCCACGTCATCAGCAGGATGGGCAGGCTGGAACAGGTGGACATTAACCTCTTTTGCCTGGTGGCCACAGACTTCTACAGACACCAGATTGAGGAAGAGCTGGACCGCCGGGCCTTCCAGTCTGTGTTCGAGGTGGTGGCAGCGCCGGGGACCCCCTATCAGCGGCTGCTGGCTTGTTTGCAGAACGTCCACAAGGTGGCCTCGTGCTGAGCTCCCGGGGCCACACCAGATGGTGTGGGGCTCAGGGCCCGGCTCGCCTGGGGCACCGCACCTGCAGGGAGGCTGCGTGCGGGCGTGCGGCAGTTGTGCGCGCGGCCGAGCCTCAGTCCTCATGGGAGGCACGGGCATCGGCGTGGCTGGCCCTTCTGTGTAGCTAGTGTCAATGCCAGGAAGCGTGCACCTTCCTCCAGCGGTCCGTGTGGTCCTTGTGACCGGGCTGCGGCCGCTCCCACGTCCGGGACGCGAGCCCCGCTCCGGCAGGCCGCCCGCCCTCTCCTGGCGGGGCGCGGGGGCAGGGAGCTCTGGGCCCAGCGCTCACTCCCTTCTTGGTTTCTCTCAGGACTTAAAGCTTAATTGTATCAGTAAAGAGATTAATTTTAAGGTACCTGTTGATGCCCGTGTGAAGTCTGTGTGGCCCCGGGGACCCCCTCTCCTCAGGTTGCTGCTCTGGCCAGCGGCTCCCAACACCTGGCTCCTCCTGGGCACGCCGGCTACTCTTCCCCCGCCCCGTTCCTCCATTCTCCTGCCATCACCTCAGCCAGCACGTGGTGCGGGATCATGCATGACCCAGACCCCCCATGCGGCCCCGCTCTGAGGCTTCCAGCGTGCCCGCCCAGCTGTCCGGGGTGGGAGGCCCCTCTTCCCCATGCGCCGCAGGGGAGGGGAGGGCTGCCACCTGGTTGTGAACAGTCTCTGTCTCACCCAGGGCCACCGGCCTTGACATCCTCTGGCTCCTGTCCCCAGTTGGCTCAGGACTGCGGTCTGCCCAGGGTCCCCTTCGCATGGGGCCACTCCGGCACGCAGGGGCCCAGATGTGGGCCTGGCCCAGCCGCCGCCCCGCCTCCCCATCGGTGTGCCCCTCTTGGTCAAGTGCGAACTCAGAGTTTTGGGAACTGTCAGAGAAAGACCCCAGCACCTCCTCAGCTCCCTTTGCCACTCAGCCCTAGCACCAGGTCTCCTCCCAGCCCAGGGGAGCCAGGTCCATGCTTGGGTGACGGACTCCGCCTCCGGGGGCAGGGAGGAGACAGGGCAGGCAGTGGCTGGCCAGCCTGTGCCCCCCTGCCCCCTCCCTGGATTGTCACTTCTACCCAGGCCTGGGTCCCTGAGCCAGCTTCCTGTTTTCAGGCTCAAGTAGTCAAAATACCCATGCACACTTGGCCTGGAGCTCAGATGGCTGGGGTGGGGCGCTGCTTGGTGCCGGACTACGAGGCCCCCAATTGCTTGGTCTCCCGGGTCCCCAAGGTGGGCTGGCCCTTTCGGTGCTGGCGGGGTTTGAGGGCTCCACATGGTAAGTGGAGGCGATTTTGAAACCCTCTCCCGGTGTGTGCAGAGAGGGAGGAGACCTGAGGTCAGGGCCTGACCGCGCAGGCTGCGCAGGGCTCCGGCCGGAGCCCCCCACCCCCTGCCCTAGAGCTGCTCCCCCTTCCCGCCTTTGCTGCCCGCGGCTCGGCCCTGGCACTGAGGGGCGGCTGCTTTCCTGGCCGCCTCAGCACAGCCCTGTCCGAGGCAGGTGTGGCGGGGGCTCCGGGCGCCGGAGAAAGGCTCCCTCCCCTTCCAGACCCTCCTCCCAGCCTTCCCCTAGAGAGCCTGCCAGGCTGGCTGTGAGCAGGGGCGCCCGCGCCCCGGGGCTTTGGCAGCTCTGCGGCGGCGCGGCCCGGCTGGCGGGGCTCCTGGTGAGGCGTTTCCGCTCAGGAGGAGTGCCATGAATGCAGAATTGGGACCGTTGGCTCCTACCCCCTGGGCTCAGCTGGGGGGTGAAGCGGCGGCTCCCTGTTTACGACGTGGAGCCCGCTCTGGCCGAGGGCGCTGGCCCAGGCGTGCTATGTGCTCCAGGGACGGCTGCGTGCTTACGCTCGGCGGACAGGCAGCGTGAGCGTGCGTAGGAGCGGGCTCCTGTGCCGTCTGAAACGACGTGCACACTCAAGACGCAAACGTGCGGGGCCTGTGGGAGCGGCACAGCCTGTCCTTTGCAGGAGCCGACTTCCCTGAGACCCTCGCCTGCAGTCCGCTGCACGGGGCGGGCGAGACCGTGACTGAAGTGTCTGGGACCTGGCGAGGGGGTATTGCTGACTAAGATCCCACCGAGGGGATGGGTCTCCTCGTCAACTCTGCAAAAGGGATTAAGACTTTTAAGTTCTTAAAGGTCCACAGCAGGCACTAATCGTATTATCAAATTCTGTTGAAAATAGCATTCATTTGATTGTCAGTTTGATTTTGGGGGCGTCATTTGGTGTTCATGGTAGTAACATCAGGGGAGACGTGAATGAAGCCGGTGCAGACTTGTCCGGCAACGCCCCGGAGCGCGTCTTCCGGAAACGCCACTGCCCCTCCGGCCCCGCCGCAGGTGTGCAGGGGCCTCCCGCTTTGCCAGCGACGGTGTCCTTTCAGGAGGGAGGGGCGATGCTGAGCCGCCCCCAGACGCCCAGAATGTGGCGCCAGCAGGCCATGCACCCTGGAGGCCCCACACCGGACTCCCCCACGCTGGGCTCGTCCCCAGCTCTCAGGCCACGGGCGGGCGGGCTTGTCCGTGTAGGCGGGCGGGGGCCCTGCTGTCAGCGGGTCGCACTCGCAGGGCCACCAGCTGCCGTGGGCTGGCTGGGGGCGGTGACAACTGAAGGTGGCCTGGAAGATTCCGGGGGCCATGCTGCCCCACAGGCCTGTCACGTCTTAATGCAGTGGAAGGAACCTCATTCCCCCGACTGCTGCTGGGAGTCCCCTTGCAAACCCGGGACCTGGGCTGTCACGGACGCTGCAGGGGGCCTGGCCCTGCGCTGGGTGGGGCTGCGCAGAGCGGGGGTCTGTCAGCAGGGGCAGCGCGCCCGCGGGCCCAGCGGGGCTGCGCTGGACGCATCCGGAGCCTGACCCGGACCTGACTGCCCGCTTCCGAAAGAGGCGAGCAGGACTGACGCGAGCCGTGTGTTAAGTTTTTCAAACTGCTGCAAACACTGTACATCCGAATTAAAGGAAACGTTAAACCCTGCACCGTTCAAGGCCTGCTTTGCTTCTGGAGAACCTGGCCTCTGCGGGGGGAGCAGAGGCCGCTGCCGTGCCGCCCGTGCCCGAGCCCTTGGGGGCGGCCCCGCGCCGGGGTGGCTGAGGGTGTGGCCCGCAGACCCTGGCGTCGTGGCCCTTCCGCTGCCCAGCAGACACGGGCTGCCGGTGCCCACTGGTTATGGGACACAACGCAGTTACACGGGGGCCACGTGTTCTCGGCTTTGGATCTGCTTCCCCGCTGGCCCGGGCTGGGGGGCGGGGGGCGGGGGTGGTAACCCCCGGCCCGGCGGGCTCCTTTGCCCCCTTGGCCATCAGCGCCGGTGCTCCTGGGCTGCAGCGTGTGGCTGTGCTGCTCAGCCATGGGAGCTCGTGGGCCCTTCCTGCCCAGGACAGCGGCTCCTCCCAGGTCGGCTCCGCAGGAGGGCGCAGCCTTAGCCCTGGCAGCCCGGCCTGGGCACCTGGGTTGGAGGCACTGGAAACCTTGGGTCCAGGTATCTGCTCCTGTCCTGCAAAGGAAAGCTGGTGGCTGGGCCACATCCGCACTGGTGCCTCGGAGGCATTTTCTGACATCCTGTGGGCTGCAGGCCTGTGGGGATGGGGCGGTCCTCCCGGGCCCTCAGCGGGACAGGCCCGCGCTGGCCCCGCAGCGGCCGCCTGGGCAGCTGGCGGAGCCTGGGCCCTGCCTCGGGCTTGCTGAGATTTCCTGGCAGTTCTGTGTCCCCATGCCCCTGCGGCATGGGGATAGTGACAGAATTTGGCTGCCGAGGCCAGGTGGACAGCTTGCACGGCCACCTGAGCTTGGTTCTCACCTCAGTTGCTTTGGATGCTGACAGGGTGACTTCCCAAGTTCGTCCTCTATGCAACACGGTGGCTCCGGAGCCTCCTGGCCTCACCCTCCAGGGCGGCCTGGGCTCTGCCCCCTCCTACAGCCAAGTCTGGGCAGCTGGACCCTGGCCGGCACCCCTGAGCGCACCTGCGGTGTCCAGGAAGGGCAGGGCCCCGTGCACCCTGGGGAGCAGCGCAAGCCCCGGCAGGAGGCAGCTTGTCTGTAGCAAGCAGCTGTCCGGCCCCCCCGATCCTGAGGCCCCTCTGGGTGTGCAGAGTGCGCCCTGGGTCTGCCCCACATGCTCCTCAGCAGCCTGGTGGGCTCCCCGGGCATGGTGGGGGCAGGGCCCAGGGGTGCAGAGTTCAGCTGCTTTGTGGAGCCACCTAGACTTGGGACACCACCAGCATCCCCTGCGGTTTCCAGGGGCCTCAAAGCCTCTGCAGCCCAGCCCTCCTCTGGTTGGATGGCTTGCCTACCGCCCTCTGGAGCAGGACAGCCAGGGACTGCCCAGAGGTCTCCCCCTGCCTGCCATCACTACCATGCCCTCTCGGGGCCCTGGGGTTCCTGGGCCTTCCCCCAATGTGGGGAGGAGGTGGGAGGAGCCCCTGGCCAGGCTGCCAGGTGCCCCAGGCCAGGGCGTGCTTGGGGCCGGGGGCGGGGCCTGTGCATGGGGGCGGGGGGCCTGCAGACCCCTGCCGCCCCCCCACCCCAGCCCCGACTCGCTCCCACGCCTGTGCGTTTCCTGGCCTTCGTCCAGGCTGGGCTGCCCTGTCCACTGCGACAGGCCCAGCTCCCTGCCGCCCGAGACCCCCCAGCCCCGGGGGCTGCCGCTCCCTGCTGGGGGCTCGTGCGTCAGCCCGCCTGGCGCCACGTCTCACATGGACGACGGACCAGGCCGAACCTTGGTGTAAGGGGGTCCCAGGCCTCCCCGCCGCGGCCTGACCGCCCCTTCTCCCCGCAGGTGCAGCCGGGCGCCCAGCCCCCGCCCTCGGCTTCCCCGGCCCGCGCAGACTGAGGGCCCCCGCAGGCCGTGCAGCTGAGCCCAGGCACGGAGTCCCTCCCTGCAGCGGACAGACGGGCCCCCTGCTCCTCCTTGTCCTCGGGGGGCTCGACGTGAGTGCTCTGCTCCTGGACCCCCAGGGCTCCCTCTCAGGGGCTCCCCTGGACCTGCCCTTGGAGAGTCACCTGGCTGCCAGGCCCCGAGCACGGCAGTGGTTGTCGCGCCTGGAGAGTGGCTCACCTGGTGTCAACCCGGGCCAGGGATTCTGAGGCGGCAGCAGGTCCCGACGGCGCCTTGCCGGCCCCAGCCGGAGCTCCAAGGCGCGCTGCGTCTCTGCCTGGGCCCCACCGCACGCGCTGAGAGGCGCAGTGAGGCAGCCCAGGGCCCCGGGGCGGTCCCGCCCTGTGCCTGAGGAGTGGGGCTCCAATTGCGCGTCCACTCCGCGGTCACCGCTGGGTGCGGGGCCTGGCACCGGGGCCCCCAGGAGTGGCCTGGCCGCGAGCCTCCCCGGGCGGTGCTGCAGGGCCGGGGGCGCCCCATGTCCCCCGGTGACCCCTGAGGCCCAGGGAGGAGGGGCTCCCCCTGAGAGCGGGCCTGGGACCCTCCTCTGAGACCCCACGCATACCCTGGCCACCTTGTCCCGCTGCCTTTCCCGCTGTGGCTGCCGGGTGGGGGACGTCCCCGCTGCCGCCCACCTGGGCACCTCCTGAGCTGAGGCCACGCCAGGTCACTCCAGGCAGGATCCCTCGGGGGGCACGTGGCTGCTGGAGCCTGTCCAGAGGGTGGGATGGGTTTGTGCTTATTGGCCACCTGCTCTCATTTCCTAAGGCTTGGCTGTTGATGCCTTTAGGTGGCACTTTCTCCCTGACGTCCCCACAGGTTCGCCTGCTCTGTGTCCTGCCTGTGGCCGTCCAGGGGGGGACCTCAGTCCCTCAGCGCCACTGCGGCAGGCCCGCCCCCGGCCCCGCGGTCTCCACCCCCGTTGCCCTCTGTTTCACGGCGCCTCCCCTCCCAGCGCTGCTGGGGGTCCGAGCCCGTGTCCCCCGCCCTCGGGACATCAGGACGAGCCTCTGTCACGCCTGAGAGGCCCACTGCAGGAGGGTGAGGTGCCCCCCCAGTGCCAGCAGCCCCCTGTCCGAGGGTCAGCCCTGGGGGCCCTGGGAGACGGCGGGGAGCGTCAGGCTGCATGGGTCCCGTCGCGGGTGCCGGGGAGCTCGGGGCGGTGGAGGGGGCAGAGGGGGAAGGACCACAGTGGAGCAGGGAGACCTGGGGTGGAGAGGTCAGGGCAGGGCTTTGAAGGGCGAACAAGGGTTTGGCCGGTAAGTGTGAAGGCGGAGTCTGGGTGATTCCTGGGGGGACGGGGGGATGAGGTAAGGTCGGCGCCTCCGTTCGCCCACGGGTTTACTCAGCCTTTCCGACCCCTCTGCCCTCGGGCTGCGGAGAGGGGCAGGGGCGCCGCGCCAGCGGTGGGCCGGGGTGCTCAGGCCGAGCAGTCAGGGCTGAAGTGGGGCCGCCTGGGGCAGGGGAGACACACACGCCCCCGCCCCCAGCTACCACCTGGCCTTGAAAACTGTCCTGGCTGCCCAGCCCACGCTGTGTCGCCCAGGCCCGCGGGCAGCCCCCCCTGCAGGGAAGGCGGGGGGTGGGGGGCAGAGTCGGGGAGGCATGGGCTGGGGCCCCGCTCTCTTGCCCAGCCTGGTGTTCACGTGTTTCCAGGCCCCGCTGGAAGGCGTGAGCGTGGTGCCGGGGACGCCGCACGTGGCCGTGGGGAGAGGAGCTCTGGCGCGTCCCCGAGGGTGTCTGCCGCTGTCTCTCCTCCGTCTCCCGGTGTCTCTGCCCCTCCCCCGTCTGTCCTCTCCCTCCGCCGGGCCCCCTCTGTCTGCCCGCACCCCCTTGCCTTGGCCCACCCCCACTCCTCCTCTTGGACTTTCCAGCCTGGTCTGCCTGCGTGAGGAGGGCTGCGGCCGGAATCCCGCCTATCGGGCCGGCGCGGCCCAGCCCAGCGTGGGCTCCGGCTCCACGTGGCCTCGGCCATTGAGGCCTGGCGGCCAGGCAGGGGCCCAGGCAAGGCCGGAGACTGGGCCACGGGTGTTGGGCCCGGCCGCCCGCCGCAATATTGATGGCCCGTCACAGTGGCCCTGATTCCTGCGCTTTCAGTTAAAAGGTTTCTGTTGTTGTAGCTTATGCAGTTGCTCTGTTGCTATGGAAACGTGACATCAAAATGACGTTTCCCGTTTAAAAGCTTTTAACTAAATTCCTGCCTGTCAGATGTAGGCCCCATTTTGAGTGCGGAGCTGCCTTCCCAGAGCGGGGCTCCCGTCCACGCGCGCGGGCCGCGGGCCTCCCTGAGCCCGCGCCCTCCGCCCCGCAGGTGCGCCCGGCATGGCTGCGGCCGAGGTGCCCGGCTACCTCGTGTCTCCGCAGACGGAGAAGCACCGGCGGGCTCGCAACTGGACCGACGCAGAGATGCGCGGCCTCATGCTTGTCTGGGAGGAGTTCTTCGACGAGCTGAAGCAGACCAAGCGCAACGCCAAGGTGTACGAGAAGATGGCCAGCAAGCTGCTAGAGATGACAGGCGAGCGCCGGCTGGGCGAGGAGATCAAGATCAAGATCACGAACATGACCTTCCAGTACAGGTAGGCTGCGCCCGCCCGCCACCCACTGGCCTGCCTGGGCCCTGGGCGCCGCCCTCGGGAAGCGGGGGTGGGGGTCCTCGCTGGGCCAGGCCCCTTGGGGCGGGACGGGTTTCACACAGACCACGTGGGCAGCCTCCCGTCAGGGAGCTGGGGACCTTGAGGCCCCGCGGAGGCGGGGCCCGGATGGGTGCCAGCTCTCCCGGGCCTCTGCCAGCGCTGCCCCAGGGCCCCTGTAGCATTGACCCCCCGGCCCCACCAGAGGCTGTCCCGGGGCCTGCACACACCCACCCCAGCCAGGAGCCTGCAGACCGCCCGTCAGGCTCGGCTCTGTGTGCAGGGCGGCGGGATGCTGCCCAGCAGACAGGGAAACTGAGGCCCGAGGCCAGGAGGAGGCCCGGCCCCAGGCCCGTGAGCCCTGCCCGGCACTGCGTCTCCGTTGCTGCCAGCTCCCGCGGAGCCCGCCGTGGACCCTGCACTGCGCGGACCTGGGCTGGGGGTGCTCGTGAGGGCTGGTCGGGAACCTCGAGCACCCAGGAGCGTCCCACTCGAGGGGAGGGCCCTGCTGGTGGCAGGAAGCACTGGGCACCCAGGCCAGGCCCCACCTCTGCCTCCACCCACCCCCCAGGGGCCCCACCCCGGCAGCCTGAGGGGGCTGCTGGGTCAGGGCCATGGGTGGGCTCCGGACCAGGCAGCGTGACGGTCCAGGGAGGGAGCCAAGTGTGGCCCCCGGGCCTGGTACCTTGGGGTTCATGGGGCCCAGGCCTCCCTGCAGAGGGGCACAGTGTGGAGAGGGTCACGGCCAGGGTTGAAGGTCATAGGCGGGCCTGGTCCTTGCTGGGGTGAAGGTCAAGCAGGAACTCGGGGCCGGGCGGCGGGGAGAGCGGCCCCGAGGCAGGGGGTCCTATGGGCGGCCTGGGCAGGGATGGGCCTGGGGCTGCCCCTAGGGCCTATCTGTCAGTGTCCTGGGAAGCGAGGGGCCTGTTGTGGGAGGTCCAGCTGGTCCCAGCCCTGGCTGCCTCCCGGTCCTCCCAGAGGTCACCCGGGCTGCGTGCAGACCGCACCCTGCAAGGTGGCCTCGGGTACCGGGAGCCGCACTCCGCTGGCTGGGGAGAACCTGCCCCCCAATGGGCGAGGAGAGGACCCCGCCCGGCCTGCAGCTCCCGGCCCCCTGGGCTCTGGGGGCGTGCGGGCTGCTCGGACCCCGGCACCGGGAGGCCGTTTCCAGTGGCGCCGGCTTCACTCCCTAGCTCTGGCCCCCGGGGGGCAGGTCCGGCCTCGGGCCCTGTCTGGAGGCCCATTCCTGACCCCAACCCCCGCTGGCCCAGGCCCCGGGCCAGACGCCAGCGCTGGGGGCAGAAGGCAATGGAGTCCCTTAGTGAAGTGGTGACAAGTTCCAGCTGTGGCTGGTGGTGCCACCAGGGCTGAGCTGCAGCGGACGCCCCTCGGTGCTGGGTGGGGAGGGGCCGTGTCCCGTCCCCGGCCTCCTGCTGGCTCCCTGCAGCTCAGGCTCTGGGCGGGTTATTCATTATTCATCCCGAAGGCCTGCGGGCTCCCAGGGGAGGGGTTCGGTTCCGTTCCTGGGGGCGGGGCGGCCGCAGGAGGTGAGGGTGCAGCCTGGTGCTGGGTCTGGTTTATGAGGCCCCTGCGGCCCCTCACCGCTCCCATCTACCCAGGGAGAAACTAAGGCCCAGGGCAGGAGAGAGACTCGTCCAAGGCCGCGCAGCCCCGAAAGGCCAGCAGCTTGGCCGACCAGTTCCCCCCCCCGCGCCCCCCCGTACCCCCCCCACTTCCCCCGCAGGGGCTTCCCTGCGTGTTTCACAGGAGCTCTTTACGTACTGAGAGCGTCAGGGTGAGGGGGCCTGAGGGTGGCCGGCTCCACGGCGCGCGGTTTGTGGGAGTTCGGCCCTCGTTCCTCTTTCCTCCAACGGTGGGCGGGGGTGGCTGGAGCGGGGACCCCCCGGAGAGCAGCCCGGTGGGGGGCCGGGCATGGGTCCCGCGTCTGCACAGCCCCGGGGCGGCGGATGGCGGGGGTGGGGAGACGGAGCAGCAGCTCCTCCATGCGCACTCTGGCCCACGGGCTGCGGGGACACCCTGCCTGCGGGGGCTGCAGACACCCCTGCTCGCCACCTGGGCCGCAGCCCCGTTGTCGTCATGCCTGTGGGCTGGGGAGGCCCTTGCGGACGGCCAGCGCGCTTCCTGTGGCCGGTGGCCCCAGCCTGGCGGGGCAGAGCGCACGCGGAACTGTCCGGCCGCAGGGCGCTCGAGCTCGAGGGTGTCCTGCGTTGTGGGAGTGCGAGGCAGGAACCTGGCGGGGCCACAGGCTGAGGCTGGGGCCTGGGGGAGCCCTGGGCCTGATGGGGCAGAGCGTCCCCCGCCGTGTGGCTCCTTCCCTGGCCTGGCCCGCGGGGAGCCGCATCTCCCCGCCCCTCGCCGCCAGAGGACAGCTGCGGCCTGGGGCCTCTTTGCGGGGGGCGGGGGGCAGGACGCAGAGCTGGGCTGTGTTGGCCTTCGGCCTGAGGTCCTAGTGGGGAGGGGCAGGCCAGACGGTGTGAGCATGTGAGCGGGGCCCTGTTGGCCCAGCCCTGCCGCTTCCTTGCACCTTCAGCCAGCGTGCTGTCTGGACGGCTCGCTGCCTGCCCGGCAGCGGGCATCGCCTTGTTAAGTCCTCCCTGCAGCCGGGCAAGGAGCCCGCTTTGATCACCCCCATTTTACTGATGTGAAAACAGAGGCTCAGAGAGGTTAGTGAACCTGCCCAAGGTCACACAGCAAAGTGCCGGGCACGAGACACAGACTCAGACCGGTCGGATACTGAAGCCTGTGCTCCTGGCTCCTGTGGGTCTCGCTCCCCGAGGCGGCCTCTTTAGAAACAGGTGTTGGTTATGTTACAGCGTCTCGCACCTGTCCGTCAGAGCGTTCTACTCCTGCGTGCGTTACGCGTTTTACGGCTCCGCGGTATTGCACCGCATCTGGCTAATAATCCCTGTGAAGCGGCCCCTGTTCACTGTAGGGAGTTCAGATGCCACTGCAAGGCGAGGAGAGAAGCAGGAGGAGTTGACCCCGGGTCACAGGGGGGTCATGGCACTGACCGTACCCTCCCTTGCATTGGGGCTTTTACCATCCGAAGCCGCCCAGGTCCCAAGTCTGCCTTCTTCTAAGTCCAGCGCCACCTTGGCCCCGGAGCCGGGCCAATTTTTCTGGGGAGGCCTGTCCGCCTGAGTGACTGCTGCCCGAGCCACGTGGCCCCCGGGCCCCGGAGCCGCGGGGCCTCCGCGGGGGCCGGGCAGGCGGGCGGGAGCAGGTCTGTGTCTCACCCTTGGCTCTTGTGTCTCGTTTCAGGAAATTAAAATGCATGACAGATAGCGAGTCCGCCCCGCCCGACTGGCCCTATTACCTAGCCATTGATAAGATTCTGGCCAAGGTCCCCGAGTCCTGTGATGGCAAACTGCCGGACGGCCAGCAGCCGGGGCCCTCCGCGTCCCAGACCGAGGAGTCCCTGTCGCCGTCGGCTAAGTCCACCCCTCTGTACTTCCCGTATAACCAGTGCTCCTACGAAGGCCGCCTCCCGGACGAACGCTCCGACAGCTCCTCCAGCTCACTGTCCCTTAAGTTCAGGTAGTGTGCGCCCCCCGTCCCCCGCCCGCCGGGGCGCCGTCGTGCCCGCGCCACGCCTGGCTGGCGTGCGAGGCCCCGGGGCAGGAAGGCAGGCAGGCCGCGCTGGCCGCCGCCGGGCTCCGTCTCCTGGCCGCGTCACTTTGAGCTGTGTGGAAAGTTCCCGACCTCTCTGGGCCTCAGCCCCCCACTGTAAGACAGGGACACGTCCGCGGCTTCTCCGAGCATGGCTGGGAGTGTCGGAGGTGGGGCACAGGCGTGGGCGCAGGGCCCCCAGCCCCTGGGGCGCCCGCCCTGCCCACCCTCGGCTTCTGCTTCTGGTTGTCCCCTCACCCCCAAGCAGCCACCACCCTGGGGTCCCCCTGCCCTTCCCTGCCCGGCCTGGCCCGTCCTCTCAGCGCCAGAGAGGGTGTTGGGCTGAGCCTTCAGTGATCTCGGGACCTGGTTGCGGGGTGCGCCTGTCCCCCCTCCGTCCGTCACGTGCTTCCTGCCCAGTGACCCTGTCCTCAAGCCGCCCACAGACAGGCCCGCAGGGAGCAGGGGAGCCAGGACGGGGCCGCGTGGGGTGGGTTTTCAAGGGTGGATAGGAGCTGGCCGGCGGGCCAAGGGAACAGGAAGTGCGCGCCGGAGCCACGGCCCTGCCTCCCCCCCGAGCCCCGGTTTTCAAGTCTGTCAGTCGGGGTGGGTGAGGGAGGCATCTCTGGGGCGGCCCCTCAGTTCTGATGCCCCCCGTGCTGGGGCTGCCGTTTGGCTTCTCCTGGGCCTGTTCCCTGGAGGGGCTTCCTCAGCGAAGACCCCAGACCCAAACGCCTCGGCGGACGGCCAAGCCCCGCTGGCAGGGCAGCCTGAGACCCGCGCCCGGCGCTGCTTGGTTCCCAGGGGCTCAGCCCCCCGGGCGTGGCTGCCGGGCTGGGTCGGGGCACCCCAAGCTCCGCGGCCCCGCCCCCGAGGCGGGCTCCGTGCCCGCTCTGCTCGGCAGCACGGGGACGGGCAGGGCCTGGGGCCTGGGAGGGCTGGGGTGGGTTTGGCCGGGGGCGCCCACAGCCCCACCGCAGGGAGCCCCAGGGAGGGCCAAGGGCCTGGGCGGGCTTTGCCCCCGCCCCCCGGGGGTTCTGGGCCTGGGGAGGGATGGGCCCCCCCAGGTGCCTGTCCTCCTGCCTCCCCACCCTCAGGCCCAGGTGGCTGGGAAAGGAAGCGGCCCCAGGACCCAGGCCCTTTTCTCTGGGACCTCAGTTTCCTCATCTGCCCAAGGGCAGCTGGGGCCGGTGGTCTCTGGCTTCGAGGGGGAGCCGCAACGCCCAGCCCCTCCCGCCCAGGGGTGCCTCTCGTGCCTGAGCCCCCCCCCCACGGGGCCTGTGCTGCCCTGCCCGCCCAGCCGAGCGTGTTTAGGGGTGTTCCCCACCCCCCAGACCAAGGGCACCTGGGTGTCCTGTGACCACGGGGCCCTGTGGCCCCCTCACTGCCATGGGCGCTGAGCGAGCAGCTGAGCTCCCTGGGGCCTCCCTTTCCCGTCGGGGCGGTGGGGTCACTGGGAGGCCGGGCGGGGGCCCTGGTGCCCGGGCTGCGAGGCAGCCGCTGATGCGCTGACGCTGTCCCCCCAGGTCGGAAGAGCGGCCTGTGAAGAAGCGCAAGGTGCAGAGCTGCCACCTTCAGAAGAAGAAGCTGCGGCTGCTGGAGGCCATGCTGGAGGAGCAGCGGCGGCTGGGCCGCGCCGTGGAGGAGACGTGCCGGGAGGTGCGCCGCGTGCTGGACCAGCAGAGCCTGCTGCAGGTGCAGGGCGCACAGTTGCAGGAGCGCATGATGAGCCTGCTCGAGAGGCTCATCGCCAAGGCCAGCGGCTAGGCGCCGGGAGCGCGCCCTGTCGGGCCGGCCTGCGCCACTCCTCTCCGCAGGCTCCGGGACGCCCCGAGGCCCCGCCTCCCGCACAGGGCGGGAGTCCCTCCTCGGACCCGGGCCAGGGCCACCCCAGGGGACTCCCAGTAAGAACGTGCCAGAGCCCGCTGTCCACCACAGTCACCGTCGGGGATACTGGAAACGGTGCTTGATAGTAAGGGTGTGATTCCTCCTTCCCGCCTGGAGGGAACACGGCTTCTCCCTCGCTGGGGTCCCCCCTGAGCAGGACAGCCTTGGACACCGAGGGGGCCGGCTGCCGTCCCCGCTGCTGCCTCAGGGCGGCACTAATAAAGGTGATGACGCCTGCTCCCGTGCCTCACTCATGCATCTCTGTGGCGCCTCCAAGACAGCGCCTGCCCTCGGAGCGGGGGCGGGGGGGGGCCTGAGGGACCAACACGTGATGGAGAAACAAACTCAGCAGGTTATGATCACAGGAAGGGAAGGGCCTGGCTCAGGGCTGGGGAGGCGGCCAAGCTCCAGGGGTGGGCGCCCCGCAGGGGCCTGGGGAGGAGCTGGCCTCGCTGCCTCTGCCCCTCAGCGGGCGGGAAGATCTTTCCAGAAGCTCCTCGGCCCCTCCGGCCTTTGGTCCCTGTTCACAAAGGAGGCTGGGCACGGAATGTCTCTGTCCGCCCTGGGACCAGCACGGCGCCACCCACACAGTGGGTTCTGAGGTGACGCGGCGGGTTAGTGGCGGGCGATGTGCTTTAACCTCTGATCTGGAGCGGCCCCCTCGCGCTGGGCCGGCTGCAGAGGATGGGGACAGGAGGGCCTGCGGGGCGGCTGCCACGGCTGTCCCGGTGCACCAGCCGCCCGGTCACCGTGCGCTCGATGGCCCTGAGGTCCGCTGGGCAGAGGCCACCCAGGACGTGGGGGCGAGAGGCTGGGCTATGGGGAGGACCCCCCGCGCCACGTGCCCTGGGCTCTGGGGCTGGGGGCAGAGGGGTGTCTGTGCACGACCGCCAGCCCCACCGTGGGAGGCGGTGGGGGTCGGGGGTCCCGACACGGGAACCCGCCCGTTTCCACAGGGAGGCCCCCAACCAGGCCCGTTCCAGCTACCCCAGGACACCACCGGGCCGCCGTTGGGAAGCGGCACGCCCAGCGGCTCCAGCCCGCACTGCGAAGGTGGGAGCTGGGAGGCAGTCGCGTTGAAGGCCCCGGTTCGGGGGCCTTGCCAGGCCGGTCTCTGGCTCAGGCGCCGACTGCCCGCCTTCGACAAGGCGCCTTCGGGGCTGCCATCACTGGGCCCCACCAGGCGCCTCTGGGGCTGCCGGCCGCCCGGCCCCGGCAGGTCCCCAGGGGGTGGCACCGAGGGTCTCCGTTCGGCAGAGCTTTCCACGTAAACTCTTTGCATCCCTGGATCCGCGGCTGTGGCTGTTGGGCTTATTTAGCATTTTCTCATTCGTATTTAGAGGCAGTTGGTCTGTTTTCTTCACCTGCCCCTGCCCCCACGTCAGCCCTCTGTGTCCTCGGTCATACTGCCTGTCCCCTCTTTGCACTGGAGCAGCCACGCGGCCAGGCCAAGCCCTGTAGGGGGACTGCCAGGCTCACGCCCTTCGTGACTGTGTCATAAGAACCTTCCCATCTCTTCTGAAGCGACTGGCCTGTTAAGGAGGAAAGCATGGCTCTGTCCGTAACTGCTGAACAACTTGACCTGTTCGGCAGAACAGCCCGTGAACATGGATGGGAGCCAGACACGCGGGCCACTCCCGCCGCCTCCGTTCGGGTTTGTGCTCACTGAGGCGGGAAGCAGGTCCGGCGGGGGTGGGTGAAGACAGGAAGGTTAGCTTTATTTTCAGATACTAATTTTGTGTGCCCAGAAAACCAAATCCCCAAAAGCTGAGGCACTCCTCATACCTGTCAGACATGAGGCTGGAAAACACTCCTTTCGCAGCTCTGATTGCAGACTGCAGACTGCGCAGGCGCGGGCTCGCCCAGGACGGCACGCAGGCCCGGAAAGTCCCGAGCGCCAGAGTGCGTGGAGAAGCCGTGCCTGCTCCAGAGGGCCCCCAAACGAGACACTGGTGCTTTGCTGCTGTCGCCCAGCTGTACTCTCAACAATGCTGGGTGTCCCGTTTGTTTTGAAATGGACAAAGTATTTTAAAATTCACACGGAAAGAGAGTCGTGCAGCAGGTTCGAGGGAGGCGCGCCTCCCCCCAGGAAGCAGTGGGGAAATGTGCAAGGACCGCAGAGCGCGAGCCTCTCTCAGGAGGCCGGCGTGCGGCTGTCAACGTCGAAGGGGAAGAATGTCGAGAAACGGAACCCGAGACACCGCCGGAGACGTCCCCTCACAAAGCTGGAGAAAACCACGCTTGCAGCCCAGCGGCCAGAGGGCAGCCGTTCCCACGCAGCGTCTTCAAAATTATTGCGGGTGCCGAAGAGCACGTGTCCTGTGTGTTCTGACTGCCAGTATTAACACCTGTCAGACCCCTTATTAGAGATCAGCCCTTGGCGTTAAGAAACACTCATTCCAAAATAACAATACACCCGTTGCCTGTTAACATCAACGAGAATCGTGTGAACAAGACTTTCTCCAAAACGGGTTTCGGCGAGAAGAGCAGCGTTGCATTCCCTGCGTCTCTGGCTGAGGGGTGGGCGGGGCCTGCAGCTGCCTCTGTGCACCTGCTGGGAGTGGGGTTCGGTGCAAGGATGGGCTTCTGCGGGAAAGCCAGCCCACGCCGGTACACAGCTGGGATTCTTAAGAATGTCTGCAGATCGCTGCAGCGAAACTCAACAGGGGAGGTTCTTTGCAGGTGTTAGCAATGTGGAATCTGAAGCCGCTTCAGGAACGAGTTTGCTTCTGCATCTCGTAGAATCCGGGATCCGCCTCACACTTGGAGGGCCTGCATCCACGGACACTTTCGTAAGTCGCTCGTCGGCGTTTGGAAAATACTGGTTCACCAAGTCAGATCTTCTCGATGCTGACACAGCTCACGAAACAGCATCAGAAGTTACCCTGGTTGGTGGCTCCATCCATCTCTGCAGAGAGGTCTTCCCTTGGGCTTGTCACGCTCAGGGGCAGATGCCAAGTGTTTCAAAATTCCGATTTTTGCCAGAAAGCTTGAGTTTTATCATTGGTCATGAATATCTGTTGCTTTTCTTGAAAGGACAGACACATTTTGTTCTAGTTCAAGAACACGTGTCAGGGACAGAAGTCAGTAACGAGCACTCGGCCACATGGCCTCCCCGCGGATGACCAGCATCGGAGGGCTGGGCCCAGGACGGCAGGGGCCTGGTGTCCGCGACGTGCCGGCCATGCCCCTCGTGTTTGCGGCGGAGGGGGTTTAACAGGCAGGAAAGCACAAACACGCCTCTTACAACCGCCACAAGCAAGGTTTCAGGTGAGTTACAGATTCAAATGTGAAAAAGGAAAACTTGGGAGGAAATTTGGGAAGATCACAGAATCTTGGAGTCTGAGACCTGTCTGAGTGAGATGACTCATCAGGGAAAAGTCCAGTTTGACTAGCGAAATGTCCGAAATACCGCGTGGCAGAGGGCTTTAAAGACTGGAGACATCAAGGGACTTGGTGAGGCCCTCAGCAGCATAGAAAAGACCCAGTCAGAAAGGAAGCGTACGCTAAGGGAAATAAAGAACAATTTACAGGGCCACAACAGTAGAGTGGATGACGCTGAGACTCAAGTCAACGATCTGGACCATAAGGAAGCAAAAACCACCAGCCAGAACAAGAAGAAAAAAGAATCCCCCCAAAATGAGGATAGTATAAGCAGCCTCTGGGACAACTTCAAGAGGTCCACCATTCGCCTCATAAGGGCACCAGGAGGAGAAGCGAAAGAGCAAGAAATTGGAAACGTATTTGAAAAAATAATGAAAGAAAACTTCCCTATTTGGTGAAGGAAATAGACATGCAAGTCGAGGAAGCACAGAGAGTCCCCAACAAGATGGATGCAAAGAGGCCCACGCCAAGCCCCATAATTAAAATGCCAAAGGTCAAAGATGAAGAGGGAATGATCGTTACCGGAAGGTTGCCCACGGGGCGTGGGGGACGGGTGCGAGGGGATGGAGGAGCACAAGCAGGTCGTTTCGGAGCGGCCATGGGGATGTACAGCGCAGGGAGCGGAATAGTCGACGGACGCATACGCACGCCCCACGGACAAGAACAATGGTGGGGGGCTGCCTGGGGAGTGGGGGGCACTGGGGGGAGGGGGGAAAGGGGAAGAATCAGGAAGCGGTAACAGCATAATCAATAAAATATAATTTAAAAGCACTCGAGACGTGTGACAGGCGGTGCGGCGTGGGCGACGCGGGGCAGACGGGAGAGAACCCTGCTTCTGGGGCCGGGCTCGCGTGGGTCCGGCTGTGCCGCACAGGGCAGGCAGAGGCACGGGAAGTGGGGGGCTCTGCCGTGCGCCCCCACCCGCCCAGGCAGGGCGTCCCTTTCTCTCCAGGGTCCGGCGCCCTCCAGGTCCACCCCCTTCCCCACCCACAGAGCCAGGGAGCGCCGTGAGCCCCCTGCCCGCCCACCGCTGCCCTGCCAGGGCCTCTGCGCGCCCTTCTCCAGCTGCCGCCGCCGCCGCCAAGGGCTGAGGCCATGTCTGCAACTGCCCGGAATCTCCCACCCGGCGTCCGTCTGCCGGAGCCGTGTTTCCCAGCATCCTTCGCCCTGTGTGCTTGCGGGAGAGGGGGTCTGAGGCGAGGCTGCGTGAGATCGATCGAGGGGCAGAGGGGACTCTCCGAAGCCCGCGGCCGGCCCGCCAGCATTGTCCTTTCCTTCCTGAGTGACAAAGCACTTACTTCACTCAGGGCAGCGGTGCCCCGGCTAACACCTGACCAAGTGTCCTTTGCGTTTTGAGTGACAAGGGACACGTCAGAGGAAGCTGGGGGTAAATCCTGAGAAAACTCAAAACGAGACACGTGGCTCTGTGGGCTTGGTCTGCTTTGTGCCGCTTTCCCAGCTCCTCGGCCTCCGGCCCAGCCGCACGGGAGGGGGAG